ATTTTAAACATTCAAATTTCTTAGTTTCTTCAATAAACTTTCTTGACCCATTAAGTACTGGTAATACTTATAAGAAAGAATTGAACCTACTTGGTTGCATAGTATGTACCGATTGCGCGTCGTTAGACGGTGTGGATCACGTGATGTTCTTACATCTCGCCTCTGTTGGCTTACCAACCATGTTATATAAGCTCAGGTATTTCTTTGTTTTGGGTGTGTTCCACTACTACAAGTTGCTCGACAGTGTCATGTCGACACTGATGATACCCAATATAGGTTAAAACACGTGTCTGTCGGTATTTGACGTTGATGGAAGTTCCATCAACGTCAAATACCGACGCACTCAAAACAAAAAACTTTGGCGAGGTGTAGGTTCAATTCTTTCTCATAACATTTTTGTATATTAAAAAGTACAATAAGTACCTATGTTACAATTTTTAATTGTTAACATATAAAAATATTCGATTTTAAAATATTTTATATTTAAAATGGCAACATAATATTTTAAAATTTACTATACTTATTAGTAATGGAAAAAATCTAATTATAATAAGAATTAAGAACAAAATTGGTTGAGAATAATAATATTTTACCTTAAGGTTTAACATACATGGATATTTAAAAATTACTAAATATGCATAGTATCTGACAATATACAAGAAAGTTGTCCCAAATACTAATATAAATTATAGTAAATGGTATTATAATTATGGTAATCAGCATTATACTTTTCTCTCCGTGTATCCATCGGGCGGCGTAAACTTTATCTAAAGTCGGTTTCATATAGATGCGAAATGCGAATTGCGAAATACGAATATTCGCATTTCGTAACTCCTATTTCATATAGATGCTATAGAACTATTTTAGGGACATTTTTTTTTACTAGGCGATATTTTCCATGCTATTTTAGGTAAAGGTAAAATAAGTTTTTTTAGATAAATTTCTGTCCAATTTTAACACGTTACATGTCGACTTAGTCTTTGATGAACCATCGAGTGTTTGCTACTTTAACTTGGACCACCCTGTATAAAAAAATCAATATAAAATTAAATAGTTAATTTAAATTGCCAATAATTATTTTTTTTATTTTCTTTTAGATAAATATTAATTTTGACATTTTGGAAAATTCCTTAGACAATATACAAGCTACACAAAGGAACGTAAGTGTTTTTAGTTTTATACTTCATAAAATATTAACTCATAATAATCCCTCTTTACACTGCATGACTTTTTGGTCGAAAACAATACCGTAGTGATGCCCCGGCCTCCATATCCGTCCAACATTACCCCATGTGATTTTTTGCTCCGCAAAATAAAGAAAACCTTAAAGGCGCATTCGGCAAAAGACCTAAAACTTTTTACTCATAATTACCTAATTAAAAAAAAATAATATTTTTAATGCATGAAAAATTTGGCGAGACCCACCCTGTAAATCGTAGTAAATTGTAGTTAGGTATGTCTTTCTAAAAATATGTGTTCTTAAATTTACAAATGTTTCTTTAAAACGTTTCAACTTTAAGTTTAGATTTAATTTACTATTAAAATGATCATTCTTAATTAAATATATAAGAAATATGAACGTAATATTTAGCCAAATTTACTATTTTAAAACATTTTACTTTAAGAGTTTATAAGAATAATTTTTGTTTCAAACGTCTGTAAAATGAAACTTCAGCTCCTACTTACCAGCAAAGAGCTTAGGCCGTTCATTAATTACGTGAGGTGTTTAGGGGGGGAGGGGGTCGAGCCAAACCTCACCAAATCTCACGTGTGGGGGAGGGGGGGTCTCGGCAAATATCACGTAATTTTTTTTTCCGAAAGAAAAAATTTAAAATTGCTAGAAAACTGGGTTAAATTAAGTAAACAATTATAAGCAAATTGTTTTTTTAATAAATCTAATGGAATTAAGCACAGATTAACTTATTTACATTAAAACCATGCATTTAAAAAAATCTCACGTGAGATTAGGGGAGGGGGGAGGGGGGTAGAGCAAAATCTCACGATATCTCACCAAGGGGAGGGGGGGGGTTGAAAAATCGCCAAAATTGTCTCACGTAATTAATGAACGGCTCCTTATAGTATATTATGTATCAAGTTTGATAAACCGTTTATCATAAACGCCATTATATACACGAATTTACTTTAGACACGAGCGAGCTTTCGAGCGAGTGCTTAAATTAATGAGTGTATAGAAAAGTTTATAAACGAGGTGCATACTATACTTTTTCTATGAAACAATAGGGGAATCTGTGTGCCACCGTCAAATGTGACGTGGAAATTTAGACAAAATTAACCTCATGTAGCCTCCCATACACCCACGAGCCGCCACTGAGTCTAATTACAAAATTAATAAATAAAGTGATTATTTTATATGTACAAAAACAAAAGGGCCTTTGTCAAAGGCATAGACTTATAAAAAGTTTGTAGTAATTATATTATATTGTAGATAAAAATCTGTTTTTGTTACATTAATAAAATTAATTGTAACAGCTAAAACAACTTTCATTAGCTAATAGCGAATGTTCTAAATATTCAATAAGCATTAGGTATTACCGTTGAGTCAATGGTATTATACAATACGTATAATGCGTACAATGCGTATTTATCGTTTATTTGGAATATTTCCCTTCGAAAAAATTAAGGGGGAATACGTTACGACAAAGCGCTGTATTATTATTAATTTTGTGATAATAATAATACTGTTCAGTTACCAAATATTTGTTTTTATATACTGCAGAAATTTTATAATGTCCACGGTAATCAGTAAGTTGAAAATCACTATGCTGTTTGGTTATTTTTGCTGCTTATACGGAAACTTTTACTACTTCAAAAACGATTATTTGGAAGTCATTAAAAAGTTAGCTGGCTACGATAATTTTCCCGACAACCACGATTTAACGAAGTATACCATCTTGAAGCTGGTTCTGTTCATTTGGTTGATAATACAAGAGGGGTTCAACATTAAATATCACAATTTCAACGGAACGCCATTTTGCGCCACCTATTATTTCCTACCCAATATAGTGCAGTTTCTGGAGGAACTCCTGATGGTTTTCGTTCTGATAGAGCTCAGCAAACGCGCAAATTACCTCGAGATTGCCCTGAAAAACATCTCCAATGGCGACCTAACAAGGATCGCAAGCAATCACAAACAACTGTACAAATCCACTAACAAGTTCTGCCAAGTCCCATTTTTAATCAAAGTTTGCTGGCTTTACGTGTCCATTTTGATATTCCTGGACTTCATCCTGCCACTGGATTTAAGAGTTCACTCCAGAATGGAAGTTTTCGCGATTTGCCACAGCCTATTTGGATGGATTATCGTGTCCATAATCGATTTCTTCAGTTTTTTGTTTTGGATTCGATACGCGGAAAATAAAGTGAGCTTCGTTTTTTATTGACACCATTGGAAATAGACTTTTTAAATATTAAATATCATTATATTATGTTGCGAGATATAAATTATTTAATTTATTTGTGAAACACGGTGGTCAAAACTAAAGTATAGGACTAACAAAAATGCCAACCAAAACTGATAGCATAATCTGATTATAGACTCTTTTGGTAACACAAAAATGTATTTATCAAAATCCCATCCTTTATTTAAGTTTTGCATATTTCTTAGTATTTTAAAATTGTTTATGCCATTTCGATAAATACTCTAGTACTCTAGTAATTTGGCAGATACATGACTGAAATATGGATAAATTACATTATAAATACAAAATAATGTAAAATACAGTTTGCAATATCTTATTTATTGTTTTAAGGTATCTAATACAAAACTAATAAATAACTAAAGATTCTTTGAAGCAAAATTGATTACTGCTTGCCTTAAATTTTCAGTAAAACTTTTTCTTGGGTTTTACATGGAATTGTTTTTAACATGAAAACAGTACCTATTTTTAAATTCTTCAGTCTCTGTACAAACATGCTTCTTACATCTAGCGATATCCCCTAGAAAGGAAGGGCATATCAAAACTTTAGTTCGTTCGTCCGTCCTCTTCCCTTAATAATTTTTTATGCCCTTTATATCTTGCCATTTTGCAAATAAAGCACATACATTCTTGGCTGCCGCGAAATTCTCTAGCAATTTCTAAATTTTGAAGATTTGGCAATTGTGGCTATTCAAAAATACCGTTTTTACCATATTGAAGTAGGTAATTTTGAATCACTTAAGTTAAAGTGTTCGTTTGAAAAAGTCTGCAGTATTTTTTATATTTTCTCAGAAACCCTAAACTCTGAATTTTTCGATTACCAAAAACAATTTTGTCTCCACAGCCAGCACATACCTTCTTTCGATTTTCTTCATGGCTTAACTTGAATTTCGGTTTAATTTTCATTTTAAAATACTATTTTTAACTTTATAAAGTATACATTAAATAAACAACTAAAGCACTTGCGTTATAACGTATAGCAATTTTTTTCATAACCACCTTAATTACTGTTTTACAAAATTTGCAAGTTGTAATTATTTCATAGACAAACTTCCAGTACTTTTTGTTTTAAAAAATATTTAAGATATAAATCTTGGTTTTTTTTGTTATATTTGTTTTGAGTGGTAAAAAATAATAGGTGACTCAATAAATTAATACTGGGGAGTAAAGTAATTTAAATGATACAAAGTTTATTATTTTGCTTAATTTTATTAAAATTGTACAGGTAGTTTTAGTACAATAATTGCAAAATAATATATAGAAATAGAAAAACAAACAAGTTTGCAAAACTTTAAAATAGGATCAGCTGGGATTTTGATAAATACATGTTAGTGTTACCAAAAGGGTCTATAATCAAAATATGCTATCAGTTTTGGTTGGCATTTTTGTTCGTCCTATACTTAAGTTTTGACCACCGTGGAAACTTTGGATTAAATATAATAATAATTATTAGATATTTCAGTTTAAATAAAATATATATTTTTTTGAAAACTTATTTTCAGGTAAATAAGAATGTAAGATGCATTCAGGACCAATTGGAGGAAAGGGTGAGTTAAATAAATAAAAAAAAGTTCTACACACAATTATTGTAGTCTACCCTAAAATTCATAGTAATATTTTTGTAAGAAGTTATGTATGTTTTAGACAAAACGAATAAAATACTGTTTTGGGGAACCAAATGCAATTGAGACTCCGGAATTAGTTAAAAATTATAAACAGGTAAAATAACAATAGCAGAGCGTTTAAAAAAGTTGAACATGTTGGGTGAAAATGTTAAAATTGTATACGAGGTGTGTTCAGAAAATAACGGGAATTGTTAAATTACGCGGGTTCGGAGGGTCCGGTTGTCATAAAATTTTCTTTATTATGTTGGTATACATATAACCCGAAGTAAGATAAAAACTTTAGCTGTTTTCATTGTTTACTTTGTCTGTGGCAGCCGCTAGGTTAGACGTATTTTATGAGCTCGGCGATTTTTCGTTCGTTAAAAGAAATATTTAAATGGATCAAAGAATTTGTATTCAATTTTGCTTAAAAAATGAAATAAATTCTGTAAAATGTTAACTAAGGCCTATAGTGAGTCTGCTAAAAGTAAAACAAAAGTTTACAAGTGGTATAAGAGTTTCCAAGATGGCCGTGAAGACGTTGAAGATGACGAACGCCCCGAACGCACAAGCACATTAACAACCGATAAAAACATGCACTTTTTCCATGGAAAAAGTGGAAGAAATGGTTATAAATTATCAGAGAAGTCGCTGATGATGTTGGTTGGATGATGTTGAAATTTTTTCGAATGTTTTGGGTATGAAACGCGTGGCAGAAAAATTTGTTCTAAAATTGTTAAATTTTGAACTAAATTTTTGGCCAAAAACAATACTGTAATGATGCCCCATATTCGCCAGACATGCCTCTGTCTGACTTTTTCCTAATTCCAAAAATAAAGAGAACCTTAAAGGACCGTCGTTTTGCAAGCATAGATGACATTAAAAGCGCATCGCTGAAAGAACTAAAGGCTATCCCAAAGATCCAGTTTTAGAAGTGTTTCGAGTATTGAAAGAAGAGCTGGCACATGTGCATAATAATAATAATATAATGGGGACTATTTTGAAGGCGACAACATTATAATGTAGACGAATAAATAAATATTTGTTTCAAAAAACGAAAATTCCCGATATTTTCTGAACACACCTTATTTATTTTCATTTTATGTTAAAATGTTATTGCATTAAATACTAATTTGATTTATTTAATAACGTTAGGTACTACATTTAACGCAATCAATTCTTTGACATTTAGGCAAAATGTTTCTCTATTTTGGTTTAATAGTAATTAATTGAGCAAATAACAATTTAGATTGCTTCAATTTTAATGCATTTAATGGTAGCGGTACTATATTAGATTTTTTTATGTGCACGTTTGGCAAAAATGTTTATGTTACATATTTTGTCAAAGCTGTAGTATTTAGGGTATACCAACAAAGTTACGACTTTAAAAATATCATTAAAACAAAGAGCGTACTTTTCTTAGTACACCATCTGAAATTAATTAAATTAAAAAAAAATGTAAAGGTTGTGGAGCTTTTAAGAAAGTTTAACAAAATTATCGTCCAACATATTACTTTAAATTTTTGTCATATTTAAGTGATGATAGCAGGGTATACCAACAATAATGCGACCTTTAGAATGTCATCAAAGGATACATCGTAATTTTGTCAGTCTACCCTACTTTTTTATTTTATTTCCTATAGTAATATTAAATAAAATAAAAAAATCCTAAAAATTAAAAATATCAGTTTTGATAATTTAATTTTAAATATCGAATGAGATTTTTAATTCGGAAATAAAAATCTTATTCGATATTTGAAATTAAATTAAAAATCTCGAACAATATTGGGCAAATTTCCATTATGTTGAAATAAAAATTACAAACATTCTTTTTCCACTTGGTAATTCATTTAATTAAACATATCGTTTCATTTTGTTTATTCAATTTTAAATATCAATTTATTTTTTAACTGAAAATAAAAGATTAAATGCCCCAATTTGTTGCAAGCCTGAACATTAAATGAATTAAAAATATCAAAGCAATATTTGTAATTTAATTAAAAATCTCAAGCAATATTTTTAATTCGCTCAATTTTTAAGTGGGAAAGAAACATTGGCAACTTTTATTTCTACTTATAAATACTTATAAGTTTAAAATTCGTTGCATGTGATATTTTTAATTCATTGTGGGCAAATATAGATATAAAACTTTTGCATTAAGTTTTAAGTTTATTCTGAAATGTTAAAGTGATATTAAATTTCCAAGTAAAAAAGAATGATTATGATTATGATTATGTTATTTCAGGTTAGATTTAAAAATTTAGCAGTTTATTGACAACGTGAGAAAATAATTGCTCTAATATCTGTTATTTTTAGAGGGAATTATTCTATTTGCAAAATATGCTGGACGAGACAAAATTTACCGCTTGTGGAATGTTTGATGTTGATTGGTCCCTAATTCAAAAGGTTATAGTGGACATTTTAGAATTCTAAATCAGAGTTGCTAACATATTTTTTTTTAGATTGCGGCCTCGATATTTGGATATTTGATTATTTTTATTCAAATGAAATCATAAAAAAGCTGTTTTTTCATCAATGACTTTTACTTAACCTTTTATATATGAGTCAATCCAAATGAAAACACCAAAAATTTAAAAGTGCGCTGCATGATTTTTTATTTTAATGAAAAAATTTGAGGATGATCTTTTAGGTATCATATGAAAAACCGTTGCCGTTTTAATTTTTAGTTGCTTTATTTTTAATCGGCACCCTTTTAGTCCGGTCAATCTAGACATTCGAAGGTACATAAATTTACAACAAGCTGAAAATCAGTAAAATTGTTCAGAATATAATTATTAATAAAATTTTAAAGTTCCCCATCATTCCCCTGTATGGAAAAATTTTTATTCAAGGTCAAAGGTCAAAAAAATGATTTTTCGCGATTTTCAGCAAAACGGTAAGTTTTATCATAAAAATACACCAGACAAAAATTGTAGATCATAAAATAATCTATAAAAAATGTATCAATACTTTTTTTCTACGAGCCACCGTTTCTGAGATATAACGATTCGAAAAGTTGTAAAAGTTATAATCGCCATAATATGCACACGTTTCCACGCCACCTATGAGGTAGTTTACTAAGCGCGTTTTTAAACGTGGTTTCCCCAGTAGGCCTATTTCACGGGTCACTTGTGATTCTGTTTAATTTGAAACTATTGCAAAATAACGGAAATTAGCAATGATTGGAAAAGATAATAGCGATGTAAATTTAAAAAAAGTACTGAAGTTTATTCGTCTGATTCGTAACATTTAAATTCTTTTTCTTGTTCTTCTTGATCTTCTTCTTGTTTTTGTTCTTCTTCTTGTTGTTCTTCTTCTTCATCTTCATCCTGGGTTCAAGTAAATTGCGTCAATAGCGATGTATCGCATCTCACCTCGTTGGAATTAAATGAATCCTCCACTGTTGGTGATTCAACATTAGAGCACGACCGGCCTTGACAATTCGTACATGCCAGAGAATAAAACAGTCCGACTTTTTTGCAACCACATTTAGCACTGCATCCCTTTTTGCAGTTGCAAAAAATTGTGTTCAGCAGTTTTTCCGGCGCAGGTGGGAGTAAAGTTTGAACTGGTTCTAATGTGTTGTTGACCAACTTCCAACCCTAGTCTGTAGGGTCTAGCTAATAACCAAGCCACACTTGAACATGGTATTATACCCGAAAAAGATGTTGATGAGCAGCAACTGAGGTTGGAGGAAGACAAGCTAATTGAACTTGTTTTTTACTTTTAGAATTTTTAACGAAACATGCATATCGATACTTATCAAAGCAGGTAGTTTTTTTAGGAGCTCCGTATATAGAAAGAAGAAATTGAATGCCGATAACTTCTTGTCCCGAAGACCCTTTTCCTCGAGTTTGGACGAAAAATTTCGACACCGGAAAAATTTGGTCCGCGGATAGGTCTCGTGGGCAGAAAAAAAGGATGCAAATTTCAACCTTCAACGGCCTCCGAGCTACGGCGCTTAGAAAAAGAGGATATACAGACAACGGAAAAAATAAATATTGCAAACGGGCCGGATACGCCGGCAACTTTTCGAACAGCGTTCTTTTTTTATTTTTTTCGAAAAATTTTTAAACGTTTTTTAGGTCGAGAGAAATTTTCGAAATTGGCCGAACGAAATACACGAATCGACGGGAAAAAGACCAAAGTTTGACATACTAAAAGATGAGCTTCATCGAATAAAAACTAATCGGCCAGAAGCCCGTTTAATTTTTGTTGGGTATTTAAAAAAGTTAACCAATTAAAATCCTCGAAATCAAATCGATAAGGTGGCAAATGACAGGTGGCATAAGACAGGGACAAATGACAGGTGACAGATGACAGGTGACAAATTTTAAGTGTAAGTTAAAATGACCTATAGAAAAATATTTTAACATATATTACAACTCTAGAGATACGTGGCGTGCATATTATGACGATTACAACTTTTACAACTTTTCGAATCGTTATATCTCAGAAACGGTGGCTCGTAGGAAAAAAAGTATTAATACATTTTTTATAGATAATTTTATTATCTACAATTTTGTTTCGGGTATTTTTATGATAAAACTTACCGTTTTGATAAAAATCGCGAAAAACTAATTTTTTTGACCTTTGACCTTGAATAAAAATTTTTCCATACAGGGGAATGATGGGGAACTTTAAAATTTTATTTATAATTATATTCTGAACAATTTTACTGATTTTCAGCTTGTTGTAAATTTATGTACCTTCACTGTTATTTTTTTGTCTAATTTGACCGGACTACTTTAGAAACCTGAAATCGTGTCATTTTCTTACTCTCTTATAAGAGGCTAAGACTTTTTTCTGTGGCAATTATTGAAATGATTGTAATTTTATTTTACTGCCTAGTAAGTATATTTTCAATATTAATTATTATTATCTAATTAGTTCATCTCATAAAAGAATGGTAAACCACTAAAGATTTCTAATAATTTGCCAATGTTTGTGATTTTTGTCTGGCTCCTGTGCCTATTCTGCTAAATCTAGAAAGTTGCTTTTTTCAGGTATCAAGTACTTATACAATAGAAAACTTAACTATTATTTTAAGTTTCTAGACTATCATTTTCTTTATTAAAAAAATTATTGAAACTTGATAATTTTCAAAATTAGCCAATTTTGCCCTCAGAAATCATTACGTTAAGGAAAAAATAAAAAATGGAAACTTTCAGGAAATGTAGTCCCCACCTTCATCTTTTCAGTCTAGTTAGTCTTGTTTTGTTATTTTATCCATGTAAAAGATAAAATAATTTTTTTAATGCAGTTAAGAAGCGATATTGTTAGTTTTATTTATAATTTAAAATTTAGATGGCTTTGACTTGGTCAATTCATGTTTGATAGAGAAATGTCAGAACTGTCAAAAATATTTCATAAATATTATTTGTGCGTATTTAAATTGTGATTTCAAAAAGTTTGCAAGTGTAATAAATGACGGAGTGTTCGAGATTCATGAATTTAATTGCAATTAAAAATGCAAGAACATATCATAATTTTGTACCTCTTTCTCATAGAAAATATTCAAGTTCTGAGAAGTTTTAAATTGTTAGAAATAGGCAAAAACCAAAAAATATTTCAAATAAACCCCTTTATTATAACATGTTAACCAGTTACCTAAATATATATACATGTTAACCAGTTACCTAAATATATATACATATATATGATTATACAATACATAAAATATAACATAACTACCAAATATATCAATGTATATTGATCAACTGTCAAAAATATTTCATAATTATTATTTGTGGTATTCCTTTGGTGATTTTAAAAAGTTTAATATGACATATTATGTTATATACAAAATTTACCAAAGAAATACGCACAAATAATATTTATGAAATATTTTTGACAGTTCTGACACTTCTCCACTAAACATGAAAGCCATATAAATTTTAAATTATAAATAAAACTAACAATATCGCTACTAAACGGGTATTAAAAAAATTAATATATCTTTTAAAGGAATAAAAATAACAAAATAAGACTAACTGGACTGAAAAGATGAAGGTGGGGACTACATTTCCTGAAAGTTTCAGATTTTTATTTTTCCTCAACATAATGATTTCTGAGGGCAAAATTGACTAATTTTAAGAATTACCAAGTTTCAATAATTTTTTTAATAAAGAAAATGATAGTCTCACATATCAGAGTGCGTTTACGTTTTCTATTGTACCTATAAGTACTTGATACCTGAAAAAAAAAAATAACTTTCTAGATTTAGTAGAATAGGCACAGGAGCCAGACAAAAATCACAAAAATTGGCAAATTATCATGAAAGTTTAGTGGTTTACCATTCTTTTATGAGATTAACTAATTGGATAATAATAATTTATATCGAAAACACACTTACTGAACAGTAAAACAAAATAAAAATCATTTCAATATTGGTCACAGAAAAAAGTTCTGGCCCACTATAAGAGAGTAAGAAATTGACACGATTTTAAATTTCTAAAGGGTGCCGATTAAAAGTAAAGAATCTAAAAATTAAAACGACAACGGATTTTCATATTTGATACCTAACACGGTGGTGTGCCTGAACGAAGTTTAGGTCACATAAAAATGCCGCCAAAAACTGATTGCAGTTTCTTGTTCGGGACCCTTTGGTGACTTAAAAATGATATTTACCAAAATCCTAGCTGCTCCTCTTTTCGAAATTTTTTGAAAATTCATGATTTTTTTTTAAGTTTTGTTTATTTTAATGTCTACCTTTGACAGAGTACACATTTGTACACCGATTTTATAATATTGGAGTATATTGTTAAGGAGATTTTGAGAATACTGTTTATACTGTGCACATCATTTTATATATACAGGGTTAGTCAAAAATTGCTTCTTTTAATAAAGCAAAAGCGTAAATTCATGATTTTGGCATAACACGCAAAAAAGATATATACCCAGCCATGTTTTTTTTAGATATTTTTATGTTTATCAGGCTACAAAATGGGATTCTTATCAAGACTTTATAAGAAAAATTGATTTTGAATAAAATTAAATAAAATAATTTTTTTTGGAGATAAATCTGTTTTGTGCATTATGCTTTTTACTATATAAAAACGTGATTTTTGGCTAACCCTGTATAAATCTAATGATGTGCTCAGTATGAAAACAGTATTCTCCAAGTCTCGTTAACAATATACAGAGTACACATTTGTACACCGATCTTTATAATATTGGAGTATATTAGGTATATACTCCAATATTATAAAGATCGGTGTACAAATGTGTACTCTGTCAAAGGTAAGATAAACAAAAATTAAAAAAAAAAATTAAGAATTTTCAAAAAATTTCGAAAAGAGGAGCAGCTAGGATTTTGGTAAATATCATTTTAAAGTTACCAAAGGGTCCCGAACAAGAAACTGCAATCAATAAAAATCGGTGTACAAATGTGTACTCTGGCAAAGGTAGACTTTGCGATAAACAAATAATTAAAAAAAAAATGATTTTTTAACAAATTTAAAGAAAAGCAGTTGGAATTTTGGTAAATATCGTTTTTAAATCTCCAAAGAGTGCCGAACAAAAAACTTTAACCAGTTTTTCGTTCAAAATTGAAAACTTCTAAAAAGCCTAAATTAAACAACATTTTAAATATTCTCTAAGCGTTATTTTATTTAATTTTATTAAAAATATATTTTTTTAATAAAAGGTTAATAAGAATGCCATTTTTGTAACTTAATAAACGTAGAAATATCTAAAAAAAATGATGATACATCTGTTTTGCGTGTTATGCCAAAATCATGAATTTACGCTTTTGCTTTATTAAAAATAAGCGATTTTTGGCTCACCCTGTATATATCAAATTATGTAAACAGTATTAAAAAGTATTTTTTAAGTCTCCTCAATAATATACTCTAATTTTATAAAAATCGGTGTACAAATGTGTACTCTGTATATTGTTAACGAGACTTGGAGAATACTGTTTTCATACTGAGCACAAAGGTAGACTTTGAAATAAACAAAAATTTAAAAAAAATCATAAATTTTCAAAAAATTTCGAAAAGAGGATCAGCTAGGATTTTGGTAAATATCATTTTTAAGTCACAAAAAGGGTCCCGAACAAGAAACTGCAATCAGTTTTTGGCGTCATTTTTATGTGACTTAAACTTCGTTCAGGCACACCGTGCTAAAAGATCATCCTCAATTTTTTAAATCAAAATAAAAAATCAAGCAGCGCACCCCATTTGGTGTGTTTATTTGGAATGACTCATATATTATTATATGGGTGATTCTCCAGAACGGAGCAAATATGCTGAAACTCTTAAATAAAATATACTAATGAAAGTAGTTAGCATTTAAATAACACTACAATAGACAGTTTATGTCTAGCAGTAGAACGTTCTTAACCAAAAAAATAAAACATTATTTATTTTATTAATTTGAATTTGCTTAAACGCTTTAAAGTCAACTCCATGGACTGTCACCACCTAGCGTAGGGACAACAAATCATCCATATACTATTAGACTAGATGCAATTGTGAAATGATTCTTTCATATTGCATTTCCTCTAATTTGGAATGTATAAAAAAAACACAACCAAAAGCAAACTTATTGATATTTTAACCCAAAATGTCGAATAAAGCATGAGACACCATTTGCAGTCTTTTAATATATGATAAATCCCCTGTATAAAACGTATTTTAGTAATGTTTGAAGACTTCGTCGTTTGAGTGATTTAGTGTTGATAAGCAAGGCAAAGGGGGTGTAATATTTAATAAAAATTTATAAAGAACAATTATTTGCGAAAAAACGGGTAAGTATTTTTATTAAAGATCAACTCCATGTCTTTAATAACAAAGGGATTTAAATACAATTGAAATTTAAACTTTCTCCAGGTGAAATAACCAAATATGCTTTGCTTAAATTACAGTTTACTAAAGATACATTATGTACCATTTTCTAAAGTTTGTGACTTTAACTATAAAAACATCAACTCCATGGACATCAACTCCATGGAGTTAAAAGGTATGTCCATGGAGTTGTTTACTTTCTTATTATTGCCCTAAACTCTTAGCTCATATAAGTTTTTTTCTTTAAAAAAATTCTCTAATAGTATTATTATTATAACTATATGTATATATTAAGTTTAATTTATAGCCGCCTTGAAATTACTTTATGTTATTAAGAAATACACATTGAGGTATTATTTTGCTAGTGTTTTATTGATCTTTGCTTTTTATTTTTTTACCACCCCAATTTATCCCCGTTTTGGATATTCACCCATATATACTTTAAATTATGAATAAAATTATTAATGTCACCTTTTTGACTTTTTTATAACTCATTTAAGGCATTTGCCGAGCGCACCCCAAACTTTCCACTGTCAAAGTCCTAGCAGAAAATTGCGCGCGAGAACGGCGGTCGCAAGGCGCCGGCGTCGGCGCCGTGACGTCCTTCGACGCCGCCTGTTACATCGACGACGACCAGCCGCCTGCGATAATCAATCGGGCAACAATCGGCATGTTGCACGCAATTTGTTTGGTTGTGCTGCTGCTGGTCGCAGGCACGCACCAATTCCAAAACAAACACCACAACAACGAGGAAGTGCTGAACGTCTTGAGGAGTGTGAGTTCCAGATGCGACAACATCACCAGAATCTACACTTTGAGCGAGACTTCCGTCCTCGGAGTTCCGTTGTACGTCATCGAGTTTTCCACCAAACCCGGACACCATGAGATACGTAAGTCCATATGCTCGTTTCATATAATATATTGCTTTAATATTAGAAGAATAGATGTACCATTTTAATATCAAACATATGTTCTGATTCTGCCAAAAACGCAAACAATGACATCGACAATATGTAATTTGTAGTAAACCATGTGACAAAAATGTTTACATACTACATACCAACCATAGAAAAACTTTTAGTCCCAAACATTACTTGAAGTTTATGTCAGTTTTGAGTGATGATACCGGGTATACCAACAAAACTGCGACTTTTAGAATGTCATCAAACGATAGAGCGTGGTTTTGTTGGTATACCCTGAAACTTTCATAAAATTCAGTTAAAATGTGCAGAAGTTACAGAGCGTTTAAAAAAGTTGGACACGTTGGAAGCAAAAATGTTAAAATTGTATATTTCTTCAAAGCTGTAGTTTTTTAGGGTATACCAACAAAGTTACGACTTTAAAAATGGCACCAAAGAAAGAGCGTACTTTTCTTACTAAACCACCTGAAATTTATTAAATTTTCACAAAAATTGTAAATGTAATGGAGCTTTTAAGAAAGTTTAAAAAAATTAACATCCAAAATATTCTTGAAAATTTTTTCATATTTAAGTGATAATTGCAGGGTATACCAACAAAAATGCGACTTTTAGAATGTCATTAAAGGATAGAGCGTGGTTTTGTTGGTGTGCCCTAAAATTTCCACAAAAATCAAATAAAGTTTGTGGAAGTTACAGAGCGTTTAAAAAAGTTGTACACATTGGAGGGGCAAAATGGTAAAATTGTAAATTTCGTTAAAACTGTATTTTTTTAGGGTATACCGACAATGTTACGACCTATAAAAATATCATCGAAAGAAAGAGCGTACTTTTCTTAGTACACCTTCCGAAATTAATTAAATTTTGACCAAAATTGTAAAGGTTGTGGAGCTTTTTAGAAAGTTTAACAAAATTATCGCCCAAAATATTACCTGAAATGTATGTCATATTTGAGTGATGACTGCAGGGTATACCAACAAAAATGCGACTTTTAGAATGTTATCAAAGGATAGAGCGTGTTTTTGTTGGTATACCCTGAAATTTTCACAAAAATAAAATAAAATTTGTAGAAGTTACAAAGCGTTTAAAAAAGTTGTACACGTTGGGGGCCAAAATGGTAAAATTGTAAATTTCGTCAAAACTGTATTTTTTTAGGGTATACCGACAAAGTTACCTGTAAAAATGTCATCGAAAGAAAGAGCGTACTTTTCTTAGTACACCATCCGAAATTAATTAAATTTTGACCAAAATTGTAAAGGTTGTGGAGCTTTTTAGAAAGTTTAACAAAATTATCGCCCAAAATATTACCTGAAATGTATGTCATATTTGAGTGATGACTGCAGGGTATACCAACAAAAGTGCGACTTTTAGAATGTTATCAAAGGATAGAGCGTGTTTTTGTTGGTATACCCTGAAATTTTCACAAAAATAAAATAAAATTTGTAGAAGTTACAAAGCGTTTAAAAAAGTTGTACACGTTGGGAGCCAAAATGGTAAAATTGTAAATTTCGTCAAAACTGTATTTTTTTAGGGTATACCGACAAAGTTACGACCTGTAAAAATGTCATCGAAAGAAAGAGCGTACTTTTCTTAGTACACCATCCGAAATTAATTAAATTTTGACCAAAATTGTAAAGGTTGTGGAGCTTTTTAGAAAGTTTAACAAAATTATCGCCCAAAATATTACCTGAAATGTATGTCATATTTGAGTGATGACTGCAGGGTATACCAACAAAAGTGCGACTTTTAGAATGTTATCAAAGGATAGAGCGTGTTTTTGTTGGTATACCCTGAAATTTTCACAAAAATAAAATAAAATTCGTAGAAGTTACAAAGCGTTTAAAAAAGTTGTACACGTTGGGTGGCCAAAATGGTAAAATTGTAAATTTCGTCAAAACTGTATTTTTTTAGGGTATACCGACAAAGTTACCTGTAAAAATGTCATCGAAAGAAAGAGCGTACTTTTCTTAGTACACCATCCGAAATTAATTAAATTTTGACCAAAATTGTAAAGGTTGTGGAGCTTTTTAAAAAGTTTAACAAAATTATCGCCCAAAATATTACTTGAAATGTATGTCATATTTGAGTGATGACTGCAGGGTATACCAACAAAAGTGCGACTTTTAGAATGTTATCAAAGGATAGAGCGTGTTTTTGTTGGTATACCCTGAAATTTTCACAAAAATAAAATAAAATTCGTAGAAGTTACAAAGCGTTTAAAAAAGTTGTACACGTTGGGTGGCCAAAATGGTAAAATTGTAAATTTCGTCAAAACTGTATTTTTTTAGGGTATACCGACAAAGTTACAACCTATAAAAATGTCATCGAAAGAAAGAGCGTACTTTTCTTAGTATACCTTCCGAAATTAATTAAATTTTGATTAAAATTGTAAAGGTTATGGAGCTTTTAAGAAAGTTTAACAAAATTAACATCCAAAATATTACTTGAAATTTTTGTCATATTTGAGTGAGGATAGCAGGGTATACCAACAAAAATGCAACTTTAAGAATATCTTCAAAGGATAAAGCGTGGTTTTGTTAGTATACCCTTTTTATTTTCATAAATATCCGATAAAATTTGTAGACGTTACAGGGCGTTAAAAAAAGTTGGACAAGTTGGGGGGAAAATGTTAAAATTGTATATTTCTTCAAAGTAGGGTATACCGACAAAGTTACGAACTGTAAAAATGTCATCGAAAGAAAGAGCGTACTTTTCTTAGTAGGTAAACCTTCCGAAATAATTAAATTATGATTAAAATTGTAAAGGTTATGGAGCTTTAATTTAAAGCCTTTAAGAAAATTTAACAAAATTAACATCCAAATTATAACCTGAAATTTTTGTCATATTTGAGTGATGACTGCAGGGTATACCAACAAAAATGCGACTTTTAGAATGTTATCAAAGGATAGAGCGTGGTTTTGTTGGTATACCCTAAAATTTTCACAAAAATCAAATAAAATTTGTAGAAGTTACAAAGCGTTTAAAAAAGTTGTACACGTTGGGAGGCCAAAATGGGAAAATAGTAAATTTCGTCAAAACTTGTTTTTAGGGTATACCGACAAAGTTAAGACTTTAAAAACATCATTGAAAGAAAGAGCATACACCATCTGTAATGTATTAAATTTTGACTAAAATTGTGAAGGTTGTGGAGCTTTTTAGAAAGTTCAACAAAATTAAAGCCCAAAATATTACCTGAAATTTTTGTCATATTTGAGTGATAACTGCAGGGTATACCAAAAAAAATGCGACTTTTAGAATGTCATCAAAAGATAGAGCGTGGTTTTGTTGGTAAACCCTGAAATTTTCATAAAAATAAGATAAAATTTGTAGAAGTTACAGGGCGTTAAAAAAAGTTGGACAAGTTGGAGGCAAAAATGTTAAAATTGTATTTTTTAGGGTTTTTTAGGGTATACCTACAAAGTTACGACGAGATAATTTTTTGCTCGGCCGTACGGGCCCCATGGGGCCCCCAATATATATAATATAAATTTAATTGGTGCAATTTATTATTTACCACAGATAATCGACAAATTTCAAATTTCATTTAAAAAATCCAAATTATAGGTACCATTTTAAATTTTTAATATTTCTTTATTATTATTATTATTATTATTAGAAAACCTTAATTTTTATTGAATGACATAATAAATAATTTAAAAATTTCAACAATATTCACCTACTTTTGTAATTTATGAATCATCCTTGTAATTTTTAAAATACTTTAGTACCTACTTTAGTTACAAATGATATACTTAGCATGGCAAGGTTAGAAGCTTATAAAAATAATCATCAACATTCATAAAATCGCTAGAATATTTTAATAAAAATAATACCTAAACAATTAATAATAAAATCAATAGTAAATGGTGTATAAATGGCACCCACAATCTATTTTTATTAAAAAATTTATTTACCGTGGATATTGATTTTATATCAGTTATGACGCAAGTATGCGAAAGCAATATTACGAAATATAATAAGCATTAATTGTTTTATTAAAGTCCTCTACTTCAAAATTTAATATCAAGTTACTTAATTTACTAGTGCATTAAATTGAGAAAACGTGAGGTTACAAACAGATGTCAGGTTGGAAAAAAGTGAGGTTAAACCCGTCTGACAGATTAAAAGTTCTGACAGTACAAAGTAATAAAATATTCCTTATGTTAATCCAGGTCCACATAACTTTATGTTAGGTTTGCAACCAACTGTAATCTGTTAACTAATTGAATAAGTAGTTTGTAATTATAAAAAAACATTTTGTAGATTTTTACAAACCATTTTGTGGAGCCAAAAGTAATTCTTGGACCCACTTCACTGTATCCCCTAATTTCAGTTTGAAAACCAGTGATGTCATCTTATTTCAAATACTTCACAATTCGCAAACTCGTTAAATAGGTAAGGTAAACCACATCATTATTGGACTCTTAAGGAATATAATTTATTTAAAATTTATATATGCCGTTGTTTTAAAGATTTTAGTTTTTTTCTTATAAATATATAAAAAGGATAGTTTGTTTGTTTAAACTTTATTTACGTTTACTTAAAAATAAGAATATTTGAATTTTTAATAATAGTTTTATAAAAACATGCAAAAAAGTATAGTAATTGGACATTTTATATAGTAATTGGATACATGGACATAGTTATAACTATGTCCATATATTGGATATACAATTTTTATATAAACATAACAACTTTACATCAAATAACAAATTGTTAAATATTTTTTAAAGATAAACTGCTGTTTTAGGTAATTTTATTTATTTCGTTTTTGTAAATATCATATAATTCATATATTTCTTTCTCGGATTCCTCATCCCTTTTCTGGATTCTGAAGGTAACTACTAATTCCTTGGTATGACTTCTGAAATAGTTTGTTGCAAATATCATTAAGTGTGGTATCTCTAGTTTGTGAAGCATTTATAATGTTTAGGCCGGAACAGGATGATTTATATATATCTAATATTTTTTCGGGTGGTATGATAAAAGTATTTTCCGAATTTATTAATTTTGTTGCCATTACTTTTTTATGTTCTCTATCATGCACTGTATTTAAATCACTGTTATTCTGCAAGATGTCCTGTGACGAAGAAATCACTAAATTACTTACTCTCTAAAAATGAATTAGTCAAAAATGTCATAGCGAAAAAGCAGCCACTAATAATTCTCGTCAACAGCAATTTGTATCCAGGACATTTAGACAGTCAATTCCTATGAAATATTATTCGCTGAATCCGAAAATGTCGTCAAAAGTTATAAAAGTATAACAGTTTTTGAAATATAATCAATTTTACATATAATATGGAATTGACTATATCTCAAAAACTGCTTAACTTTTATAGTTTTTGAGGGTGTTTTCGGATTCAAGGGAGAATTTTACAAAAGAATTGTTTTGGATACAAATAGAGTATGATATGGGACATATGTCCAATAATAGAAATTTACATTTTTTACCAACCAGTAATTGGACACTGGGCATTTTACTGTTTGTTTTCAGAACTAAAATTAAAACGCATTAAAGTGACAATGTTTAAACCATGAGGAACACATTTATACCACACACTGATCTGTACACTTTTTGGAAATATTTTTTATTGTAATTTAAACACAGCCCTGCTCTTAACAAAAAAACAAAAATCTTACCACCAAAGTAACGTGCGAACTTTTTTGTCCTATATTGGACCCAAAATAAAGTAGTTCTATATTATTACCGACTGAGATATTTATAATTGTATACAGCGTCATCTAATGATTTGACTTTAAGGTAACTATTTTCCTACAAAAAAATATGTTAAAATTTTCGAAAATAATGTTAACAAATCTGATTTTTGTAACAGTGTAATAAATATATTTTAGTAAAACCCGAGTTCAAATATATCGGCAACATGCACGGCAACGAAGTGCTGGGCAGGGAATTGCTATTACAGCTCGCCGATTATCTCTGCGAGCAGTACAGGGCTGGGAATCAGGAAATTCAGGAGCTGATCGACATCACTCGCATCCACATCATGCCCTCCATGAACCCAGACGGCTGGCAGCTTGCCACCGACACGGTAAGTACATATTTTCTACAGGGTGTTATGTAATTAATGTTATATATTAAAATACTGAATACCTTTTGACATAAGGAATAAAGGAAAAATATTTAAAAAAACATTTTTCCAAAGATAAAGAAAAAATATACTTTATAAGTTTTTTATATTTTTTGTGATACGCCACTGGTTACACACTTGTTTATCTCTGCACACCTGTATTTTGTGAGTACATAGATACCAACCAACAAAGTAGCTATGCGTTGCCAGATGTAAAAAATTGTTACTAAAAATTTTTCTTGCAAAAAATAAATAAAAACTCAATAAATACAAAAGTTTTATGCCCTTAAAGCTCTAATACCCTTCTGTATTTATTTACTGATCCAGCTATTAGCTTAAGCAATGATTAGAAAATTTAGTACCTTTGAAATTTGAAATCCATAACCACAAAATTAATTTTTTCATCAGTTTTTTCTCTGTTTACTCAGATGAAATTGGGACCAGTTCACAGGTTAAACTTTAAACATTTAATTTGTGTAAATAAATCCAAAAGCACTTCCCTTAGTTAAGATATTCACAATTTGAAAACATAACCTAAAATTTAAAAGAAATGCACTAGATTATGTCATAAAAGTTGGCAGATTTTGTTTGAATTTACCTTCAGTACAAAAATGAAATAACCAACAATTAATAAAAACGCCAAATTGACAATTTGCATTGTTAATTTTGTCATTTTTGTAATTAAGCTAAATTTAAACAATGTTTGTCAACTTTTTTGAGAGATTTTGGAAACACTGTGGTTACCAACCATAACATAATAAATCCACCAGATTAACCTAAAGTTCCTAGTCGATCAGTGGCGTACTTTTTGGTAGAATAAAGGTTATTATAAATTATTTTTATACTTTGGAATTTAGAAAAAAAAAGTTTCAGGTGCTTCTTTATGGACCCTAAGGAACAACCCATTTTAATATATAACATTAATTACATAACACCCTGTATATGCTGCACACGGTGGTCAAAACTAAAGTATAGGACGAACAAAAATGCCAACCAAAACTGATAGCATAATCTGATTATAGACTCTTTTGGTAACACAAAAATTTATTTATCAAAATCCCAGCTGATCCTTTATTACAGTTTTGCATATTTCTTAGTATTTTAAAATTGTTTATGCCATTTCGATAAAATACTCTAGTACCATTATCAAATGTTTTTAAAAATTTGGCAGATACATGACTGAAATATGGATAAATTACATTATAAATACAAAATAATGTAAAATACAGTTTGCAATATCTTATTTATTGTTTTAAGGTATCTAATACAAAACTAATAAAAAACTAAAGATTCTTTGAAGCAAAATCGATTACTGCTTGCCTTAAATTTTCAGTAAAACTTTTTCTTGGGTTTTACATGGAATTTATTTTAACATGGAAACAGTATTTTTAAATTCTTCAGTCTCTGTACAAACATGCTTCTTACATCTAGCGATATCCCCTAGAAAGGAAGAGCATATCAAAACTTTAGTTCGTTCGTCCGTCCTCTTCCCTTAATAATTTTTTATGCCCTTTATATCTTGCCATTTTGCAGGTAAAGCACATACATTCTTGGCTGCCGCGAAATTCTCTAGCAATTTCTAAATTTTGAAAATTTGGCAATTGTGGCTATGGAAAAATACCGTTTTTACCGTATTGAAGTAGGTAATTTTGAATCACTTAAGTTAAAGTGTTCGTTTGAAAAAGTCTGCAGTAATTTTTATGTTTTCTCAGAAACCCTAAACTCTGAGTTTTTCGATTACCAAAAACAATTTTGTCTTCACAGCCAGCACATACCTTCTTTCGATTTTCTTCATGGCTTAACTTGCATTTCGGTTTAATTTTCATTTTAAAATACTATTTTTAACTTTATAAAGTATACATTAAATAAACAACTAAAGCAAAATGTCACTTGCGTTATAAATTATAACGTATAGAAATTTTTTTCATAAGCACCTTAATTATTGTTTTACAAAATTTGCAAGTTGTAATTATTTCATAGACAAACTTCCAGTATTTTTTGTTATAAAAAATATTTAAGATATCAATCTTCGTTTTTTTTGTTATGTTCTGTTTTGAGTGGTAAAAAATAATAGGTGAAAAATTAATATTGGGGAGTAAAGTAATTTAAATGATACAAAGTTTATTATTTTGCTTAATTTTATTAAAATTGTACAGTTTTAGTACAATAATTGCAAAATAATATATAGAAATAGAAAAACAAACAAGTTTGCAAAACTTTAAAATAGGATCAGCTGGGATTTTGATAAATACATGTTAGTGTTACCAAAAGTGTCTATAATCAAAATATGCTATCAGTTTTGGTTGGCATTTTTGTTCGTCCTATACTTAAGTTTTGACCACCGTGTGCACGGAAAGAGTTTTTCCGCGCCCTTCCCAAGCAGCATTTTTGGTTCCAAAAACCATTACCAAAGTGGGGATAACTTTAAATTAGTTACTAAAGTATACTAAACAGCTACTTTAATTTTTACTTAAAAGTAATTCTTACTTTTAAATAGCAATATTTTGTAACAGAAACTTCATTCTTTCCTTAAATGGTTACTATAAAGTAATAAACATTTAAGTAAAACTTGGTTGCCCCCAAGAAGACTTTGCAACTTTAAAAAAGGTGTTATAAGTAAAAAATACTTTAAGTTAATTTAATTTGTAGCAGTTACTTTCGGTTGCTACCTATAGATTACATTATAATTATTTTTACTTTGTAGTCCCTTTGCAAGTTAAAATCTCGAAACTGGAACATGAGTTAAAAACTACAAAGTTAATAACTTAAAAGTTATTATTTTAGTATTTGGAACGTTTATGGTACTAACCAAAACTACCGTAAAGTAAATTAAGGTGGAAAAAAACTTTAAAGTAGCGAAAACTACTTCAAAGGAAAATGCTTCTTATCGGCCATTTTTACTGTACAGTAGGTACCACGTGGTAATGTAAATAATAAATTATTTTAAATAGTTGTTAAACAACTGTTGTTTACTTTTTAATACATAAATAGTAATTTTGTTGGTAATAGCCGGTATTAATAATTAAATAAAAAATAATAATAAATATTAAGATTTTTGTTTATTTATAAACATTATTAAATAAATAATTTGTTTATACTTAAATATTGATAAAGCGCATTTATTTTACAAAAACTAAATTCATAAGTTCAACAGTAAAATTTAAAGGGTTTATAAATTTACCTGCCTAATTAAACATTACCTATATTGTTATTCTGGAAGTTATAAGCTACCAGTACATATTTAATAAACGACGACATTGAAAAGCCAAGTCCGTAGTGGTTCCATTTAAAAAAGGAGGGATAGTATAATCTAATATAAGTTTCACAAAGACAGTTAATATAGAAGTAAAAACAAATAAATAAAAGTAATTATAACGCTCTAGCAACGATATTAAAACGTTCTAGTAACGTAGCAGGGTTTATAGCTAGTGACATATTTGTTACCTTTTTGGAACTCAATAATTGTTCCCCACTTTAGTCGTAACTTAGTAATGGAAGAGTATACTCTTTATATTATAATATAAAGAGACCGGGGAATGTCGCAAAACACTTTAAAGTTTCTTCAATAGTCCCATATACGTACATACGTAACAAATACTTAAATTGTTGCTTGGGTTCACAGCAAAACGGAAAAATATAGAAGTGTATTGGATGACGCCACGTTTGAATACAGTTTTCTAAAACCTCGCCACGGTATAGAGTTGTATTCGTCAGTCGAGCGTTTCAATACTCTCCACAGTATAGGGATCGTAATTTGACTTTTGAACTAGTATTAATATGAAAATTATTTTAAGCTTAAAAAAACTCTATACGACATGATTGTAATTTTTTTAGGGATCGTAATTTGACTTTTGAACTAGTATTAATATGAAAATTATTTTAAGCTTAAAAAAACTCTATACGACATGATTGTAATTTTTTTCATTTTATTAATTAATTAAGCCGTGTTGAATATTTTTCATATAGGAATAATTGCCAATGGGGCATTAATTCATTTGTTCGTATACATAGATTCGTATCTATAGATGCTACAATAACCTACACTGGTGTGTACTTTTTGATCAACCAGATTTAAATATTGCTGTACTAACATAAAACTACCAGTGGAGATGTGCAGGGTCTACCAACAGACCTCATTACTAAATTATTAAAGTTTAATAGCATATCAATCGTTTTTTCAACATAACCTCTGAAATTTTTAATACAAATATAGGTAGGTACTTTAAATAATACATAAATATACTTTATTTCATACTGTACTTTAATGTGCCATTTCCCGGACTCATTTGAGTCCGGAAAATGATACATTACATCACTAGGCCGGTAAAGTAACTTTACCGGACTGGTATATTTTAACAACACATTATAAGTTTTGCGCCATTCACAGAATATCTCGTATTCCTTTTGATATCGTCCGGAAGACTTGACCGGGATAAGTTTCGCCGTCGCTTCAGAGCTTTTTTTCAAAATCTCTGCATCCATTTTATTTGAAATTATTCAAAACGATGCTGAATTGACAAACAAGACAATCAATAAAAAAACTCTTTGTTACTGTTAGCAACCGATTCAAAGCATACTACATTATCACCCTATGTTACTGGTGCTACATTTTATAGTTTGTTTAGACAATACTGATACCATCATGTACTGACACATTACTGACGCCTTCACCTGAATATACAGTTCAATTACCAAAAATTTGATAAAAATATTGAACAGTATGAAATAAAACATTGTACGATACACGGCCGTGAAATGTCATTAAAGTACTTGTCTAGAAATTCCAGACTCGGCTCCTTCGTCGCCTCGTCCGAAAACATCTAGACTCGTACTTTAATAAGCCATTTCCCGGCCTTGTAACGTAAATTACTATTACATCATATCCTCTGTACCTGAGTTGTTACTGTAAACAAAAATCAGACAAAGGAACGAAAGAAAGGAACTGTTTTTAACAAAATCATATGCAGAAAGGAGAATATTCAAAATACTTGCATATATCAAAAGATCAAAACTTCTTGCAATATTGAATTACAACCTCTTTTTATGCTCTCAGAAATATTGACTAGAACATTATTAGAAAGACTCCAGTTTCTATAACTTGATGGAGTAAAGAGAAGTCGAAACCGTTGCGATATTGCATTGCGCTGTTTTTTTATAATTTTCGGGGACATTAACGAAAATCATGGCCAGTAAAATTCGAAAAGTTTGAGTTTCTATGTCTCTGAAGAGAATAATAATCCGAAGTTGCTGCACCATTGGACTGCCCCCTTTTTCAATAATTTCTAGAGACATAAATAACTGCACCATTCGACAGGGTCGAGTTTCTCCCTCTCTGTTGAATATAGACAATCAAAATAATGTATCTTGTAAGACACCATTGAGTTTGACTTTTAACTATAGTCGTGCATAGGTATACAGGCGAAAAATATAAAACCAAAGCACGATTCAATATAGTTCTAATAAAACTTTAAGATTTAGTATTCAAACGGGGAGTCATCCTATACACTTCTATACTTTTCCGTTTGCGATCGATCGTATTGAAGTACCTATTGTTTTTATTTAGGGTGGACAAGATTATCTGATTGGGCGAAGAAACAACAATTCTGTGGATTTGAACAGGAACTTCCCAAACTTGGATAGAATCATGTACAGCAATGAGGAAAATGATATAAATGAAAACAACCATCTTTTAGAGAGAATCAATCGACTTAAGGAACCTGTAAGCAATTTTTTGTAGCACTTTTTCCACAGCGATTGAGGTCTCCAAAACATGCATTTGGACCACCTGTCGTTGAAAAAGAGATTATAATTTAAGAAAGTCTTTATCAAACTTTTTTTATTTTATAGTTGGAGCCGGAAACCAAAGCTGTGATACGTTTAATCATGCAAATACCATTCGTGTTGTCAGCTAATTTACATGGTGGAGATCTGGTTGCTAATTATCCATATGATGAAAGCAGAACTGGAATGCAAAGCGAAGAATATGCTTCTACCCCCGACGATGCTACTTTCAGGTAAATCATATATAATATAAAATCTTTACATTTTACACAGGTCTCCAAAATGTTCAATCACGTCATCACGAAATAATTTTACGCCATAAAACTTTTAGAGGAAGCGGTTCTTCATTTTGTTTTTATAGAATATAAAACTTTCCATCAATAAAAATTTAAATTTTGGTCTTTAAGTGGACTCCTTATTTAACTGAAGTTTTACCTTGATTTGATGAGTTTTTCATTTTTTTCCTGCTTAGCTTCTAATCTAGAAACCATGGGTAAAAGTTTCGAAAAATGTATTAAAGAATGAAGAAAAAAGGGCTATCTCTACCCAAAGAACATTAAATATTCCTAGAATATTCCCCGCATAAACTTTTTTAAACAAATGCTTTAAAGATTCTCAGAATATATACATAAATTTTGGAATATTCTAAGAAAAGTCCAATGGGAATTCGTCAGATATTCCAAGAATATTCCTTTGTAAATGTTCCAAGAATATTCGGAATATTTAACTATCGTTACCAGAATTTACCAGGAATATTCAAGCGATAATGAATTATCATATACCTGGAACATTTTCTTGAGAATGTGCATGGCATGTTTTAAGCAGTTTTGAATATTTTTAGAATTATTCTTGGATATGATCCATCATTTCATAGCAATACACTGCGCGTCAAAATTAGCGCATAATAAGTAAAAAAATTCTAACTCTAAACGCCTTTACCAATCTTTATGAAATTTTGTATAAGAATTCTTCAACTTATATCTCAGTTTACTTGTTCGAGGGTTTTTCGAGAAAATATTTTTAAAGCCCTTTTATTTAATATGATTATTTTGCTGAAAAGTGGTCATTTTTGACTTTTGGTTGGATTTTTATAAATGTTTAGAGTTTTGTTTACTTATATTTAAGACAGGCAGTGCTTTTTTTTAATTTTTTTTACGTTTTTTTTCAGAAAAATGTGTTTAGCTAGCTTTATATATCTCCATTACCAATTTGAAATCCAAAATTTAATTCAATAAAAAAAGTTGTTATAAATTAATTTGAAATAAAATGTACTTAGTTCACAAACTTTTGACTCCAATTTTTTATTTTATTTTTTATTAAAAATTGTATGCTTTTTTAAATATTTATGTTCGTTAAGTTACTTTTTAAAAGAAACCATTCCGATTCTTTGTTAAAAAAACAATACCATTAATATTTTTTTTAGTCACTGTATTAGTGAATTAAACTCTAATTTATAAACACTTATTACCAAGTGATAGTGTATAAAAATCATTTTAAGTATTTTTTTAACAAAAACTAAAAAAAGTAACGAAATAGACATTGGTATCACAACGGACAGGGGTACACAAAGGACTTAATCAGATAACGTAAAAAAGAAACTATATAGGGTGGTACGATTTTAGAGTAATGCATAAACAAAATCCCTTGTAGTGGTGATCACTTGCAGAATGACAACTTAGATTTCTAAATTGTAGACACCCTTTTTCTTTGACTATAAGCTGGTGAAGGTTTTAGTACTTTTATATTGCGTGGAATTCATGAGTTGTAATTACAAATAATTCTAAATTGGTTAATCATAAACTACTTTTAATAAAAGCGACGGTAAATATTCACTTTGTTGTCGAAAAATTCTATTGCGTTACCCTAAATTCCATTGTGTTACCATAAGGTAACATAGTGGACTCGGTAACGCTGTAAACAAAGTTTTGTAAAACCATATTTTAAAAATAATAATAAGACATTACAGTCATTAATTACTCTCAATGAGCTTTAGTGCCCTAAAATAAACATAAACATGAAAAATAGTATTTTTTCTTACCTTATTTTTATTATTTTTTTGAGTAACTTAGCGGAAAACAATTATTACATTCGCGTTACCCGCACCTGTTTCAACTGATATTTTCTTCCTGATTGAATAAATAAATTCAGCTGGGTAATGTGTAAATCCGAACATCATTTGTTGATCACGTGAGTACCAAAAAAGTTGCCATATATATGTTTTTTTTAATATTCTATCGGTAACGCGACGGACGTAACGCAACGGAAAAAATGTCTGGGACATGAGTCAATTTTAAAAAAAGTAGATTAAAATTAATTATTTTATATATTAATTGTTTACTGTATTAACTAAGGATGTTATGGATTGCTATAAAGCAACACAAAGTTCTGGTTATTCAATATTTAAAAAAAAAACTTGTATGTAAGTTTTATAAAACGCTAATGGGACATGCGAAAATGTGTGTTTCACAAGTTTCAAAATTAAAAAAAAATTATTCTGAAATAACATCATTGTCATAACTCAAAATCCTACATTAGTGTTGTTTCTAATTACACCAAAATAAGATTATATTTTACTTTAAAGTGGCTGCAGGTATATCCCATAATCATGATTATGGGATATACCTAATTTCAATTTTGACTTGTCAAAATTCACTATTTTATCAAAAAATATTTTAAAAAAAGCGGTATTAGGCATTTATAAGATGTCTTTAGAACATTAAATGAAGATATCTTTAAGACGTCTATCAAAAGACGTCTTTCAGACGTCTTTTTTTAAATCTTCAGACGTTCAGGCATAATACAGTCATACAAAAGACATCTTTGTGTGCTATCTGGGGAGCTTGAATTTCTCGAAAACTGTTATTCTATTGAAGGCACTTGGCTTTGTCCTACTCCACCAAACACTCGGACATGGCGAACCCCTCGCGCAAGGGCTGCGGGGGCGACGCAGACAGCAGCAGGTTTGCGAAAGAGGGCGGCATCACCAACGGGGCGCAGTGGTACAGCTTGGAGGGGGGCATGCAGGACTTCAACTACTTGTCCAGCAACGATTTCGAGATCACTTTGGAGCTGGGCTGCGACAAATACCCGAGCGCCGACGTTTTGGCGCAGGAGTGGGAGCGAAACAAGGACGCGCTCGTTAACTTTATCTGGCAGACGCATATAGGTGTGAAGGGAATAGTCTACGACAGCCTCACGAAGAGGCCGATTCCCAACGTGGTCATCCACGTCAAAAATATCACGAACAACCAAAATACGGATATTTTGCACGATATATTGTCAGGTAAGAGTTATTCCAAATGAAATACTCGTAATTAAAACCTTTGTGGGAATGTTCTTTAGGGTCCCAAAAGTTTTATTTTTATGCTTTGTCTCAGAAAAAGTTTTAATGAGTAAAAATAAGAGTTTTAAAAGTCTTACTTTCTCTTAAAAACTCTAAATAAGACTTGCGTGCCCGGTCCGCAAAATAAATAATTTGGAAAATTTTATTTATATAATTGATTTTTTGTTTTGAATATATCTAATGAATGAATGAAAAATGACAAAAATGTTTACAGCTAAGAACGTCCCTTGTGGAAATTTTTTCTGAAAAAGTTTTAATAAGTAAAAGTAAGAGTTTTGAAAGTTTTACTTTTTCTTAAAAACTCTTAATAAGACTTATCAAGTCAGAAAAACTCTGAATTCTTTGTAAGTCGGAATAATAGCAAGATTTGGGAGTCTTCTGGAAGAGTTAATAGACTTTTAGTAGAGAAATAGTAGTAGGTACTTATAGCGATAAAAATAAATATCCGGAATAATTCAGAGAGGTTGTTATTGTAAAATAAAACACAAAGAATAGTTATTTATGTATCAAGGCAGTAAAGTCGTATTAAAGCTGAGGCAAATAACCTCGTGAGTGATAAAAAATGACTTTAATGCCGAGGTGCATATTAAATTTTATCCGAAATCACATTTAATAATACTAATAATTAATATTGATGATTATTTCCCTCATTATAATATGAACCAATCAAAAGCCTTGAATTTTCGAATAAATTTCGTTTAAATAAGCGATTAAATCACTAGAACTATTTAACAGCGATTAAATTTTAGCCTCCATATTGGATTTTTGTTTACGATTTTATGGTGTTATTTACAAGTTTTAACAAACATTTTTTAAAAAACAATAAGTTATCTAGTTTACGAAATATCAATTATTACTTATTACATATCTTAAATTAATGGAATTTTCTTTAAAAAAATATTTATAAATTTTAACACATACGTCAGATTTTATGAATTGTCAAATAGTTTCCTTTAATTCGAGAAATAATCTAGACGTATATCACTCAACCTATAAATTTAATCTGTCAAACTATGCTCAGTAAGTTTTTTATTAGATTTTTCTTTTTGGAAAATAGTTTCATGCAAAATAATTAAAAATAAATCCCCTCGACCGCTACGCGGTCTCGTGATTTTATTAAATTATTTTCCATTCAACATTTTCCAACAAAAACCGAACAAAAAACTACTGAGCCTAGTTTAACCGATTAAATTCATAGTTCTCGTGATATAATATATGATTAAATCTAACGTCAATTGATGATCAAATTAAATGTCATTTGAATGTAGGAAGTGTCTACGTATACTGTTAGTTGCGACGGTTATTATATATTTGATTTTTTAATCTAATTAATAAAATTAACTTACTATTTTTATTAAACAACATTTTATAAAAGGGTCCAATCGACCTCCGCCACGGTGCTTTTTTTTAATATTATTTAGTTGCTGCTGAGGAGTTCTACTTTACTGCCGATTTCGGATAAAAATATTTTTTTTCAAGCGGCCATGATATACAACCTTATAAGCATGTATAGAGATAGTTGAAGTGCGTCTCAAAAACTCAAAAAAGCCTAGGGATAGAAGTAAATCCATAGGTGACTCAATAGACGTCAAATAATAAAATTAATTTAGCATTTCATACAAAGCAATCCTGATGTATTAATTATAATCGCACGGAATATTTAGTGATTATTTATTAAATTTTAATTGAACGAAATAAAGAACAACTAGTTTATTAGTATAATATTATGATGATAGACGAGTGGCCAATGTCGGAACTCCAAACAAATGTCAGTACGTCAAAAATTTGGACTCAAAATTAATTCAAGCGCAGCATTTTGACAGAGCAGTGTTTATTTTTAGTTTAGGATATTTATCGGCATTGTAAGTAAGGGTTATAAGTTTTTTTAGTTTTTATCAATAATTTGTAATACCTTTAGCCAAAATTTTATACCACATGAGTTCTAAGTAAATAAAATAATTCTATTGCTTATCCTATTTATATTACGCCCTTGAAAAAAAAATTGTATATGATATTTGGAGTAGAAGCTCTTTTTGTGCTTCGTACAGTTGCCTGCCTCAGCTACGCTTCGGCCGCCAATCTCTGTACTCACCACAAAAAGAGTCACATTTTAATTTTTTTTAAACACCCTAATAAATATATTGTAAACATTGCTTTCGTGTTTTTATAAGCCTTATAACAACACAAAAACAGTTTTTATAAATACTTTTCTTAGTGTTTTCTTTTGCCGTAACCGTAAATACAACATCTCTGAATAATTCCGGATATTTATTTTAATCGCTATAGGTATATCTATAGGTATACCATTTCTTTGCAAAAAGTCTTATTAACTTTTCCAGAAGACTCCCAAAATCTTGCTATTAGTCTAACTTACTAAGACTTATTCTTTTTTCGACTTAATAAGTCTTATACATAGTTTTAAAGAGTAAGTAAGACTTTGAAAACTTACTTTTACTTATTAAAATTTTTTCAGAAAAAAATTTCCACAAGGGACGTTCTTAGCTGTAAACAAAAATCAATTATATAAATAACATTTTTCAAATTAATTATTTTGCGGACCGGGCACGCTAAAGAAACTCTTCAAAACCGGACCTAGTCAGCCATTTCTGAATATTTTTGAGGAGTATTTGCAACGTGATAATGTATTATATTTCAATTTCATACTTTCTTAGTTCAAGATGGCGACTATTTCCGTCTCCTGACTCCTGGAGAGTACAAAATATCAGCCTACAAGAAAGGATATCTTCCACATTCGAAACTTGTTCTTGTCACGAATCCCGAACATAGACAAGCTCAACGTGTGGACTTTGCCCTTAAACCTCTAAAGGTTAGTAGTTACCCATTTACCATGAAGTAAAGAACGTTTTTTTTATATCTTTAATTATTTACCTACACATTAAATTCATTGTTGAAATCAGATCAGGTCCGAAGGTTTTTGATGCGTAATCCTCAGGTTTTTAAGAAATTTTTACCCTAAAGTGTTTTCCACGCCAACTAGATCCTTTTTGAATTTACAAAACAAGAGTTTTGTCCAAAACCTTCGGAAAAATATAGTCTGGTCTTTTTAAATTATTACTTATTATTTTTTTAATTATAGCGTTATCCGTATCATTTCTCCAACTTTTTTTATAAACCATCAAGACCTTTCCATGGTTTTGGTAAAAGTAAGTGGTTGTTCAATCTTTAATTTTAAATGTTTTGGTTTGGTTGTACTTAACAATAACACCGTGTTGCCGATTGTTTTTGTTGCACCTTATGTTTAAATATCACAATTAACCCCCATGTACCCAGATAGCCATATCAGGTCAAAACTTGGCCAGGAATTGAACCCAAAGAGTGTTTTCCCTAAAGACACCTGGTTAACCTAAATATTGCTTTATTTATACAGGATGTCACCAAATAACAAACGTGAGATCTCACGTACTGTTAACTAAAATTTTTATAAGAATTTAATAAATTTTGTCAAAATGCATGTGGACTAGCGTTAAGACAGTAATAATATATATTTTGCCGTAAGTATGTAAATTATTAATAAGGGACAGTAAATTGAACATTTTCGTGAGAATGGACCTCTAATGCAAAAATGATGAGGAAAAACTTTTTTGTTTTCTGTTTTTTTTTGTATAGGTGACACCCAGTATACTCGCTATAGCGATATTAGGGTGGCCCAAAAAAAAAAGAATATTTTTTTTCTTCTCTGTTGGTTTGTCATGTTTTAAGAGCCCTGTTAAAATATCAGCACCATTAAAAAATTTTTAGGGGTCGCTCAAGATTTTTTAAAATTACCAAAATCGTCAAAAATTGGATTTTTTTTTATTTAATTTTTTTTCTCGTTTCGATATTATTTTTTAATTTAAAAATAATAATGATTCTGAAAATTTCAAATCGATATTTTAATTTCTAAAGGTTATTTTGAATGTTTTCGAGCGAACTCTGAATATAAATATCAACGAACTTTTAGCGACCTTTAGAAATCAAAATATTGATTTAAAATGTACAGAATTTTTATTATTTTCAACCTAAAAAATAATATCGAGACGAGAAAAAGAATTAAAATAAAACAAAAATTCAATTTTTGACGATTTTGAAAATTTTTAAAAATCTTGAGCGACCCCTACAAAATTTTTAATCGAGCTGATATTTTGAAAGGGCTCTTACAGCATGATAAACTAACATATTTTTACAAGAGACGAGAAGAAAAAAAATATTCTTTTTTTTTGGGCCACCCTATATATATTGCGCATAAGCAAATTTTAACTGATCAACTTTTTGACAAGTTTCTACCTTTGAATTATAAAAATTGATCTAGGTGTCAATAAAAATTATATTTAGTGAGAAAAAAACTATTTCACATTACATTATTATACATTGTAACGTTTGAGGGATACCTTGTATAATATACAAGGTGTCCCTCAAACGTTTTTGCACAAAGATGTTTAATAAAATCGAAAACGAACTTTCAACTTTTTAGTTGTTATCGACTTTTGTATAAGTAGAGATAAATTTAGTTATACCTATATATATATATATATATATCGCATTATTTTTGTCTCAGAAATATGTGGTATCATTTTCTACAGGCATTTGAGGGACACCTTGTATAATAAGCTGCAGTGTCGGCTCTGGATTAATTAGCACCCTGTTTTTTTCACTTACCTAATTAATAAAATTTCTTAGATGGAATCAAGCGGCCCTTTTGGAGACATTTCTGAAAACAATTACATGGATTCCATGCCACAGGAGGGATTTAAAGGAATGCGGGGACCGTGGGGTAATTGGATACAAGTTGACGAAGAACCCATTGCAATCCAATAAAAACTTAAATTTTCATTAAAATTAGTTACTTATACCAAACGTTTACTTTAAAACAAAGCATCGCTCTACGATATTTTAACATATTTTGTATGGGGTTAAAATACAAAAAAGACACGTATTTTCTCCCAAAAGACTTAAAATAGTTATTTAATATCTGCCCTGATAATTTATTAGAGCGTTGTTTTATTTATAAAGAAACACCCTGTACATTTCCGTTGACTTATGGCACATTAAAAAGTTTTAAATCTGTTGAATTAAAATATTGTAAATTTAGCATTTCACTAAATAAATTCTTTATTTTGATTATTGTTTTTAATTTAAAAATAACCTTTATAAAATAAAAAAACTGATATTACACTGTATATTTTGTGGACGTTTGTGCGACACTCACACTGCGTTTTTTCATGATAGTGAAGTGTTTGTTCATATACAGTGTGAGTCATTTAACTTGAAACTTTGAAATATCTATTAGTATGCATTTTACGAAAAAATGTTTAAAATAAAAATTAAATGATTCGAGGGGGGAAATCAATCAGTACTAAAATTGGTCCTCATACAAGGGGTAAGTTTAAAATTTCCAATGGAACACCCTATTTTTTATTGCAGATTCGGTTCATTCGACTAAAAATAGCTAGATTTTGTCTAAAACATTTTTTTCATATTTGTAATAGATGGCGCTGTAATAAAAAAATCAATTTTATTCGATTTTTCTTCTTATACGATTCTGCAATAATTTTTCTATAAAATTTCACTTTTTGGTAATAATTATCTTATTAAATTAAATCTGATTTTTTTAAGTACCCACGATTTTTTAACTAATATTTAAGTTTCCTTTGGTTTAAGTTTTGTACATTATTTCATTCGGTGATAATTATCAATTGCGCACCATGGATTATTGTACTATTTTTAATAAAAATAAAAAAAAACATTATTTTGTCAATTAATTATAATTTAATTTAATCCTAATTAATAAATTGAGGTATAAAAAATGGTATTTAGTTAAAATAATAATCATTATTGAGGTATAAAGAAACTATTTATACATGGTAGCATTATTTAATCAATTTATAAATAATAACTATAGTTCGAAGATTAATTTGCAAACAAAAAGACCTCTTTTCGTTAAGCAGTTATTCATAATAGATTTTTTAACAGTGGAAGAAAAAATATAAATGATTTTGATTTATGGAGAAGCAGGCAGGAATCTTGATGATGCTGTTAATATCTACGCTCAGCGTTTTCCGGAAAAAATTCGATCACGCACTTCATTTCACTGTACAGTCAAGCAGTTTACTACAAATGGGAGTGTTCAACGGAAAAAAAGAGTTCGTTGAGCAACAGTCACAGGTGGAAATAATGAAATTAATGTATTAGCAGCAACGGCCGCTAATCCTCATGCAAGCACACGAGAATTATCTTGAGATTTGGAAATATCCCAGAGCAGTGTTGGCAGAATATTAAAACGAAATAAATAAATAAATTTAAAAATTATTGGAGAATCTTATACAAAAGAAAAATCGAACAAAATTGATTTTTTTTCATAACAGCGCTATCTATTACAAATATGAAAAAATGTTTTAGACAAAATCTACCTATTTTTAGTCGAATGATCCGTATCTACAATAAATAATAGGGTGTTTATTATTATTATTAATTATTTAATTTTTATTTTAATAATTTTTTCGTAAAATGCATACTAACTGAGATATTTCAAATGACTCACCCTGTATATCAAGATGCGTTAATATACAAAAATAGTATAAAAAAAGAACCTATTGTAAATGACCAATAGAATCCAATAAAAAATAAGTAATTAGTTTGAATTGGTTTGAAATGTGTTTTGGCGCTATGAATCACCAATTCATTCCAGTTGAATTCCTATTGGTAATTTCCAATGAAGTCAGCAGTTTGGATTGGGAAATACCAATTCATGCTTGTCTCTATTAGCTAAATCCAATAGAAATGCACATGGAATGCATTGGTAATTCATAGCGCCAAACCCATTCCAACCAATTAAAACCAATTAATTTTTTAAAATTTGGATTAGAAAATACCTACCAGTTTATTTTTCATTCAAAAATAATTTTAGATCCCAGAAGGATAACCAGGTAAAAACCAGAATTCATTTTTTCTGAAGAGACAAAAAATTTATTGTTACCTACTGAGTAATTTTATTTCTTTACTATTTTTTTGTGATATATGTATGTATTGATACATCCCACTGAGCAAAAAAACGTAAAATTTATGTAAAATTAACGTCAAAGGTTGTAGTGTGACGTACAAGAATCTTGTAAAATAAACGTCACATAAACGTCGCTGTAATGTGCCTATGTCCGGATCCTGGGCCGTGAATTAGCCCTAACTGTTACGTGGATAAGGAGACGTAAAAATTACGTTTTCAAAAGGACGTAAAAATGTCATTTTAATATGGACGTATAGGTTTTGTTTCAACTTGTACGCATTAGTTACGTTTTTTTAAATAAAACTACCACTTTGGAAATATATTTTTTTTATTAAAATAAATTATAAAAATAATAAATAAAATAATAAAAATAAAACATTATATGAGTACCTACCGCCTAATTAATTTTCGGCCTCATTCTCATGTCCAAATTTGGCCAAAAAACGTTATGAGCGTTGCTTGGCGGTTTGGAACAACTCCTTGCTCTCTTTATCGAAATCACTTTCAGTCAGACGAAATAATTTCATACTGGCTTCTAAAACAAACTTAAGTTATCTTTCAGTCAGACGAAATAATTTCATACTGGCTTCTAAAACAAACTTAAGTTATCTAAGTACTAATTAGGTAAATAAAATTTTATATAAGTTAACTTGTATAACTTGCCTGTCGCTCGGCGCAAAATTTGTCTCCCATGTTCACTGGTGTACCTATTAACTGAAAAATCAAATTGATTAAAACACTTTTCTATAAGTCTAACAGCATTGATTAATATTAATTCTCACTCAATGCTAACATTTAAATCAACAAAATTCGAAATTTTGGGACAATTAATTAATTATATTATAACCGTATGGTTGCAAACAAATGATAAAGCCAACTTACCTAAACAGTTCAGTCTCGCCTATGGAAAACAATGAGTTTTCTATCACACAGCAACAAATGGCAACACACTGTGTTAAACACAGAACAATGGCAGTCGCAACGAAAACAGAGTATGCCCTGTTACAGGGCCCCTTTTATACCGATATATCGACTGAAAACGAAATTACTCGAGTCCTTTTTTACGTAAATTTTACATAAAATATACGTTTCTTAATCTCACGATGGGATAATAATAGAATAATTATTATTCGGTAATATTAATTAATAAATCACTCTGGGATTTATAATAAGACATTAAAATAATACCTAGTCGTACCTACTTACATTGGTTTCTAAAAGTAAGTATACCTTCGGTTTAATCTAAAATTATGAATTATATTAGGTATTTAATTATCTAAGTATAAACTCAAATTTCCAACAAAAATGTAAATGTGGCATATATTTGTTCATCATTGGCAAACCTACCCCATTCATATTTATCATGTGTCACATTGGTGACGTAAAATGTACGTTCTGTTTTGCACCTAATACGCTAAAGTAAAATAAAAGGCATAGACTGGACGGTATAGTGACGTGCTCGACAGCACCTTTTATTTTTTAGCGTAATTTTTACGTAAATTGAACATCACTAAAAAACGTAGTTAATGTGCCTTAAAATTGACAATTTTTAAACGTCACTGTGACATCACCACATCCATAATGTTCAGTGGGATATAACTTACTATCACAAAAAAAGTAATACAAAATAAATAAAATTACTCGGTTATAATCATTTTTTTGTCTTCTTGCAAAGGATGTTTGTAGGCATGGTCAAAGTCGATATTGTTTATGTCAATTTTTTTTTATTTTGTCCGCTGTGACATTCTTACGCCATCGTCCCTAAACCTTACACATATAAACATTTTTTCTTACTACCTCGACTCAAAATACGTTGTTTCGTCCCCGATTCCACGGCAGAAAGTTTACGTTTCTTGCATTGGTCAAGCTATACGCGAACACTCTAATAGCGGGAGTAAAAATTTTTTAGTCGTGTGCTGACATTTAAATTTCGTACTGCCAACATGAGAAACACAAAAATATGACAGTTTTAAACCATAATTTTGCAATTATAACAACAAATAAACAATTTATGTTTTTACTTTTTTACTTTTTATGCTGTTTTAAGTGTTTAATGGTACTTTTATTTGTTATAAAGTAGTAATTTGTTAATTAAAATACAACGTTTTATTTTTACTGTATTGGCACCGCTGAATTCACGGCCTACTGTTGTTTATTTATCAAGCTCTTCAAATGTAGATAGGTACATAAATACACATTTAATTTTTGCCCGTATTTTCGGCCTGGTTGTATTTTCGGCCGAGGTAGTAAGAAAAATAGTATACACTACACGGGCAGAAAGTGTGAGAGTCCTGAACTGCGCGCCATGATGCAGGAATCTTACACTTTCTGCCCTTGTAGTGTAATATACTATTTTTAATATATAAGTACACTACTAACACTAGGCACTTAACACTGAAATCGACTAATAAAAAAAACCGCTAATAAATGGCGTCCAAAGACTTGTTGTTTTTTCTTTATGATGGCGTCTCAACCTCGTTGATTTTGCGCAGCTACACGAGAGCCCTTCCCTGTTGTAAATGACATATAAAATCATATATGAAAAATCCGTGCTGGTTCCAATATGATACTATATGATTTTTGAAACAGACATTACATATAAGACCATATTCATATTCATTTCTACACAGGCATATAAAAAACTGACCATATATGGTATATATACAATTTATTACCTATAAATTCATATTCATTCATATATGATTTAAGATGGATTTTCATATAAATTTCTGTCATATAAAACCATATAAACACATACAGTTCATAATACTGATTACATATTGAATCCATAGTGTCATATAACAAACTATAAAAACATATAGAAACACTGTACGGATTCTATATGTTTCTACTGGTCATTTTCAACAGGGTTTGTATTGTATTGGGAATAACCAATTAGCAGATTTTTCGAATCTTACGTAACAGTGTACACTGGGAATGCCGAATTGAATTCAATTGGAAATGACCTATAGGTAGCTTAATCCAATCGAAACCAATAAAAACCATTAGAATCCTAATTGGACTTTTCCATCAGGAAAAATACCAGTAAAAACCAATTTGTTTTTATATCGCGCCCAATTAAATCCATTAAGTCCAATTCATTGATACCAACCAATACTTCAATTGGTTTCTACAGGAATTAATCGGTCATTTACAATAGGGAATTAAACCATTTCACTTCGGATATAGTTTTTATTTTGTTAAATAACACATCTGATTTCTTCTTAAGGTGGGGTAAGGTTTCGCAGAAATACCCATTGGGAGATAGAATATCATGTATGAATTTAAATATTTTCTACATAATTTTTCCGAGCCGTGATCGACACCATATGAGCTCTAAGAACCGTTTCTGGACAGCTTTGTTTTTTCAACAACCTGCAATTCTCAAAATATCCCTCGAGTTTGGGAAAACCATGCGAATAATCGCTGAAAGTTATCAATCCTAAAATGAAAATTATAGTATTGCTATTTTTTGCTGGCGCAAAAAAATACCCAGGCCCCTCATTTTACCACCCCTGAACTCGCCCTCGTATCTCATACCATCGGCCCGCAAAAAAATCCCGTGCCCGTGGAACCATCCTTGTAAAAATTCCCCCTCGTATCTATAAATTTGTTTTTGTAAATTTTGCGTACCGTAAACACGGGTGGCTTTAGATCACTTTCAAACTTAAGCTTAAAATTTTTGTGGTTTTAACAATCATAAACATTAAATTTTGTATACCGTAAATACGGGTGACTTTGCACCCCGCGGGTGACTTAAATTTAACCCATTTATGAAAAATCTTTTCGCGCTCGATAAAATTAACATTTATAATTTGTTGGTCTAAACCTGTCAATTGAGCGATTCTATTGAGTTTATATTACAGGAAAATCAGTGTTTTAAAGAAAGAAATGGGATTTATTACACTTCAAAATTGTATATATCGTATCAGTGCAAAACTCTTAGAAATACACGCGTTACAATTTCTATATTATGCGCAATCCATTGGAATGATGATCCTTGGTTAACTACAGGTCGATTTTTAATTTTTTTTATTGGTAATCCCTTGCAATAGATATATGTCGCTGCTAACACGTGTCTAATAAAAATAAAATATAATATTACATTTATTTTATACTGAAAAAACACTGTGAGACAAAGTAACCCGCAACCAGGGGGTAACTTTGCACACCCAGTTTTTAATGTTTATTTTTGAAACTCAGTCCTATGTAATATTATAACATAGTTATTATGAAAGAGCAACTCAAGACTCAAATTTTGGTATACAAAATTTAATGATTATGATTGTTAAAACCATAACAATTTTAAGCTGAAGTTTGAAAGTGAGCCAAAGCCACCCGTGTTTACGGTACCAAAATTTGAGTCTCGAGTTGCTCTTTCATAATAACTATGTTATAATATTACATAGGGCTGAGTTTTAAAAATAAAAATTAAAAACTGGGTGTGCAAAGTTACCCCCTGGTTGCAGGTTACTTTGTCTCACAGTGTATTTTCCGTATAAAATTAATTCAATATTTTATTTTATTTTTATTAGACACGTGTTATCAGTGACATATATCTATTGCAAGGAATTACCGATAAAAAAAATAAAAAATCGACCTGTAGTTAACCAAGGATCACCATTCCAAAGGATTGCGCATAATATAGAAATTGTAACGCGTGTATTTCTAAGAGTTTTGCACTGATGCGATATATACAATTTTAAAGTGTAATAAATCCCATTTCTTTCTTTAAAACAATGATTTTCCTGTAATATAAACTCAATAGAATCGCTCAATTGACAGGTTTATACCAACAAATTATAAATGTTAATTTTATCGAGCGCGAAAAGATTTTTCATAAATGGGTTAAAGTCACCTGTGTTTACGGTATCGATTTATTAAATAAATGGCATTACTTGGCTCCATCTGGAAAACTCAGAACTCCTTGTCCGTTGAAAAATCCATTTTCAAAGTTTCCATCATATCTTGTACCATCTGGGAACAAAATATGACCCCCTCCTGATTTTAGTCCTTTACGATTCCAGGAACCGACGTATTTGACCCCGTCTTTATATTTATGCCCCCCATATTCTATCTCACCTAAAAGGGATAATTTTCTATACCTACCTATTAAAATCTTGTAAGGAAATGTTTCTTACTATCATCATCTGGACCCATTTTAAAAAGTTATTCGCGAACTTACAGTAGTTGAAATGACCTGATCATTATAATACATAATAATAGGATTTCATCCTTTGTGAAACCATATAAGAAATACCTACTTTAATAGATTAAATATTGAGCCACTTTCGAAGACCGGACATTCATGCAAGCAAATGGGGTAGTTAAATTTTTTCTGACCTATACTTTTTATGGTTTTATTTTATGGTTTTGTAATTTTAAACATTTCTGTAAAATCGGAATTTCAATTGAGTTTACCGTTTTCGAGATATTTACAAAAAAAAATCTCCTAATTACGTCACTAGGCTATTGACAACGTTGCCAGCTTTTTCTATGGTTGCCAGTGTGTTTAGTTTAAGATTCTTACGATAGATGGCGCCCCGTTATAATATTTTAGCATGATACAATCACAGACCTACAAACTGTGGATACAATAATGATACAATGTTGATACATGATATTTTAGTTTTAAAACCACTTTATCTATAATTTTAGTTGAGAAGAAGAAGAATTGATTTTTTGACGTTTCTTTTTTTCGGGTTGTTTTTTTTAAATTTAGATTATTGAAAATCAATGTTATTGTTATGTTATTTGTAATTGATATTAGATAAGTGATTTATTAATAACGGACTCCAAAGCAGAGGAATCTTGTGGAATGGTTGGTTACATTGAACATTGGAGCTTTTAAACAAATAAAGTAAGTACCCATAATTATAATCATATTTTGTCGTAAATGCATTTCATTAGTATAAGGCCTAGTTCTTTATATTCTTTTAGATATATCTTGGACTGTAAAATATCAAACAGTAATATGATACCTCATAATAAGGAAGATAGGTACTTAATGAATTTGGTGACCATCTTTCACTCAACTGACAGTGACAGTATTTGTACATAACCTAACATAATGAAATCATTAACAAGAAAACTTGACAACAGGGTAATTTTCAACCAATAGAAATCTTAGAATGTTGGTCACATGGCGAGGTTTGAGACGTCATAAAAATTTATATTTTTGTAAATATCTCGAAAACGGTAAACTCAATTGAAATTCTGATTTCACAGAAATGTTTAATATTACAAAACGCCTTGAATAAAACCATAAAAAGTACTTATAGGTCAGAACAAATTTAACTACCCCATTTACAAATAAAACTCAACTTAGTAAAGTTTTAATTTATTATTTCAATTAACACAGGTATGGAATTTGACTAAACTAGATAACAAACGCACAGCACACAATAATTGGTATCTATTTTATATGATGAATAAAAAAATAAAAAAGTTTGTGATGTGAAGTGAATTACAGTTCATCGTGACCTCCCACATGTTTTTTCACGAAATCGTGCAAGTCTTCTAACGTTCTCGTTCCACTGTATTCGCTAATTTTTTTACCGTTTTGGTAGAGGAAAATTGTCGGAAAACCTTCAACCTATGAAAAAACATCAATTTTATAATTTCAGATTTTAAGTTGGCAATAAATTTATTTATACAGAATTTGATTTTTTTTAAATGCCAAAAGATCAAAAAAGTAAAAAAATAAAAAAAGACAAAAATCTGTACTAAAATAAAAATCAAAACATCATAGAAAATATTAAATTGTTAAAATAGAGGTAAAAAAAGTCTTAAGTTAAAGTTCAGCAGTAAAAAAATATGTTTAAAAGAAAAGTCCAAAAGTAAAAAAGAAAAATGGACCATAAAAAAGTCAAATAAAAGTAAAAAAGTCAAAAAAAAAAAAAAAATTTTAAATAATAATAAATGTATTTAATCCAATTCTACATAATATGTTGAACAAAAAATAAGAAAGGCAAAAAGTAAAAGACATAAAACTATAAAAAAAAAATGCTAAAATATCATTATTTTCTGTACTTATACTTTATACAACTTTGTATTTTTATAGCAATGCTAATAAATATATATTATTATTATTATTATTAAAACTGTCTTTTATTAAAAATTATGAAAGAAAAAAGTCATAGGAAAGAAAAAAAGTCAAAAATAAAAAAAGGGTTCAGCAGTAAAAAATATGTTTTTAAAGAAAATTCCAAAAGTAAAAAACGCAAAATCTGTGTTTATTAAAAAATTAAAGAAAAAATAGACCATAAAATATTATATTAAATAATAATAAATGTATCAAACAAATCCTACATAATATGAGGAAACAAAATTAAAAAGAGGGAGAAAATAAAATAATTAAAAAAAGTTAGGGAGTAAAAATTGAAATAAAAAACTGAGTTTTATTAAAAAATAAGAAAGAAAAAAGTCAAAAATTAAAAAAAAGAGCTCAGCAGTAAAAAATTGTTTTTTTAAAGAAAAGTACAAAAGTAAAAAGATTTGTCTTTTTAAACTGTTTATTAAAAAATCAAAGAAAAAATAGACTCTAAAAAAGTCAAGAGAAAAAAAAATAAATGTATTTAAACACATCCTATTTAATATGTAAAAAAAAAGAAAAAATAAGAAAGGCAAAAAACTATAAAAGAAAAAATGTCAAAAAGACGGAGAAGGTTAAAATAAAATAAAAAACTGTCTTTAAATAAAAATTAAAAAAGTCAAAAATTAAAAAAAAAGTTCATCAGTAAAAAAAATACGTTTTTAAAGAAAAGTAAAAAAGGGAAAACCTGTGTTAATTAAAAAATTGAACAAAAATAGACAATAAAAAATATAAATTAAATATAATATTAAATAATATGTGGAAAAAAAATAAAAAAACAAAAAACCATAAGTCAAAAATAAAATAAAAAACTGTCTTTTAATAAAAATTAAAGTCAAAAATTAAAAAAAAATGTTCAGCAGATAAAAAATATGTTTTTAAAGTCCAAAAGTAAAAAAGGCAAAAACTGTGCTTATTAAAAAATCAAAGAAAAAATAAACCATAAAAATAAACAAAAGTAAAATAAGAGGTAAAAACAAATAATAATAAACAAATCCTACATAATATGTATGTGAAAAAAAATAAAAATAGCCAAAAAACTAAAAGAAAAAAATTTTAATGTCAAAAAATAAAGAAGGTTAAAATAAAATATTTAAAAAAGTTAAGTAGTCAAAAATAAAATGAAAAACTGTATTTTATTAAAAATTAAGAAAGAAGAGTCATAAGAAAGAAAAAGTCAAAAATTAAAAAAGTAGTAAAAAAATATATTTTAAAGAAAAGTCCAAAAGTAAAAAAGGTAAAAAATGTATTTATTTAAAAATCGCAGAAAAATAGACCATAAAAAATTAAAAAAAAAAAGTCAAATAAAAGTAAAAAATAATTCAAGAGAAAAAAAATAATAATAAATAATAATAAATGTAAACAAATTAATTTAAACAAATCCTACATAATATGTGAAAAAAAAAATTACCTATAAAAGAAAAAATGTTAAAATGTCTAGAGGATAAGGTTAAAATAAAATAATTAAAGTACAAAATTGTTTTTAAAGAAAAGTCCAAAAGTAAAAAAAAGGCAAAAATTGTGTTTATTAAAAAATCAAAGTAATCAAAGTAATAAAATAGCAAAAATAAACCATAAAAATAAATTTGCAATAAAAAGTAAAAATATGTAACAAACCAGTGGAAATAAAAATAAAAAAGGGCAAAATAGATTCAAAATGATGAATAAGTTAAAAAGAAAAAAAAACAGTTTCAAATAAAAATATTTTTTTTTAAATTCAAAACAGTCAAAAAGAAAAAAAAGTCAAAAATTAAAAAAGGAGTAGTAAAAAATATATTTTAAAGAAAAGTCCTAAAGTAAAAAAGGCAAAAACTGTATTTATTTAAAAATCGCAGAAAAATAGACCATAAATTTAAAAAAAAAAGTCAAATAAAATTAAAAAATACGTCTAGAAAAAAAAATAATATTAAATAATAATAAATGAACAATGTAACAAATCCTACATAATATTTGAAATAAAAGATAAAAAACACTATAAAAGAAAAAATGCTAAAATAAAATAAAAATTAAGAAAAGTCATAAGAAAGAAAAAAAGTCAAAAATTAAACAACAAAAAAATATGTTTTTAAAGAAAAGTCCAAAAGTAAAAAAGGCAAAAATTGTGTTTATTAAAAAATCAAAGTAATAAAAAAGCAAAAATAAATCAAGAAAAGGCAAAATAATAAAAAATTATTTTAGACAAAGTAAAAGTAAAAATATGTAGCAGAACAACGGAAATAAAAATAAAAAAGGGCAAAACAGATTCAAAATAATTAAAAAGTTAAAAAGGCAAAAACAGTATCAAATTAATTTTTTTTAAAAGATAACTAAAACAGTCAAAATAAAGTAAAACGTAATACAAAATTAAATAAATAAATGAAATATTTGATATGCAGCCAAAAAAGTTTTTATTATAAAATCAACAAAAAACAAGTAAAAAGTCAAGAAAAGACAAAAAATAATATTAAGTAATAATAAATTTATTTTAGCAAACCTGCATTATAAGTAGTTTACAATGCAACAATAAAAAGGAAAAGAAAAGGCAAAAAATCAAACCAAAAAAAGGCATTTTAAAGCTTACCTCTTGATTATTGCACAAATCTTTGTTCACCTCCAAGGTGCAGTCGATCTTGACGATCCTGACGTCGTCTTGGCCGGCGAACTTGGCGCCCAGCTCCGCCCACGTGGGCGCCAATCGTTTGCAGTGCCCGCACCACGGCGCGTAAAATTTGACGAACGCCGTGACCGACTTGATGCCGTCCTCGAACGTTTCGCCCGTCAAATTTTCCACCGCCTCCTCGACCTCCTGCTGCCGATCGACTTCCTCGGTTTCCTCCTCGGTTTTTTCCGCGCTTCCGCTTCCGCCCATCTTCTCGTTCACGTACGCCTTCAGGTTCTCGTGGCTCCTCTGCCCTTGGTACTTGTCCAACTGCAATACAAGTTGTATAGATATGTAAAAAACGGATTTTTTTTTCAGATGTGAAAAAAACATGAAAAAAACTATAAAAAAACGTTTTTTTTTGTTTTTTTTTTCAAATCTGCTACAATAAAGCATATTCTGTCAATAAATAACATCAATCTTAAAAATGGAGTATATTTTCAAAATGAAATTTTGTAAGTGAAATGTAGAATATTACAGTACTGTAATATTATTAAATTTTTCATTATTGAAAATTTTGACCGAGACAAAAAAATCTGATTATTTAGTAGTTTCCACATAAGAAACTTCTACACTAATAGAAAAAGTTAAAGGACAAAAAAAATTCCAAATTTGTTGCTATTTTTCGGATAGCTGTATCTTTATTAAAAATGGTCGTATTGGAGCCGTAAAAAAAGCAACTTGAAGCTTGAAGTTTCTAATTTTGAGATTTTTAGATGAAAAACGTGCAACGCTCAATCCTAACGAATACCGTAATATAAAGAAATTTTTTTGGCTTTCTTTTTTGGTCCACGAAATGTTATGACTTAACCACCAATGAATAAATGTTCTACAAGAATTTGCTATTGTTTTTTTTTTTGAAGAAAAAAAATTCCATTCTCTACATGAATTTTAAAAATCATGAAAAAAAATGCTTTTGGTAGCTTTTTGAAAAATCAAGCGCTGAATCAAAAATATTATAGGTAGTTACTTTTTTTAGGACCAAATCAAAACAAGCGCGGCCCTTATTGATCAATTTGGAGGTGGCGCGTGCATAGCGCGAGAATGTACTGAACTGGAAACATAAAAAATTAGGCAAATGGGACTAATCTTGAAAAAAAACTAAAATATGAAAAAACCATTTAAAAAAAAAACAATTAAAAAGTGAAAAAAAACAAAAAAAAACGGTCCGGTTTTTTTAAAGTCGCATAAGCAAACACATAAGTCTGATTATAGTTAGTAGTTTCATGGCTTTTGCACTGGGCCTTTACAGGAATGTTTTAATAAAAATATTAATTTTGATTAAAGGCCGTTGTGATAAGGCCTGGCAATGGCTAATATTTGTATATTTTACAATAAAAGACTTATGGGACAAAATCATTGAAGTGCCAAATTTTTCTGAATATAAAACTTACATGAACCTTTTATTATCCTTTGTTAAACGAAATATTTTAAAACGCCCAGTGTAGCTCCTATATATAGTTTTAATAGTGTGTTATAGCACATAAAAAATAAATTTACTATTCTCATTATTTATTTCAAATTTTGATATTTAATAGTAAATTCTGTAACAAGTTTGGAATACAGCATATTCCGCTCGAGTGAAGAGTTTGCCACACGAGCCGAAGGCGAGTTTGACGGTTTCACGAGAGCGGAATATGCAATTCCAAACGTGTTTTAGACTATACTTTTTCTACGTTTCCAAAAAATACCATACTAAAATAATTTAATTGAAAGAAAGTGAGGTTGGATCGGTCTAAAATTTGTTAGATATTAAAAACAGAGATGTCGCCACGAGTGTTTATTCTGTCATCCGATGATAGAATATTTCATTCTGTAACACTTTACGGAATATATGTCATTCCATAGATAGATAGAACGGTCAAATTCCGTAATAGGAGTAGAAAAAATTCATTTCCTAACAAAACTTAATAAGTCTTCTTCTCCCTTCATGATTTATTATCTATGGTATGAAGTTCATACGTCAACAACCAAAGCCGTATTTAAAACATTTTAATGCGTTTTATTCTACAGGACCGGCTTTAAATTTTATAATTTATAATTTCTATGACAAAATGTAAATTGTATGTCATTTTAGGACAATTTAACCAATTTTATATTTTAAAATTTTCTTTGTTACAGAGGAAAATATACCAAAAAAATCAAGTGAATTTGTAAATATAAATTTTAATTTTAAATATTTTCTATTTATTTTAAGGATTCTTTGATTTATTTAAATATTACGGACTACATTTATTACCTAATAAACAGTTTTTAAAATATAATTTTTTGTCAAAAAGGATGTGGTACATATAATACTAACCTTTTTGCCATCTTCAATCCACAACAAAGTGGGATAACCTTTCACTTCGTATCTGTTACATATTTCTCTATTTTGAGTACAGTCAACTTTGGCAATGGTAACATCTTCTTCAAATTCCATCGATTTGGCAAGTGATTCCCATACAGGAGCGAGGTTCTAATAAATAAACAGCTTAGAGAATTTTAACTTCAAAATTTACTGATAACTTTTCTAAAAAAACGAGTATAACTTACTTGACAATGTCCACACCAGGGGGCGTAAAACTTGACGAAATGTTTTCCTTTACCGACATGCTCGTCAAAATTATCGGCAGATAACTCTAAAAGTCCATGCATTGCTTGTGGAGCGGAACTTAGTTCAGATTCTCCGTCATCTCCCTGTATTGAATTAAAAATAATAGTTTGCCACATTGGAAGCATGTCTTCATAGCTTACACAAGAAATACGAGCTCAATATATACAAATTGCTTCACAAAATAAGAGGGCGCTGGTGTTTTATTTGGTATTATACCATACTATAATAGTCGCGGCCATATCTGCATGGGTGCACGTCATCAACGGCATATGACGTCAGCGTTAAGGTCTATTCATACGTGCCCAGGCACAATCTAACGCTCGTGTATTGTTGACTGTACAGGGTGTTATGTAATTAATGTTATATATTAAAATGGGTTGTTCCTTAGGGTCCATAAAGAAGCTCCTGAAACTTTTTTTTTCTAAATTCCAAAGTCTAAAAATAATTTATAATAACCTTTAACCTACCAAAAAGTACGCCACTGATCGACTAGGAACTTTAGGTTAATCTGGTGGATTTATTATGTTATGGTTGGTAACAACTGTTTCCAAAATCTTTCAAAAAAGTTGCCAAGCATTGTTTAAATTTAGCTTAATTACAAAAATGACAAAATTAACAATGCAAATTGTCAATTTGGCGTTTTTATTAATTGTTGGTTATTTCATTTTTGTACTGAAGGTAAATTCAAACAAAATCTGCCAACTTTTATGACAGAATCTAGTGCATTTCTTTTAAATTTTAGGTTATGTTTTCAAATTGTAAATATCTTAACTAATCGAAGTGCTTTTGGATTTATTTACACAAATTAAATGTTTAAAGTTTAACCTGTGAACTGGTCCCAATTTCATCTGAGTAAACAGAGAAAAAAACTGATGAAAAAATTAATTTTGTGGTTATGGATTTCAAATTTCAAAGGTACTAAATTTTCTAATCATTGCTTAAGCTAATAGCTGGATCAGTAAATAAATACAGAAGGGTTAAGCTTTAAGGGCATAAAACTTTTGTATTTATTGAGTTTTTATTTATTTTTTGCAAGAAAAATTTTTAGTAACAATTTTTTACATCTGGCAACGCATAGCTACTTTGTTGGTTGGTATCTATGTACTCACAAAATACAGGTATGCAGAGATAAACAAGTGTGTAACCAGTGGGCCACTGGCAGTGGCGTATCACAAAAAATATAAAAAACTTCTAATGCATATTTTTTCTTTATCTTTGGAAAAATGTTTTTTTTTAATATTTTTCTTTATTCCTTATGTCAAAAGGTATTCAGTATTTTAATATATAACATTAATTACATAACACCCTGTATAGCGGTGGGAATTTTGATTAAATGTGTTTACGAGAGGAAACAAACGAAGTTTATTACATAGGTATATGGACATAACAAAAAATACTAAAATACCAGTCGTATTTGTCGTTAGAGCGAACCAGGTCAGACTTGCCCTTGTGGAAATACTTCTTTAACCGTATAGGTACTGTCTGTCCACTCTAAGTTGGCGGAACTAAGGAATTTTGTAGTTTAGATATTAAAGAATTTTATATTATAAATAATACTAGTACATATTATATACTAGTATTATTTATAATATAAAATCTGTTTTAAAAGCACACAGTACGACAATTCTTTAATATCTAAACAACAAAATTCCTTAGTTCAGCCAACTTAGAGTGGACAGACAGTACCTACCATTTCTCTACTAAAAGTCTTATTAAGAGCCGGTTTATCAATCTCCCAAATCTTGTTATTATTCTTACTTACTAAGACTTATTCAGAGACTTATATCGCATTGATGACGTGCACCCATACATATTTGGCCGCGACTATACCGCACAAGCGTCGCTGGTGGTGAAAAAATAAAACATTATTTGAATGATATGGTAGGCAGATTCTGTCAATTTTCCAATTTGAGTTCATAGTCCTTGTGTAGGCCCATGATTGGGAGTAGGCTTTTGCTGTAAGAGCCTTGGGCGATTTTAAGGAAAAAGGTTTTAATCAACTTTTTTGCGGTTGATAAAAACTTTTTTTCTTAAAATCTCGTATCTTTTTCTTGTGACATTTGCACTGACAACTAATTAAATTATTAATTATGAGTCATTTCAAATAAAAACACCAAATGGGGTGCGCTGCTTGATTTTTATTTTGATAAAAAAAAATGAGGATGATCTTTTAGGTATCAAATATGAAAATCCTGCTCAATAAGTGTGTTTTCGATATAAATTATTATTATCCAATTAGTTAATCTCATAAAAGAATGGTAAACCACTAAAGATTCATGATAATTTGACAATTTTTGTGATTTTTGTCTGGCTCCTGTGCCTATTCTACTAAATCTAGAAAGTTATTTTTTTTCAGGTATCAAGTACTTATACAATAGAAAACGTAACTAATATTTTAAGTTTCTAGATTATCATTTTCTTTATTAAAAAAATTATTGAAACTTAAAAATTCTTAAAATTAGTCAATCAGAAATCATTATGTTTGACCAAGTCAAAGCCATCTAAATTTTAAATTATAAATAAAACTAACAATATCGCTTTTTAACTGCATTAAAAAAATTATTATGTCTTTTACATGGATAAAAATAACAAAACAAGACTAACTACACTCAAAAGATGAAGGTGGGGACTACATATCCTGAAAGTTTCAGATTTTTATTTTTTCCTCAACATAATGATTTCTGAGGGCAAAATTGGCTAATTTTGAAAATTATCAAGTTTCAATAATTTTTTTAATAAAGAAAATGATAGTCTAGAAACTTAAAATAATAGTTACGTTTTCTATTGTATAAGTACTTGATACCTGAAAAAAAGCAACTTTCTAGATTTAGCAGAATCATTTCAATAAATGCCACAGAAAAAAAGTTTTAGCCAGTGGCGGCTCGTGGGTGTACAGGAGGGTGAGGCTACATAAGGTTAATTTTGTCTAAATACGAATAAATTTCCACGTCACCCGGGAGGTATTATTCTGCGACGCGTTGACCTTTTTTAAAATGGAGCCGATAGCACCACTAAACCAAAAAATAAACTCTAAAAAACAAAACAAACAAAATATCACATCAAAGACTAGTTTTAATCTTAAACTTAAAATATAGTCTTAAAAAGGTTAAAAATAAATAAATTAATCAAAAAATAAAAATAAAACTAAAAAGTCGACCCCTACCTAAGTATTAAAAAATATAAAATACTATACGTCTATCTTTTAAGATTGAAAATTTATCTATTATTTGGTCGTAAAATTGTGGGTCTGCAGTGAGATTTAAAAGTAATTCTAAATTTTCAAACCGCGTCTCTAATTGAAGAATTATGCAATCTATTATTTCAAAATATAAAATTTGCTTAATAAAAACTGCTAAATCTACCTTAGTGTGTTCCCTACAATAATTAAATAAGAAATTTTACTAATCGAGACAAAAACTATAAAAGATCAGCCAAGAGTTTTAAATAATTTAATCAGAATCAAAACAATAACGTGCTCTACAAACGCTAAGAGAAGACTGGCAACCTTCTTTGTCTCCGCTGGCATCCCACCATAAACGGACCACCAATCAGAACAAACCAAGCTAACTAAATATCGCCTCATCTACGGTGTTTATTCGCGAACTTACGGCCATATTTTTGTTGGTGAGTCATTTTCGCTTTCAAGAGGTAAATGGGAGCTTCCGAGGCTGTGAAAATTTCGCCTCTGTCCAACGATGCACGTTAACTTGACGCGCTTTGCGCCTGGATTTTTATTTACGCTTAGTATGATTGATTGGTTTTTTACTTTTTATTGGGTAGAACTGTTGTAAAAATACACTTGTAATAGGCAAAAATATAAATACAAAAAGTCGTTCGTTCCTTCATTGTAAGGGTACCCTGACGAGCCGCCACTGGTTTTAGCCTCTTAAAAGAGAGTAAGAAAATGACACGATTTCAGGTTTCTAAGGGTGCCGATTAAAAATAAAGCAACTAAAAATTAAAACGGCAACGGTTTTTCATATATGATACCTAAAAGATCATCCTCAAATTTTTTCATTAAAATAAAAAAACATGCAGCGCACTTTTAAATTAATTTTTGGTGTTTTCATTTGGATTGACTCTTATGGCAACGTCGCAAGATCGACTTTTATTGAGCCAAGTACTGTTTGACACCCTAATAGCGTTCCTTACCTCTCTCAGTTGCTCGTTGATGAAGGTGGTGAGAGAGGGCAGGTCCCTGGTGCCCCTAAACTTGACGCCGTTGCCGTCGCCGAGCTTGAAAAATTTGAGCGTCGGATATCCGGTGACGTCCTGCTCGGAGCACACCTTGTTGTCGACGGTGCAGTCGACCTTGGCGATCGCGATGTTGCCGTCATCTTCGTTCAGCATCTCGGCCAGCTGCTCCCACGTGGGCTGCAGCCGCTTGCAGTGGCCGCACCTGCGTTGCCAAGTTTAGTTTGTTTTAAACAAGTTACATGCCAAACCAGTGGGATGTCGTATCTGTGTTTTACTCACATACTTCCACACATATACAAATCATTTCTAACTGACTGAGACTGTTTTGGATATAAATTGTATGAAAAAAGCATTTAACAATAATAAACTCAAAAAATTATGATATTTTAGATTTTATAATGGCATTTTTATAAAAGCAAAAAAAAAAAACATCGTATTTTGATCACGATTATCGTATCATAGCAAAAAGATTTTTATGGTAGACATATAAATATGTAGATGGTTAATATAATTATCAATTTTGTTTGTTTTCTGTTGTATACCAATTGTTTTGGCATTGTTTTTTTCCATTGTTTTAACGAGATTTTAGTGGATTTTACATAATATGCATATTATGCCACTTTTTGCTTTTTATAAAGCCAAATCACAAAAATGTTTGTAAGCTATGGAACCAAATAATTTAGAAAAATTTTATATAACCTAAATTTTGTTTAGTTGACAATAGAGTAATTGCATCAAAAATGAAAATCCCTAAAAACCTTTTTAATGTAATCTAGAGGTAAAAATACATTGCAAAAATATTTTTTTATATTCCAAAAGTTCAACCCGACCCCAAAATATCAAATTAAAAAAAAGGTACTTTTCAAACGTTCCGAACTCCCGCCATATTGCATGACGTCATAAGCTACAACTGTCAGAAATCAAGATGTCAACAAATAATAAACACCGATAAAGTTTATGTTTAACATGGAAAACGCGAAACCAAAAATTGGTTGTAAATATTGTTTTGTGCCTTGTTGTACAAATACAACCTGGAAAACTCCTGGGAAAGTTGTCCCTTCAATTATCAAAAGCAAAGTTTATGACCCTATAGGGTATACACTGAGATTAGTTACGGCTCAGCCGTATTTTCTTGGGTTTATTAATATTTAACATACCTATTCAAACCATATACCTAGTAAACGACATTTTATTTTACTTACATTAAAATGATCCTTAAAATGATCAATAAAATGTTGACTGCGGTGACGATGTTTTGATATCGCGCCGAGCTATTTTAATCCACTTTATCCTTATTTTCCCTTTTGGCACGGTGATAAACCTTTTCCCAGGAGTTTTCCAGGTTGTATTTGTACAAGGCACAAAACAATATTTACAACCAATTTTTGGTTTCGCGTTTTCCATGTTAAACATAAACTTTATCGGTGTTTATTATTTGTTGACATCTTGATTTCTGACTTTGATATTTTGGGCCCAGGTTGAACTTTTGGAATATAAAAAAATATTTTCGCAATGTGTTTTTACCTCTAGATTACAATAAAAAGGTTTTTAGGGATTTTCATTTTTGATGCAATTACTCTATTCGTATCATAAATGGACGTATTAATTTCTCTATCTAATGTTATGTGATGTCTATGGTATCATATATTTTAAATCCCCCACTTATGAACTGACTACGCGCATAAAGGAAAATGGCACACTAGGAGAACAAATTTCCCCTTAGAAACGGGAACAAGGTCATCTATACAAAATAAGGCAATAAGAGATATATGTGTGGAAGTTGTGGTTTTACTAAACTACCCACATCTCATTATTAAATTCATTTTTTTAACAAGTTGAAATAAAAACGAGTCTATTAAAAATTACAATAACATTGTCTGAAATACAACTTAAATGGGTTTAAAAGAATTTTATTAAAGATTTGAACACAATTTTCCAATGACGTGTTTCAAAAATACAAATTTAAAATTTGTTCATATTATTAAATATTTATTAAATAAAGTTACAAGCCTACAGAAAATACATCTATCAACCAGAGTTGCAAAAAAACGCATTTTTTTTAATGCAATGATATTTTATTGCTCATTTTGATCATAATGAGTAATGAAATTAATTTACATTACTCATTTTTTTCGTTTTATGGAGAATTACTTGTACTATGCTCCACACCTCAAAGTCCCACCACGTGACCACGTACGGAACGCAGTCTTTTGAAAATTTGGCATTTAAGGCTTTTCAGGTTATGTATCTGTCAAAGTATAGTCAACGAAAGAAATAATATTATGTTTAGGCGTTAAAAATGTATAAATATTTATAACATTACAATAACAATGGATGGTTTAAGAGTTTAAGAATATAAATACTGCATTTAATGAAATTCTAAAGTGTATGGTGCCAAATAAGTAATATTTTTGTGCATTTGGTCCAAATATCTGGTTTTATTCATACAATAATTTTAACTAAACAGCATTTATTAAAAAAAATCTAGCTTGTCTATTATGGAATAAGAATATCTGTTTTAAAGGTAGGTTAATATATTATAACAAAAATATCATCTAATTTTGTAATTTTAAGGTTAGAAAAATTTATTTTGATAAGTATTTTGGATTATTTAAAAGACTGTATAATATGGTATTTAAAAATGTGGTAGTTTTTATTATCCAGCTTAAAGTGTACAAATAGTTAAAAAGCTTTGACTGAACTTGATCTACATCGAAAAATCATTATAACTTTAAAAATTTTAATAAATCAAATGTCATGGGAGTATTAAATATTTTCACATTGCAAGTTTCTCTAAAAAAATTTTGTTTTCTTATAAACTAACTTAAAGTAGGTATGCCAAGAGGTATGCACAAGTTTTGTCATTAAAGTATAAAAGCTTCAATTTAATTTGAACCATATTCAACAATTATTTAGTATAACTATATTTATTTATGACCGTATTAATACACTCTTCCAAATAATCTACTTATTTATTTTGGTCAAAATAGATTTTTTTAACCTTAAAATACAAAATCAGATATTTTTTGTTCTAATACATTAACCTACCTTTGATACATATATTCTTATTTCATAATAGAGAAGATTTTTTTAAATAAATGCTGTTTAGTTAAAACTATTTTATGGAGAAATGTAGACCCAATGCACAAAAATATCACTTATATTGCACCTTACACTTTGGAATTTCATTAAATGCAGTATTTATATTCCTAAATTCAACCATTCAACCATTGTGATACTATAAAGATTTATAAACTTTTAACGCTTAAACATAAGCGGTAACACTATAAATATTATTTGATGATTATTATATGAAAAGCCTTAAAGGCCAAATTTTCAAAAGACTGTGTTCCGTACGTGGTCACGTGGTGGGACTTTGAGGTGTGGAGCATAGTACATACATACATTTCTCATTTTCAATTTTTAATGAGTAATGTAAGAATTTACATTTTAATGAGTAATGTGGATTTATTTCATTTTTTTTTTAATGGGGAAAAATGAGTATTTCATTGCTCATTTTTAACAGGTACGGAAATTATTTTTTGTTAACAAAAAATAATTTCCGTACATACCTACTCATTTTTCCCCATTAAAAAAAATGAGTAATGAAATAAATCCACATTACTCATTTAAATAAAGAATGTAATGTAAATTGCGATAAATTGTAGATAACATTTGTTTTTTATTTTTCGCACGATTTGCATGGGATATCATAATAATATACCTACGAAATATTTGTAACGAAAATAGGTTGTAGGGCGATTGCACGCGTTACTGATGGGACAATCGGAAAAAAATTTAACTATTTTTTGATATTTGTTGCTATCAGTAATGGGCTAATGACGGTAATATTTGGGTAACTATTAAAGCTATAGTTTGTGTAAAATTTCCAGTATCAGAGCTATTAAAATGTTTTTTATTTTACGAACTAGAAATCAATAAAATGTTGTTACTGATGGGACAAGAAAAAGGTCAAAAAAATTTCTGGTTACTAGAAGAGAATAATTCTCTGAAACAGAATAATGTTGAAGAAAAGTATAGATGAACCAAGTTGCAGATGCAGTTAGTATAACTTATTTTGACATCATTCATCTTTCAGTGTAATATATGTAGGCAATGCATTTTGATTTCTCGTTACTGACGGGACATTACTGATGGGACATTTATTATTTTTATTTATTATACACTGAAACAAATGTGTAATTGGTTAATTTAACTAAATAACTTCAACAATAATTTTAACCTGATAATAACAACTGCAAAAATTTAAAAGCATTTGAACAAATTTGATTTTTCGGATTCATAGTGCTTCTTAATCAATATATGAGTACCATCACCAAACTTAAAATAGTGTGAACTTAATATATCAGGTATTCAAATTTTTTTGTTTTTTTTTTGTTTGCTGCTTTTTATTTTCTCTAAACTTTCTTTTCCTTTCTCTTTCATTAATTTTTTGCTGCATTTTAAACCCACCATCATTTTCCGACAACTTTTTTAATTTTTCTCTGTACTTTTTTGCGCTTGAAGCATTTTTAGACAGGTAAGTCTTTTTAAAACAGGATTTTCATAAATTTTTTTGCGATATTTTTTAACCCGCCGCTTCGTATTTTCTTTGTCAAGCACCTTTTTTTTTGCCATCCTAAAAATTATCACATTTCGTTACTGACGGGACCATCTTAAAAAAAAAGAAATACAAAAATCTGGGACAGCAAACCAATATATTTTTATCGCGTGAGCAAATGTGAAATAGGGACAAATTTTTTTAATATTAATTAAAAACTGGGCAAGTTGTATACTTGCGATATTAAAACTTATCATATAATTTTGTTACTGATGGGACAAATATACAATAATATTATAAATTTAAATTTCTAGAACAGTTTACTTACTTGCAAAAAACTATTCAGTAATATTTTCACTAATAGTGGCGTCTAATCAAAACTGACGTTTTCGGAAGCGTCACTTACTGTTATAGGTCAAAGCCACCTTGAATAAAATGCTACTTTGCATATAAATTTTAACATCGGAAAATTGCTTATTTTTGACCATATTTTTTTAAATAATAAGTACCTGAGATAAACATTTTTAGTTTTTTCAACTAATTTCACCATTAATGAATAACTTTAGTATATTTTTGTTTCATTGTGCCCTGCTTAAAACTGATAGAAAAAATTACATTGCGCGTGCAATCGCCCTGTAGTTATGGAAAATATTTCTTCTAAAGATATCGCGTTTTAAATGCCAAAAGGGCGTACTACATCAGTTAGATAGGGTTTTGTGCCAAAAGGGCGGATAAAAAATTGTTTCAGAGCCATTAAACTTAAAATCGTTCAAAACAATCGGTGTCCTTGAATTCAATTACACTCTTGGTAAATTTTTAACTTTTGAAACATCACAGCTAAACATAATTTTTGGTCGTACATTCCAAATCCGTGCTCGGTTTAGCTGTATCAGGTCTAAAAAAGTTTTTCCTATTGGACGATTTTGAATTTTTTTTCAATTTGACTTTTTTTTATTTTTTTGAAAATTAAAATTTTTATTATTCGATTTTTTTGAAAATTTTAATCATTTTAAAAATTTGAATTTTTTTTGAAAATATTAATTATTTTTGAAAATTTAATTTTTTTTTTGAATTTTGAATAATTGTCAAAATTTGAATTTTTTTCAAATTGACAAAATTTGAATTTTTTTTGAAATTGACAAAATTTTTTTTTCAAAATTTGATTTTTTTTATGCTGACGAAAAAAAATTTTATGGGTCTGTACCCATTACACATTTTTTTTTAATGAGTAATGTAAGATGTTCCATAATGGAACTTCCATTACTTATTGCAAACTTTATAATGAGTAATGTATTGCTACACTACTCATTGGATTGTTTAAAGAGAATTGAAAATATTTTACATTAATTTTTTTTTAATGGGAACTGAATTAGAATTACATTTCCATTAAAAAAAAATGATTAATGCATTATTTTTCACATTAGGATTTTTGCAACACTGCTGTCAACCATGTCTTCTTCTTCTTCTTCTTCGGTCTGAAAAAACGTCTCCGTTTCTTCAGGGGGGTTGGCCTCAACCATGTCAACTTTATGAATCTGTTGACTTCTGTCAGACAGGTTTAACCTTACTTTTTCCCAATTTAATTAACATACACTAGTACTCTAGTAAAATGCATTTTGAATGTTTTATTATCGTATGATAGGTAGTTTAATAAAATGTGGAATAAAAAATAATAAAAACTACCATCATTTTTTATACTCAAAAGAATGAATGATTTTGTGAGGCATCAGATACATTCATAAATAATTTCAGATTTTTTAACAGTGCTACAGATTCCAAAAAATTAATTTTTTAAGTTACAATTGTTTTCATATAATAGGTACCTATTAAATTTTTAAGCTATAAATTTGTTAATTTATTTTAACCATATTGAATTTGATCTCATGGGCAAGTGTTGTTTATTTTTCAAACTCTTTAAATGTTGATACTACCTTAAATAAGTTGAGTTTATTAAATATTTTAACTTTGGCAAAGTCATTGTCCATTTTCAATAATTTAAAGTAAATTGCTTGTTTCAGAAACTGATTACTTTTAAAACATCTGATTAGGTACCTACTCGATGATAAATAATTGAACAAAGCTATTGTTTAAATAGGTATTCCAAAATCGCCTTACCAGGGTGCATAAAACATGACAAAGTGATTCTTCTTGGAAACCTCATCTGAAAAATTTTCCGTTGTGTATTGTATCGTGTGCACATCTTCTTCGTGCGATTTTGCACTGGCTAACAGTACGAACACACCAAACAAGTATAATAAATTCATTTTTCTGTCAGAGCACGACAATTTAACCGGCTAAATTACTAAAAAATGGTTTTCACGAATCACACTTCACTATTTGACAGTTAACATGGTCACTATTTTACCGGCCGATTGTTTTTATTTGGTGACGTTTAAACTACTGTAGTGTGTAGATAAAGTTTAATAAACATAAATTCATATGAAATATCCTTTGTTATTATAAAAAATAAATTCATAACAATGCCTTTGGACAAAACGCATAATAAAATATACATAAATTCATAGATAATGTATAAATTAATTTAAAGTTAACATGGCAACGTTGCATACCTATATGGGCTTGTTCCAAATAATTTAATTTCTTTCAAATGCGTCAATAGCACAATGTGTCAATAGTGTATTATTTTACGAGAGATAATGCGCATAATCTCGAGTGTAATACTATACTTTATCTATTTTGGTTCCATAATGACTTCATTATAACACCTCTTTTGGTTCTTTAATGAGGTACTTTATTCCACCCAAAATTTTGATTTTATAGGTTGGCTACTGGTAAAATACAATTTTGAATACCTATAGGTTATATTTTTATGATTTGTTTTCTAGTACTTACGAGACTTTTCGTGCAATAAATTTTGTTTAACACCAAAGAAAATCCTTTTTTCTTCTTTAACAGCCGCTTATTGTAAATACTTATTGTAAATTAACGAGGCCATAGCGAAAGAATGTGATAATGTTTGAAAGGTTAATGACCTTTCAAACTTCAAACTGAGATACCAACTATGTAAAGTAAAATTCGACCAAATTAAATATAAGGTATAAAATTAATTTGTTTTATGAAATGTTTGCAAAATAGATAAAATAGCATAAAGAACTCATGTCATAAGACCTTTTGTCGCACTTGTCCATTATAAATTGTCCGCGTGCGACAAAATGACGTCTTATGACATTAGTTCTTTAATATACTATTATCTACTCCAATAAGTAGATACCTAATTAAATGATTTTTAAAATTAAATAATTAAAATCTGACATCTGTCAAATGGTTAACCTCAATTTTAAATGTTATTATAGTCGCCTTCTTTCAATTTAAAACCAGATTACTTAGTTCAAATCAGTGAATATTGAAATAGGCTAATAACTGATACTTTACAACGTGAATAATGAGTTCATTATTCCCTCAATTTTTTTACAGTACCCATTCCTTATTCAAATTTGAGACAAAACATGCCTACATACATAGAGAAAGATAATCTCTATGCTGCATATTTAAGTAACTTTTGTTTAAAAATAAAATGCTTCAACTGCTATAGAAAATGCCAGCTATATTTAGGTAGAACTAAAATAGACTTTTTAAGGTTAAACCAATTTTTATTTAACAGGAAAAACATTTAAAAAAAACACAGGAGATAACTTAAAACCAGCTTTATTACAAGTTTAAGTCGAAATGTAAAACAAAATATAACTTATGATCTTGGTCTTTCTTTCTTTTCTTTATACAAGGCTAGGAGAGATACATTGGCTACCTTAACAACCTGCAAAAAAACAAAAATCACTTAAACTAAAATCATTTTTTTTTTAACATTATTTACCTTAAATCTAACTCCGGGAATATCACCAACAGCATGACCTTTACGACCAAAACCTGCTACTAAGACTTCATCGTTCTCTTCAATATGATTTAAGCAACCATCGCGAGGAACGAAAGCCGTGATTTTTTTCCCGTTTTTGATCAGTTGCACCCTGACGCATTTGCGAATGGCAGAGTTAGGTTGTTTGGCTTCTACTCCTCTATCAAAAAAATCAAATATCACTAACACAATTGAAAAGACTCCAATACATTATAATTAATTACAAGGTTTATAAAAAACTTGACAACACTGGGTTTTCTGTCCGTTTTAAAACATAAAAACTTAAATTTATCATTTCTTACAGTGTTGTCATGTTTCTTAGGATTTTGAAGTATCTATAATACTAATACATACATGTAGATTTTCCCCAACACTTCGCACAGAATTTTCCTGTGATTGGATTCAAATGCACCATTCACGAGGAAATCCTGCGCAAAGGATTAGAAAATATGTCGAAAAAATAAATGTGGAGCGCATATCAGAGCGTGAGGCCAATTTAAAAAGCCCCCCAATGGTTCAGAGCCCCATTTTATTTAGCACTGATTAAAATAAACACCCAAACATCATGTTATTAATGTTCCAGTGGTCTCTCAATGCAAAGAAAAAACAGTAAATTAGCTGGGAGGTGTTTCTGTATTTTTTTCCATCTTAATTAATTTCAATTTTATTGTAAAAATGTGTTTCATCATCCTAAGAAATATTTTATTCATAAAATCAATTAAATAGTTCAAAAATGCATTTAGGCAGATATATTAAACATGGAATTAAAGTTTTAAATCCCTTATAAAGAAAACAATCAACCAATTGCGGCAAAGTATTTTCCTATACACTCAATTTAAAATTTATGTAAACCAATCGTGGCAAAGTATTTTCCAACGCACTCTATTGACATTTTTTATAGAAAACATTTAACCAATCGTAGCAAAGTATTTTCCAACGCACTCAATTGACATTTTTTGTGGAAAACAATCAACCAATCGCAGCAAAGTATATTTCTACGCACTCTTAAGGAAAACAAACTGGAAATTTGAAGAAACACCCCCCTGTTGCGTTAGTAGGTAAACAAAGGGCAAAAAATCAATACATGTGGCCTTACACTTTTTCGAGGACAATTCCCTTGGCGTGAGATGCACCTCCGAAGGGATTGGCCTTCCATCTGGTGCCCAAATGGGCTTTTTTGTAGTCCTTATCAGCCCAACGCTGATCCCTACGATGGTTCACATGTTTCCTGGCGGTTTTGAGACCACGGGGCTTACCTTAAAATTTCCAGCAAAAATCGCATAAATACACTTGCAATAACCTTTAACAGTCTTTAAGCAACTAAAGCCCAACGTTTATTTGACAAAAAACTCAGCGGTCAACCCGATGAGAACGGATTTCATTTTAACTTGATGGCCATCGATCAATCATGAACCGACTCAAAAAACAATAAATTCACAAAACTACCGCGAATATTCTGCATACATTGATTTAAAACGTTAATTTAATTTACAAAACACCTCAGTTGGGCTTTTTTTAAGCTTTTTTACGACTAAAAATAACAAACTATGTAAGAACACGACACTCACCCATGTTGACGGTTCTGAAAGTTGACCGGAAAGAACTAGAGCTACCAATCGAAGCGCGAATGTCTCTAGGCGGAAAGTTATATTACAACTGCCAACCACACCGCCGAAAAAAACTAGATTGGAAACTTACAACTTTAAAAATTCCAAAAACAATAGTTTCTACAACTATTATAACTGTAAAATATTAAACATGTAAATTTAATTTACAAACAAAAATCATAACAAATGCAAAAAACACGGTAATAATAAAATAAAAACATTTTTGTGGGGGATTTTTTTGTGCTCACTTTAGTTGGCAGCAGACATACCCAATTTGACGGCAACATACAAGTTTAAATAAATTAAAAGCAATAGTTTTACGAGCATTCTAACTTTAAGATTTAAAACATTTAAATTTAATTCACAAAGAAAAATCATAATGAACGTATAAAACCCCGTAAAAATGAATTAAAAACATTTTTGTGGGGGATTTTTTTTGTCGCACTTAAGTTGGCAGCAGACAAAAATTGATCCAACCAAAAATAAAAAATGACATACCGATTTTGACAGCAGAAGCGCACTTTTTGTATATTTTTTATACAACTAATCGGGTTTTGAAGCTGGATGTTTTTTTTAAGAATCTATTTTAAGCTGAGTCGATATAGTATACTTGGGTTCAACATATTTTCGATTTCTTTGTCCGAAAAACAGGTATTTATAACATTTAATTGATAAAAATGCATTTCTTTGGTTTGTTTATGTTATTGTCTTTTGACAGTAATATAAATAATAATATGTTTTTAGTGAAAATATGGATTGCAAAGTTGAGTTTAACCCCTCGTTTGAGCCCGTAGTTATAATTGAGGACGATAGTGATGAAGATTCTAAAGAGGTAAGACATTTTAACTTCAAAAAGCAAAAACCTAATTATATTTATTGAAGTTAAATGGTGATTATGAAAGAGATCCTCTGGCAACCAACACGGAAGATCTAATAAGATCTATTGGTCCAGAAATCTCGATAATCCCGGTGAAAAAGAAAAGGCCCCAAATAAAAATCAAATTATTTGAAAAAGAGTACTCTCCCTCAAAGGACGATGTTAAAGTACAAAGTGGCTCTAGAGCCCCCAGAACTCATGTAAGACAAGTATCTAAAGATGAAGCCGAGCAAGCAGAAGAAACGTACACAAGAAGAAAATCTTCCCCATTAGAAAAGTGCCCAATCTGTAAAAAGTTCTTTAGACGGATGAAGACGCATTTGTTGAAGCATGATGGTTATATTAGGGCCTCGAACGACCCTCTGATGTGTAATTTGTGCATGAAGGTTTTTAATACTCACAGTAATTTGCAAATACACATTCGGAGCCATACTGGTGACAAACCTTATGTTTGTGAAGTTTGCAACAAGTCATTTTCTCAGTCATGCAATCTGGTGAATCACATGAGAACTCATACTGGTAAGTAAATAAATTTTATAAACAGCATGGCCCAGGTTTCAGGACTTTTTTTATTTAATGAATAATGATATAAAGGTTTTTTAAAAGCATTTTTTAATAATTTTAAGACAAATTTAGACAGTTTAACAGTTTTTAGACAATCTAAAAAATGTTTAGTCAATTTAGATTAGTACCTACAGTTCGTCACCTGAGAATTATAGTGTTCTATCTACATTTTCTTTTTTTTATTCAGGTTAGTCTTGTTTTAAGTCTTAAAGATGATATTGATCTATCTATATATAATTGGGGTAGAAATTGTAAAGTTTAAGGCTTAAACTGTACAATTTCTACCCCAATTATATATAGATAGAACAATATGCATCTTTAATACTTAAAACAAGTCTAACCTGAATAAAAAAAAGAAAATGCAGATAGAACACTATAATTCTCAGGTGACGAGTTGTATTCATTAAAAAAGCGTACAAGAATTAGAATGAGAGGAAACTGTCAACATTATTGCGTAAAACCGGCTTTCCACTGACTTAAGTCACTATAACTGACAGTAGAAAATAAAAATGTCTCGTCAGTTAAAAAGTCTCAAATAGTATCAAGAATCGAAGAAGAATGGTCAATTCGTACTGTGTTATAATAGAAATAAAAAATCTATATTAAAAATTAAGCAACGCTGGGAACAGGAAGATTTACTTAACCAAAAAGTTGGTTCAGGTCGTCCCAAAATGTCCACCCCTGAACAGGATGCTGCTTTTTTGAGATATCTGAGGATTTATGGGAAACTATACAACTATATTATACCTACTATACTGCTGGGAAGATATTAATCCAAATATTGTATTAAATTTAATTCAGTTCATCCCAAATAGATTGGCTCAAGTAATAGAAAAACAGGGATGCATGACTAAATATTAAATTTTTTTTAATGTTTGTTTTTTCATTATTAAAAGGTAATAATTTTTGTAATAATATTTAATTAACCTACGACGTCAATGCTCTTTATAACCTATAATAATTATTTTAATGACTTATGTCAGTGATAAGCCGGTTTTAAGCAATAATATTATTTTGACAGTTTTCTCTCATTCTAATTCTTGTACGCTTTTTTATTGAATACAACTGTACCTATGTTCTGTCATTTTAGTTTTAGCACTGGACTATTTTAAGTTTTAGAACGTTTTTAGGACTCATTTAGACATTTTAATGCATTTATAATTACTAATGATTTGAAAATATTATTTTAAGACCATTTTTTAATAATTTAAATAGTTTTTAGACAATCTAAAACATTTTTAGTCACTTAAAATACTTTTATACATAATTTGGGATATGTTCTGTCATACTTGTGATTTGTTATAGGACAGGACTATTTTTAGTCAGTTTTAAACAGTTTTAAGGACCCATTTAGACATTTTAAGGCAGTTTGAATGACTAATGATTTAGAAAAGGTGTTGGGGAATATTTCTAATATTTGTTTGAAATAGGTTGTCATTTTGTTGTAGGACACTTTTAGGACAGTACTTTTTTAGTTTCACACAGTTTTTAGGACATTTTAAGGCAGTTTTAATGACTAATAATTTAGAAAGATTGGTTTAAGAGCATTTTTGAAAAATTTCAGACATTTTCAACAACAATCAAGAACATTTTTACTCAATTTGGGACACTTTATAACACAATTTTAACATTTTAATGCAGTTTTAATGACCAATGATTTTGAAAGGTTTGTTTTAGGCAATTTTTAGTCAGTTTGGGACACTTTTATACATTTAACATTATTTTGAAATTGGTTCTCATTTTTGGTTAAATTTTATTGAAAATTTTGTTGTAGGACACTTTTAGTTTTAGACAGTTTTTAGGACATTTTAAGGCAGTTTGAATGACTAATGATTTAGAAAAGATTTTGGGGAATATTTCTAATATTTGTTTGAAATAGGTTTTCATTTTGTTGTAGGACACTTTTAGGACATTTTAAGGTAGTTTTAATGACTAATGGTTTAGAAAGATTGGTTTAAGAGCATTTTTTTTTTAATTTTAAGACAATTTCAGACAGTTTCTATGACAATCTAGAATATTTTTACTCAATTTGGGACACTTTAACACAGTTTGGGACACTTATTAATTTAACATTATTTTGAAATTGGTTGTCATTTTTGGTTAAATTTTCATTGAAAATTTTGTTGTAGGACACTTTTAGTTTAAGACAGTTTTTAGGACATTTAAAGGCAGTTTGAATGACTAATGATGATTAAGAAAGATTGGTTTAAGATAGTTTTTTAATAATTTTAAGACAATTTTAGAAAATATAATTTTTAGGACACTTTTATAAATTTAATATAATTTTGATATTTTAACGTAGTTTTAATTAGTAATGATTTAACAAGATTTCTTAGAAGCATTTTTTATTGATTTAAAAAAAAATTGTTCAGTTTAATTGTTTTTTTTTTTGAACATTTAAAACATTTTTATTCAATTTAGGACACTTTTAGATTCATGTTTAGGATATGACTATTTTTAGTCAGTTTTAGACAATTTTTAAGACATTTTAAGAAAATTTTAATGACTTAATATTAATAGATTTTTTTAGGAAATTTTAGGAAAATTTAATATACAATTTTTTAGACAATTTAGAACATGTCACTTATAAATTTATCATAATTTTGAGATAAATTCTTATTTGTAGATATTTGTTTTAGGAAACATTTAGACATTTTAAGGCTGTTTTAATGACTATAGTCATTATAATGATTTAGAAAGATTGGTTAAAATTGTTTTTTAATAATTTTAAAACAATTTTAGACAGTTTAACATAATTTTAAGATTTTCTGTCATTTTAAGACGATTTTAGAAAAAAAACTTACAGTTCATTTTTTTTATCTGGACTCGTTTTTTTGTTAGGTTGGTGGCTTATGCCAGTTTAACTTTTTAGTATTTAAAAATGGTACTTCTGCTAAAGAATTTAATTAAATTAATATTGATAATTTACTTGTCAATTATAAATAAAAAGATAATTATGCCAACAATAATATCAACGAATTCGAATGTAAAAGCCCTTTTGAGGGCAAAACTTTATTTTGATGCCATGGCATTTTCTTCCATTGTGGCATTTGCAAATGCCACAATGGAAGAAAAAGTACATCGCCTTATGGACATTTTTGGAGTAAAAAAGTAACGAATTTGGTTTTATAAATATTACATCACACATTATTTTCACATTATTCACCATTGGACAACATTTACGTTCACAAAAAATTTTAATTTCTTTTATATAAATTCTTTTCAAAGCGAAGATTATTATCCGCTAGGAATACTTTCTCTTCTGGGCCGTAAAGCAGCCTATATTTAACTACTTTTTTTTATATGATTTTACTCATCCAAGCACCACCAAAGCCAAATTAATTGCATTTTTAACTACGAATTTCGATAACTCAACTTGACAACTGCTCAATGTAACCTACAATAATTTATACATAACCACAAATAGATTTATAACTAGCTTAGTTTGTTTTAATCAATGCGACCAACTTGACAACTGTATTTACCAACCAAAACCCTAAATTTGCAACGTTGCCGCAGTCCAGATAAAAAAATGAACTTTACATTATTTGACGAATATATTTTTAGGTGAAAAACCGTTTAAATGCCCCCATTGCGACAAAGCTTTCACACAATCGGGAAACCTAAACAACCACATAAGATTGCATACGGACGAGAAGCCTTTCAAGTGCCATTTCTGCGACAAGGCTTTCGTTCAATCCGGAAATCTTAGCTCGCACATCAAAAACAATCACAAGTTTAAGGAAGAACCCGGTTATATAGAACAGTATTAACTAATTAAAGGTAAAGAGAGTTATTTCTGTATTGCCATCCTACATTTACGACAAAGATTTTTTTAAATTTAGATTTTCAGTATTTTTTTTACTATTATTTAAAATTCCTTTTTTTTGACTGCATATATACAAAAACTGCAATGTGTTGCATTTGTTGCAATTTTTACTTGCTTTATAATATACAGGGTGTCACAAAAATATGGGACATATGGATAGCATAAAAATGCAACTTTTTACTTTCTGTTTCATATTTGACACCTTGTTTTTTTGTATAAAATGGACACACATTAAATAAGACTTTATTTAAAATGATAAATGATGAAAATTGGCACAAACCAAAATTTAATGTTTAGGAAAGTTAGGTGTAAATTAGGGTTATGTTACATTATTCTCTGTATATTCTAAAAGACTAATCTAAGAGACTGTTTTATTTAAGTATTTTTTTTATTAACATTAATACTCACTATACAGGGTGTCCTGGAGATATTAATTTTCCTTAAATCCCGCGACACTCTATTAAAAAACACATATTTCTACGTTGTTTGTTTTGCCTTAAATTTGCTGTGCCATATTTTGCGTGCAATTTTTATAGTTAAATATTCAAAATTAATTTAGCCGTCTAGTCAGTATAACACTCATGGTGGAATGCACAAAATTTAAAAAATTTCGTAAAAAGTCCCCCAAGTACTAATAGGTAATTAAGTACTAAAAGTACTTTGAAATTAAAAAGTACTAGTAATAGAAAATGTTGTTACCAAAGTACTTTTTAGTGCAAAAGTACTTTTTAGTGCAAAAGTACTTTTCTAGTGCAAAAGTACTTTTTAGTACAGAAGTACTTCTGTACTAAAAATTGTTAAAGCACCAAAGTACTAAAAAGCACAAAAATACTAAAAAGTACTTTGGCACTTGAAAGTACTTTGGTAGTACTAATAGGCACTAAAACTATTTTGTACTTAAAGTACGTGGGTACTAAAAAGTACTCTGGTAATAAAAGTAAGGTTCCAAAAAGTACCTTGTCACTAAAAGTACTTTAAGTACTTTTAACACTATGGTACTAAAAAGTACTTTAAAACTTATAATATCAGTAATTTGTATTTCTGTTTCTAATAATTGAAAATATTTAAAAAAGTACTTTCTAGTGCAAAAGTATTTTTAGTACCTCTGTACCAAGTTTTGGTAGTACTAATAGGTACTTAAGAACTAAAAGTACTTTAGCACTAAAAATAGTACTTTTAGTCGTTTTAACACTTTGGTATTTAAAAGTACTTTAATACTTTAAATATCAGTAATTGGTATTCCTGTTTCCAATAATTTTAAAAATTAAAAAAAAATGTGCCAAGTTCCTAATAAAAAATATGATTCAGCCTTGCCATATTTCTTAAAACTTGGTAATCACGAATTTAAAACTTTTGTTCATGAATATTAAAATCACGTATGTTAGTCTTTTGTGCAAAAAAAAAACTACTAAAATAATGGGTGCAATAAATTTCTATTTGATCTCAACGTATTCAATTTGACTGATTTATTTTATGACTATAATTATTTATGTAATAATTTTGTAATATTTTAGTGTCGTGTGAATTTTTATATAATTAAACGGTTGTTTATTAAATCGTTGGTCTAAAGGTACAGGGTTTCGTTTTAGAAACAATAATTTCATGATATTTAAATTTTCTTAAATAAATCCTTTTAAGCCATTTTAAATTTTTGTCCACAGCAAATACATAAACCTAATAAACCCTGTAATTTAAGACCTTAGGGTGTTTTTACAGAAAATGACCTCTATAGAAAGCACCTAGTGTGCTATGGACAACGCCATGCTCTGATTGGTTTATTTCTTTCTACCGAGATCATTTTCTGTAGAAAGTAAGTCGCAAATTTTAAGATTACCTACTTAATTATTGAAGTAAGTTCTTTTAATTTTGCAGAAAATTCAATTCATTTGTCATAATATTTACCCTATATTTAGTATGTCAACGGATATAGGAATGTAGAAAACATGATTGATATTGGCAATTTTAAATAAGCGTTTTTTTGCTTAAACTAAGAACAAAAAAGCTTCCCTGACATGCTAAAGTGTATGTAATAAAAAAAGTTTAAATAAATATATTTAACTTTTTATGCATTATATGGGTGAAATATGAGGCTCAAAATAATCTCATTCTTTACAGAAAAATATTTAAAATAAATTAACTATACATTTAAATTACATAGTAAATACACAATTCAATGTAAGATGTTCCTTGTAATTGTAGTAATTTAAGCCATATTGTAGTTTTATAATTTAAAATAAAATTTATTATGGAAACGTTCTTTTATTTTACATTAAACCGTATTTTTCCAGATGGGATTCTACGGGTCGTGTACACGGTAAAGTGTATAATATTATTTTGAAAATTCGTAATCCTAAACTTTTACTTTTTACTGTCTAAAGAGGTTTTGGCCTATTGCGCAGGCGTCAGAATGTTTGGCACTGAACTTTATTTATCCTTAGCCCTAAATATAAAGATTTAATTCAAAACAATTACTATTTGAGTTAAAAATTAAAAAAATATTTTCATATTATCTTTAAATTACGTACCTAATATTTCTTTACCTTATTTGGTAGATAGTTATTGGTATAACCAATTATTAATTAAACACCCTGATATGTTACTATTTCTTTTTTTATTTTAACCATTTTAATTTTTGCATAAACCCGTAGTTATAAGGAAAACACTCATAAATAGCGCTTTCTTCGCCTGTTAGATAATGTACAATTTTTAAATACTCAAGTAAACAACTGTTTTATTGTATTATTTATTTATACCATTATTAATTTATATAATTCATTCCTCCACAAAGGGATTTTTTCCCTTTAAAAAACCATCAACACTATTGCCCCAATAATTTTCCCAACTGGCAATATAATCAACATTATCATCACCATTTAAATTCAATGGTTGTGGGTTGCCAAAGGTATAAGACAAAACAGATAAAACAACAAACACAAAAAGAATCTAAAATATTTTTTTAAAAATTTTGTTTTATGAATTAAAAGTAAACTTACCTTTCTTAAAAACATGTTTTTTTATTTAATGCAAGGAACAAAAATAATAACGATTTTTTTAAACGAATAACTTATCTTATCAAACCTATTACAGTAAAATAATAATTTTGCAGAAATAAAGTTGCACTAAAATAAAAAGTAATTCATTTTTTTAATTGAAAGCTGTGTTAGTAACCATACCTATAGGTATGTATACAAGTTGTAGTCACATATTTTTTTAAATATGTGGTTGTGGTCTATAAAAATACACTGTTTAATGTTCTACAGATAAAATTAATTTTTTTAATTATTATAACCCAGGTAGCACAACGTGACGAAACCGTGACGATTTGTGTCCATTGTGTCCAATTGGACACAAATCGTCACGGTTTCGTCACGTTGGGAAATTATTTTTTGGAAAGTTTTTTGATATTAAAAAAAATTATATAATTTCATACATTTTATTTACACAAAAATAGCCTTATAGGTATAATATAATAATAAATAGAAAAAAAAGAGTAGCCAACAGATTTTTGTGATAATATAGAAGGGATAGTTCCAAAAAAAAATTAGAAATAAAATAAGAGGATTTCAGTGAACAAATTGATATAGGATATTACTCCAAACAATTGGGATTACTGTTCGTGTCAGTGTCCAAGTAGATTTTTTAGTTTAAACATAATAATTATTACCGCAGTAGTGCGAAATTTCTAACAATTTTTTAGTTATTGTGTTGCCCAAGCACGTTAGTCATCTTCGCTGAGTTTGGATTATAAGTGTCTTTGTTTTGGTCGTTCTCTTAAATTAATGGGTTTATTGCCTTACGCGTGAGTTGATGACAGATTTATTGTCCTACTCAGCTTTCGTGTAAATTACCGTAGGATGGGGCGGTTTTGTTTTTTTGTTATGTCTTTATTTTTGGTGTTTGCTTACTATTGTCTTACAAATGTTTCTATTGTTACTGATGCACTTTGTTTACTTTATGTTTCTAGAGTTTAAGCACAGTGCCTAATTTAAGTTTTAAGGTAACTGTTGTGTCCAATGTTGCAAATTTTGTGTTAGGTCATGCAGATGTTTAAGGTTACTTATCCGATTTTGCAGATGGCCCTTTCCTTCCTTGGTTGTCATCTTCTGTTTGTCTCGTGAAAATTATTCAATTGACAGGTGGTAAGACCACCCTGTAGCTGACACTCATCACTTTACACTTTCTTGAGCATAGGGTGGTCTCTACTCACTATATATGTTATACTATATTTTATTTGCATTTTAGTAGATATTTTTGGGTTTTAAGCTTTTATGTTTCGCTATGCGAGACATCTTGCCGTTTCCAGTGTTTTATATCATTAAAAAACGAGAATTATTAAAAATAATACGAAAAATCACATGAAAAAGTCAGAAAAAGGATCAGATAGGATTTCCATAAAAGGTGTTTATTAATGCGGGGGGTGTCTCTAACAATACCCTACTGTTGGTTTTTGTTTTTGTTAACCCGACCTAGACCCCTGTGCAAAGGTTAATATTTTCGTCAAAAACCGAAAAAATTGACATTTTATTCGATTAATTGTGTAATCTGGGAACGCTGCTGAAATAAGGAAAGAAAAAATAATGCGACTTTTTGTAAAAATTTATTAAAAGACATAATAATAACATTAGTAAGTCCCTGCCTGAATTACAAATCTACAAAAATGACTCATTAGTATTTATAATGAACTAAAAAAATAAATAAATCAAAGGATGTGACCAAAAAAATTCCTACAGTTCATCGTGCAAATCACTGTTATCACTAGCGAGTTCCCTGCAAGCAGCAGGAGTGGAAAACTCGAACAAATACTCGCACCGATTCGGTTCGGAGACCGAGGTTACTTTATTTTCGCCCCCACACGCAACATTCACGTGCGTCAACCTCTGAGGCCCGTTCCAGCAACTCTGCCCCTTCTCGAAGAGCATGCTCGAGTAGATGTTGTCCTGGTTGCCCGACCACCTGCCCCAGGCGCCGAGGCGTATCTCCGACGCCCCAGACACGGGCACCTGCAACGTGTGTCTGAAGGGGCACAGCTTGTAGATGTACTCGTGGTCGTGGTAGTCGTAACACTCCCCGTCCAGGGACGCGAACTCCTCTTCCGGCCCGAAATCCTTCTCCAAATACTCCTTAATGTCTTTTATTTCCGCATCGATGTCGCGCACTTGCTTGTCCGCATCTGCGGATTCCTTGCGGGCGGAATCCGCTTCCGCGATAAGCCTTTGAGTTTCTTCGTCGTAAGTTATCGTTGGTGAAGGTTCTTCCGCTCGTTCTTCCTCCGCTTCGTGGTGGTCTTCTTCCTGTTCTTGACCTTCTTCCTCATCTCCTATAAAAAGATTTAAGTCGCAAGTTTTATCAGAACTGTATTGAATCGGGCTTGGTTTTTATATTTTTCGCCTCTATACCTATGCACGACCATAGTCAAACTCAATGGTGTCTTACAAGATACATTATTTTTAATTTCTATATTCAACAGAGAGGTAGAAACTCGACCCTGTCAAATGGTGCAGTCATTTATGTCTCTAGAAATTATTGAAAAAGGGTTCAGTCCCATGGTGCAGCAACTTCGGATTACTATTCTCTTCAGAGACATAGAAACTCGAGCTTTTCGAATTTTACTGGCAATGATTTTTGTTAATGTCCCCGAGAAATATACATAAACAGTGCAATGCAATATCGCAACGGTTTCGACTTCTCTTTACTCTACCAAGTTATAGAAACTGGAGTCTCTCAAATACTGTTCTAGTCAATATTTCTGAGAGTATAAAAAGAGGGTGTAATGCGGTTTTGTTTTTTTTGTTATGTCTTTATTTTTGGTGTTTGCTTAATATTGTCTTACAAATCTTACTATTGTACTGATGCACTTTGTTTACTTTATGTTTGTTTCTAGAGTTTAAGCACAGTGCCTTATTTAAGTTTTAAGGTAACTGTTGTGTCCAATGTTGCAAATTTTGTGTTAGGTCATGCAGATGTTTAAGGTTACTTATCCGATTTTGCAGATGGCCCTTTCCTTCCTTGGTTGTCATCTTCTGTTTGTCTCGTGAAAATTATTCAATTGACAGGTGGTAAGACCACCCTGTAGCTGACACTCATCACTTTACACTTTCTTGAGCATAGGGTGGTCTCTACTCACTATACATGTTATACTATATTTTATTTGCATTTTAGTAGACATTTTTGGGTTTTAAGCTTTTATGTTTCGCTATGCGAGACATCTTGCCGTTTCCAGTGTTTTATATCATTAAAAAACGAGAATTATTAAAAATAATACGAAAAATCACATGAAAAAGTCAGAAAAAGGATCAGATAGGATTTCCATAAAAGGTGTTTATTAATGCGGGGGGTGTCTCTAACAATACCCTACTGTTGGTTTTTGTTTTTGTTAACCCGGCCTAGACCCCTGTGCAAAGGTTAATATTTTCGTCAAAAACCGAAAAAATTGACATTTTATTCGATTAATTGTGTAATCTGGGAACGCTGCTGAAATAAGGAAAGAAAAAATAATGCGTCTTTTTATTGTAAAAATTTATTAAAAGACATAATAATAACATTAGTAAGTCCCTGCCTGAATTACAAATCTACAAAAATGACTCATTATTATTTATAATGAACTAGAAAAATAAATAAATCAAAGGATGTGACCAAAAAAATTCCTACAGTTCATCGTGCAAATCACTGTTATCACTAGCGAGTTCCCTGCAGGCCGCAGGAGTGGAAAACTCGAACAAATATTCGCACCGATTCGGTTCGGAGACCGAGGTTACTTTATTTTCGCCCCCACACGCAACATTCACGTGCGTCAACCTCTGAGGCCCGTTCCAGCAACTCTGCCCCTTCTCGAATAACATGCTCGAGTAGATGTTGTCCTGGTTGCCCGACCACCTGCCCCAGGCGCCGAGGCGTATCTCCGACGCCCCGGACACGGGCACCTGCAACGTGTGTCTGAAGGGGCACAGCTTGTAGATGTACTCGTGGTCGTGGTAGTCGTAGCACTCGCCGTCCAGGGACGCGAACTCCTCCTCCGGCCCGAAATCCTTCTCCAAGTACTCCTTAATGTCTTTTATTTCCGCATCGATGTCGCGCACTTGCTTGTCCGCATCTGCGGATTCCTTGCGGGCGGAATCCGCTTCCGCGATAAGCCTCTGAGTTTCTTCGTCGTAAGTTATCGTTGGTGAAGGTTCTTCCGCTCGTTCTTCCTCCGCTTCGTGGTGGTCTTCTTCCTGTTCTTGATCCTCTTCCTCATCTCCTGTAAAAAGATTTAAGTCGCAAGATGATCGGCCAGATCAGGGTGGAAGGAGGTGATTCAACTCCGTCGTTGAAGGGCGGCCAGATAAGTCAGTATTTGTTAAAAATCAAAATAGATGGCGCCAAAAATAAGAACCTATTTATTTTTTTAAATCCCGGTGCACAACAAACTTTTTCCATTTTTAGTAAAATTGCATTGATTAACTTCAAAGAATAGACCACTAAGCTTAATTAAAATTCAAATGAAACCATTTTAACGTCACTTTTGTGCGTTTGTAGCGACTGTGCATCTTGGCAGAGAAGTTGGCAATACTACAGTATTGCCAATCGTTTTTCAAATTATTATAATAATGCTGTAAGAAAAGATGTAATTTTCGTTAAGGAGGGTAGAAGACTCTCCTTGGGTTTTCGTTATCTTATAATTTGTTGTTAAGTTAAGTTAAGTTGCCATATGGCACCAACGAAATCCATATATTCTATATAGAATATATGGATTTCGTTGGTAAAACCTTAGGTTCTTAGTTGACTCGCCATCTAACGAAATACTGACTTATCTGGACGCTTGCTTCTGTTCTGTAGAGATAGGAGCTATATCACCTTCTTCTTCCACCCTGGGCCAGATCATGCAAACACAGCAAACGGAAAAATATAGAAGTGGATAGGATGACTCCCCGTTTGAATACTAAATCCTAAAGTTTTATCAGAACTATACACAATGGTCAAAACACAAAAATGCCAACCAAAACTGATAGCATATTTTGATTATAGACCTTTTTGGTAACACTAACATGTATTTATCAAAATCCCAGCTGATCCTATTTTAAAGTTTTGCAAACTTTTTTGTTTTTCAATTTCTATATGTTATTTTGCAATTATTGTACTAAAACTACCTGTACAATTTTAAGAAAATTAAGCAAAATAATAAACTTTGTATCATTTAAATTACTTTGCTCCCCAGTATTAATTTATTGAGTCACCTATTATTTTTTACCACTCAAAACAAAACAAAAAAAACGAAGATTTATATCTTAAATATTTTTTATAACAAAAAATACTGGAAGTTTGTCATTAAAATAATTACAACTTGCAAATTAAGATGGTTATGAAAAAAATTGCTATACGTTATAACGCAAGTGACATTTTGCTTTAGTTGTTTATTTAATGTATACTTTATAAAGTTAAAAATAGTATTTTAAAATGAAAATTAAACCGAAATTCAAGTTAAGCCATGAAGAAAATCGAAAGAAGGTATGTGCTAACTGTGGAGACAAAATTGTTTTTAATAATCGAAAAATTCAGAGTTTAGGGTTTCTGAGAAAATATAAAAATTACTGCAGACTTTTTCAAACGAACACTTTAACTTGGATTCAAAATTACCTACTTAATATGGTAATATGGTATTTTTGCATAGCCACAATTGCCAAATTTTCAAAATTTAGAAATTGCTAGGGAATGTGCTTTATCTGCAAATTGGCAAGATATAAAGGGCATAAAAAATTATTAAGGGAAGAGGACGGACGAACGAACTAAAGTTTTGATATGCTCTTCCTTTCTAGGGGATATCGCTAGATGTAAGAAGCATGTTTGTACAAAGACTGAAGAATTTAAAAATACTGTTTCCATGTTAAAAACAATTCCATGTAAAACCCAAGAAAAAGTTTTACTGAAAATTTAAGGCAAGCAGTAATCAATTTTGCTTCAAAGAATCTTTAGTTATTTATTAGTTTTGTATAAGGTACCTTAAAACAATAAATAAGATATTGCAAACTGTATTTTACATTATTTTGTATTTATAATGTAATTTATCCATATTTCAGTCATGTATCTGCCAAATTTTTAAAAACATTTGATATGGTACTAGAGTATTTTATCGAAATGGCATAAACAATACTAAGAAATATGCAAAACTTTAATAAAGGATCAGCTGGGATTTTGATAAATACATTTTTGTGTTACCAAAACAGTCAGTGGCATTTTTGTTCGACCTATACTCCTAGTTTTGACCACCCATACTCCTAGTTTCGACCTATACTCCTAGTTTTGAAACTCAATGGTGTCTTACAAGATGCATTATTTTGATTTTCTATATTCAACAGAGAGGTTGAAACTCGACCCTGTCGAATGGTGCAGTCATTTATGTCTCTAGAAATTATTGAAAAAGGGTTCAGTCCAATGGTGCAGAAACTTCGGATTCCTATTCTCTTCAGAGATATAGAAACTCAAGCTTTTCGAATTTTACTGGCAACGATTTTCGTCAATGTCCCCGAGAATTATAAAAAACAGCGCGATGCAATATCGCAACGGTTTCGACTTCTCTTTACTGTACAAAATTATAGAAACTGGAGTCTCTCTAATACTGTCCTAGTCAATATTTCTGAGAGCATAAAAAGAGGGTGTAATTCAATATTGCAAGAAGTTTTCATCTTTTGATGGAAACAAGTATTTTGAATATTCTCATTTCTGCATATTATTTTGTTGAAAACAGTTCCTTTCTTTTGTTCCTTTGTCTGATTTTTATTTACCGTTACAACTCAGGTATGTAAAGCACAGAGGATAATATCAAACTATTACTTCTAAAAGCAATAATAATTATTGTACATTTAATGTAATCTTTAGCTAATAAATAAATGAGATTCTAAAAAAGTGAGGTTGGGCCGCTTTGATGTTGAATTAAATTGACCTATATAATGTGCTTTGAAGATAAAATGTTGTATGCCATTCGGCCAAGAAGTGCCTTTTTGTGCTTCGCTCAATTGAGCTTAGCACAAAAAGCCTTACTTCTACTACCTAATGACATAAATACCTATTACATCATATTATGAGATGAGAAAAAGAATCGTGCGTTTTCTTGGTTGCCTAACCTCACTTTTTGTTTTATTATTCATATTTAATTTTACAATAATTTAATGAAAAATATTAAACATTAACAGTAAAACGAACAAATTAGTGCTTATTATAAATAAATTAAACCAGTTTAGTACGTTAATTTCTTAGAAAAGGATTAATTTGTCAAAACAATACCCCTAGCGAGAAAAAATCGAACTAATTACTTGCCTCATAAAATTTTTTATCGGCCTAGGCCATAACAAGGTATTTCTTTATCGAATGTTGACAACAATAAAGTTTAAATTATAGACCGCGTGGAGATAAAGTATATTTATGTATTATATAAAGTACCTATATTTGTATTAAAAATTTCAGGTTATGTTGAAAAAACGATCGATATGATATTAAACTTTAATAATTTAGTAATGAGGTCTGTTGGTATATGTACAGCAATATTTAAATCTGGTTGATCAAAAGGTACACACCAATGCAGGTTATTGTAGCATCTATGAACAAACGAATTAATGGCTCATTGGCAATTATTCCTTTAGAAAAAATATTCAACACAACTCAATTAATTAATAAAATGAACTGTGTGACTGCACATCATACGATGGTGACCATTTGTGTTGTTTAAAATTCTTGTGCTTCGGGTTTGTACAGATTAATAATCGTTTTAAACGTTGTGTTTCTTACAGAGAGACTTGCAAGCCTTAAAAGAGACCTCAAAGTGGTAAGGACAATCATTTTACTCCTCTTTTGTAAAAATTAAACCTTATTCTATCAGGGCTGTCAAATGTCAATTTGAAGGTTAATTTAAGGTTATTTTATAACCCACACTGAAGAGAATAGGAATCTGAAGTTTCTGGACCATTGGACTGAACCCTTTTTCAATAATTTCTAGAGACATAAATGACACGTGAGAAATATAAAATTCATCTTTAAAATTACTACCCAGTTTAGGTGGAGCACCAACTATAACAGGTCACACAATTGAACATGAGACATCATCATCATCTGTCATCTGTCACAGATGTTGTCTTGAGGTTACAATGGCGTATAAATTAGGGGACTGGGCAGTGTTACCAGATTCTGTCAAAAAAGGACCGTACGTTTCGTTCGAATTTACCTTAATTACAAAATGACACAATGAAACAATGCAAATAAATGCAATTATGTCAAGTTGACGTTATTTAATATTGTCCATTGAGTCATTTTTGTAATTAAGGTAAATTCGAACGAAACGTACGGTCTTTTTTTGACAGAATCTGGTAACACTGATAATCTTATAACTTAGGTAGGTATATTTTATATTTTAAGTGTAAGTTAAAATGACTGATAGAAATTATTTTAACATATATTACAACTCTAGAGATGTATGGCTCTGAGGTACAGATATATACGTGACGTACTCATGCATATTATGACGATTATAACTTTTACAACTTTTCGAATCGTTATATCTCAGAAACGGTGGCTCGTAGGAAAAAAAGTATTGATACATTTTTATAGATAATTTTGTCTGGGGTATTTTTATGATAAAACTGAAAATCGCGAAAAACTCATTTTTTTGACCTTTGACCTTGAATAAAAAAATTTCCATACAGGGGAATGATGGGGATCTAAAATTTTATTTATAATTATATTCTGAACAATTTTACTGATTTTCAGCTTGTTGTAAATTTATGTACCTTCAAATGTCTAGATTGACTGGTCTACATAGTTCTGATAAAACTTTAAGATTTAGTATTCAAACAGGGAGTCATCCTATACACTTCTATATTTTTCCGTTTGCTGTGTGAGAACTTTTGCAAACTTTACCTTCAATATGTTCCTCATCGCCTTCAGCATCCTCTTTTGCTTCCACCATGGGTGGTTTGTACAAACTACCTGACACTGCGAGTTTGTGGCCCTTTATCAAGGGCCAAGCTTTTTCGATGAAAGCTACTTCGTCCAGGGACTCCTCGTTGCTCAAAAAGTATTTAGCTTCCTCTTCAGAAACTTAAACAATAAACAACATCTTCAAGTTAAGTACAAGAAACATTGGGCAGTGATTTATTTTTTAAGTTTTAGGAAATATCGAAAAAGAAATTGTTCTTTCTGGACAAAAATTATATGATCCAAAAGCAAAGCAAAGTTAGTAGGACGCAAATTTTATAATCCATAATTAGGTGCCAATTAAATGCATTAATTAATAGTATATTATGTATCAAGTTTGATAAACGCCATTTTTGTCACGAATTTAAATTAGGCACGAGCGTGTTTGAGTGTCTAGAAAAGTTTAAAAACGATACTTTTTCTACGACAAATTGGCCATTTCAAGCAGACGGACGGGACACACCTGTTTTTATAAAAGAAATTGTAGGGAATTTATTATATATTATTTTTGCATCAAAATTATCAAATATATTCTTCTTTTATTAGGCTATACATTAAATAAAAAAAATCGCAAGAAATATTTTATAAAAGTAGAGATAATTTCAATATTTGATAGGTGTGGAGGAGACAACTTTCAATTATTAAAATTATCACTAATTTTATAAAATATTTTTTGCGTTTTTATTTATTTAATGTATAACCTAATAAAAGAAGAATGTTTTTGAGAATTTTGATGCCAAAATATTATATAATAAATATTTAACATTTTTTTTATAAAAACAGTTTTGTGTTTCGTGCGTTTCGCGCGCTTGAAATTGCCGAAATACTTAATCTAAAAAATGATTTAAATTAAGTATTTGTACAAAGCGACATCTTTACGAAAATAAATTTATTTACATGCAATTAAAAATTCGCCGATCTAAGGATAATAAAAGCGTCATTAAGATGACGCTTTTATTAAACGATTTTATGTAATTCTTACGATAAAACTAAAACAAACACCAGTGTTGCCAATCTGCGAGTAATTTCGAGTGGTTTGACGAATTTTATAACGTTTTATTTAAAAAGCAAAGTAAATAAAGTAAACCCAATCCAACACTTCAACAAAGGAATATTATAATAAAAAAGGAGCATTGAATTTTAAATTAGTGTATTAAATAAGCATTTAACTATCCAAACATTTTGACATCCATTTTATAATTATTTATTAGCCATTACCCAAGATACATACACCTTACTGCATTACCATTGTTCTGCTTTTTCCAAAATTGGCAGAACACGTTTTTAATAGCATTACATGTTTAGTTAGTGCATTTAATTAGCACCTAATTATGGCATTATAAAATTTGCTTTGCCAGCTTTAGAGACAAGTTTAAGTTAGTTTTTAAATACAGGGTGACCCATTTGTTGCGACTCACCCCTGTAAAATCTTTATTTGTTGTGCGATTTTAACCGAATTTGTTTTAAAGTGTAGATCATGATAAACTGTATTTTTAATACAAAATACTAAATCAGTTTTTTATAGAGAATTTTTAAGAATTCATATTAGCGATTTTTTTAAAACAAAATCAAAGCGAGGCACAGGATTCACCACCACTTAAAACGACCCTTTACTAGATATTATTGAAAATTTTTAAGTAGAAAAATGCACAATAATAACTACAAAAATTCATTCTGTCAAAAAAAATTGGAATAAAATTAAACTTATAGTAATAGTACCATGTTGCTATTAGTTTTTTCAATGTTTTTTTCATGGATAATTATCCAGTTAACTTGACAAAATAAATTTTTGTAATTATTATTGTGAATTATTTTTCTCAAAATTTTTCAATAAAGTTTTGAGGGGTGGTGAAACCAGTGCTGTGCTTAGATTTTGTTTAAAAAAATCGCTAATATGAATTCTTAAAAATTTTCCCTTAAAACCTGACATAGGTTTTGTATTTTTCAAAAATATGGCGTTTTTTGCTAGAAAAATACAGTTTATCAAGATCTACACTAAAACAAATCCGGTTAAAATCGCACAATAAATGAAGATTTTACAGGGGTGAGTAGAAAACAAATGGGTCGCACTGTATGTAACGTAATTTTGACATTTCAAATTATGTTTTAGATTCTTTAGTCAGTTTTGAATATAGACATATTAACGACCATCGTCGTGAATTGAAGTGAAGTGTGCCATAAGTGAACCAAAATGTCAACTACAAGTTTGTTTTATTTAAGTTAAATTGACAGAGCCTGGAGTAGATTTTGACAGGTAACAATCCATATTATCAATGGAAACTTTTAAGATAATAAAATTTTAATTATGATCCATTAAATCAGTTCCTAAATAAACAAATATGCAAATATCTTTTATTGAGAATTCTCATTTATAATTAAATTATGCATAAAACAGTTGACAGATTGGTTCACATTTCGTGAATATAACCGTCTGATTACAGTATATTAGTTTTTAAAAGTATGCTTTAAGTTAGTAAATTTATGTCATTTTAATATTTAATTTCTAAATAAATTTACCATATAGGTACTATGCTCCACACCTCAAAGTCCCACCACGTGAGCACGTACGGAACGCAGTCTTTTGAAAATTTGGCATTTAAGGCTTTTTAGGTTATGTATCTGTCAAAGTATAGTTAACGAGAGAAATAATATTATGTTTAGGAGTTAAAAATGTATAAATCTTTATAACATAACAATAACAATGGATGGTTTAAGAATTTAAGATATAAATACTGCATTTAATGAAATTCCAAAGTGTATGGTGCCAAATAAGTAATATTTTTGTGCATTTGGTCTAAAAATCTGGTTTTCTCCATAAAATAATTTTAACTAAACAGCATTTATTAAAAAAAATCTAGCTTCTTTATTATGGAATAAGAATATCTGTATTAAAGGTAGGTTAATATATTATAACAAAAATATCATCTAATTTTGTAATTTTAAGGTTAGAAAAATTTATTTTGACCAAAATAAATAAGTATTTTGGATTATTTAAAAATGTGGTAGTTTTTCTTATCCAGCTTAAAGTGTACCTACATAAAGTTTTGTCAATACAAATAGTTAAAAAGCTTCAACTGAATTTGATCTATATCAAAAAATCATTATAACTTTAAAAATTTTAATAAATCACATGTCATGGGAGTATTAAATATTTTCAAATTGCAAGTTTCTCTAAAAATTGTATTCTTAAAATCTAACTTAGTAGGTATGCCGAGAGGTATGCACAAGTTTTGTCATTAGAAGTATAAAAGCTTTAATTTAATTTGAACCATATTAACAATTATTTAGTAAACCTATATTTATTTATGACCATATTAACATACTCTTCCAAATAATCCACTTATTTATTTTGGTCAAAATAGATTTTTCTAACCTTAAAATACAAAATTGGATGTTATTTTTTGTTCTAATACATTAACCTACCTTTGACATAGATATTCTTATTTCATAATAGAGAAGTTAGATTTTTTTTAATAAATGCTGTTGGTTAAAATTGGAATTTCATTAAATGCAGTATTTATATTCCTAAATTCTTAAACCAACCATTGTTATACTATAAAGATTTATTAACTTTTAACGCTTAAACATAATAAGCGGTAACCACAGACCTTTGTAGGTCTGTGGCGGTAACACAATAAATATTATTTCTTTCATTGACTATACTTTGACAGATACATAACCTGAAAAGCCTTAAATGCCAAATTTTCAAAAGACTGCGTTCCGAACGTGGTCACGTGGTGGGACGTTGAGGTGTGGTCCACACCGTGTGGAGCATAGTAGGTACCTCAACAAATGGGAAAATGTAATCTTTTTTTATTGTTTAATATTTCACCTTAAATATAATAGTTATATGAATTATTCATTATTATAGGTACTTTATGTTTATAACATGAGTATAATTTTGTTTATTTGCTTTATGATTAAGTATAATAAACTGTGATATATATTATGATTATAAATCTGTAATTCATTTAATCTACAATTGTCATAAACAGTCTAAAATATGTTTTGGACAATTTTTTAGATAAATCATAAAAATATTTTTCTTTTAAAAATTGTAAGTAGGTATTGATAAAAAAAACCTATTTTAATGTAATGAATTAATATCAATAAAAAATTTACATTTATTATTGAGTTATTTATGCAAAGATAATTTTTGAAAAACTTAAAAATAAAATGTAAAGCAATACAAATAGATAAATATTCATTGTATTTAATAAAAAAAATTTCAACCTACCTTCACCATTCTTGTCCTTATCCAAAACTGGTATTTGCTGAAGTTCGGACACATCAACTAACAAGTCCTGATTTTTGTCGTAGATTTTAAAATCCGCCAGAGCTTCTTCTCTATTTTTGGCGGCCTCAAATTCCGCTTTCCTTTGCTTCTCCTCCTCCTCTATGACTCTGTACTTTTCCAAAGCAGATTGTTCCAAATCCTGGGCCCTCTTCAGGATCTCGGCCTTTTCCGCCTTCAATTTATCAGCCTCATCTCTGTTCTGCTCCAGTTCCACGAGTTTGTTAGTCTTCTCCTCTTTCAGCTTAACACCTTTTTGACTTAATGTTGCCCTGAGTTCTTTCCCCACTTTAATCAATTCAGCCATTCTTTGGGCCTCCTCTTTGGCGGATTTCCCCAACTCCAGGCAGTTGTTCGGGCACCGTACCCCGCTCTCGTACTCATCGGTGCCGTCGCAACAATCGCAGATGCCATCGTTCACCCTGTTCGAGGGGAGGTTTTCGGCTTTGTGGCCAGCATTCGTGCAGTAAAAACTTCCGTTCGGGCAGGCGGAAGTGCCGGGTTCGTCGCTACCGTCCGGGCAGTCGCAATAATCGTCGTTCACGTGCGAGAAAGGGATCGTTTTCGAACCATCGAAACAAGCGAACTCTTTATTCGGAATGTACAGCGAAGATCTCGATAGTGAAACGCCCCTCGGTCGTGGCACTTCAGAAGACAAAATTCCGCAAGTAAATACTAAAATCACAAGTAATTCGTGCATATTTTCAATTTAAAGCATCACACACACATCAACACCGGTGAATTTCTGATAATTTGACAAGAGTCTGCGATGTTGCCACTTGTTTAATAACCTCTTAAATTTCATGTAGAAAAAAGTTACGTGGCACAGTGTTTCAATTCTCGAAATTTTCGGCAAAATATCAAGGAGTAGTCGGATTCTCCTAAAAATCCGTTTATAGAGGTTTTTAGGGTCGCTGATAACGAATCTGGAATCAGAATTCCAAAATTCAAAATGGTAGATCCAAAATGGCGGACATATTTGTCAAAAAATTGACGGAATAAATTGAAAATCACTATATGTACTAGGGTATTTCATTTAAAACAAAAAAAAATTTTTCTTGCTCACACATGAAAATTTTGTTTTTTAGGTTGAAAAAAAAATTCCCTGAAAATTTGGGCCCTTAACTTTTATTCTAAGTACCTACTTTCTTTTTAATTTTGTAGTTTTTCCATATAAAAAGCATGTATTTTTAATCATTTTTACTTTAAATTTCTATATTTTGGCTGGGTTTTGAATTATAATTTTTATCACCATAATTTCCTGCATAGTCCCAAGCAGCATTTTTGGTTCCAAAAACCATTGCCAAAGTGGTGATAACTTTAAATTAGTTAAGTATACTAAACAGCTACTTTAATTTTTACTTAAAAGTAATTCTAACTTTTAAATAGCAATATTTTGTAACAGAAACTTAATTTTTCCTTAAATTGTTACTATAAAGTAATAAACATTTAAGTAAAACTTGGTTGCCCCCAAGAAGACTTTGCAACTTTAAAAAAGATGTTATAAGTAAAAAAAACTTTCAAGTAAATTTAATTTGTAGCAGTTACTTTCGGTTGCTACCTAAAGATTACATTATAATTATTTTTACTTTGTAGTCCCTTTGCAAGTTAAAATCTCGAAACTGGAACATGAGTTAAAAACTACAAAGTTAATAACTTAAAAGTTATTATTTTAGTATTTGGAACGTTTATGGTACTAACCAAAACAACCGTAAAGTGGAAAAAAACTTTAAAGTAGCGAAAACTACTTCAAAGGAAAATGCTTCTTATCGGCCATTTTTTACTGTACAGTACCACGTGGTAATGTAAATAATAAATTATTTTAATTGTTTGTAAATGGTTGTTTACTTTTTAATAAATAGAAATATTGTTGGTAATAGACGGTATTAATAATTAAATAAAAAAAATAATAATAAATATTAAGATTTTTTAATTTATAAACATTACTAAATAAATAATTTGTTTATACTTAAATATTGATGAAGCGCATTTATTTTACAAAAACTAAATTCATAAGTTCAACAGTAAAATTTAAAGGGTTTATAAATCTACCTGTCTAATTAAATATTATATTGTTATTCTGGAAGTTATAAACTACCAGTACATATTTAATAAACGACGACATTGAAAAGCCAAGTCCGTAGTGGTTCCATTTAAAAAAGGAGGGATATAATCTAATATAAGTTTGACAAAGACAGTTAATATAGAAGTAAAAACAAATAATAAAAGTAATTATAACGCTCTAGCAACGATATTGGAACGTTCTAGTAACGTAGCAGCTACGTCCCAAATAGTAGCAGGGTTGGTAGCTAGTGACATATTTGCTACCTTTTTGGAACTTAATAATTGTTCCCCACTTTAGTCGTAACGTAGTAATGAAAGAGTAATATAAAGAGACCGGCGACTGTCGCAAAACACTTTGAAGTTTCTTCAATAGTCCCATATACGTAACAAATACTTAAATTGTTGCTTGGGGTATTCACGGTTTTTGAAAGGCCCTGCATCAATTTTGTTTTTGATTTATTTACGTTGATTGTAGTAGCTCCAAAAGTCGTTTTTTTCACTTTTTTTCACAAATTTTTGAGAAAATCGAGCGAATGACTGGTTTTACCGAAAAAGTTCAAATAAAAAAGTTGTAGGAAATTTAATTTTTGACAAAAAAGGTTCTTACGTTTATATCACTTAAGTGCTCTGTTTAAGAGATATAAGCAATTCAATAACCAAAAACAAAGAAAAAATAGGTTTTATTGAAATTTATGTAATTTGATTCAACAACTTTATATTGCTTATATCTCTTAAACAATGCACTTTAGTGATATGAACGTGAAAACCTTTTTTGTCAAAAATTAAATTTTCTACAACTTTTTTATTTGAACTTTTTCGGTAAAACCAGTCATTCGCTCGATTTTCTCAAAAATATGTGAAAAGAGTGAAAAAACGGCTTTTGGAGCTACTACAATCAACGTAAATAAATCAAAAACAAAATTGATGCAGGGCCTTTCAAAAACCGTGAATACAATATAGTATATGCATATGCAGAAAATTATGGTGATAAAAATTATAATTCAAAACCCGGCCAAAATATAGAAATTTAAAGTAAAAATGATTAAAAATACATGCTTTTTATATGGAAAAACTATAAAATTAAAAAGGAACTTCCTTTAAGGAAGTACTTAGAATCTAAATTAAGGGCTCAAATTTTCAGGGAATTTTTTTTTTCAACTTAAAAAACAAAAATTTTATGTGTCAGCAAGAAAAAAAAAATTTCGTTTTAAATGAAACACCCTATATTATGTACATTGTTTTTGGGGTCGCTGATAACGAATCTGGAATCATAATTCCAAAATTCAAAATGGTAGATCCAAAATGGCGGACATATTTGAATAAAAATTGACTGAATTAATTGAAAATCACCATACCTACAGGGTTTTTGTGGTCTGATAATGAATCTGAAATCAGAATTCCAAAATTCAAAATGGTGGGCATTTTTATCAAATATTGTCGAAATTAATTAAAAACCCGTAAGAGGTTCTTTTTAAAATGTAATAAAACATCTTTTTATAAAATAGCTTAATTTAGTTTATTGTAATTACATTTATATGATATTATTTAATACCTAGGTAAGTAGCTACTTATATATAAAACAATCTCCGCTCTTTTTCGGAGCAAATTTTCTGAAGCTAGAAATATACGGATCGGAAGATGTCATAAGCCAATGGAAAACATCTCCCATAGTTTTCTCCCGAGAAACTTTTAAAATTTATTTATAAAATTTAAATATAACAGATTTTATACCAAGTATTTTAAATTTGTATTATTTCTTTTACTTAATATTTTAGCAACGATTTCTTAATTTTTATAAAAAAATTGTCAACACAAATAACCACAATTCAAATTTGACATTATAATGTGTGGAATTTGCGTGTAAACTTTATCTTTAAATTAACAATGCTTATAACAAGCATTTAAATAGATATATTTGCAAATGCGCATTTTAGTTATTTAGTTATATAGACGAATTTCTGTGCAGATTTCTATATATACAGCAAATTAAAAAAATCTGGTGTTTTTGGAAACTTGCAAGTGTTATCGAGTAACTTTAAATAATCACCAGTAATTACCGCAGAAAGTTTTTGTGGTGATTCACCTCAGAAACTCTTTCTGCGGTAATCACCAAAGAAACCTAACAAAACCAAAATCCCAAATGTGTGGAATAGTTGGCAACATTGTGGAATTTTGACAGAATCTCTGTGTAAATTATGTCAACACCATTGGCAACACTGATTTTAACAGACCGATCTTGTCGGTTACAATAACCCGTTGTACAAGCAAAATCTACGAAAAACATACATATCTGAATTTTAGATACCTTGAAGATCACCCTTTATCAAACCGCATATGTATAACAATCGGACACACCAAACACAAGTTATTCACTTTTAAACAATAAACAGAATGGAGGCAGGTATTAACTACCCATCTAACTCAAAATTTACCTGAAAAAAAATGTTAATTTTTGAGGTTTTGCCGATATTTTCCAGAATTGAACACTGTGCGTGGTAGGAATTCGATGTTATTTTCTTTATAAATTTTACTCCCAAAAAGTCATCCGGCAACGTTGCCGCATGCGTAGTTTGAGGACACGTCAGTAACTTGGTGATTTTTTCGTTGTAAATTTGGGGAATTTAGTGTCACTTTGACAGTCGATAACGTAAACAAGAATATTGCGGTTTTTCAAAGAAATTTTGAAATGTGGCCGCACCTAATTTATTTCGTATATTTAGTTACGCTTATTGAAGGTAAATTTTGTTTATATCTTCATATTATTTATTATAATTATCTATTTTTTAGGTTCAATACATAAGAATCTAAAATATTTCGAAACTATTCACGCAGACGATCTAAAACATACAATCGTTAAAAGAGGATTGAAAGAAAGCAACCACCCATTTAACAAAATTAAAGAAGTTCATTTTAATACCCATGGAAAGGATTTCAGGTTAATTTTGTCTCCGAAAAAAGGGCTTTTGCACTCAAAATTCAAGGCATATGCAGTTGATGGGGATGGTAAAGAAACAACAGTTCACATAGGTAAATATGCAGATTTATTATCCAATTATGTTTTTTATGTGTGTGCAATTTTAGATCATGAATCGTTTCTTGATGGTAGAGTTTTTGGGGAGTCTAAATCTCATGTTAGTGTGCATATTGACGATGGAGTTTTAACTGGGAATATTCATTTGCCCGATGAGACATATCATATTGAGGTTAGGCCCTATATTTGATATTTGTTAATTTAACATTCTTATGGTATTTTCTGCAGCCATCATGGAGACATCTGCCGCATTTAGACAACAAAACAATGATAACATATAAACAATCGGATGTAAAGTTAAGCTGGGAACATGACAACCTGCCGAGAGACCAGGTGGGCCCCAAAATGTGTGGTTATGTGAAAGAAGGTGCAGAACTGGAGGAGGAAGAAGATAATGTGGACAATATGTGGGAAAATGCCAAGCACAGAGAAAAAAGACAAATCGATCAGTACGAATACACACCTACAAGAACAAGGTGTCCATTGTTGCTAGTGGCAGATTACAGGTTTTACCAGGAAATGGGTGGAAGCAATACCAAAACCACGATTAATTATTTGGTAAGTGTAAAATATTTGTGGTAAAAAATTTTTATCTTGTAAAAAAAAAGAAACTAAAAAAAATAAGAAACTAAAAAAAAATCAAAGGCAAAAAGGGTTAGGTCGTTATTTTTCAACGAATTTTTTTTTACAGTTTCTCTTAAATTTGTTTTGTTCACCCGTAGGAAATTTTTAAAAAATTGACAGAACCATACAAAAAAATATAAAAAATAAAAAATAAAGTGAATTCATTAATTTTTTTTTAAATTCTTTTTCTAAAAAAAGAAAAAAAATGATTGAATTTTATTTTATATTTTCGTTTGAAGTTGATAATATGAACAACTTTCACCAAAAGTCCCGAGTTGGCTAAATTCGTCGTTTCGGAATTATAATTTTTTTAATGAAAATGCCATTTTCTAGTAAATTTTTGGTCCATCATAAATTTTTTTTATCTAGTCATGAAACTGGGATGATATATGTGGCAAAATTTGCCAAGTGTACCAGGTGAAAAAATTTTTGTCACCGATTTTGTTTAAACTTTACTTATTTGTTGTTCTTATAACGAAGAATCATAGCATAAAATTTTTTTGCTCTAGGATTGTTCATTCAAGAGTTATGGATTATTGAAATTTATCGATTTGTTACTTTTTGGTGAAATCGCTTTTATTTAAAAATTCATAACTTCTGTTCATCTCTTTATTAAATATTTCAATTTAACCACCTTAAATGATTTTTTCCGTACTTTTCAATGGGCTATACCGTTTTTGCAAAAAAAAATTCAATTTTTTTTTGAAATTTTGCAAAATTTTGCATTTTTGGAAACAATGTGTATTTTTTAAGCTGAATAGGCGCCATTCAGCTTATAGGCAAGCCGTTACGATAACAATACATTTTTTATTTAATCGAATCATCGATCCTCCTTGCGAAATCTATGTAGACCCATGCTTAAACAATTTGTGCAAAAAAATACAGTTAAAAAACTATATCGTGCGGCAGTGTAAATATTTAAAATACATCATTGACTACTCAAACATAATTTTACATTTTAAATTATCATTTTGTATTAGTTTACATGCATCTACTAGGTATAACCGCATACGGCAGTGTAGTAGCTATTCGATGGCTAGACCCGCACGCATTCAAATATGAAAAACTTCCCTTTTACATGTCGGGCCCACTCTAAATTTTTTTTTATTCAAAGGTAACATAATAAACTTCGATTTTATGATATTAAAAAAAAAATTAAAAAACACATTGTTTCAAAAAATGCAAAATTTTGCAAAATTAAAAAAAAAAATTGCAATTTTTTTTTGTAAAAACGGTATAGCCCATTGAAAAGTACGGAAAAAATCATTTAAGGTGGTTAAATTGAAATATTTAATAAAGAGATGAACAGAAGTTATGAATTTTTAAATAAAAAGCGATTTCACCAAAAAGTAAAAAATCGATAAATTTCAATAATTCATAACTCTTGAATGAACAATCCTAGAGCAAAAAAATTGTATGATTCTTCGTTATAAGAACAACAAATAAGTAAAGTTTAAACAAAATCGGTGACAAATTTTTTTCACCTGGTACACTTGGCAAATTTTGCCCATAATATATATAATATAAAGTGTAATTTAGAACTTTTTGACATATTTAACATATTAACAAAAGATGTAAAAAGTATATGTGTATGTTAATTTTGGTTAAAATAATAAAAGTATTACATACCTAAAAGTAATGAATTCAATGCACAAGACACTTATAAAAACGCGATTTCGAAGAAATTTTGGACAAATGCAATTTTGAAAAATGTTGGTTGGTTAACAGATATAAGTGAGGCAGTCGCGAAAGTATTAAGCCTAAGAGGTCCAGAAACTTATGCGCCGGTTAATTAATCATGTTTAGAAATAACAAATTTTGATTTGATTTCATATTTCGTTTTTTTATTTATTGCCAAAGATTCCCTACAATCGCCACACTATGGGGCGGTTAGATATAACTTTTTATAATCGTTTCAAAATATTTGAATGATTTTATTTAGGACTTTTAAAAATGTTGAGCTATTACTTCCACCTCAATTATTATTTTATTTTATAAAAAGTTTTAGCCTAAGTTTTCATAGTAAAATAAAATCTTAATATTCATTTACCAGCAAAACAAACTAACAAACTGTCAAATCTGATACTTATTTCAAAGCCTTTATTTACTTCTGTACACACTTAAAAACCTAATAAACACTTAAATTTAATTAACAGTTTGAAAGCAATATTATTAAAAAATGCATTAATATTTGGTATCAAATTAAAAAAAAGTGGATTTATTTATTAAAAAAAAATAGTTTTGGTTTAAAGAATGGTTTTTCAATTTTCAAAAGCTCCCAAAAACCAGCGTTGCAAAAAAAGAATAAAATGGTATTTTTTCCAGACAAGCAGAAATGCCAATTCAAGGCACTCTAGATAAAGAAATAAAATTTAATCAAAAAATAATTTGACCTGTCAAAAATTGACAAATGACATCATGTCATTGACATGTATGTATTCAGAATTTTATTTTAAATTGAAATATGTAAAAATACATAGGGTATTCCAATAAAAAAACAAAAACTTAAGACTATTTCCGGTGAAACCGGAAGTGAAAAAAATATGTCAAATATGTCAAAAAGTTCTAAATTACACTTTATAAAGGTCACCTCAGTTTCATGACCCTGGATAAAATACCAAATTTTTGCGATTAACCACGAATTTACTGGAAAATGGCATTTTCATAAAAAAAAAATCCGAAACGACGAATTTAGCCAACTCGGGACTTTTGGTAAAAGTTGTTCATATTATTAACTTTAAACAAAAAAAAATGTGGCAATGTCAAAATTTCGACCTCAATTTATTTTCCTTTTTTGTATAAAAAACAATTTATAAAAATTGAGTAAGTTCACTTTTATATTTTATATATTTTTTGTATGTACTATAACATTTACCTACAATTTAAAAAAAATTGTAACAATCGAAACATTTTTGGGCAAGTTATCGCATTTTCAAAAAAAATGTCACTTGTAAAAAGAGTCAATTTTTCAAAAATTTCCCACTGGTGAACAAAGCAAATTTAAGCCAAAAGAAGAAATACGGGTCTCATAGATTTCGGTAGAAAATTCTAAATAAAAATTGGTTGAAAAATAACGACCTACCCCTTTTTGCCTAGTCGATTTGAGATGGAAAGGCCCACAGGTATTTACATTTGCAGATAAGTTTAATAGATAGAGTCCACAAAATTTACAACGACACTATTTGGCACGACAGGCAGGAAATCGACGGGTTTCAGGGGATGGGGTTTGTGATAAAAAAGATTGTTGTTCACAACGAGTACACCAGAATTAAATCTGGCGAGGCGCATTACAACATGGTGAGAGATAAGTGGGATGTAAGAAATTTATTGGAGGTAAGTTTTATTAACAATTATTTATTGATTATAATTTATAATTTTTTTTGTGTTTTTAATTATATATTTTTTTATTCTATTTAATCTTATTCATTCGCAAGTTATTGCAAAAAATTTGTTTTTTATTTGTCAAAGTGTTGACATTGTTGTCAGATGTACATTTTACTAAAACTAAAGAAAAAAGTTGATTACACCACAATCCACACAACAAGGTCTGTTCTATCTCCTACTAAAAATACAAAAAATCACTGCAACACTGCACAGTTTAACGGCGGACATTTTGTGCTCTGTTTATACAGATTAATAATCGATTTTGTGTTTCTCATAGTAAGCCTTAAAAGAGTCCTTAAAGTGCTAAGAACAACCATTTTACTCCTCTATTGTAAAAAATAAACTTTATTCTATCAGGGCTGTCATAAAACTGTCAAATGTCAATTTTAAGGTTAAATTATAACCCACAAATTAACCTTCAAATTGTCATTCGACAGCCCTGATAGAATAAGGTATATTTATTATAAAAGAGGAGTAAAATGGTTGTGCTTAAAGGCCTTATTTGAGGCTTACAAGTGCCTCTGTAAGAAACACAACGTTTAAAAAAATTATTAAACAGCACAAACCCAAAGCGCAATAATTCTTAACAACAAAAATGGCCGCCGTTAAACTCTGTGCAGTGTTGCAGTGATTTTTAGTATTTTTAGCATGAGATAGAACAGACCTTGTTGTGTGGATTGTGGATTACACAACTTCCAGATTTAAAGCAATGTTGCCAGATACTTGGGGAATGAATAAACAAATGGGTTTAAATGATTTTATTTTTGTTTTTTTTAACAAGGCATTTTCACGGGCTAACCAATCGGAAAAAATTTGTTTGGCGCATTTATTCACATTTCAAACGTTTAAAACACGGAACAGCGTCATTTTGGGCCTCGCTTATATCGCATCGCCTAGGATGAGATCTCCTGGAGGAATCTGTAGCCAGGGTGCATATTTTTTTAATTTTATTTTGTCTTAACATGTTATTTAAAATATTTTAACAAATGTTTCGGGTGTAAGGTACTAAAAATCTCGCATATCTATTGCTAACAAAAAATATTTTATTTTTGACAATTAACAACTTAATGATAATTGGTTTTAACGGGGCTGCCACTTTTTTGACTTTTAGACTTTTAAAATTAAAGTTCATTTTTTTTTATCTGGATTTAGGGTTTTGGTTGGTAAATACAGTTGTCAAGTTGGTCGCATTGATTAAAACAAACTAAGCTTGTTATAAATCTAATTGTGGTTATTTATAAATTATTGTAGATTACATTGTGCAGTTGTCAAGTTGAGTTGTCGAAATTCGTAGTTAAAAATGCAATTAATTTGGCTTTGGTGGTGCTTGGATGAGTAAAATCATATAAAAAAAGTAGTTAAATATAGGTTGCTTTACGGCCCAGAAGAGAAAGTATTCCTAGCGGATAATAATCTTCGCTTTGAAAAAAATTTATATAAAAGAAATAAAATTTTATTGTGAACGTAAATGTTGTCCAAAGGGTGAATAATGTGAAAATAATGTGTGATGTAATATTTATAAAACCAAATTCGTTACTTTTGTACAAAAATGTCCATAAGGCGATGTACTTTTTCTTCCATTGTGGCATTTGGCATAATTTCATCAAAATGAAGTTTTGCCCTCAAAAGGGCTATTACATTCAAATTCGTTGCTATTATTTTTGGCATAATTATCTTTTTATTTATAATTGACAAGTAAATTATCAATAATAAATATTATTGTCGATTTGACAGTGTCAAAGTATTTAATTAAACTCTTTAGCAGAACTACCATTTTTAAATACTAAAAATACCAAGTCAAACTGGCATAAGCCACCAACCTAACAAAAAAACACGAGTCCAGATAAAAAAAAAATTAACTGTGTGTTTAAATAAAATTGTTTTAATAAATGTGGCAACCCTGCTAATGGTTTGCTAAAAAGGTGTTTGTCGTTTTTGTCAGGTTTTCAGCAGGGAATACACGCACAAAGATTTCTGCCTCGCCCATCTCTTTACCGACCTCAAATTCGAGGGCGGAATTTTGGGTTTGGCTTACGTCGGTTCCCCTCGTCGCAACTCGGTGGGGGGCATTTGTACCCCAGGTACCCCCTAAAATCAATGTTGTTTTTTGTGTTGTTTGTTTTTATGATTATATGCTTTTTTTTTAATTTTCATTTTTAGGAACGTGGCAACACTGTATTGATGTTTGTGCTTCCAGTGTTGCCATGTTCGCAGAACGTCGAGAAACATTTAACATCGTTTTTCGTTTAGTGGTACAAATAATTTTAGTTGGTTTTTAGTTATTATACAAGGGTTCCTAAAATGCCTGTATAATACCACAAAATAATAATAATAAATAATAAAATATAACTAAATTTACTTGGTCAAAGTTAAAAAGTCGTTTTCGATTTTATTAAATAACTGAAAAAAAAACACAAACGCTTTTGTAGAAAATTTTATATTATATTCAGGGGTTTTTCAGGGCGGGGAAAATTAAATTTCTTAAAAAACAAGAATTTCTAAAAAAAATTTAATTGGAAAAAATCAAAAAAATTAAGTTCTTTTTAAACAACAATAACAAATTTTTCAACAAACCCAAAAACAATTATTTTCAAAACAAATCCAAAAATAAATAAAATCCCTTAATTGTTTTAAAAAAGTTTGAATTTTTTGTAGGTTCCAAGTTTTCTTAATAAACAAATTTTTTGAAACAAAAACGGCCTTAAAAAATTTAAAAAAATAGAACAAAAAATTAAAAAAAAACAAAAAAAATATACAGTTTGACCCATTTTTTTGCGACTCACCCCTCTAAAATCTTTATTTATTGTGCGATTTTAACCGGATTTCTTTTAAATTGTAGATATTGATAAACTGTATTTTTGGAGCAAAAAAAGCCATATTAGCACAAAATACAAGGCCTACTATGTCAGTTTTTAAGAGTAAATTTTTAAGAATTCGCTAATATGGATTCTTAAAAATTTACTCTTTAAAACTAACATAGTACCCCTTGTATTTTGTAAAAATATGGCGTTTTTCCCTTCAAAAATAAATCAAGATCTACACTTTAAAACAAATCTTGTTAAAATCGCACAATAAATAAAGATTTTACAGGAGTCGCAAACAAATAGGTCACACTGTATGACCATTGAGTACTCAATGGTATAACGAAATTTGAAATAAAAAATCAAACAAAAAATAATAATATTGGATATCAAGGATTAAGAATTTAACAAAATTTAACAAAACCAAAAAACAATTTTTTTTTAAATCCAAACAAATAAAAACAAAAAAAATTGATTTTTAAAAAATTTAATTTTTTGTACGTTTCAAAAGTTTTTGTAATATACAAATATTTAAAACAAAAATAAATTTAAAAAATTAAAAAAGAAATTTATAACAAAAAATATGTATGTATATGGGTAATTCTACAAAAGTTGGGCAACTTTTGATCTCATTTTTAGTTTTCGGAGAAAATTAAACAGTATAGATAATATAATAAAATACTGTTCCAGACCGGGCCAGTCACTTTTTCAATCAGTTTCTGAAATATCTGTGTTTTCTAAATTTCAATGCAAGGGAAGTGACGAGTTTACCAGGGTACTAATTAAATACATAATTTATTGGAAAATATAAGATTTATTGCAAATTTGAGCATTTTATACATTAAATATCTTAAAATCAAATAATACCACACATCAGTGGCGGCTTGTTTAATTTGGGTATACCGATATCTCAATTATTAAATATGGGCCCACACCAAATTTATATGAGTTTATAATGACATTAAATAAACAAGTTCTGCGCAAGCAGAATTTAAATTGAAGTTTTCGAAAAAAAGATAACCGAAACATCGAACATGGAACATGATGAATTTGAGATTATAAATCGGAATTAAGTATTTTACTGATATTTTTTATTAGTGGATGCTACTTATCAACAAATCACATATAGCCTTATATAAATTACAATGAAATATATATACATAAGAAAATAACTACTTACCACAATACTGAAATTTTGACTGGAACTATAGTGCATTCACCACAACTTCGCCGCTTGCATTGTTTTCAAGATGACTGTCGTGCAAAGGGCGGGCTCTGTGGGTAATTTTTTACCAACACTTGAGTTAAAATTAAAACGATGACTTGACGTTTAAACTTCAATATTTTGCAGGAATTTTGAATTTTAACATTGGACACAGAACTGAAGGGTAAAAGTGAGTACAAAGATTATCAATTTTTTAAAATTGTTATTATTCAAATCTATGATAAAATATGAAAAATACATTATTTAATGTTTTATAGTTTGTAGTGAAATTAAAAAATTTAAGATAAATTGAATATGTTTTAAAATAAAACTACTCAAATATTTGATTCAGGAGTTGTGACAGGCCAAGGTACTGATGTTTTGAATATTTATTATGTTTTTCTACAAACGTGCTTTTGAAAAAATACATTAAAATTGGGTGGAGAAGTTACCTACTCTATTGACTGATGACATCAAGTTGTCCAACTTTTGTAGAATCACCCATATGTGTTTTTGTACAAATTTTTTTTTTTTTAAATTATTGTTACATCTTTTTTGCGCCTTAGTGTATAGAAGTAAATTTAGTTATATCGCATTGTTTGGATCAGGAATATGTAAAATAGCAAGTTTGTACAGGAATTTTAGGGTCACTTTGTATTTTATATTATTGGGTTTTTGCATGGCTTATTTGGTATGAAATGTGCTTATTAGGGTGTTAAAAAAGCGATACCGTTTTTGACGTTTTTTTGTGTATTCCCTAGACTATTCAATTTAAATTTTAGTAAATCCTCGAAATAAAATAATTAAGTTTTTTCGATTTCTTTTTCAAACCCAGACCAAACCTAGAAAAAAAAACGTCAAAGACTAAAAAATTACGACCCCGAATAATCAATGGAGCTTTCTTCTCGAACAGAGTACTTCAAGAACGGTTACACGTTGTACCTGAACTCGGGCTTGAGTTCGAGCAGGAATCACTACGGACAGCGTGTGATAACTCGCGAGGCAGATCTGGTGACTGCGCACGAGTTCGGTCACAATTGGGGCTCCGAGCACGACCCGGACATTCCCGAGTGCTCGCCGAGCGCAAGCCAGGGCGGCTCGTTCCTAATGTACACCTACAGCGTCAGCGGATACGACGTGAACAACAAGGTGATTTTAGTCGCACCACGATACACAAAAACCGGCATGCTGCACGGTGGTCAAAACTAGAGTATAGGACGAACAAAAATGCCAACCAAAACTGATAGCATAATCTGATTATAGACTCTTTTGGTAACACAAAAATGTATTTATCAAAATCCCAGCTGATCCTTTATTAAAGTTTTGCATATTTCTTAGTATTTTAAAATTGTTTATGCCATTTCGATAAAATACTCTAGTACCATTAGCAAATGTTTTTAAAAATCTGGCAGATACATGACTGAAATATGGATAAATTACATTATAAATACAAAATAATGTAAAATACAGTTTGCAATATCTTATTTATTGTTTTAAGGTACCTAATACAAAACTAATAAATAACTAAAGATTCTTTGAAGCAATATCGATTACTGCTCGCCTTAAATTTTCAGTAAAACTTTTTCTTGGGTTTTACATGGAATTGTTTATAACATGGAAACAGTATTTTTAAATTCTTCAGCCTCTGTACAAACATGCTTTCTAGAAAGGAAGAGCATATCAAAACTTTAGTTCGTTCGTCCGTCCTCTTCCCTTAATAATTTTTTATGCCCTTTATATCTTGCCATTTTGCAGATAAAGCACATACATTCTTGGCTGCCGCGAAATTCTCTAGCAATTTCTAAATTTTGAAAATTTGGCAATCGTGGCTATGCAAAAATACCGTTTTTACCATATTGAAGTGGGTAATTTTGAATCACTTAAGTTAAAGTGTTCGTTTGAAAAAGTCTGCAGTAATTTTTATATTTTCTCAGAAACCCTAAACTCTGAATTTTTCGATTACCAAAAACAATTTTGTCTCCACAGCCAGCACATACCTTCTTTCAATTTTCTTCATGGCTTAACTTGAATTTCGGTTTAATTTTCATTTTAAAATACTATTTTTAACTTTATAAAGTACCTATACATTAGGGTGGATCGAAAAATTTCAAAGTTGAAATTTTGACTCGCTATACCGCGCAAAAGTTGCCTTAGGTGTATAAAAGCATAACAAAAAAAAAATTATTAAATTCGGATAACATCTTCCGATCGCGCAAAACGCCGAAAGTTTTCAAAAAATACGAATTTGACAGTTTTTTTCGCATATACTTTTTTTTAACTTAAGGTTTGTATTTTTTAGCGCTATGGTGCTTAAACGTTAGTAATAGTATTGACTTGCCTGCAGAAAAAATATCACCACTTTTAAACCATATCTTCCGATCGCGCAAAGCGTCTAAATATTTGCAAAATATGCAAATTTTTTCCGTAAGTTTACATATACAAATGTGCAGCTCTTTGCTTGCTTAGAAATAATTTAATTAATTTCAATGTATTATCTAAACAACCCAGAACGAGGATGTGGCTACACTTAGAGTTCCACCCACACCCTTCCCTCCATCCAACCATTAAGAGTGTGCCGATTTATTTTGACTTTTCCAATGTCACTTTGTAATCTGCCTTACTGCTGAATTCGTTAATTGCCTCTCTCGATTTGAGTGTTGCCCTAATGTATTCATCCCTTGATTGCGGCCCGCATACCTTAAGAGAAGCTTCGGTAACTAGCTTCACACAACGCTCCACAGCTTGCGTGTGACATGGGAACTCTCTTATATCCCAATCCGGGGTCTCCTCGATTGTATGACGCTTTTGATTTCTTTATCACTTATCCCACGGAGAAGAAGTGGTTTTTGTAGTGCTCCAATCTATCATTTCAGTGTAATCTAATGCGTCAAATTTAAGTGAAGGAGTGTGAAAGTTCCTAATGCCTTTTCCAGTCGAAGCAGACTGTCTGGCCTTTAGCACTCTTCTGAGCCCTAACTCTCTAATGTGCCTCCTCTCATCAAATAGCATGGCTATTAAAATGTTTTCAGGATGGGCGCAGAAAGAATTTCTTTCAATTACCGGGAATACCACTGCCTTTAATTCATCACTCAGGTATCTAGATGTTTCTATTGCCCGGTACACATGAATGGGTCTGCTTAAAATTCGGTTGTCACACTTAATTTTGAACCACACCGGCATATACACTAATGGAAAAAATTAAGGGATCAAAAAAAAATCCAAATTTTTGGGCAGTTTTCAACAGGCCGTAACTTCGAGAGAAATGGTCGTACAGGAAATCAAAAAAAAGGAAATTGTAGATCCAAGTGTCTAGTTTTTGAATTCGAACTTTAAAATTTTGTACCCTCCGCGGTTTTTGAGTAATCGTAGAAAAACCAGCAACAAAAAAATTTTCAAAATTTTATTAGTTTTTTTTTTTGGTCTACGGACGTGGAAATTTTTTTTTAGCTTAACCACTATAATGATTGGATACCTTGTTCATTTAGCTTTAATTTGCTTTTTTATACACCCTGATACGCCCACTTCTCGCCGAGATATCGGTCTTCAAATGGAAAAGGATCCTTTTGTCTTTGATTATCGATATCTCAGCAACCAATGATCGCACAGAAATTTAATGGTGGGTTTCAAGAACTTCAATAAATTCTCCTTAACGACTGGCCATCGGTTTTCCGAAAAAAATTTTTTTTCTTTTTGTCACATGAATTTGAAAATGCAACAAAAAAAGGGCTTTTGGTGGTTTTTCGGAAAATCAAGCGCTGAATTGAAAATATTGAGGAAACCACTAATGTTAAGTGTGCCTTCTACAGTTCAATATGTCCACAAAAACCCTACAAAAAACCAAATTAATCCAGCCAGCCGTTTTTTTTGTTTCACTCGATCGAATTTTTGAAAAAATTAACGTTTTTTGCTCTGAAAAGCTCATAATTTTAAAAAATGAGGAAAAAAATGGTTTTTCCGAGCTTTTCCCGCATTTTTGTTCCAGAAAGTGCTTAAATTAAAAAAAAAAATTCAAAAATATAAAAAAATTTCAAAAAGAAAAATTTTTTTCGAAAAAAAATTTCAAAAAAAAAAAAATTTTCTTAACAAGTTAAGGAAATTCAAAAAACCATCTCCCAATCATTTTTATCGCGTTTCCGCCGCTGTATTCCTTGATTCTACTGATCTCCTTTTAATTAAATTAAAAAAAAAGTTAATACCCCCAATCGAATTTCGATCTTTTTCATACGCTTTTCGGCGATTGTTTTTTTTACTTTTCGTGAATCCTTAGCAGATCGCTTAACTCAACAGTTTTTTTCCAAAAATAATCCCTTTGCGCTAAAAGAAATTTTTTTTCTCATTTTTAAAAATGAGCAAAAAACGTGATCCTTTAATTTTTTCAAAAATTCGATCCAGTGAAACAAAAAAACGGCTGGCTGGATTAATTTGGTTTTTTGTAGGGTTTTTGTGGACATATTGAACTGTAGAAGGCATACTTAATATTAGTGGTTTCCTGAATATTTTCGATCCAGCGCTTGATTTTCCAAAAAACCACCAAAAGCCCTTTTTTTGTTGCATTTTCAAATTCATGTGACGAAAAGAAAAAATTTTTTTTTGGAAAAGCGATGGCCAGTCGTTAAGGAGAATTTATTCAAGTTCTTGAAACCCACCATTAAATTTCTGTGCGATCATTGGTTGCTGAGATATCGATAATCAAAGACAAAAGGATCCTTTTCCATTTGAAGACCGATATCTCGGCGACAAGTGGGCGTATCAGGGTGTATAAAAAAGCAAATTAAAGCTAAATGAACAAAGTATCCGATCCTTATAGTGGATAAGCTAAAAAAAAAATTTCCACGTCCGTAGACCAAAAAAAAAAACTAAAAAAATTTTGAAAATTTTTTTGTTGCTGGTTTTTCTACGATTACTCAAAAACCGCGAAGGTTACAAAATTTTAAAGTTCGAATCCAAAAACTAGACACTTGGATCTACAATTTCCTTTTTTTTTGATTTCCTGTACGACCATTTCTCTCGAAGTTACGGCCTGTTGAAAACTGCCCAAAAATTTGGAATTTGTTTTTGATCCCTTAATTTTTTCCATTAGTGTATGATTTCAAAATAAAAGTGGCAATGGCAAGGCATTCTAAGGATATATGAGTCGTATAGATTCAAAACCCGCCAAATCCATTTATTGAAAGTAAAGGACAGAAGACATGTTTCCATAACAACATAATTAATATGTATTGCAAACATATCTACTGTCCTTTACTTTTAATAAATGGATTTGGCGGGTTTTGAATCTATACGACTCATATAACACTAACATATAGCCGAAGGATTCTATTTGCGCAGGTGCGTCTAGTAGATATCTTTGATCTTTGCTCAGTAGGTTCTTATCAATATCCGGGATCTCACAGTCAATCAGTTGAAATTCTACCACTTCTCAATTTTTACAGCCAATAAGACTGTCCAATCGGACCACTAAATGATCCTGGCCCAAGCTTCGACTGGAAAAGGCACACTCCTTCACTTAAATTTGACGCATTAGATTACACGGAAATGATAGATTGGAGCACTACAAAAATATCGTCTCCACCTCTTCTCCGTGGGTTTAGAGATGAAGAAATCAAAAGCCTCATACAATCGGGTGAAACCCCGGATTGGGATATAAGAGAGTTCCCATGTCACACGCAAGCTGTGGAGCGTTGTGTGAAGCTAGTTACCGAAGCTTCTCTTAAGGTATGCGGGCCGCAATCAAGGTATGGATACATTAGGGCAACACTCAAATCGAGAGAGGCAATTAACGAATTCAGCAGTAAGTGACATTGGAAAGGTCGGAATAAATCGGCACACAATCTTAATGGTTGGATGGAGGGAAGGGTGTGGGTGGATCTCTAAGTGTAGCTACCTCCTCGTGGTGAGTTCTGGGTTGTTTAGATAATAAATTTAGATAATAATTAAATTATTTCCAAGCAAGCAAAGATTTGTACATTTGTATATGTAAACTTACGGAAAAAAATTGCATATTTTGCAAATACCTATTTAGACGCTTTGCGCGATCGGAAGATATGGTTTAAAAGTGGTGATATTTTTTCTGCAGGCAAGTCAATACTATTACTAACGTTTAAGCACCATAGCGCTAAAAAATACAAACCTCAAGTTAAACAAAAGTATATGCGAAAAAACTGTCAAATTCGTATTTTTTGAAAACTTTGGACGTTTTGCGCGATCGGAAGATGTTATCCGAATTTAATAATTTTTTTTTGTTATGCTTTTATACACCTAAGGCAACTTTTGCGCGGTATAGCGAGTCGAAATTTCAACTTTGAAATTTTTCGATCCACCCTACTATACATTAACGTATAGCAATTTTTTTCATAACCACCTTAATTATTGTTTTACAAAATTTGCAAGTTGTAATTATTTCATAGACAAACTTCCAGTATTTTTTGTTATAACAAATATTTAAGATAAAAATCTTCGTTTTTTTTTGTTATGTTTTGTTTTAAGTGGTAAAAAATAATAGGTGACTCAATAAATTAATACTGGGGAGTAAAGTAATTTAAATGATACAAAGTTTATTATTTTGCTTAATTTTATTAAAATTGTACAGATAGTTTTAGTACAATAATTGCAAAATAATATATAGAAATAGAAAAACAAAAAAGTTTGCAAAACTTTAAAATAGGATCAGCTGGGATTTTGATAAATACATGTTAGTGTTACCAAAAGGGTCTATAATCAAAATATGCTATCAGTTTTGGTTGGCATTTTTGTTCGTCCTATACTTACCGTGGCTGGTTATGAAACGAATGTGACGTCACGTGCGAACCAGATTCAAATATGACAAACAGTTTTGCATAGGCATACGCTATGCACGGGTGTTTTACTACGATTTCTTTTGAGTTTTTTCCGCATATGTGTTTTATCCCAGGTTATTTATTAAGTTTGTGTTGTATCTCTTTGACTTAATAACTAGGTATTTAAAATATGCCGAGCTGTGCTGTAGCAGACAGCAGAAATATGAATGGAAACTCCAAACCCAACCTAACCCAACATTAAGTATTTTTGATTTCCAAAAAATAAAGATCTGGCAGCACAGTGGATGAATGCATGCAAGGGAAAGGATAAAATGAAAATAAAAAACGGCAAGTAAAGGCAATTTTCTGTTAGGTACTTAATAATAATAATTATAGGGTAAACCACATAGTTATTGGACACTTAAGGAATATTATTTATTTAAAATTTATATATGCAGTTGTTTTAAAGATTTTATCTATTTTTATAAATATAATAATATAATATTGTTTGTTTAAACTTTATTTAGGTTAACTTAAATATAAGAATATTTGAATTTTTAATAATAATTTTATGAAAACATGCAAAAAAGTATAATAATTGGACCTTTTATATATATTGGACATACAATTTTTATTTAAAAATAAATTGCTGTTTTAGGTAATTTTTTTTATTTCGTTTTTGTAAATATCGTATAATTCATATATTTCTTTCTCGTATTCCTCATCCCTTTTCTGGATTCTGAAGGTAACTACAAAATTCCTTGGTCTAACTTCTGAAAAAGTTTGTTGCAAATATCATTAAGTGTGATATCTCTAGTTTGTGAAGCATTTATAATGTTTGGGCCGGAACAGGATGATTTATATATATCTAACATTTTTTCGGGTGGTATGTTAAAGTATTTTCCAAATTTATTAATTTTGTTGCCATTAGTTTTTTATGTTCTCTATCATGCACTGTATTTAAATCACTGTTATTCTCCAAGAATATGTCCTGTGACGAAGAAATCACTATATTACTTACTCTCTAAAAATTAATTAGTTAAAAATGTCATAGCGAAAAAATTTCCGTCCACAGCAATTTGTATCAAGCAGTCAATCAATTCCTATGAAATATTATTCGTTGAATCCCAAAAAGGTCGTCAAAAGTTATAAAAGTAGAACAGTTTTTAAAATATAATCAATTTTACATATAATATGGAATTGACTATATCTCAAAAACTGCTTAACTTTTATAGTTATTGACGGTCTTTTTGGTTTCAGGGGACAATTTTACATAAGAATAGGCTGGTAAATGTCCGGGATATAAATAGAGTATGATATTGGACATATGTCCAATAATAGAAATTTACATTTTTTACCAACCAGAAAGTGGAAACTGGCCATTTTACTGTTTATTTTCAAAATTAAAATTAAAACGCATTAAAGTGACAATGTTTATAAACTATGAGGAACACATTTATACTACACACTGATCTACACTTTTTAGAAATATTTTTTATTGTAATTTAAACAGCCCTGTTCTTAACAAAAAAAAACAAAAATCTTACCACCAAAGTAACGTGCGAACTTTTTTGTCCTATATTGGACCCAAAATATACAGCGTCATCTAATGATTTGACTTTAAGGTAACTATTTATAGAACTCTTGTTTTTACAGTATTAATGTTAACTGTCCAATAACTATAAGTGTCCGATAACTGTCTACTTTACCCAGTAACTTTTCACCTTAACCTCATATTTTTTTTGCAGCTTGCATAAGTTCTTACTAATAATAAAAATTAAAACACAATTGTATCGGAAACCCGCTTCAAAAGTGTCACAATTAAAAAAAGCAATTTTTTTGACTTTTGACACTTTAAAGCTGCGTTATTATTACCTGTATAAATTCATTTTTATAATTTAAAAAATGTAAAATTCGCTCTGGCATAAGTTAAGTTAATTCAATTGTTGCTTAAAATATGTTACATTAGTATTAATTGCCAATTTAGCATTTGCTACACTTAATAATTGCACCCAGGCCATCTCTTTATTTATAAATTTTCGAATATAACGTGAATTTGCAGTGCAAATAACATTCCAACCCAGTTACCGCCAGCATTTGGTTCGCATATGACTTCACACGGTGCGAGAGAGAGATAGACAGAACATGCGCATCAGCATAACAGTTTTTGTGTATCGTGAGCGCACGAGCGAAGCAAAAAAATGCAAAATGCGTATTTTCCAGCGGTTTTCCCCGTGCAGTTTGCGTTCGATAAGGAAAGTGCTGCAAGCCAAGTCGGGTCGGTGCTTCTCGGAGCCGGAGGAGAGTTTCTGCGGAAACTTGCGCGTCGAAGGGGAGGAACAGTGCGACGCCGGACTTTTGGGGACGGAAGACAACGACGCTTGCTGCGATAAAGAGTGCAAACTCAGATCCCACGCCAAGTGCAGGTAGAGTCTATGCCAAATAGACCACTTTCCATTCTTTTCTACCGCTTATAAATTTTTTTATCTCCACGCGGTCTATAATTTAAACTTTATTGTTGTCAACATTCGATAAAGAAATACCTTGTTATGGCCTAGGCCGATACAAATTTTTATGAGGCAAGTAATTAGTTCGATTTTTTCTCGCTAGGGGTATTGTTTTGACAAATTAATCCTTTTCTAAGAAATTAACGTACTAAACTGGTTTAATTTATTTATAATAAGTACTAATTCGTTTGTTTTACTGTTAATGTTTAATATTTTTCATTAAATTATTGTAAAATTAAATATGAATAATAAAACAAAAAATTAGGTTAGGCAACCAAGAAAACGCACGATTCTTTTTCTACAATTTAAATTATCTTTAAGTTTTAATTTGCTTTAAGTTTTCAGTGAAATTAAATGTTAAACACAGCTCAAACATTCCAAACTTCCTATTTTTTAAATAAAAATCCAAACAAACTAAAATTAGATACCTACATATTTATTAAACAATTAATTGAATTCAATGTAATAGCAAAAATCCATTTCTACTTAAATCTTGTTGCTAGGTATTGTCAAACTATTACTGTTTCTAAAAGCAATAAGTATTGTACATTTAATGTAATCTTTAGCTAATAAATAAATGAGATTCTAAAAAAGTAAGGTTAGGCCGCTTTGATTTTGAATTAAATTGACCTATATAAAGTGCTTTGAAGATAAAATGTTGTATGCCATTCGGCCAAGAAGTGCCTTTTTGTGCTTCGCTCAATTGTAGGCCTCCGCTACGCGTCGGCCTTCAAACCTTGAGCTTAGCACAAAAAGCCTTACTTCTTAACCTAATGACATAAATAACTATTTATCCAACCCCAAAAAAGTTTTATATTTTCAAATTGCCATAACTTTTTCAAAAATTGACCTTTTGGTATCTTTTTTTTTGAAATTTTTTTTTGAAATGAATTTTTCGAAAAATAGACAAAAAAAATTTAACATGATCAACTCTATGAAATTATCGCTTTTATTTAATAAAATCGTTATTTTTGCGAAGTTCGCCATTTTTTATTTTATTTCTCAAAAAAAAAGTTCAATAATGTAACAATTATTCCCGTTAATCCCAGAGTGGGCCAATTTTTTTTTTATTATTTAATTGAGAAATTGTCTAATTTTCAAAAATGAATATTATTATTTTTTCACAAACTTTATTTATATAATAAAATAAATAAAATTTAACGATTTTAAGGTATTATATTCTCAATTTATAGACTTAAGCTACGACTGTTCAAATTTTAATATATCAATTAGATCGATAAACTAGGGTATGATAATTATAGACTACCTATAGTCAGTTTACTAGATGCTATACGCTAAAGTCTATTCAAAACCAGGCTGGACTAAAACAAAACACCCCAGACGCGCGAATGAACACAGAATTCGTAAAATATTTAAACGCCAGAGAGGAAATTAATAAATAATTTTTTGCAATATTTTTAAAATCATTGAATGTTAACTGTATTAATCATTATTCCTAAGTATAATCGTAGCTTTAGCCTATAAATTGAGAATATAATACCATAAAATCGTTGAATTGCATTTATTTTATTATATAAATAAAGTTTGTGAAAAAAACAAAAATTTCATTTTTGAAAATTAGACCATTTTTTTTTCAATTAAATAAAAAAAAATAGAAAAAAATCGGCCCACTCTGGGATTGACGGGAATAATTGTAAAATTATTGAACTTTTTTTTGAGAAAAAAAATAACAAATAAAAAATGTCGAACTTTGAAAAAATAACGATTTTATTAAAAGAAAGCGTTAATTTCATAGAGTTGATCATGTTAAATTTTTTTTGTCTATAATTTCGAAAAACTCATTTAAAAAAAAATTTCAAAAAAAAAGATACCAAAAGGTCAATTTTTGAAAAAGTTATGGCTATTTGAAAATAAAAAACCTATTTTTTTGAAAAATTCAAAACTTTTTTGGGGTTGGATAAAAAAATTAAAAATGTTTTTCAAATGGTTGAAAAGAATGGAAATCTTTTGGCCAGATGGAAATAGCCATAACTTTTTAAAAAATTGACCTTTTGGTATCTTTTTTTTTAAATTTTTGTTTTTAAATGAATTTTTCGAATGCAATTATCTTTCTTTTAATAAAATCGTTATTTTTGCGAAGTTCGCCATTTTTTATTTTTTTTTTCTTAAAAAAAAAAGTTCAATAATGTTACAATTATTCCCGCCAATCCCAGAGTGGGCCGATTTATTTTTCTATTTTTTATTTAATTGAAAAAAATTGTCTAATTTTCAAAAATGAATTTTTTTTTACAAACTTTATTTATATAATAAAATAAATGCAATTTAACGATTTTAAGGCATTATATTCTCAATTTATAGGCTTAAGCTACTACTGTAATCACTAAGATTCAAATTTTAATATATCAATTAGATCGATAAACTAGGGTATGATAATTATAGACTACCTATAGTCAGTTTACTAGATGCTATACGCTAAAGTCTATTTAAAACCAGGCTGGACTAAAACAAAACACCCCAGACCCGCGAATGAACACAGAATTCGTAAAATATTTAAACGCCAATATTTTTAAAATCATTGAATGTTAACTGTATTAATCATTAATCCTACTCAGTATAATCGTAGCTTAAGCCTTTAAATTGAGAATATAATACCTTAAAATCGTTGAATTGCATTTATTTTATCATATAAATAATAGACCAGTGCCGAAGCCTTTAAAAATGGTAAAAAGTGAAAAAAAATTACAGTAGGATGAAACCCATTGGAAAAGGAGGAGAATATAATAAAAAAGAAAGAAAAAATAAATTACGGGCGATCTGACTTCGGGAAGTGGGAGGGGGGGGGTTTAAGGGTAAAAAATGGTTTATCTCGAGTTCCGGCAAAAATACAAGTCCTATGGAAAAAAGTTAAATGGCAAAGTTGTAGGTAATAAAAAGATCTACAACTTTTCTATTTACAATTTTTTCACATAACCTCAAAATTTATGTGAAAAATTCAAATAACCAAGTTTTTGGTTTTTTATTTTTATCTTTTTCAAAAAAAATTTTTTTTCCACGAAATTTGGTGAAAACTTGCCTTTTTATGTCCCAAATACATTGTAATTTATTTGATTTGAAATATTTATTATTTCACCTTATTTTGACTTAATATCAAAAAAACACCCTTATTTTCAATCGAAAATTCTCCCGTCAAAATATCAGCTTTTTTCAAAAAGTCGGTGTGCTTTTTGTTCGTTGAAATCTCTACTTTCTGATGGTGTAAAAAAAATATACATTACTATGGTAAATGTTCTCAGAAAATGCAAAAAATATTATAATGAAAAACGAAAAAAACTCGAATTCGAAAATTTATTTTAATCATTATGTACAATTTCATCAAAAAAATGTGATTGTTGCAATTTTTTTTAGTTAAAAAGTTTATTTATTAAATTCTAATAACATTTATGTCAGAAAATCTCATAAAATATAAAAATACATGTAAATCATACTATTGAATTTAGATACTTCATTCTGATTACGTTATTCATTATAATATTTTTTGTATTTTCTGAGAACATTTACCATAGTAATGTAACTTTTTTTACACCATCAGAAAGTAGAGAGTTCATCGAACAAAAAGCACACCGACTTTTTGAAAAAAGCTGATATTTTGACGCGAGAATTTTCGATTGAAAATTAGGGTGCTTTTTTGATATTAAGTCAAAATAAGGCGAAATAATAAATATTTCAAATCAAATAAATTACAGTGTATTTGGGACATAAAAAGGTAAGTTTTCACCAAATTTCGTGGAAAAAAAATTTTTTTTGAAAAAGATAAAAATAAAAAACCAAAAACTTGGTTATTTGAATTTTTCACATAAATTTTGAGGTTATGTGAAAAAATTGTAAATACAAAAGTTGTAGATCTTTTTATTACCTACAACTTTGCTATTTAACTTTTTTCCATAGGACTTGTATTTTTGCCGGAAATCGAGATAAACCATTTTTTACCCTTAAAGCCCCCCCCCCCCCTCCCACTTCCCGAAGTCAGATCGCCCGTAATTTATTTTTTCTTTATTTTTTATTATATTCTCCTCCTTTTCCAATGGGTTTCATTCTACTGTAATTTTTTTTTGTTTCAAAAATTATCGACCCTGGTCTATAAAGTTTGTGAAAAAAACAAAAAATTCATTTTTGAAAATTAGACCATTTTTTTAATTAAATAAAAAAAATAGAAAAAAAATCGGCCCACTCTGGGATTGACGGGAATAATTGTAACATTATTGAACTTTTTTTTGAGAAAAAAAAAAATAAAAAATGGCGAACTTTGCAAAAATAACGATTTTATTAAAAGAAAGCGTTAATTTCATAGAGTTGATCATGTTAAATTTTTTTTGTCTATAATTTCGAAAAACTCGTTTAAAAACAAAAATTTCAAAAAAAAATACCAAAAGGTCAATTTTTGAAAAAGTTATGGCTATTTGAAAATAAAAAACCTATTTTTTTGAAAAATTCAAAACTTTTTTGGAGTTGGATAAAAAAAATTTCAAAAATGTTTTTCAAATGGTAGAAAAGAATGGAAATCTTTTGGCCAGATCGAAAGGGGTCGGGTTCAAAAGTGGATAATTTGGCATGGAATACCCCCTATATAAAGATGTCAGAAACACAATTTAGAGTGTTCAACGCATTCTGCAACGTCAAAATGACGTAAAAACAACGAAATCGTTTTCGTTTCAGCGACAAGAACTCGCCCTGTTGCCAGCTGTGCAAGTACATGCGCGCGGGCACCAAGTGCCGAGACGCGCAGCCGGCGACCTGCGAGGAGGAGTCAAAGTGCACGGGCCAGATGGCTGAGTGCCCCAAAAGCCCCCCCACCCCCGACGACCGCCCCTGCCAGGAGAGGGGCCTGTGCCGCAACGGAAAGTGCATACCTTTCTGCGAGACGCAGCGCATGCACAGCTGCATGTGCGACGTCAGTAAGTGAACCTACTTTTGAAGTTTTAAAAAATACATTTTTTAAACTTTTTGCCATTTTTTTTTTAATTTTTATTTTTAGTTGAAAACGCTTGCAAGAGGTGCTGTCGCTCCAATATAAATGAAACCTGTTCCCCTGTGGATTCTTCAGATATTTTAGCAGATGGAACACCCTGTATACATGGGTTTTGTAATAACGTATGTATTCCTAAACTTTAAGTAGATGTGTTCTTTTTAACATACAATGCGCTCCCTTTACTGTAACGAAGTAAAATTTCCTAAAAAACGAAATTGGGTTGGGTTGGCCACTGCAAAAAAACAATCCCCTTAAATCGTCAGATAAAACTGCCCATGATCTTAAATCTGTCTAAAATTGCCTTAAATCCTTCCTAAACCTTTACTTTTACGAAATTGGGCAGCATACTGCAAGAAAACGATCCCCTTATATCGTCCATAAAAACTGCCTACGATCTTAAATCTGTCTAAAATTGCCCTAAATCCTCACTATAGGTTTTAAGAAATTGGGCAGCATACCTACTCCCCTTCAACAAACTGTACATTACTCCAACAAAACATCTTCGATGGCCACTGCGAGAAAACGATCCCCTTAAATCGTCCATAAAACTGCATTCCATCTTAAATCTGCCTTAAATTGCCTAAAATCGTTTTTAAAACATTACTTCCGAAATTGGGCAGGATACTGCAAGAAAACGATCTTAAATCGTCCATAAAAAGTGCCTACGATCCGTAATCTGTAATTGCCCTAAATCCTTCTATAAACTCTACATTTTACGAAATTGGGCAGCATACCTAATCTCCTTCGAAATACTATACATTCAACAAAACATTTTCGAGGGCCACTGCGAGAAAACGATTCCCTTAAATCGTCCATAAAACTGCCTGCCATCTTAAATCTGCCTTAAATTGTTCTTAAAACATTACGAAATTGGGCATGTTGCAATAAAAACTGCCTACGAAAATTGCCTTGAATTCATCTTAAAACTACGTTTTACGAAATTGGGCAGCATACCTACTCCCCTTCAAAATATTGTACATTACTCCATCAAAACATCTTCGAAGGTCATTGCAAGAAAATGATCCCCTTAAACCGTCCATAAAAACTGCCTACAATTTTAAATCTTTCTAAAATTGCTCTAAAACCATTTTAAAACTACTTTTTTGCGAAATTGGGCCAAAAACCATCTTCCAGGGAAACTGCGAGGAAACGATCCCCTAAAATCGTCCATAAAAACTGCCTACGATCTTAAATTGTCTAAAATTGCCCTAAATCCCTTTTTAACCAATTTTTACGAAATTGGGCTTACAAATCATCTTACAGGGAAACTGCGAGAAAACGATCACCTTAAATCGTCCATAAAAATTGCCCTAAATCCCTTTTAAAACTGTTTTTTACGAAATTGGGCTAACAAAACATCTTCCACGGAAACTGCGAGAAAACGATCCCCTTAAAGCTGGGTTCTAACAGAGAAATAACGTAATATAATTTAATTTAACTTAAATTACATCACTGTATGAACGTTACAAAGAATTCTTGGGTTTTTAACTTTTAAGTTAGTTTATCTTAAATTAAATTACTTTTCTGTTAGAACCGATCTTAAATCTGTCTAAAATTGCCCTTAATCCCTTTTAAAACTCTACGCTTTACGACATTGGGCAGCATACCTTAACCCTTCCAAATATTGTACATTACCCCCCAAAACATCTTTGAGGGTCACTGCAAGAAAACGATCCCCTTAAATCGTCTATAAAAACTGCCTACGATCTTAAATGTCTAAAATTGCCCTAAAACCCTTTTAAAACCAATTTTTACAAAATTGGGCTTACAAAACATCTTTTAGAGAAAACGATCACCTTAAATCGTCTACAAAAACTGCCTACGATCTTAAATCTTTCTAAAAATCCCTGTAAAAACTACTTTTTACGAAATTGGTCTAACAAAACATCTTCCAGGGAAACTGCGAGAAAACGATCTCCTTAAATCGTCCATATAAACTGCCTACGACCTTAAATATGTTTAAAATTGCCCTAAATCCTTTTTAAAACTCAACGTTTTACGAAATTGGGCAGCATAATTACTCCTTTTTAAAATACTGTACATTACTCCAACAAAACATGTTTGAGTGTCACTGTGAGAAAACGATTCCCTTAAATCGTTCATAATAACTGCCTATGATCTTGAATCTGTCTAAAATTGCCCTAAATCCTTTTTAAAACTCTACGTTTTACGAAGTTCAGGGTTCACAGCGAGTGCCCTTAAGTGCCCTAATGTGCACTATTTTTTTCAGGGTGCCCCAAAAGTGCCCTATTTTAAAATAAAGTGCCCTATTTTTTATCAATTTTTCGTTTATTTTTTAAATTGTGATATATAAAAATTTAAATGCTTGTAAATAAAATTTACACTAAATGTTAATTAGGTGCGAAGGCGTACAAGGGTTTTAAGAAAGTGAAGAGTCCAAATGCGGCATACATAATATAATAAAACGGTCAATTCACATTTTGAATCTGGCGGTCAAGCACCACGCCCCCAAAATTTTTGTTAGTGTACAAAGTTGTTTTATTAATTGTGACAAAATGAACAAACAATAAATAATATTTTAGCAATATTGAACACCATTTATAGTGCCAAAATAATAATTACTGTGTAATTAATAGGGCATACAATCCACGGGATTTTTTTGATGATATCCTGGGACTTTCGGACAAAAGGTGGGATATTTCAAAAAAATCGGAAAGTAAAATTTATCACTATTTAAGTACATACATCTTACAGTACTGTAAGTTGTATGTAATTAAATAAGTGATTAATATTACTTAACTGTTGTTGTTTATATTTTTCCTTTATTTTCCAAATTGTTTATATTAAAAAAGGGTTTCAAGTATTTAGTAATAATAAATTATTTAAAAAAAATGTTTTTTGTAATTTAAAAAAAATCCCGAAAATCCCGGGATTTAAGAAATCCTAAATTTTTCCGGGATTGTATGCCCCAGTAATTAGGTATGTACAAAACAACGGTATAATTTGTTTATGTATAAGGTAAATTATTCCAACAATTTCCTTAAATCGGCACTAATTTAGTGCCCTATGTTAAAAATAAAAGTGCCCTAAAGTGCCCTAAATTTTTTGCTTCATTCGCTGCGAACCCTGGAAGTTGGGCCGACAAAACATCTTCCAGGGAAACTGCGAGAAAATGATTCCCTTAAATCGTCCATATAAACTGCCTACGATCTTAAATCTGTTCAAAATTGCCCTGAAAACTCAACGTTTTACGAAATTGGGCAGCATAATTATTCCTTTTTAAAATACTGTACTCTACAAAACATGTTTGAGTGCCACTGTGAGAAAACGATCCCTTTAAATCGTTCATAAAAACTGCCTGTCTAAAATTGTCCTAAATCCCTTTTAAAACTACTTTTTACGAAATTGGGCCGACGAAACATCTTTCAGGGAAACTGCGAGAAAACGATTCCCTTAAATCTTCCATATAAACTGCCTACGATCTTAAGTCTGTCTAAAATTGCCCTAAATCCTTCTTAAAACTCAACGTTTTACGAAATTGGGCAGCATACCTACTCGTCTTCAAAAAACAAAACATCTTCCAGGGCCACTGCGAGAAGACGATCCAAGACGTGGTTGAGCGCTTCTGGGACATCATCGAGGACATCAACATCAACAAGGTGATGCTGTTCCTGCGCGACAACATCGTGGGCACCGTGGTGCTCGTGACGGCTTTACTATGGATCCCAGCCAGCTGCGCCATAGGCTACTTCGACAAGAGGCGCAGGCTCGAGGAGGCGGACCGCAGAAATTGGCAGAACAAGACCGATCTGGTGCATCCGAGCGACACCAGGAGGGTTATACGCCTGAAGGTGGCCAGGAACGTGCCCCCGCATCCCGGCCAATCGGGGCCCAGAGTCACCATACAAGAGTAAACAAGTTGGTATTACTTAACGTTTCCCGTGTTTTACCTTAGTAACTTTTTTGGTCTAAGGAATATTACGTAGGTATTATGAATATTACTTAAAATGAAACCAATGATTTTATTTATTAACTTAAATTTATATTGTTAATCATTATTAATTTAAATAATTTTTAATATTAAAATCAATCTTAATAATGATTATATTAAATTGTACTTTCATGTCTGTGATTTTAAGTTACCATAGATTTAATTTTTATATTCCACATTAATTTTTTTACCACTAACTTAAAAACTAATGTACATACACCTGTATATTTATGGATAATAAGTAAATAAACATTAATAATTATTGCAATAATAGTTTTATTTATTTTGTAAAGTTATTTATTTACAAATAAAATATAAAGTATATCAACCATAAAATATTGTTTTTTTATTAAGGGGAAAAGTAAGGTTAAAAACGTTTGACTGATGTCAAATTGGGAAAAAGTAAGGTTAAACCCGTCTGACAGGCGTCCGATTTTATTTCTTAATAATATATAAAGTTTATATCAACCATAAAATATTGTTTTTTAAGGGGAAAAGTGAGGTTAAAAACGTTTGAATGATGTCAAATTGGGGAAAAGTGAGGTTAAACCCGTCTGATTTTACTTCTTAATAAAATATAAAGTTTGTATCAACCATAAAATATTGTTTTTTAAGGGGAAAAGTGAGGTTAAAACGTTTGACTGATGTCAAATTTGGGAAAAGTAAGGTTAAACTTGTCTGACAGGCGTCCGATTTTATTTCTTAATAAAATATAAAGTTTATATTAACCATAATATATTGTTTTTTAAAGGGGAAAAGTGAGGTTAAAAACGTTGGACTGAGGTCATATAGGGGAAAAGTAAGGTTAAACACGTCTGACAGGCGTCCGATTTTATTTCTTAATTAAATATAAAGTTTATTATATCATCCATAAAATATTGTTTTTAAGGGGAAAAGTGAGGTAAACAACTTTTAGAAAAAGTAAGGTTAAACCCATCTGACAGGCGTCCGATTTTATTTCTTAATAAAATATAAAGTTTATATCAGCCATAGAAATAATAGTATTATTTCTATGATATCAGCCATAAAATATTGTTTTTTAAGGGGAAAAGTGAGGTTAAAACGTTTGACTGATGTCAAATTGGGGAAAAGTAAGGTTAAACCCGTCTGACAGGCGTCCGATTTTATTTCTTAATAAAATATAAAGTTTATATCAACCATAAAATATTGTCTTTTTAAGGGGAAAAGTGAGGTTAAAAACTTTTGACTGATGTCATATAGGGGAAAAGTAAGGTTAAACACGTCTGACAGGCGTCCGATTTTATTTCTTAATGAAATATAAAGTTCGCCGTGTCTAGAGTCCCGTCAGACGGGTCTCTATTGCGCTCCCGTTAACAGAGTGACATCATCCAATGACGCAATCTTAAGACGGGAAGCAGATCTTTTTTCCTTAACCAACGTCCCGAGTCCGCCCGCTTCGAAACCAACCCAAACCCAACAACCCAACCCAACCGACCCCGCCCCATTGGCCCCCCCGCCCCATTGAGTAAAAATTTTTCAATGAAGGAATATTCATTTACATTTTATATTGTATAACTGTAGCAAAATGATTATGAGGAAAGGTAAATAAATTAAAATATTAATGTAAAATTAAATATAAATGCTTTTAAGGCCACATTGTATTATTTCGGTATATATGTAAATTCTTTAAAAAAAAATTTAAAAAAGTTGTAGAGGCGCCAAGTATCGAACCTCGTATCTCTTGCATGCAAAGCAGGCGCCCTTCCATCGAGCTACCGAGCTTGTTGTATAAATCCTATCGCTCGAAAAATAATACAGATTTACAGTGTGTGACGTCACAAAGTGTTAACGGGAGCGCAATAGAGAACCGTCTGACGGGACTCTAGACATTATGTATAAAGTTTCATCAACCATAAACTATTGTTTTTTAAGGGGAAAAGTGAGGTTAAAACCGTTTAAAAAAAGTAAGGTTAAACCCGTCTGACAGGTGTCCGATTTGTAAAAAGTGACGTTTAAACCACAAGTTTCGACGTTTTTCAGGAAAAGTTGAAGTTTATAAATTTCTAAAAGCCGATATAGCAGATCCCTAATCAGTGTTGCCAACATGGTCGCTTTAAGTATCCCTGTATTTGGTATCAATAAAAATGTTAATTATTGAACTAATAAAACAAAAACTACATATTTTTATCAATTAAATGTTACAAAAATAAAAGGCAACACGAACAAAACAAAATGAGTGTTTCGAAAATTCACAAAACTCAAAAAACCCTAGAACTGGGGAAAAAAATCATAAGTTGGCTACACTGTTCTTAACAACAATTTTGGTTAATCTACTTTTGTATAGGTTTCACCCTATAAATATTTTTTTTATTATAGCAGATATTTGACCTAAAGAAACAAATGCAATAATAATACTACATACTTGCTTTATTTCTTTTGTACATAAAGTTTATATCAAATTTTTTTTGTATAAATTTATATAAAATATAGTGTATAAATGCAACTTACATTGTAAATATTTAAATGCCATTATCACAGTTTTCTTAACTTAACTAAAAGTATATCACGACTACAATACTCAGAGTTGTGTTCTTCAATAGGAATAACATGAAAATTAAAAAAAATTTGAACTGACGACTTAAAAAACTCCCAAACTTCTTTTTGTTTTTCAGTATCTCTTAATTCTTGTGACATTATAATCGTAGTGTCTTTTGTTGTCAGTTCTGTTAATGTTTTTATTAATGGTCCTATCGACTAAAAAATCACACACCAAATTAATAAAAACCTTTATTTTTTTAAACCAACATACTTCCTTATAATAAATGCAATCAGCCATTAGAACGATATCAGGATTAAATTTGTTATCATATTTCTCACCCCAATTTAATGAATTAAATTTAACTGCACCCTTACAGCTAAAAAGGACACTTTTATTAGAATCAATGTTCAGTTTAAGTAAAGGTAAGGCCTCCGGTAAGTCTGTTAGTAACACATTTGCTCTACAACAAATTTTGTTTTAAATATTGCATCAATTGTTACAGGGTGTTTAAACCACCCTGTTCAAATTAAACTAGTTACCCCAAACATGCCGCTGTGAGACCTACTAAACCTAATCCAGCCCCTAACTCTAGCACATTTTTATTTTTAAGAAAACCCGTATTTTGCCCGCACAATTCCTCCAAATATTTCGCTAAAACTATCGAAGCATCCCAAACCACACAGCTGACGTCACCTTCGATTTTTTGATGAAACAAAAGCGTTTTATCTATCAAATCTATATCGTGCTCTCTAGTGAAACTTCCATTGATAAAGTGTCCATTCATTTTTCTCTTAAAAATAATAAAATAAAGGCTAAAAAACAAATGCAAAAATAGGGTTAAGTCGCTTAAAACTTTATTTGACAGGACGTAGGTCTGATAAACCGACGTTGCCGGTTAGTGCAAAAATCCCCAAAATCAGGTTCAACAAAAAATTGTAGGTAGAGTCACAATCCACACAACATTGGATTGTGTGTGGGTAGAGTGATATGGCGGGTTTACGAGTCACTCGCGTGCGTTTGAGGTTTGCGTGCGTTTCCTGGGCCTTCGCGTCAACGCGTTCTTCCTGACGCGACCCCATTTACGAGTTTCGAAGGCGCGCGTTTGCTCACCTTCGAACGTCAGCTGGTTCCTCAGTGCGTGTGTTTTGATTTCGTCTCGTGTCTCATACTTTGGGAAAATGGACCCATTTTTAATTCTTCGAACCGCAATATTAATGAATTTAGCTCGTCTGCTAATTATGTTTGACACAACACTTCTCCCACGCAGGCTACGCGGCTGATGCCATTGGCTGCCAGCCAATGGCATCAGCCAATGGCTGGCCATGTCACGTGATATCGACTTCAACGCGCGCGATCTTTTTACGGCGTAAAGTTTTTTCCCCGGATAAAAACCAAGACGCGTCAAACTGGCTGAGATTTGGCGCACGCGTCCTTTTAACGCACGCGAGTTCACTTATAAACGATCCCATTGCCCACCATGAGTTAAAACCGTTGCGCGCGTTGGCTAGCTCGCGTAAACGCGACCTCCAAACGCACGCGAGTGACTCATGGCGGTTGACCTTGAGAGACGCTATAATATTATAACAAATATAATAGAATTTCTAGCCCAGAAATTCTTCTAAATATGTCAATAAATATCAGCATTGTTTACCCTATGTAGTATTTTTTTAGGTCGGCGAGTAATAGCCAGGGTTGGGTCAGTAGAAAACCTTAGGTAATTTACCTTGGTAGAAAAGGGTAGAAAACTTGTTTTCGACTTGCGTCGAAAACCTATAGAGTTTTCTACTTACGTAAATTACCTTATTCGACCTTCTCCTTCCACTTCTCTATAATTGATAAAAATTTGCCCTCATGCCAAAAATTATGTTGGGGTCTCCCAACCAAACGTGGCCCTTTTTTTCCCACCATAATAATGTTAAAAAACTCCAAATAACTTCAAATTTATGGTAGGTGTCTGATTTTTCACAACATTTAACAAATCATAATAAACAACAAACTTGCATAACCTCACATTTTTTGATATTTGACAGTATTCTACTTTTTTACGTTTTCTACCGTCGAAAACGTCGAAAAAGGTTTTCTACATGTCGAAAACAAAAATGTAGGTAGATACCCAACCCTGGTAATAGCGCGATTTGACGCATTTGAGACTTTTGCGCACCCAAGGTCATCCGCCATGAGATATTAATAGCACAGGGCATCTAATTTTTTCGAAAAAAAAACGAAAAAACACGTAGCTAAGTAATATTTTAACAAGCATGAAGGCTGCACGAATGCATTTTGTTAAAAAATATTACTTGGCATTGTGTTTTTTCGATTTTTTTCACAGGAAAAATTAGATGCCCAAATGGTATTTGACAATACTATTTCATGAGTAACAGTTATTCTGCATCCACATAGCTTACAAAACATACTACCCATTATACATGCATACATAATAAATATGTAGGTATTAATTTGAAAACTGAAAAATAGGTAATTTATTTAATCACAAAATACTACAAACATAATTATTTATGGTACAATTAAAATATAAATTGCAATTTTTGGTGACAACAGCTGTCAAGTTTTGCCGAGGGCACGGTCTTATATATAGGTCTTGCAACTCATAGATAATAAATCAACAACTTCGCCCAATTTCAATAGGAAAAGTGACCTCTCTAATGAGACACCCACCAGATGGCGCATCGAGTTGAGGGTGAACCATAGATGTTTAAAGGTCGTTTTTACCTTCTTTATCTTTGGGTTTTACAATCGTTAGATAAGCTCTCTGGTGGATAATTTTCTTAGATAGAAGGTTTCTATGAAAGTTATCCGCCAAATAAGCTAACTTAATCTAACGATTGTAAAACCGGCTCTAAGTCCTTAAAGTCTATGGGATAAAGGTCAAATGAACTACCTACTTATGTTCTGTGAAGAAACATAACCTAAATTTTTATAAACAAGCTTGTGTATTTTGTTACAGGGAGTTTTTACTTATTGTTATTGTGATATTCGTTATTGTTATATTATATTGTTCTATTTTTTCTTTTTATATTTGTTCTTGTTATATTTGTTCTTGTTATACATTTGTATTTGTGCTTTTTAATAGACATGAAGTCCTGTGTTGTGCCAAAATGTAACCAGCAAAGCTATCGTTCCGGCATTAAAATTAAGCGGTCCATGTTTAAAGTGCTAACAAATAAGGAGCGGTTAAAAACATGGCAATGTGCAATAAAAAACATATTATTGACACCTTCACATTTTGTATGATTATTATATAATTAAGCACATCGTGTTGGTGAAATATATATTATTTTAAATAAACAATCAACCCATCCCCGCCAAGATAATAAAAAAATCGGTTATTAATAAATTAGCCAGAATATTGGTTGGTTAGTTTGTTGTGTTACTAGAAATTTTGGTTTTCATATTAGCCAAATTGAATTGGATAGTTTACAAATTATCCAGCTATTCCTAAATAATTTCAAGTAAATTAGCCAAGACCCTTGGTTGGTTTACAAACTAGCCGCTAATTTAGTTATAAATACGGTTTCAATTAAAATAGCTGACAGTTTGGGTAGTTTATAAACTACCCAGCTACTTAATAAACTATCCATGTTTACACATTAGCCGTAACCACGGTCTTATATACAGGTCTTGCAACTTTAAGCTTCGTGGTGGCTTCCTTAACGTGCCAAGCCGCTAGGTGGCGCTAAGATCGAAGGGGTAAAGTCAATTAAACTACTACTTAGTTAAATGTGGAACTACTGCATAACCATAACCTAACTTTTTAAATTCTTTTTCTATGTTTTGTTTACATTTTCAAAAATTTAATATTTGTGAGTTTGTTTCGGATAATTTACGTTAACAAAATAGGACAACAAAGTCTATACTCTATGCACAAAGTCCTCGGCCGTCACATGCCCAGACCAAACATGTTAATGTATAAAATACATACGTATATCATATATATGTTACGGCTAATGTGTAAACATGGATAGTTTATTAAGTAGCTGGGTAGTTTATAAACTAGCCAAACTGTCAGCTATTTTAATTGAAAACGTATTTTTAACTAAATTAGCGGCTAGTTTAAGATAAGATAAGATAATTTATTAGTAATAACATACAGAATAGTATTTTTACAGGTCAAATAAAATAAATAAATATAAAAATAACGACAACATTACAGATTAAAATTTGATTTGAAGTACTCCTCATATGAAAAAAAGGCATTCAGAATAAGGTAATTCCTGATTTGTCTTTTGTATTGATTAAAGTTTAGAGCTTTAATTCTAGCTGGTACACAGTTATAGAACTTTATGGCTAAATACCTTGAACCATTTCTGGATCTCTCAAGCCGGCAAAAGTCTGGTACAAGATTGTTTTTGTTTCTAGTGGGATAGTTGTGAATATCAGTATGAGATCTGTATTGATCAAGATTTTGTTTAATGTGCAACAAACACTGCATAATGTAAGCACAAGGTAAAGTTAAAATTTTTAGAGTCTTGAAGTAATTTCGACAGTCCTCTCTATAGCCAAGCCCAGAGATAATACGTATGCATTTTCTTTGTTGTCCAAATGCCTTTTCAAGGTGACAAGAATGACCCCAGGAAAGAATAGCATAAGTTAAATGAGAATGGAAGTTGCTGTGGTATGCTGTTAAAAGAGTTTCTTTAGAAGTAACCTTTACAAGATTCCTAAACAAGAAAAGTTGACGGGATAGTTTTTTTGAAAGATTGGCAAGGTGTTGCTCCCAGGTTAAACCTGCATCTAAGTGTACTCCAAGAAACTTGGCTTCCATTGCAGATTGAGGTAGAAATTGTTGTTTAACATTACTTTCATTCCTGAGAGTGAAGTTAATACTTTGTGATTTAGAGTTATTTAAGGATAGACGATTAGCTAGAAACCATTGACATAATTTCTTTTCGGAAGTTTGGTAATCAAGTTGGTCAATTTCTGAAGGGTGATAGCTTATGTAAAAGGTTGTATCGTCAGCAAATAAGACAGTATTGACTCCTTTACCCTGAGAGTACGCCAGGTCATTGATGTAAATGAGGAATAAAATGGGACCTAATACCGACCCTTGGTCTTGGCTAATTTACTTGAAATTATTTAGGAATAGCTGGATAATTTGTAAACTATCCAATTCAATTTGGCTAATATGAAAACCAAAATTTCTAGTAACACAAGTTGTGTTACACAACAAACTAACCAACCAATATTCTGGCTAATTTATTAATAACCGATTTTTTTATTGTCTTGGCGGGGATGGGTTGATTGTTTATTTAAAATAATATATATTTCACCAACACGATGTGCTTAATTATATAATAATCATACAAAATGTGAAGGTGTCAATAATATGTTTTTAACCGCTCCTTATTTGTTAGCACTTTAAACATGGATCGCTTAATTTTAATGCCGGAACGATAGCTTTGCTGGTTACATTTTGGCACAACACAGGACTTCATGTCTATTAAAAAGCACAAATACAAATGTATAACAAGAACAAATATAACAAGAACAAATATAACAAGAAAAAATATAACAATAACGAATATCACAATAACAATAAGTAAAAACTCCCTGTAACAAAATACACAAGCTTGTTTATAAAAATGTAGGTTATGTTTCTTCACAGAACATAAGTAGGTAGTTCATTTGACCTTTATCCCATAGACTTTAAGGACTTAGAGCCGGTTTTACAATCGTTAGATTAAGTTAGCTTATTTGGCGGATAACTTTCAAAGAAACCTTCTATCTAAGAAAATTATCCACCAGAGAGCTTATCTAACGATTGTAAAACCCAAAGATAAAGAAGGTAAAAACGACCTTTAAACATCTATGGTTCACCCTCAACTCGATGCGCCATCTGGTGGGTGTCTCATTAGAGAGGTCACTTTTCCTATTGAAATTGGGCGAAGTTGCAAGACCTGTATATAAGACCGTGGCCGTAACATATATATGATATACGTATGTATTTTATACATTAACATGTTTGGTCTGGGCATGTGACGGCCGAGGACTTTGTGCATAGAGTATAGACTTTGTTGTCCTATTTTGTTAACGTAAATTATCCGAAACAAACTCACAAATATTAAATTTTTGAAAATGTAAACAAAACATAGAAAAAGAATTTAAAAAGTTAGGTTATGGTTATGCAGTAGTTCCACATTTAACTAAGTAGTAGTTTAATTGACTTTACCCCTTCGATCTTAGCGCCACCTAGCGGCTTGGCACGTTAAGGAAGCCACCTCGAAGCTTAAAGTTGCAAGACCTGTATATAAGACCGTGGCCGAGGGTAATGACCAGGGTTGGGTCAGTAGAAAACCTTAGGTAATTTACCTTGGTAGAAAAGGGTAGAAAACTTGTTTTCGACTGGCGTCGAAAACCTATAGGGTTTTCTACCTACGTAAATTACCTTATTTGACCTTCTTCTTCCACTTCTCTATAATTGATAAAAATTTGCCCTCATGCCAAAAATTATGTAGGGGTCTCCCAACCAAACGTGGCCCTTTTTTTCCCACCATAATAATGTTAAAAAACTCCAAATAACTTCAAATTTATGGTAGGTGTCTGATTTTTCACAACATTTCTTCTTCTTCTTAATTCTGAACACAATTCTGTGTTCAGAGGAATGACCTTTAGCTTAATTTAAAAGCTATTTGGCCAGCACATTATATTTTTCGGTTTCCACCAAGATCAAGGGACTCAATTAAGAGTATCTGAATTTCACAACATTTAACAAATCATAATAAACAACAAACTTGCATAACCTCACATTTTTTGATATTTGACAGTATTCTACTTTTTTACGTTTTCTACCGTCGAAAAAGGTTTTCTACATGTCGAAAACAAAAATGTAGGTAGATACCCAACCCTGGTAATGACTGCTGTCATATATAGTTTTTCCACCTAGAAACCATTTGTAATTCAGAAATGCGCGTTTGTGATTGGTGGAAATTAAGACGAGGGAAATAGTCACAAATAATAGTATATTATTTATCAAGTTTGATAAACTCCATTTTATACACGAATTTAATTTAGGCAAGAGCGAGCTTGCGAGCGAGTTCTTAAATTAATGAGTGTATAGAAAAGTTTATAAACGAGGTGCATACTATACTTTTTCTACGACAAATACTTATTATTATCTTTAAATGATTTAAATAAAAAGTTTGTATAGAGCGCCATCTATGAAACAATAGGGGAATCTGTGTGTCACCGTCAAATGTCAATTTTTTTATTTTATAAACAAAGATTATAAAGGTTATAAATCGAAATGTATTTCTTGAAAATTGAGTTTTTCACAGTAAAAGAAAAGAAAATGTGGGAAATAGTCACAAATAATAAACTTTTCAAATATTGGCGTTGAGAAACTATTTAATACTTTTGTAGAAAGGCAATTTTTTTTAACGATTTTATGACATTTGACAACTGTCAACTAACTTCAGCCCGTGACACCTGTTGCTAACTTCAGCCCGTGACTAAAGAGCCATAAAGCCACAACTTGTCAATGTGTATTTAAAAGGTCACTTAGTGTCATGGAAACATGTACAATAAAGGGCGTTTTAAAGGTGGGAATAGAAAAAATCCTTTTTCATATATTTTTTTGTTATTTATGTTACTTTTTATTAAAAAAAAAATCCAAAATTAAATAGGTAGGTAATTACTAAAAAATGGAAGGTAAATAAAAATCGTTTAAAAATAAAAAAGAAGCACTTTATTTCTTATCACAGTTTATAATAAATAACAATCTATAATGTGTACAAAAAAATGTTTATAAAAATTGTGTATACCTACCTATTCTTCAATATTGTTTTTAACAGTACCAAGTACAAAATGGAGTTTTTCAACCAGATCATCAAATGGCATATCATCTTTTAAATCCAGTGAAACTTTGTAGCAACTTTTGTAGAGATCAACAAGTTTTGCACAATTTTTATTTGGTGGTGGTTTTGTTAGGCAAATTTTGATTAACGTCTTCAAAACGCATTGTAATCTATTTTTTACTAATACTAGGAGAGAGTAGTTGCTTTTAAACGAGTCCTGAGATTCTGAATCTTCCTTTTCAGTTATAACTTCTATTTTTTTTGTGATTAGAAGCTCTAACAAGCTAACAATCTCTATCACGATTTGTAGGCAGTGCTGGTAATTTTTTATTTTTGTGTTTAGAATGTTGGTACCTAAAATAATGTTTAGTTGGTTGAAGAAATCGATTGAATTTTTTTTACCTTATTTCTACATCTAAACAGTACTTTTTTTTTAAATCTCGTCCATTGACAACCTTGTATTTTTCTTTTTTTTTTCTTCAGTTTTAAAAATGAAGAAATTTCATTTTTTAATAACTTATTCAAAACGTGACGATTAGAAATTTGGATAAAATGTAGATCTTACTAATTAATGACAATTAATCCATGAAAAAATTTTGTTTAGGTTTTAAAGTACAGGGGGTGCTGGTGATAATTAAATTTAAAATTTAAAAACTTTTAAAGGGTAAATTATTGAAGAAGCAACTTTGTTTTAAAAATTTGAGTATAACACGTTGAAGTATTGATATTTGTCTATTATTTGATACATTAACATTTTTATGCAAATGATGTTTTTGTGGCCAGGATCAGTTTTGAATTAGCAGTGGCAGTATTCATACATTTTTAGTTTACATTTTGTCATTTTTATAAATATTGTTGCATCTTTTATTAATAATTAAGTATAGCATAACACATAAATGACTTTAATATACAGGGTGTTTCACGAACGTAGTCCGTTAGAAGTTTCTAGGGAATCGCGAAAGACATCGATTTAAAATTTAATAGCGTAAATTATTCGATTTAGACTTTTTCCCTCAATTATTTTGAACAAAATAAAACTTCCTGTTTTACCGGAAATGTCTTTAACATTGTTATTTTAAAGATGACACCTCATATATTTTTACATTTTTGAATTCTACATAAAATTCTGAGTAAAATGGCTATACCATAACCTATACTTAAAGTCAATATTTTTCGAGTTTTTTCATTAAAATATTTTAAGTGGTAACCATGGATACTGTCACATTAACCCAGATATAGAATTTCACAGGTTTGTTAAAAGAAAATAGTATTAAAAATATTAGAAATTGTTAAATCACGGTGTCCCTGAAAAACTTTTAATTGAAAGGTTCAGACGTATCCGAGTTTTTTTCATATTTTAATAAAAATAACTTACAAGACAGTTTTTTTTTCAGGATAAACTCAATTCGCTTGGCACTTTATTAGAAAAATCAATTTTTATAAAAACATTAATGATTTTTAATCAATTTTTTGAGATTTTTAATTAGTGAACTCCAAATAATGACTAACAGCTTTTAATGTATTTGTTACATAAAATGTGCAATTCATTAGACTAGTGAACTATTGACATAATATGTCAATAGTTCACTAGTCTAATGAATTGCACATTTATTATGTCACTTGTCACATGTCACATGTCGAAATCGTGATTGAAAATACCGTTACGTTATTTTACCGTTTTTTTCAATTTGTCGCATATTTATTTATAAATTAGATATAAATAATTATATTTGCATTGATTATAGTATATAGTGCAATAAAGCTAATAAAAAAACATGCATGGACTCACTCGGATAATCGCGAGAGAATTTGTTTGTTTTGTCTTAAAAAAAAAGAAAAAATGTCTAAAATATGTGGAAAGATTCTGGAAAAAGTTCAAAGCATAGTAGTATATGATGTAGAAGATGAACGATTACCAAAAGTTGTATGCAAATTTTATGATATAAAGCAGCCAAACAAGAAATTTATAGAAACACGTTAAATTTGCCTGATTTTTTTAATTGGAAATTATTGGGTATAATTTTATAAAAAGTGCTAAAAATAAACCCATTAAAAAAGAAAAAAAAGCGTGTTTTTCTTTTTTTAAAAGCTGCGATAGTAACTGCAGCTGATGTTTCGGAACTTTTTCACTAATATCGTTTTCAATATTTTCTACTTTTACTCCAGGTTTACATTTATGTTTTTACCGCGGCCACCAACAATACTTGAAAACATTTGAAACATTTTCTCACCCTTTTTTTATTTTTTAATGGGTTAATTTTTAGCAATTTTTATAAAATTATACCGAATTATTTCCAATTAGGAAAATCAGGCAAATTTAACGTGTTTCTATAAATTTCTTGTTTAGCTGCTTTATATAATAAAATTTCACAACCTTTGCATACAACTTTTGGTAATCGTTCATCTTCTAAATCATATACTACTTTGCTTTGAACTTTTTCCAGAATCTTTCCACATATTTTAGACATTTTTTCTTTTTTTTTAAGACAATACTAACAAATTCTCTCGCGATTATCCTAGTGAGTGATTTTTAAAAACACGATTTAAACTTTAAAACTCAAAAATCTTGACTTAAGACGCTTCAAATATTTTCAATATGTTTTTTTTTCGAAAAGTACATTTAAAAACAAAAATTTTATATAGAATGAACATTTTGATTTGGACCATTTTTTAAAAACAAAAACAAACAAAAAAAGCAGTTTTTTTGAAAATTTGATGTCTTTTGAACCCGTGATCAAAAAAAACTCAAAACTTACTGAGAAAGCTCTTTCAAGGAGTACTAAAAAATATAAAAAAATTAGAGGAATCAAAAAAAAAATTTTTTTAAACCATCCGATTTGGCGCTATAAGCCCCATATAATATATTATACGTAATATATAATATAATATAAAACTAGATAAAAGAATACCTATATACATTGAAGGCCTAACTTAAAAATGATGTCTCTCATAGAAGCATAATTTGCATATAGAAGTTTATATATCAAATAATAGTTAATTTTCAGTACTTTAACGTGATATACTCAAAATTATAAAACAACGTTGCTTCTTCGACTTTTTAACCCTTAAAAAATGGTAAAATTTTAAATTAAATTGTCCCCAGCGCCCCCTGGATGTTAAAAGGTCTACATTTTATCTTAATTTCAAATCTATACGTTTTTAAATAAAAATGTTATTACAAAACATCGAAATTTATCTATTTTTACCACAGTACAGTGACTTAAGCACGGTGGTCAAAACTTAAGTATAGGACGAATAAAATTCCAACCAAAACTGATAGCATATTTTGATTATAGACCATTTTGGTAACACTAACATGTATTTATCAAAATCCCAGCTGATCCTATTTTAAAGTTTTGCAAACTTTTTTTGTTTTTCTATTTCTATATATTATTTTGCAATTATTGTACTAAAACTACCTGTACAATTTTAATAAAAGTAAGCAAAATAATAAACTTTGTATCATTTAAATTACTTTACTCCCCAGTATTAATTTATTGATTCACCTATTATTTTTTACCACTCAAAACAAAACATAAAAAAAACCGGAAGATTTATATCTTAAATATTTTTTATAACAAAAAATACTGGAAGTTTGTCTATGAAATAATTACAACTTGCAAATTTTGTAAACAATAATTAAGGTGGTTATGAAAAAAATTGCTATACGTTATAACGCAAGTGACATTTTGCTTTAGTTATTTATTTAATGTATACTTTATAAAGTTAAAAATAGTATTTTAAAATGAAAATTAAACCGAAATTCAAGTTAAGCCATGAAGAAAATCGAAAGAAGGTATGTGCTGGCTGTGGAGACAAAATTGTTTTTGGTAATCGAAAAATTCAGAGTTTAGGGTTTCTGAGAAAATATAAAAATTACTGCAGACTTTTTCAAACGAACACTTTAACTTAAGTGATTCAAAATTACCTACTTCAATATGGTAAAAACGGTATTTTTGCATAGCCACAATTGCCAAATTTTCAAAATTTAGAAATTGCCAGAGAATTTTGCGGCAGCCAAGAATGTATGTGCTTTATCTGCAAAATGGCAAGATATAAAGGGCATAAAAAATTATAAAGGGAAGAGGATGGACGAACAAACTAAAGTTTGATATGCTCTTCCTTTCTAGGGGATATCGCTAAATGTAAGAAGCATGTTTGTAGAGAGACTGAAGAATTAAAAAATACTGTTTCCATGTTAAAAACAATTCCATGTAAAATCCAAGAAAAAGTTTTACTGAAAATTTAAGGCAAGCAGTAATCGATTTTGCTTCAAAGAATCTTTAGTTATTTATTAGTTTTGTATTAGGTACCTTAAAACAATAAATAAGATATTGCAAACTGTATTTTACATTATTTTGTATTTATAATGTAATTTATCCATATTTCAGTCATGTATCTGCCAAATTTTTAAAAACATTTGATAATGACACTAGATTATTTTATCGAAATGGCATAAACAATTTTAAAATACTAAGAAATATGCAAAACTTTAATAAAGGATCAGCTGGGATTTTGATAAATACATTTTTGTGTTACCAAAAGAGTATGCTATCAGTTTTGGTTGGCATTTTTGTTCGTCCTATACTTTAGTTTTAACCACCATGTAAGGCCTGAAAACCACAGCGGTCAATAAATGATTTTTTTTTTTTAAAAAGCACCATTTAGATGTAGAAACAAGGTTAATCACTTGCAAACAAATGTCCAAAATTTGTTCGATTTTTACGCGAAACCATAGTTACAAGTGTCCCTGAAATTCCTGTACATTGTGCAGGCATTTCAGGGACACCTTGTATATGAAACTTACTTTCGGCTAGATATTCGGAAAGAGCGAATCTCTGCATTTGCGACGTCAAATAATTGACGGTGTCGGCGGAGGAAAAAAACAAGTTCGAAGCCTTCTCGTAGTTGATTCGAGCCAATTGGACGATGTTCTTCCTGTTTTGCTCGCTCGCGTTGTTGTACACGTGCCGGTGGTACAGAGAACCGATTCTGTAGTGTATGAGGGCCGCTCGGTACTGATAGAGGGGAAATTTCGCGTTTTCCTCGTCCAAATCGCAGTATTTCAGGGCCGTTTGCAGGGTCTCTATCACCTCCTTCTCGGCTTCAGTTTGCGACTGAAACAACCCAAGTAGCATTTATAGTAGGGTGATTCATTTCCGCAAAGTTTTTGTTTTCTTCGGTGCTCAAGCAAAATATTAATCTGCATATAGAAAAAAACATTCTCAACAAGTTTGAGCTCTTAATATAAATTTTAAGTACTTACTATTTAAATTTAAAGTTCTACCGTTTAAAATGCATGTAAAAATATATATTTTTTTCAAATTTCTAATGCTTACCCACCTTTGACAATATTGCAAATCGGTTTAATACACCTTATGGGGAATTTCACGCTCTTTAAAATTGCTTTTAAGTTTTTTTTTGTAACTCGCATTGGTTCACCAGTAGGAGTCGTTAAAGGACAGTTTTTGAAAAAAATCGGTTTTTTTTTTTTAAATTTTTTCTAACAAACCGCAAAAAGTAGGGAGAAAAAAGGGCTGAATCATAAAAAAAAGTTATCCAACCAATATTTAATGAATTTGCAGCCATTTTTATAACTGAAAACGTAAGAAATTGATAATTACCAACTCATAATGTTATTTAGATTGATTTTTTCTATTTATTATCATTATATTTCCCTACACTAAGAAGTTTTTTAAAATTACTGATTTCTCACTTATAATGAATATGAAAACAACAGATAAATTCATAAAAAACAATAAGAAAATTGTAACGTGGATTTTGCAATTTTTCAACATTTCTGTCATATAGCAAAAAAATATAAATGAAGATTATTTAATTTTTTGAAGCGAAATTTGAAATATGTTACATACCTAACCTGTATATTCGGATTAAAGTTTTGTTGTTTTTTTTATGAATTTATGTGTTGTTTTCATATTCATTATGAGTGAGAAATCATAATAATTTTAAAAAAGTTCTTAGTGTAGGGAAATATAATGATAATAAAAAGAAAAAAACAATCTAAATATCATTATGGGTTGGTATTTATCAATTTCTTACGTTTTCAGTTATAAAAATGGCAGTAAATTCATTAAATATTGGTTGGATAACTTTTTTTTTATGAATCAGCCCTTTTTTCTCACTACTTTTGGCGATTTGCTCGAAAAAATAACAAAAACGATTTTTTTCAAAAACTGTCCTTTGACGACTCCTACTGGTGAACCGAGTGGTGAACCAATGCGAGTTACAAAAAAAAACTCAAAAGCAATTTTGAAGAGCGTGAAATTCCCCATAAGGTGTATTAAACCGATTTGCAATATTGTCAAAGGTGGGTAAGCATTAGAAATTTGAAAAAAAAAATATATTTTTTACATGCATTTTAAACGGTAAAACTTTAAATTTAAATAGTAAGTGCTTAAAATTAATATTAAGAGCTCAAACTTGGTGATAATGTTTTTCCTATATGCAGATTAATATTTAGCTTGAGCACCGAAAAAAAACAAAAACTTTGCGGAAATGAATCACCCTAGTGGTGATATCAATTTTCGACACTGTAATGCTAATAATTAATTATTAATTATTTTGCTGACTTGCCGTGTGTTTTTGCGCGGCATGAACTCACCAAAGTGGAGGTTGGAAAGTCGTGCATGGTACTGCCCATGTTGAGGAGGGCGGTGGACAGTTCCCACTTGACCGCGTCCCATATGGCGGGGCAGTGCTTCCTGTCGCCCAAAACCTGAATTGCCCGCTTGTAGTTCACGAAAGATTTGTTGTAGTGATGGCGCTCTTTGGCCGTCAACTCCCCGCGTTCGGATGGCGAGTTCGCGTGCGCTAGCAGGCGATGCAAGTGACCCATGTTCGAGTACAGTAGCGCCATGTTCGCGTCGTCTTTAACCTAAATAAATGTATTTTAAGTCGGAAACTTTCAATGTCGTTTGGCAATGCTGCACTGTTGACTTTAAGTTTCAGGTTTCGAGGAGGCATCTGGATCAGTTAAGCCTTCCTTCCTTCCTTCCTCCCGTAAAAGATGAACAATACGAAAATCGTAGTGCCATTTATAGATTCCCGTACAGCACAACGGTTTTTGTATTGTTCATCTTTTACGGGAGGAAGGAAGGAAGGCAATCTATAAATCAGGCTTTAAACGGGAAAGGATGCGGGATATTCTTAGGTTCTATGACGTACCAGAAAAAGTTACGAATGTATTAAAAATGCTTGATTAAGGAGCAGAGTAGTCGAACAAATTTGTAATCATGATTATGAATACTTATGTAATCAATAATCATGATTACTTTACTTGAATAATAATCATTTAAGATTCTTAGAAAAGATACAAATCATGAATAGCCGTTTTGGATATGAAACGTGTGGCAGCAAAATTTGTTCTAAAATTGTTAAATTTTGAACAAAATTTTTGGCCAAAAACAATACTGTAATGATGCCCCAGCCTCCATATTCGCCAGACATGCCTCTGTCTGAGTTTTTCCTATTCCCAAAAATAAAGAGAACCTTAAAGGGCCGTCGTTTTGCAAGCATAGATGACATTAAAAGCGCATCGCTGAAAGAACTAAAGGCTATCCCAAAGATCGAGTTTTAGAAGTGTTTCGAGTATTGGAAGAAGAGCTGGCACAAGTGCATAATATCCAATGACGACAACATTAATGTAGACGAATAAATAAATATTTGTTTCAAAAAACGAAAATTCCCGATATTTTCTGAACACTTCTAGTATGTGTATAAAATATAGGATCCAAATGAATGAAATAATTTTAGTCACATTCTACTTTCATTCATATGTTTATTACAGATAAACCATGAAAGGTATCAAAAACATACAACAGTAATAAATAGTTCAAAACGTTTATTTATAAACAAAGTAAGTGAATTATTTAAGTTAAAAAAACAAATATAATAGGAATTTAAAGTGAATTTAACATATTAATATTGGCTTTGAATCAGTACTTGCTTAGACAAATTAAAAATGAGTACAATATTTAGTTAGTTTGACTACGCTTCTTACGAAATTCCCTTAGACCCTTAAGGAGTTATAAGAAGAAGAAGAGAAGATTTTTTTAAGCCCATGCAGAAAAACAAAATTTTTTAAGTCTAAAAATTATCACAAAAAAGACAAAACTGCTAGAGAATAAAAAACCGAAGATTAATAAGTAATAGGCAATGAAGATATAAAAGAAGTAAAGGAGTTTTGTTACTTGGGAACTTAACTTAACTATAAGATACCAGGAAAAAGGCAAATAGGCACCCCTAATAACACATGGAGAAGAACTTCAAAGCAAAAATGTAAAGAACCACATTTTTTGCCTTAAGCTCCAAAAACATCTTAACAAATTCCCTTTGCCCCCTAAGGAGTTGCAGGAAGAAGAGAAGATTTTTTTTCAAGCCCATGCAGAAAAACAACATTTTTAAGTCCAAAAATTATCACAAAAAAGACAAAACTGCTAGAGAATACAAAACCGTAGATTAATAATAGGCAATAAAGAATTAGAAGAAGTAAAGGAGTTTTGTTAGTTGGGAACTTAACTTGACTATAAGATACCAGGGAAAAGGCAAGTAGGCCTAATAACACATGGAGAAGAACTTCAAAACAAAAATGGAAAGAACAATATTTTTTGCCTAAAGCTCCAAAAATCTCTTAACAAATTCCCTTTGTCTTTGTAAGGAGTTATAGGAAGAAGACTTACCTTCTCGAACACCTCCAAGCCCCTGATCAGGTACGGCTCGCCCTGCTTGCACGCCTCGATGATGGCCTCCTCCGTTTTGGCGTTCTTCGCCTTGTGCAGGAAGTACGAGGCCACCTCGTTGACGCTGTTGCCGAGCCTTCGCAGCACGCCGTCGCTGGCGGGCGATATCTGCAGCGCGCCCTCGTAGCACTCGACCGCCTGCATCAGCATCTGCTCGACGGTGCGGACGTCGTAGAGGAAGGCGCACCTGAACACCGAGCGCCCGATGTCGATGTTCGAGAGCCGCTCGTCCCGCTCCAGCTGCTCCATCATCTTGTAATCCTCGTCCGAGTGGTTCTGCAGCTCGTCGCGGTACGAGTCCACCTGCACAATTTTTTTTTATTGCACAGCCAACGGACAAATATAGATATACAGGGTTCGTAGCGACCGGGAAAACCGGGAAATCCGGGAAAAGTCAGGGAATATAAAATGAGTCTAAAAAGTCATGGAAAAGTCAGGGAATTTAAAGAAAAAACGAAAAGTCAGGGAATTATCTTTAAATAATACTAATACTTAAAATAATAATAATAATATAAAAGAAAATAATATTTACTTAATACCTACACAATCTACATTATGATTTAATATAAATGAAATGCTTGGGCAATTTAAATGTAACTACCTAATCGTGTAACTGTCAGTGTGTCTTTGACAAAAGTCAAAGTAACATTACAAGTCTTTCTCGTAATTGTGAAAAATTGTTTAATAACGGAAATCAAGGTTCTGGAAAACAAAAAACAAAAATTAACTGAAGGAACCAACCATAAAGTGGACAGTATCAATAGACGTCTACAAATATTGAGAGAAAAAGTTTAAAATAGTTATTTGACTTGTTTTTGTATTTCGTTTTGTTTTTATTTACGAGAAATATGCTCTATGTTTTGTTATAACTATTAAGTTAAATTTAAAAAGATCTAAAAAAGTTTTGTTTTTGAATTACATATGTGACCTGGACTACGGAAAGCTACCTATGGTTAGAAATCAAGTTTTCGAGAAAACAGTGCTTTTACAATAAATAATTGTGTACCTTATTCAAGTGATTTCCCCTAAATAGCTAATTTTGTGAACGTTGAAAAAGTTGAAATAATATGTGCTGCTTTTCTTATCATTGTATTTTCGAGATCGTGGTTTTTCGTTGATATGCAGCTAATTTAAAGTTGTTTTAGTTTGTGAAAGTGCATAATGGATTTAGAAAAAAAATTTAAAGCAGTGGAGAAACAATGTTTTGCGGAGTGAGATGAAGATTACGAAGATCAAGGTGGAGGTGCAGGCGTAGTGACATAGAAGATGACGTTGTACCAGATTCGTCTTTCAAAATGTCTCTTCAGGATATTGACGAAAATAAAAGATCAAAAAAAGCAGTTCTTGATCTATTTATAACTTTTTTCGCGATTTTTCTAATTCATGTCTGCGGTATGTTCCATTAAAAAATACGTTAATTTTTTTATAAATTTCGATCAAAAAACAAAAATTGATTCTTCCGACCATAGGTAACTTTCTATAGTCATTCAGTTGATTTTAAAATGTAAAACTGTAACCACTAACCTTACTTTCTGAAAGTTGTCAGTTTGACGTATTTCATTGTTAATTGTGTTATTTTAAGGTTAGATTCTCTGTCAACTTTTTGAAACTGCTTGTCATTTTGTCAAAAATGTCCCTAAAGGTTGGTTTGCACATACATTAAGTTCGGGCTCCTTGTGTAGGCTCCATGGGTTAGATACTGGTTTGCGAATAAAAATCGTTCGTTTTTTTCAAAGAAAGCTAATGTAGATTTTCATTTTCAAACATTGTTTGGCAAAATATCGTTGGTGATATAAATTAATTTTTTTGTAATTATTTTTTATTTAATAATACAAGTAAAAAAATAAATGTCGCTAACAATGTTTTGACAAAAGTAATCATCAAATGTATATATCCCACAAAGTAACGTAAATGTAACTTAAGCGACAAGACTATTTTTACATTTTCCTAAAGATGTTCTTATAAAATATCGTATGCCACAAAATTTAATGAAAATTTTAGATTGGATTCGATCTAACTTAAATATTTGAATTCTACATTAATAAAATAATGCCTCACCAGTTTTCAGATAAATAACTTTAAAAATAAAGCTCCCACACAAAAAAATCTCTCCTGTACAATTTAGGTTTTGTCGCTTACGATGTTTTGTCAAATAACCATCGATATACTCCATAAAATCTCCTTTTATTGACCTAACCAACCCTAAAGCTGTAAGAAACAACAAACTCACCTTGCTCCAATTTTGTACCATCATGATGGCGCAATCTCCAGCTCTGCCCAGCAAATAGTTCTCCTTGACGGCGTTCGACTTGTAAATCCTCGACAGCACCAGCTCGCACCTGGCCAAGAGGCCCACGCTCCTCAAGCTGGCCCCGTACCGCGCGCCGCCGTAGTGAAACTCCGCCAGGATGGCGAAAACCAGGACCGCCTTCTCGTAGAGCAAGGTCTTCAGGTGCTCCTTCCACGAGACGTCGAGCCCGGTCTGGTCCTGCCACGTCGGCAACGGCCTCGCTTCGTTCTTGTTTTTGAGCAGCAGGGCGCTCTCGGTGGACGCGGCGGCGGCGTTGCCTTTCTCCTGCCGCCTGTGCTTCCTGTCTCTCTTCTTGCTCCTCTTCTCCTGCTGCTGCTTCTCCGGCTCGGTCTCGTTCAGTCTCGCGTACGGCATCGGGATGGCCTCGAACGGCTTCGCCATCGGGACCTCGTCGTCTTCGGCCGCTCCGGCATCTCCTGCGCAAACACTTAATGCGTTATTTTTTTAATGCATTAAGGTTTCAATACACATTATTAAAATAACGAGTAATGTGTTTAATTTTCATTATGCATTACCTCTTTTTTAACGAAAATTCTTTTTTTCCTTTTCAAATATTAGCTTTGGGAAACTATTTCATGCTTTTGTATTTTTGTATTGAGATAATAAAATAATTTTAACATTTAGTATTATTTTAGAAGAAGGGCACTTTATTTTAACGATTTTAGGACATTTGACAACTGTCAACTAATTAAAAGCTAACTTCAGCCCGTGACTAAAACGCCATGAAGCCGCAACTTGTCAATGTGTATTTAAAATCACTTATTGTCATGTAAACATGTACGATAATGGATGTTTTAAAGGTGGGAGTAGAAAAAATTAATTATTCGTTCATACCATCGCGGATTCAATACTTTCTTGAGTTTAGGTCGCCTTCTCACTTAATAATCATAATCTCACTATCAACTCCGGCTTAAAATTTCTTGAATTCTTTAAGAAAATCGAAGAATAAAAACAGTTTGAAAATTAAAATTTTTAGGGTGGGTTGTACCAGTCCGAGTTAACCCTAGATTATTTTTAATCCGCGATTAAGTGCTAAAATTCGTTGTACGAAGGTTAATCGAAGATTAACCGATGATTAACATAAAGATTATCGGTGAAATTTAACTCGCCAATTTTGGCAGTTTAAATGTTGAATAACCTTACTTTTCTGTTAAAGCTTAAAATTATACAATAATTATGGCTTTCGCGCAAATAGAAGAACTTGAAGAATTAATTAAAGATAGACACATGAAATTTTGCATGGTTGGTGGATATAAAATTCCACTTATAAGAGTACAAAATGAATTTTTTAAACTTCCGGTTTCGCCGAAAATGATATCAACTTTTGATTTTTAAATGGAACGCTCTATATATTTTTACATATTTAGAATCATGAGAAAATTCTGAGTCGGACAGCATCCTCAAATTGACCTTTCGACGTTTCGTCATCAGAAAATGCATCATCATAAAGATCAATCTAGAGTGCTTTGAACTATTTGAGAAAAACGAATTTTGACAAGTTTAGACTGCTGGGAATAGCTGAATAACAACTTTAAGGCAAGTTCCATTTTTCAGGCATTGTGGGAATCCATTAGAAGAAAATAAGATAGTTCAAAGCACTCTAGATTGATCTTTATGATGATACATTTTCTGGTGACGAAACGTCAAAAGGTCAATTTGAGGATGCTCTCTGACTCAGAATTTTCTTATGATTCCAAATATGTAAAAATATATAAGGCATTCCATTTAAAAATGAAAGTTGGTATCATTTCCGGCGAAACCGGAAGTTTAAAAAATTCATTTTGTACTCTTAAAAGTGGAATTTTATATCCACCAACCATGCAAAATTTCATGTGTCTATCTTTATAAATAAAAAAGTTACAGGGGTGCGCCTATTCTCAGATACACCCGGTATAGAGATGTAAAAACATTACAAAACGTTCACCAATTGTATAAAATCTTCGTCGTCGGTTAATTCTTCAAGTTCTTCTATTTGCGCGAAAGCCATAATTATTGTATAATTTTAAGCTTATTATTATTGTTATTTGCACGTTTTCTCTTGTCCGACATCTATGAAGTCAAAATAATGATAGGTACCTAGTAAACTACATTGTATAAAAACATGTTAATACTTACGTTTTATAAGATGAAAAAGTAGCGACAATTAAATTGGACCTTTTTATTTTGAAATTTAAACAATTAAAACTTAAAAAAGTTGTCACTTTGACGTTTAAATAACATACCAGTGCTACCAACAATCCTATGTTTAGGATTAACGAGGGTTTAACTAAACCAGTGTTGCAATGGTTTTGTACAACGAATAACTGGAATAATCTAGAGTTATTTTTAATCGTAGTTTAATAAACACGTGAGTTAACTCGGACTGGTACAACCCACCCTTAAACTCAAAATTCGCATCCAATCATGCTTTGGATAATTTTAATACACGAAAATTTTAAGAAATAAAAATTTCAATTCGGACCATTATTAAAAAAATTAGCAGCAAAAAAACAAAAAACGCGATTGTTTTGAAAATTTGATCTTTTGAACGAGTAATCAAAAAAATATCAAACATTACCAGAAAGGGATTTTTAATGGGTAGGTACTATCGCTAACAAAAAAAACTCATACAGCTTAAAAATCTAGTGTTCCTGATTTTCTATCATTTTGTTGGAGTAATTATGGCTTTTAACATGATACGTCACATTTGAAAGGTCTAAAATTAAATACAAAGTTAGGTTGAAGTTTGAAAAAAAAATAATATTTCGTCATCCCTCTGTTTTTGTCAATTACTGCCCGCAAACGGCAAAGCATGGAAGTCGCCGTCTTGCTTTATCTAGTTCCAAATGGCTTCAATGGCTTGCCAGAGTTCGTCTGCATTGTTTGGTTGAAAATGTTGTTAAAAAAGTCATAATGGATGTGACAAAGCTCGATGTCAGCTTGACATTGACGGAAAAGTTTTATTCACACAGCCACAATATAACTGTATGAGTTTTTTTTGTTAGCGATAGTACTTAAAATATAGAAAATTAAAATAAATCGAAAATCAACATTTTTCAAACTGACAGACTTGGTGTAAAATTCCCCATATAAAAAATCACCCCATCAACCAAATGTAATGGGTAATGTCTTTCTTTACACATTTTTTAAATGTTTAATGAACAGTCTCTCATTACTCATTTTTTAATGAGTAATTTATTGTTTGACATTACTCATTAATTTTTTAATATGTAATAAAAATATTTCTCATTACAATTTTTTTTAATGAATAATGTATTCAAACTACCTTACCATTTAAAAAAATAACAATTGCATTATTTTTTACATTAACATTTTTGAAACTATGCTCTAGAGTGAGCCAAAAAAACTAACCTATTAAATTTATGGGTTAAAATGAACCTATATACCGAGAAAAAAATGTCCCTGCAAGGCAGGATTTTTAGCTCAATTTTAAAAAGTGTCGGTGAGCATTTAAAGTTTCCCATTTAAATAACACGTAAAAAAATCTTCTTTCATTAAAAATACCATAACTTTTGAACCGTTTACGATAAAAATTTTTACGTCGCGGAATCTTGTAGAGCATAAAATTTCCCAAATAATCTATCCCACAATTATTTTTTTCAATTCAAAAATTCGTATGTTTGAAAGCTTTGAAAAGTGTAAAAAATAACTAAAACTGAATATTTTGATTTTTTTCACTTTTCAAAGCTTTCAAATATACGAATTTTTTAATTGAAAAAAATTATCCTGGGGTAGATTTTTTTAGGAAATTTTATGCTCTACAAGAATCCGCGACGTAAAAATTTTTATCGTAAACGGTTCAAAAGTTATGGTATTTTTAATGAAAGAAGATTTTTTTACGTGTTATTTAAATGGGAAACTTTAAATGCTCACCGACACCTTTTAAAATTGAGCTAAAAATCCTGCCTTGCAGGGAAATTTTTTTCTCGGTATATAGGTTCATTTTAACCCATAAATTCAATAGGTTAGTTTTTGTGGCTCACCCTACTATACTCCTGCGTAATACGACTCAAATTTTGTTTTGTCCGCCCGCGAAGTTCTTACCTAGATCGCAGCTCGTCTGCGGGAAGTGCTTGAGGCAGCTCAAGCCGTTGGCGATGTGCTGCAGGGCCTGCAGACACCTTTCCTCAAGGCCGCCCCCAATTGGCGGTGGAGGTTTCGGGTAGTTCGTAAGGGACTCCACAGTGTCGAACGGATCCAGAACCAACACCTGCGTAAACGCCAAAAACCGGATTTTAGAATGTTATTTTCCCGATCCTTGCATTCAATTTCCAGTATTAACGCTTTATAATTAATTAATATTGTTTTCAAAACCAATTTATTAATTTTATTATTTTTATTGGCGCAGTCGGTGGGATTTAACAGGGTTTAAAACCCGTTGGTAATGCTATCATTAGATGTTTTGATGATTTCTTAAAAAATATGCTTATTAATTTTTTAAATATACAAGGTGTCCCTGCAATCGCTGTACAAAATCCTGCCACATATTTAGCAAACAATCAAAGTTGAAATTTTGTTTTCGATTTTATTAAATAACTTTGAAAAAAAAACTTTTCCGCTCAAAATTATTCGGGGGTATTTCAGAACGTAAAAATTAAATTAAAATAAAATATTTTACGTTGTAGATGGCGCTGTCTGCGAAATAATTAAATGGTTACATTCACGTGTTTTTTTAAATAATCCCTTTTTGAAGGTAAGTACAAGTAATATTAAAATTTGGTTTTGAAAAAATATACAAAGCACCAAAAGTAAGTTTTTTATTTTTTAATTATTCATATCTTGACAACTAAAACCTATTTAGAATAAATATATTTTTTAAATAAAACACGGAAAATAACAATCGCAATTTGTATGAAACTGTAAATATTCTAAAAATGACTTAACAAGATTTAATGGTTCAAAATTAATTTTACTTTTTTTGATAAAAATGTCCCAAAATTTTTTAAAACCACCTTATATGTGATCTAAACCCATTTTATGTGTCAAAAAATATTTAAGAATGTCAACACATATCGTCACCTGAGAATTATAGTGTTCTATCTGCATTTTCTTTTTTTTATTCAGGTTAGTCTTGTTTTAAGTATTAAAGATGCATATTGTTCTATCTATATATAATTGGGGTAGAAATTGTACAGTTTAAGCCTTAAACTTCACAATTTCTACCCCAATTATATATAGATAGATCAATATCATCTTTAAGACTTAAAACAAGACTAACCTGAATAAAAAAAAGAAAATGTAGATAGAACCTTAGAATATGGATAGAACACTATAATTCTCAGGTGACGATATGTTAAAAATTTCAAGCCCTACATGTATTGCCTTAAAACTTATAATTATAGCTATTTACTTGTTATAAAACCTATAGGTTATATATGATTTAAAACAGACTTTAAAATAAAAAATGTTTTCAATTCCCGAAATTTGAGTTATGTTGCTTGCGATACTTTGGCAAAAGTCATCGATATATACTTATAGTATGATTACTTTTAATTATGTAGAACTGCATACTATAGTAAAAGTACACTTGTAATAGGTAAAAAGATAAATACAAAAGGGTGAGGCCTGTCCTGACGAGACGCAACTGCTTTATCTTGGTTATTATATTTATATTTAAACATGATATATTATATTTAAATAAATACTATAACTGATATTTATATTTAGCTAACCCAAAAACAAAAAAATCCCTTTTTGAAGGCAAGTACAAGTAATATTAAAATTTGGTTTTGAAAAAATATACTAAGCATCAAAAGTAAGTTTTTAATTTTTTAATTATTCATATCTTGATAAATAAAACCTATTTAGAATAAATATATTTTTTAAATAAAACACTGAGTCATTCCAAATAAAAACACCAAATGGGGTGCGCTGCTTGATTTTTTATTTTGATAAAAAAAATTGAGGATGATCTTTTAGGTATCAAATATGAAAATCCGTTGCCGTTTTACTTTTTGGATTCTTTACTTTTAATCGGCACCCTTTAGAAATCTGAAATCGTGTCAATTTCTTACTCTCTTATAGTGGGCCAGAACTTTTTTCTGTGACAAATATTGAAATGATTTTAATTTTGTTTTACTGTTCAGTAAGTGTGTTTTCGATATAAATTATAATTATCCAATTAGTTAATCTCATAAAAGAATGGTAAACCACTAAAAATTCATGATAATTGCCAATTTTTGTGATTTTTGCCTGGCTCCTGTGCCTATTCTACTAAATCTAGAAAGTTATTTTTTTCAGGTATCAAGTACTTATACAATAGAAAACGTAAGTATTATTTTAAGTTCTAGATTATCATTTTCTTTATTAAAAAAATTATTGAAACTTGATAATTCTTAAAATTAGTCAATTTTGCCCTCAGAAATCATTATGTTGAGGAAAAAATAAAAATCTGAAACTTTCAGGAAATGTAGTTCCCACCTTCATCTTTTTTTTTAATGCCCGTTTAGACAACTGTCAAAAATATTTCATAAATATTATTTGTGCGTATTTCTTTGGTAAATTTTGTATAATAAGTGAAATTAATAAAGAGTTAATTTAAACGTATAAAAATGCGTTAAGCAGTTTTTTGTCGTTTTCTTTCACAATTTAAACCAAATTAGTCTTGTTCTATTATTTTGATGACTTTAGTAAGGCACTGAATAGTTAAAAGTTATATGTATGTATTTTAAATGTTAGTGTTGGAAAAAAAAATTACCCAATCTGTAAATACTTCTTTAAATTTTAGTTTTTAGGTAACTGGTTAAAATAAAACATGTAAAAATAAAGGGGTTTATTTAGAGTATTTTTTGGTTTTTGCTTTTTTTTAACAATTTAAAACTTCTCAGAACTTGAATATTTTCTATGAGAAAGAGGTATAAAATTATGATATATTTAATTGCAATTAAATTCATGAATCTCGAACACTCAGTCATTTATTGCAAACTTGCAAACTATTTGAAATCACAATTTAAATACGCACAAATAATATTTATGTAATATTTTTGGCAGTTCTGACATTTTTCTACCTAACATGAATTGACTAAGTCAAAGCCATCTAAATTTTAAATTATAAATAAAACTAACAATATCGCTTCTTAACTGCATTAAAAAATTTATTATATCTATTATATGGATAAAAATAACAAAACAAGACTAACTAGTCTGAAAAGATGAAGGTGGGGACAACATTTCCTAAAAGTTTCAGATTTTTATTATCTCCTCAACATAATGATTTCTGAGGGCAAAATTGGCTAATTTTGAAAATTATCAAGTTTCAATAATTTTTTTAATAAAGAAAATGATAGTCTAGAAACTTAAAATAATAGTTACGTTTTCTATTGTATAAGTACTTGAAACTTGAAAAAAAGCAACTTTCTAGATTTAGCAGAATAGGCACAGGAGCAAGACAAAAATCACAAAAATTGGCAAATTATTACAAATCTTTAGTGGTTTACCATTTTTTTATGAGATGAACTAATTAGATAATAATAATTAATATTGAAAACATACTTACTAGGTAGTAAAATAAAATTATAATCATTTCAATAATAGCCACAGAAAAAAAGCTTTAGCCTCTTATAAAAGAGAAGGAAAATGACACGATTTCAGGTTTCTAAAGGGTGCCGATTAAAAATAAAGCAACTAAAAATTAAAACGGCAACGGTTTTTCATATATGATACCTAAAATATCATCCTCAAATTTTTTCATTAAAATAAAAAATCATGTAGCGCACTTTTAAATTCATTTTTGGTGTTTTCATTTGGATTTACTCCACAGGGTAAATAACAATCGCAATTTTTATAAAACTGTATATACATTATTATTACATATGTATATATTCTAAAAATGACTTAACAAGATTACTAATACGAGCCCTAACCACATAATGTTCGGACACTTCATAATTTATACAGAAATTTTTTTCGTGAATACTATCTCAAAATTATTAGAAGTTATGAAAAATTCAGCTTATTTTGGCATATACCCCTCGAAGCGATTTTTATTTTTAAAAAGTTTACCTTTTATTTTTAGCTTTTAAAAAAAGGCTAACTTTTTAACTTTTTTTTGTATGAGTAAAAAAAGTTATAAATGGAGCCATTAAAAAGAGCATAAAATATTATACAAACCCTGAAAATTTGGTAAAAAATAAATAAGTTATAAAAAAGTATAAGTAATTTAAAAATGCTATTTTTAAAGAGTTTTTGCAATTTTCTTAGGAAACGGGAGATTTTGCAGATATATATATCGCTATAACTTTCTTATTATTTATACAATTTTTACCAAATTTTCAGGGTTTGTATAATATTTTATGTTCTTTTTAATGGGCCCATTTATAACTTTTTTTACTCATGCAAAAAAAAGTTAAAAAGTTAGCCTTTTTTTAAAAGCTAAAAATAAAAGGTAAACTTTTTAAAAATAAAAATCGCTTCGAGGGGTATATGCCAAAATAAGCTGAATTTTTCATAACTTCTAATAATTTTGAGATAGTATTCACGAAAAAAATTTCTGTATAAATTATGAAGTGTCCGAACATTATGTGGTTAGGGCTCGTATTAATTTTACTTTTTTTGATAAAAATGTCATAAAATTTTCTAAGACCGCCTTATAACTGACCTAAATCCATTTTATGTGTCAAAAAAATATTTAAGAAAGTCAAAACATATGTTAAAAATTTCAAGCCCTACATTTATTGCCGTAAAACTTTTTTGTTAGTCAAATATGAAACAAAATAAAAGACTTAATTTTTTTATTAGTATTTGTAGAGATGTAAAAAAATGTGAAAAAAAACTAAAAAAACGGTTTTTTTTGTTTTTTTTTTCAAAATGAAATTTTGAGTAAACTGTAGAAAACTTGTTAACCTGTTTACCTTATCTTAAATTACCTGTCTGTTACAGTATATTACATTTTTCATTATTGAAAATTTTGACCAAGACTAAAAAATCTGATTTCTTATTATTTGGTAGTTTCCACATTAAACCAATAGCATTGTAAAATTTCTACACTAATACAAAAAATTTCGGATAGCTGTATATTTGTTAAAAATGGTCGTATTGGAGCCGTAAAAAAAGCAATTTGAAGCTTGAAGTTTATAGTTTTGAGAATTTTAGATGAAAAACGTGTAACGCTCAATTGTAACAAATACCGTAATAAAAAAAAACGATTTTTTTTATTTCTTTTTTGGTCCACGGAATGTTCTGACCACCAATAAAGAAATGTTCTACAAGAATTTGCTATGGTTTTTTGAAAAAAAAAATTCCATACTCTACATAAATTTGAAAAATCATGAAAAAAGTGCTTTTGGTAGCTTTTTGAAAAATCAAGTGCTGAATCAAAAATGTGATATGTAGTTACTTTTTTTAGGGCGCGGCCCTTATTGGTCAAATCGGTGGTTGTGGCGAGTGCATAACGCGAGACTGTATTTACATTTAATAATTGTCATTTAGTGGCTAATTTTAGTCCATGGAAACATAAAAAATTAGGCAAAAAACCTAAAATGTGAAAAAAACCATTTGAAAAAAAAAACAATGAAAAAAAACCTGAAAAAAAACGGACCGTTTTTTTTCAAGTCGCATCTCTAAGTATTTGCCATTCCACCTTTTAAACCGCCAGTAATAATACCTTATTTAATTTTTTTAATGTAAAAATACTATACTTAAAAAAATCAAAGAAAAAAAATTAAAAAAAAATGTATTTGCCATACACAGGTTGTGTGTTATATTAAAAAAAAATCTTTACCTTGGTGGCAGACTTCTTGGGTTCGTCCTCGTCCTCGTCCCCTTCCCTCCCGTCGTCGTCGTCGTACACGGGATCGCTCTCGTCCGTCTCCGGTCGGTCGAGGTCGGGCGCTTCCGGATCGGTGCTCGCCGGCACGAACAGATCCGACAGCATGAAGTGCGACGACGTGACGATTTCCGGGTACTTCTCGGGCGGCAGCAGCTCGAGGCAGTTCTTGAGCAGCATGCGTATCGTGCCGGGCTGTCGGCGGTCCGTCGAGTGCTTCATGTTGCGCGCCACGCGGTACAAGAGCATCGCGACCGGGATCGTGAACGGGTTTTGACCCTTGTCCACGTCCGATTCCGAGCACAGGGAGCTCAGATCGTACAACTTTACCACCTGCGACCCACAAAGTTTTGTATTTTAGGGGTTGGCTTTTAAATATGTAAAAAAACATATTCAAACTTAATTAATTGTTTCGACTTTTACTTGATGAAACTCCATGTTAATATTGTTTTATTTTAATATAAACTACACTGTTTAAAAGTTTCACTATTTTATTTAAATATGACAATTGTTTCGCTACACAGTACGCCGTTGTATTTTTTAATCAGGAATTTTTGTTGCAACTCCAACTGCTAGTCATATTTTTAATTGTATCGATTATTTTAAACAATATTTATAACTCAACTAATTTTATACTCAAAAATAATGTGGAATTAAAAATATCAAAGTGACACTAAAATTAAAGTCAATTTTTAATTCAAAGTGATATTTGTAATTCACAGGAATTATCGATATCAAAGTGACCAGAAAATTCAAGTTAATTTTTAATTCAAACTGATATTCATAATTCGCATGAATTATAAATATCAACTTGAATTTTTAATTCAACTTATTTTCAACTAAAAAATATATGTAGAATTAAAATATTAAAGGGAAACTAAGAATTATTTAATATTTTTAAATGAAAGACATATTTTTAATTCCCACAGTTTGGACACCCCTGGTAATGTTGACGGTTCAATTTATATACTACAGTAGGTTTAATCTCAGTTAAATTAGTTTGCGGTAAATTACCTAATATTTAAAATATTAGGTATTTTAATTAATTATGCCTATTACACTATGATAGTTTTACAAACTTTTTTTTCCTAACATTAAGTACTCCAGCTTAGTTTAACTAATTTTGGGCCGCTGAATTCAAATATGTAATTAGTTTTTCTCTAGGACGTCTAGGATTTAAAATAATTTCGTAATAAAATGCTCTGTTCAATCACCTTAAAATGTAAGTTTTTGTTGGTATTTTAATTATTTATTAAATTATTTTAGCTTAAATTTATCTTGAATGTACTAAAGTAATTGGTATACGGCAAATAGATCATTTTTTTTTAAATACTAAAACTAAAATCTTAATGCATTTTATGTAAAAAACAACTATTATTTGACATTTTTTGTAGTTTATTTTAATTATTAAATTAAAAGGGTAACAAAGTAAACAAGTTTCAGTATTTTTTATCAAAATTTATTGCATTTCATAATTTTGCTTTTTTCTACCTTAAATTTATTAAATCGTATCAAATATCAAATTGGATTATAGTATTATTGCGCTTAATCCTCATCATCGTCGTACATCTTTTGCTGCAAATTCCAGCAAATGTCTCCTAGCAATGAATCCAACTTCTTTCCGCTATACCCATACATATCTACCAATGCGCTAGATTTGCAATTACTTGGTGAAATCGTTCTCCATGTTCATCAGTTCGGCAAATTTATCAGGAAGAAAAAAAAAAGAAAATGTATTTTAAATGACATATTAACGCTAATTCTTTGCAAAATGACAAGCATTTTTTCAATGAATTGGCGCCAATTTTAGGCCCGATATGAACCAAGAACATTTTTAATGACAGCTGCCATATGCGACAAGCTCGTCAACTTTGAGAGCATTTTTGAATGCTTGATCTTTCATTAAACGTCGTATATCATGTCCATTTAATATTCCTGCAAAATTAAAGTAGTAGGTATATCTCATAAAATTTTGTAATGAAAAATTGCGTTGGTTTTTCTTGGGCGTAAAGGTACCGCAACAAAAACAAAACAAATTTACAACGACGACATAAATGTTAGTCTCCTTTCTCTTTCTCTGCTACTTCCATTACCACTTCCATTTTCTGCTCTTTTTTATTTTTGGTTCTTAAAATCACTTTCAAGTAAAAATACAATTTAAAGTTTAAATTTTAAATGTCCATAATTATTAGATTCACTTTAATGTGCTTGAACGATAAAGTAGATAAAGGCGCCTTTATACTTCAATTCGATATTAAATTTTGATAAGACTTAATAAATAAGATTCGAGATTAAATTTTTGGGTACTTTAGGCATGAATAAAAACATTATAATTTTAGTTTTGGTATTTAATAAAGCACGTCTCTGCAGAAAAGTGCTTTATTAAATATACTACTATAGTATACGGCTACAATGGAACAAAAAAATTCTATTTGACATTTATCGACTTTGTATGGAGTCCCTGTATATTTTTGACAAAAAACGTCAAAAATATACTGAACATCCAAAATAGATTTAAGGCAAAATAATTTAATAAATATTCAAAATATTAACAAAAAACATTTTGAGCTAATTGGGCAGAGCATTTTATTACGCAATTATTTCGAATCCTAGACGTCCTGGAGCAAAACGAGTGGCATTTTTGAAATCAGCAGCCCAAAGTTAGGTAATATAGGTGGGCGTACTCAATGTTAGTAAATCGAACTATCATAGTGTTATTAATAAAAACGGTACTATATAATCAAACAGTGCCGCAAAATAATTTAACTGAGATTAAAGCAAATATACCTGAAACTTTTAAACAGTGTAGTTTATATTAAAATAAAACAATATGTCAAACTTACTTAAATAAGTCAAGACGAATTTAAGAATGTCAAAAACACTTTTTAAAATGTCTAGGTTTGTCAAAAATGACAACCAAGATAATTCTGTTTAAATCCGACTATATCCATGTTAAAATCACATTTAAAAGGAGCAAAACCGGCCAAATCCACGTTTTTATAGCAAACCCGGCTATATCCAATAAATAATAATGATGATGAGCATGTGACTTGGATATGTCGATACTACTACTAAAATTTGTTCTGTTTTTTCATGTTTGCACTAAATTTATTTTGTTAATATTTTTTAATAATAAAGGTTTTTTTTCACATTTTATTCGGTTTTTGAGCAAAACCGGCTATATACAAAACATTTTTTGAAATTTTGGCCTTAATATAAAGTTTTTGAAAACGAAAGTATGTCTTATAAATCAAGTACCACAAAAAAAAAACTCAAGTTTGCTTTTTCTTTTATCTGTAAAGGCCAGGAAACCGAGAGTTTTTGCCATTTTCCCAACATTTTATTAAAGTGGATATAGCCGGTTTTGCACGGATGCTCCTCATTTATTGTGCGATTTTATTCGGATTAGTTGTGTAGTGTAGATCTTGATAAACTGTATTTTTTTAACAAAAAACGCCATATTAGTAAAAAATACTATGTCAGTTTTTAAGAGTAAAGAATTCATATTAGCGATTTTTTTAAACAAAATCTAACCACGACACTGGATTCACCACCCCTCAAAACGACCTTTTACTAAATTTTAATAAAAAAATTTAAGTTTAAAAATGGACAATAATAACTACAAAAATGTATTCTGTCAAGTTATCCATGAAAAAACATTGAAATAAAATTAAACTTATGGTAATAGTACCATTTTAGTTTAGTTTAATTTTATTTCAATGTTTTTTTCATGGATAAGTTGACAAAATAAATTTTTGTGGTTATTATTGTGCATTTTTCTACTTAAAATTTTTCAGTAAAATTTAGTATAGGGTCGTATTGAGGGGTGGTGAATCCAGTGCTGTGCTTAGATTTTGTTTAAAAAAATCGCTAATATGAATTCTTAAAAATTTACTTCTAAAAACTGACATAGTAAGCCTTGTATTTTGTAAAAATATAGCGTTTTTTGTTTTAAAAATACAGTTTATCAAGATCTACACTTTAAAACAAATCCGGTTAAAATCGCACAACAAATAAAGATTTTACAGGGGTGAGTCGCAAACAAATGGGTCACACTGTATGTAAAAAAAAAAATTTAATGACAAGGCACATTTAAAAATGTCAAACTTACTTAAACAATTCAAGACGAATTTAAGAATGTCAAAAACAATGTCTAGGTTTGTTAAAAATGACAAGGAATATTTAAAAAGTTAGAGAAACTTTAAAACAGTTTCATCAAGTAAAGGTCGAAACAATCAACAACTGTCTAAAAATAGCACATTTTAGAATGGTAAACCTTCCTAAAAATGTCAAAAACGCCAAAACACCTTTAAGAATATGAAGACGCATTTAAGAATGTAAAAAGCACATTTTAAAATGTAAAAATTACTTTGAAATAACAAACAAATATATAATATCCAAAACAGAATAAAGAATGTCAAGCCTACCTAAAAATATCACGAAATATTTAAAAATTTTAAAAAGTCAAACCTTCCAAAATGTCAAAAATAATTAAGAACATCAAGACACATTTAGAAATGTAAAAAACGTATTTTAAAATGTAAAACTTACTTAAAAATTACAAGAACTATTTAAGAATGTCCAACACAAAATTAAGAATGTCAAACCTGCCTAAAAATGCAACGAAATATTTAAGAATAACAAAACTACTTCAGAATGACATAGGTACTTAAGAATGTCAAAGGCAGATTTTAGAATGTTAAACCTTCCTAAATGTCAAAAATAATCAAGATCAAGGCACATTTAAGAATGTAAAACTAACTAAAAAATGACATACAAATATATAATGTCCAAAACACAATTAAGAATGTAAAGCCTACCTAAAAACATCACGAAATATTTAAAAATGACATATTTCTGAATTTTAGAATGTCAAACCTTTCTAAATGTAAAAATAATTAAAAACATCAAGACACATTTAGGAATGTAAAAAACGTATTTTAAAATGTAAAACATACTTAAAAATGACAAGAAATATTTAAGAATGTCCATCACACAATAAGCAATGTCAAACCTACCTAAAAATATCATGAATGTAAAAAACGCATTTTAAAATGTAAAACTTACTTAAAAATGACAAGAAATATTTAAGAATGAATGTCCAACACACAATTAGGAATGTCAAACCTGCCTAAAAATATTATGAAATATTTAAGAATGCCAAACCTACTTCAGAATCCCATACTTACGCATGTCAAAAGCACTTTTTAAAGTACCAAACCTTCCCAATAATATAAAAAATATTTAGGAACGCCAAAACAAATTTAAGAACATCAAGACGCGTTTAAAAATATACGAAACCACTTTTTTAAATGCAAACTTACTTAAAAATGACAAGAAATATTTAAGAGCGTTCAAAACGATGTCAAAGCTTCTTAAAAATGTCAAAAACAAATTTTAAAATACCAAATTATCTAAAAATTACAAGAAATATTTAAGAATTGCTGAAGAACCGAACTTAAAAAAAACAGTATACATACCTCCTCATCCTTTCCCTTGAACAACCAATACGTATGACCCGCTTTCGTAGCGTTACTCTTCAAAAACGACAGTATACTTTGAGCGACGTCTCTGATCAATTTCGGTGAAAACTTGGAATTATCCAGCTTGGGCAGATCGTCGGTTTTGATCAGCTCGTACTTCTGCACGATCCCGTTCAGATGGTAGCACATGACCACTTCGGGAACGTTCGACATCAAGTTGTCCAGCCAATAGTCGATGCCCGTTAAAACGTTGATCGGTTTGCTCATGTCGCGCAGGCGCAGCGAGATGCACGGGTGCGTGCCGCCGCCGAAAATCGGCATGTCTGTGCCTAAACAACGAACAAAATTAACAATTTTTTGATACTTCAGGACCAGTGTTGCAAAAATCCTAATGTAAAAAATAATGCGTCATTTTTTTTAATGGAATAGTAGGTATATTTTGTAACAAGTTTGGAATACAGCATATTCCGCTCGAGTGAAGAGTATGTCACACGAGCCGAAGGCGAGTTTGACGGTTTCACGAGAGCGGAATATGCAATTCCAAACGTGTTTTAGACTAAACTTTTTCTACGTTTCCAAAAAATACCATAGAAAAATAATTTAATTGAAAGAAAGTGAGGTTGGATCGGTCTAAAATTTGTTAGATAAAACAGAGATGTCGCCACGAGTATACATTCTGTCATCAGATGATAGAATATTTCATTCTGTAACACTTTACAGAATATATGTCATTCCATAGATAAAAGTGATATTAGAACGGTCAAATTCTGTAATAGGAGTAGAAAAATGTAATTCTAATTCATTTTCCATTAAAAAAAAATTTAATGTAAAACATTTTTAATTCTCATTAAGCATTTCAATGAGTAGTGTAGCAATCCGTTACTCATTAAAAAGTTTGCAATAAGTAATGGAACATCTTACATTACTCATTAAAAAAAATGTGTAATGGGTAATGACCCATTACATTTTTTTTCGTCAGCATAAAAAAATCAAATTTTGGTAAAACTTTTTTGTCGAAATGAAAAAAATTCAAATTTTTAAAATGATTAAAATTTTCCAAAAAATGGAATAAAAAGTCAAATTGAAAAAAAATTAAAATTTTCATAAAAATTCAAATTACGACAAAAATTCAAAAAAGTTATGTCAAATTTAATTTAAAAAATCTCTAAATATGCATTTTATAATTTTCTACATTTAAACTAATATCATTAATATTTAAACTAATATCATTAAACATTAATAAATGTCCAAAATTGCTTTGGATCAGATTTCAATCTGGAAGCAGCTAGGTTAAGATATGATGTACTGTCCGTTCAGGCTAAGTTGAGCGGTCTAAGGAATGTCACCCCGTCCATCATCTATGTTGAGGCACAATTAAATACATGTATTTCGGTAGCCGCTCTGTACGAACAAACGGCAAGCCGCGGCACTGATAAATCATCTTCTTGTTACCGAAATCTCGTGACGATTCAATGTTTAATTTAATTAACGGCCACAGGATCCCCCACCAAAGCGCTCAACTTAGCCTGAACGGACTGTAAATGAAATTGAGGTGTCTTTAATAACAAGACTTCGCATTCTTTTGAATTCATTATAAAAACACACATTACCAGTTTTTTATACTTTTTGTGATAAAATTCCTTGGTCTTGATATTTTGAATAATCTGGGGTGTAAACCAAAGAGGATATTTACGCTTGACATTATTTTTATAAGTAGGAACCCATTCATCAAATATAGTGTACAAAGTGTTATAGAAATATTCGCAGGCTCTATTTGAATCATTAGTTCAGTAAGTAAGTTTAGTAAGTTCAGTATAATTAGCCTTTTTAAAACTGTAAGTTTTAGGTTGAAAGTTTGTGGGGAAATTGTTTAAATTTTCAACAATTAGCTCAAATGATATTAATAGTGGTGGGTGAAAATTATCTTCGGGAACTAAAGGTACGCATTCTCTTGAAACTAAACATTAAATTTACCGACATTTGCCAAACCCGCGTGTGTCAACATATAAACTCACATATTTCTGGTGTTTTTGTAAGCTTAATGGCCTACTTCACCGTTTTTAGCATAAAAAAACTTAGTGTTCCATCATTACTAAAAACTGACTTTTTCAATGTTTAGGAAATTTGTGGGCCACAGTGCGCCGGAAATTTTAAAACCCATTTCAGGACCGATTTTGTCTCACCTAACAACATCTCGATGTCCTCGAAAGTCCACACGACGTTCCTGTTGAACTTGTGGTCGAAGTTGTCGGAATCCGGGGCCTCGGTGGCGGGCGACGGCTCGGGCAGAAGGGGCCCTTTCACCGGCAGCGGCCCCCCCGACTTGTTGACGCTCGAATCCGCGGTCTCGCTGGGATCGCTCTCGACCAGGCTGTGGTACAAAAATTTGGACGCCAGGCTGCGCTGCTTCAAGGCCTCGCGCCTCCTCTGCTTCCCGTAGAGGCTCCTGTCTTCTTCGCACGTCTCGCTGTTGATCTGCTCGAGGAAGAATTTCCGCAGCCATTCCCACTCCGACTCGGCCGTCTTCAGCAGGTGCTTGTAGATGTCGAAGTCGTCTATTAGCAAGGTGTTCTCCACCCTGTGCACCATCATGCTGATGTGACCTTTGTGGTACGGGATTTTTAGGAGGTTTTTTATGTTTTCCGCGTCCGAGACTATGTCTACCTCCCCTACGCAGTCGGGAAACATGTGCGCCATACGAAAGCTATACAAATTAAAACAATCTTCATTAAAAAGTGCAAAATACACTGCGCGTCAAAATTACCGCATAAAAATACTTCAACTTATATCTCAGTTTACTTGTTCGAGTGTTTTTCGAGGAAATATTTTTAAAGCCCTTTTATTTAATATAAAAAAACGTTTGAATAATAACTTTTAGGGAAATTTTTTTTTAAGCCCTTGTGGAATTTTTTCTCAGAGAAAGTCTTACTTTCTCTTAAAAAGTCTAAATAATACTTATTAAGTCGGAAAAAATCAGAATAAGACTTTTTAAGTCGGAAAAAGTCTGAATAAGTCTTATTAAGTCAGACTAATAGCAGGATTTGGGAGTCTTCTGGAAGAGTTAATAAGACTTTTTAAGACTTAATAGGACTTTTAGTAGAGAAATGGTAGGTACCTATGGCGATAAAAATAAATATCCGAAATAATTCATATTTGGTTATCGTAAAATAAAACACATAGAAAAGTATTTATTAACATTTTTGCTGTTGTTATAAGCCAAGTTTATTGCATAATTACCTATATAATAACAATTATAATTTTATACATACGATGCGCTTGACATGCTTTCATTGTTTCCACCATAGAAGTTAATATCATGTCTATAGACATGATATTTTCGATAGACTCATAAGACCAATATGGTTGATCTTCGTGTTTCATTCATCTTTGTATCATAGTTGATCTTCGTGTTTACGTACAGTGTTCTCATAAAAGTTCCTGACTATAAATTACAAAATACTAAAATAATAATAAAAATGTAACAGGATAGAATAAAATAATTGTGCATATTTAGTAAATATACAATATTATTTACTGAAAATTTCTTTTGTTATTATTTTGATAGAAATTCGCAAATCACCCGATTTCACCCGCAAATATTACGAAAATACCCGATTTTCGAGTAGCAAACGGCAACACTGTGTCCCACTGACAGGTCAGCTGTGCTCTAATTGGTCAGCTAGCTGAGCTGGTCTCTCGATATTACGTCTAGAAGATTTGTTTGTAACAATGTTTATATAGGTAAATATTTGCGTGTATCAAAAGAAACTATTAAAATAAAACGTACAGTGGCAACTCCTTTTTCTATGGTGGAAACAATGAAAGCATGTCAAGCGCATCGTATGTATCAAATTATAATTGTTATAATTATTACATCTTACCTATGTTAATATATAGGTAATTATGCAATAAACTTGGCTTATAACAACAGCAAAAATGTTAATAAATACTTTTCTATGTGTTTTATTTTACGATAACCAAATACAACCTCTATGAATTATTTCGGATATTTATTTTTATCGCCATAGGTACCTACCATTTCTCTTTTAGTCTGACTTAATAAGACTTATTCATACTTTTTCCGACTTAATAAGTATTATTCAGACTTTTTAAGAGAAAGTAAGACTTTCTCAGAGAAAAATTTCCACAAGGGAGTAAATAAAAAATATGCTGTTAAAGTCCGTAACGAAGATACAGTGCTTCAAAGTCGGTAAAAATGACCCCTTTTTGATTATTTTACTGAAAAGTGGTTATTTTCAGGGTATACTTACAAAAATACAATATTTCACAGCATATTTTTTATTAACTTGAAAAAATTCCCTATAAAAGTTTTTTTTGAGCGTTTTTTTATTATTAAACAAAAGGGCTTTAAGGATATTTTCTCGAAAAACCCTTGAAAACGTAAACTGTGATATAAGTTAAAGTATTTTTATCAAAAATTTTATAAAGATTGGTAAAGGTGTTTTAAAGTTAAATTTTTTTTTACTTATTATGCGTTAATTTTGACGGGCAGTGTTTTAAAGAACAATTTTGGATACAAATAAGTTTTTGGAACAGTAACTGTTGTAGGACATTTTGTTGGAAGTACATATATGTATATATATATATATATTTTAGGACAATTGTAAAACATTTTGGGCATTTATAAATTTACTAAAATTTCCAGTTTTTAGAAATTTTTGACAGCTTTAGGATATTTTAGACAGCTTTAAGATACTATACGCTAAAGAAGTATCGGGTTTTCGCAACGCGCGCGCCATCTGGTGTAGTTCGATAGCATTGTGTAGTTTTTTCACAAAAGAGAGGAATTTTGTTCAATTGCACAGCTAAATCGCGCACGTTATTTGTGTTTTACGTTGCAAGGAAAAACTAAATAACTGGTTTAATACTCAATTTCGATTGATTATTCCTTATATCATTGATTAAGAAACTCAACGCTTATATGCTTATATAGTTACGTTAGGGTGTATTTTATCTAAGGGATCATGGTGAATTATTGTGTTTTTAATTGTAAATAAAATTCAAGAACTAAATCGTTGCATTTTTATGTTTTGCCAAGGGATCGAATTCGGTAAGTACATTTGTTGGTGCAGAATATAATAATGATAACTAAACATAATATAATTTATATTTAAGTTTGGACATTTTTATGAAATTAGTAAAAAATAATTGTTGCACAAACATAACCTAAAAAACGAACATTTTTATATTTGAGTCCTCTAAAAGACGCTGACAACTGCATTTTAAACAACAAAATATACCTACGAATTCATGTCAACATAATATTATATATAATTCGTAATATAATGGTATTCTACCGTTGATTGGAGACTTTCTTAATCAACGCTTTTAATAATGCTAAATGCTGTTTAAATTTAGACGACTTATTTGTTTGACGATTTTTACTGAATTGAAATCTAATAGATAGAATTTATATTTACAGGGACTGTATGAAATTTATTTCTTCATTAGGATTGACACTGTTTATTGGAAAACCGGTAAAAACTCAACCCAGGATTTCCTCTCGAAATACACCCAACAACACAACAAATCGTACCACGGTTTTTTTTGATATTTTTTTAACATTTTCCGGCTCCAAAACATTCGTTTGTAACATGAGCTTTTGACAGCTGATTATTAAAAGTTGTAGTTTTGTTACGATTATAACGGCCGAGTGGTGGCGCTACTAGCGATGCTTCTTTAGCGTATTAATCGTTCTAGAATACTTTTGATATATCAATATAATATAGATTAGATTTATATAACATTTATGGTCAGTTTTAGGTAACTATAATTACTTGTCAGTTTTAGGACATTAAATAGTTTAAAAAGGTTTTTAGACAATTTTAAGACATTTTTAACAGTTTTTAGACAGCTGAGACCTGCCAGTTTTAAAAAATTTTGAACAGTTTCAGAACATTCAATAATTTTAAACGCGTTTTAGACATTTTTAGTTAAGTAATATATTTTAGATTTAGATAACCTTTTGGGTCAGTTTTACAAAATGTTAGACAGTTTTAGGATAATTATTGCTGGTTTTAAACCATTTTGACAATTTTAGGACAATAAATAGTTTTGAAAGATATTTAGACAATTTGACATTTTTGACAGTTTTTAAACAGCTGGGACATTTTAAGATAATATAGATTAAATTAAGACAACCTTTTTGGTTAAGCTTTACAAAATTTTAGACAGTTTTAGGATAATTATTGCCAGTTTTAAAACATTTTTGTCAGTTTTAAAACAATTTTGACAGTTTCAGGACATTAAATAGTTTTAAAAGCTTTTTTACAGTTCTTAGAACACACATAAAAGTTTTAAAACGTCGTAAAGACGTCGTTTTTAGAAAGACAATTTGAAGATTTTTGACAATTATTTGACAGTTAACCCAATTGGGACATTTTAGACAGTTTTATGACATTTTAAAACATTTGTAAGAATTTTTTGAAAGCGAAAATTTTTAGGACAGTTTAAGAACCTTTTTAAACACATTAAAATGTAATTTTGACCGTTTTTAGAGAGATTTATTATTTCTATAATTTATTGTTATAAAGTTTACCTAAATTGACGTGGCAGCATTGTCACAATGACAACTTTTAAAACAATTGTAGGTATCTAGTTACACTATATCTGTCATTCGAGGAGGGAAAACTGTCAAAATAAATAAATTGGAGTTGAATGAAGTTAATAGTTTTCTTATGCCGGTTTTCCACCAAACGGACAAAACAAAAACAAAACACAAACTCGTGTCGAATAAAACAAAACTGCAACTTTTTGCAAACTTTTTGAAGACTGGCGTGTTTTGCGACAGTTTGAGTTTTGTTTTTCGAGTCCCGCTTGAAAGCGGTAACATCAAAAGGTTTCGACGTGTTTTGAAACTCGAGTCTGTTTAGTGGAAACGGTCGTGTTGTGTTTTTTGTTTTCGACTTTTATTTTATTTTCTTAGTCTGGATACGAATTTCATACTAAATTGGTAGGTAAGTAAGAAACATTTTTCTTACTACCTGAAAATACATTGTTTCGTCCCCGATTCCACGGCAGAAAGTTTACGTTTGATGCATTGGTCAAGCTATACGCGCACCCTTTATAATAGCGGGAGTAAAAATTTTTTAGTCGTGTGCACCATAGATAAAAGACTGCACTAGTACTCAACATATGCAACTCTAATATAACCTGAAAATTTGTTTTCAATTTCGATATACACATTTAATTTTTTCCCGTATTTTCGGCCGGGTTGTATTTTCAGCCGAGGTAGTAAGAAAAATAGTATACACTATACGGGCAGAAAGTGTGAGAGCCCTGAACTGCGCGCCATGATATATATACTATATAGAAATACTACAATGTAGTTTTTTAAAATTTTGTAACCTCATTTTTAGGTTAGGTTTAGCTGTCAGACGACAAAATCTTACCATTATTGTTCGGCGGTCAATAATAATTTGACTTTTGAACTAGTAGTCACTACATTATTGTACTAGTTCAAAAGTCAAATTATTATTGACCGCCGAACAATAATGGTGAGATTTTGTCGTCTGACAGTTAAACCTAACCTAAAAATTAGGTTACAAAATTTCAAAAAAATATCGAAATTTAGAGCTTGAAAAAAATAGTATATAAAACACGGCGGCGAAAGCTTATTAATTACCTCGCACACAATCTACTGCCTCGGCGGCGCGCCTATTTTATAGATAGAGGATAGAAAATTTGTTTTGTAACGCTGGATAAGTTTAATAGATACACATATAGGTATATACCTATATATTAGACTGGGCTAAAAAAATTGACTTTTTTTTTTGAAAAATATATCGAGAATGTCATTCAGAATGGCAAAAAAAAATTGGTGAAAATTTGAGCCCTTAATATTAATTTTAAAGCTTAATTTTCATGTATCCATTTGTCCGTTATACGTTTGTACGTTTTTCAATAAAATCGTCCGATAAGAAATGTTCTAATTTTCATGCATCCGTTTTTATATGACGTTTAAACATGTTGGTTGATACTGAAAAAGTGTGTTCTGACATAATCACGACAACTAGTGGAAAAGGACCGAAAACAAAAACAAAACTCGAACAAAACTTAGTTCGCTTGATGGAAACAAGAGTTTCGGGTTTGTTTCAGTTTTGTTTTTGATTTGCAAGTTTTTAAAAACACAAACAAAACCCAAACTCAACTGTCCGTTTAGTGGAAAACCGGCATTAAGATGGCCACAACTGGTGCATCTACCCTATTAATACATTTCAAAAGACAGTTGTCACTGTGGCAGAAATAAATGTTATTTCTATAGGTAAATAAACCTAAAATCTGATAATGTTATTAGTTAAATTATATTAAAAACTGTTTTATGTAATTAGGTAGGCATTCAACTTAAAGTTACCTTGAAAATCCCTTTTGGTGATACAAAACATGTTGTAAACCATATGAATCCACCGAACTACTCAACCAATTTGATGGGGGCAAATTTAAATCCGTATTGCATTCCAATTTGTTAAATTGTGCCGGTTTTGGAACCGAATATTTAACAATAGCTGTACTTTTAACTTCCTCTTGTTCAATTTGTTTAATTTGTGGCAACTTATTTTCATTATCCATTTTAAATTCGAAATATTTTAAGGTTTATCGAAGTCTCGGTTATATGTATCTCATAATATACTTTTTAATAAATACATTTACACACTGGTTCGAATCGGCTGCTCTAGCTTGTCTAGAATTTTCTTCACTGACAGAAAAGTTGGGTTAGGTTATGTTCTGGAATATTCCGAGGTTATTTATTTATACACTAGATAATTTAATTTTGATGCGATTTTAAATTTTAAGGTAAAATATGCACACATTAAGTTAATTAATTAATCTTTGAAAATTTATTGTCAAATGTATAAAAATAGGGTTGACAGTCGACATAACCTAAAAATTTTTTTATAAATCTGAGTATAATTCTTTTGAATTAAAGCAATAAAAATGGTATTAAGCAATAATATTTTACTGGAAAAATGTGGTGTAATTATGATTATTTATAACCTTATAGTTCCTACGTACTCTGGTCGTAAGTATAAAGAAAAAATATTAATATTATACTTAAGTTATTTAAATAATGTTGATTTTTTTAAACAATTATTACTTTTGCAGCTAATAACTTACATTTAAGCGACGGTACGAGTCCTGCGGAAATAATACATGGAGATTTATTTTTCGAAATAACTGAACCTATAGAATTGGAGTACACTTACCGAATAAGACCAGCTAAAGATTTTGGGGCCCCATTTGTAAGTTTTTATTAATATTTAAGGTTTTTTATTGTATTTTTTTGTGTTTTTAGAATGAGTCGTTTTATATTCAAAATATTCCCTTGGTGCCTATAGATCCTAAATTTGGTTGTAAACCTCCAAACAATTTGGATGATATCGAAGGAAATATTGCATTTATTGAGAGAGGGTAAGATTTTGTTAAAATAGTTACTGAATGACATTTTTGATTCCATTTTTTAGGGAATGCTCTTTCAAGAAAAAAACTATAATTGCAGAGAAAGCAGGAGCTAGGGCAGTTATAATAACTGATATCTCCAAAGAAAACGAAGACTACTTTATAGAAATGATCGACGATGAGTCAGAGGAAGATGCAAATATCCCAGCTGCCTTTTTAATGGGTAAAAATGGGTTTATGATCAGTAAAACGCTGGAAAGGTTAAACAGGAATTTTGCTATCATAAATTTGCCCATAAATTTGACTTATACTCCTATTCATAAGATAAATCAGCCCCCATGGCTTGGTTGGTAACTCTGGGTCAGTTTGAAATTTAGTTATTTAATATTATTAAATTCCGTCCAAATTTGTAAATAATAATTTTGTAAATAAGGTTTTAGTCAAACTTAGATTTTTTCTATACCCACACAGCATCAATCTCTGAAAGACATCTATAAGATTTTGACATCTTAAAAAATATGGAAAAAAGCTCTAAAATTCAGAATAAGATGAAAATATTAATTAATTTAAAAATATTAATTTTATTTACTTAATAGGTAAAATGGCCCACATTTAAACATAATTGCTACAAAAAATTCTAAATTAAAATATGATGGCGATACCTCTCACTGCTGCTTACCCACACTCACTAACTATAAATACCGGTAGGCTACAAATATTCAGTGTGTGTCTTTAGTACATCTTTTAGAGGACATTTTGATGGGTGGGTAATAAGATATTATTATTAAATAATTACTGCCAAAAAAATTCTAAAGTATGATTTTATACATTTATTAAAAAAACATTTAGTTTAGAAAACCCCTGGGTTGATTTACATTTTTAAATAAAACTTATAGATATTATTAGGTACTAATTTTTATTGACATGCCATTATTTAACATATTGTGTCATTTTTTAAACATAACAATGTTTACCTAAAGTTCATTTTTTTATCTGGACTGTGTCAACGTTGAAAATTTAGGGTTTTGGTTGGTAAATACAGTCAAGTTGGTCGCATTGATTAAAACAAACTAAGCTAGTTATAAATCTAATTGTGGTTATATATAAATTATTGTAGGTTATATTGTGCAGTTGTCAAGTTGAGTTGTCGAAATTCGTAGTTAAAAATGCAATTAATTTGGCTTTGTTGGTGCTTGAATGAGTAAAATCATAAAAAAGTAGTTAAATATAGGTTGCTTTACGGCCCAGAAGAGAAAGTATTCCTAGCGGATAATAATCTTCGCTTTGCAAAGAATTTATATAAAAGAAATTAAAATTTTTTGTGAACGTAAATGTTGTTCAATGGTGAATAATGTGAAAATAATGTGTGATGTAATATTTATAAAACCAAATTCGTTACTTTTTTACTCCAAAAATGTCCATAAGGCAATGTACTTTTTCTTCCATTGTGGCATTTGGCATAATTTCATCAAAATTCATAATTAATTCCATATAGGTAGCTTAATTACATTCGAATTCGTTGCTATTATTTTTGGCATAATTATCTTTTTATTTATAATTGACAAGTAAATTATCAATAATAAATATTGTCAATTTGCCAGTGTCAAAGTATTTAATTAAATTCTTTAGCAGAAGTACCATTTTTAAATACTAAAAATACTAAGGCCCAGTTGTATAACAGTTGGTTAACAGCTGATTAGCTGATTAACTCTTGAATTTAATTTAATTTAATGTTTAGCGGTGCTCCGTTACTGACAAAGTGTACTACACTTAGTTATTATCTAAGTGTGGTACACTTTGTCTGTCACGGAGCACCGCTAAACATTAAATTAAATTAAATTTAAGTGTTATTCATCTAATCAGCTGTTAACCAACTGTTATACAACTGGGCCTAAGTCAAACTGTCATAAGCCACCAACCTAACAAAAAAACAGATAAAAAAAAGAACTGTACTATTGGTGCAATAGTAGATAAACATTAGTATAACCATTTTATAATTAACTCCCCGCCTTGCAACGGGAATAATGAATTCATTGATATGCATCAGTGATTGGCCGATTTTAATATTCACTGTGATTTGAACCAATCGGGTTAAAATTGGAAGAAAGCGAATATAATAATGCAAATTGGTAGAAAGTAAGGTTAACCAACTGACAGATGTCAGATTTTATTTATTTATATTTGAAAATCATTTAGTTATCTATAGGAGTATACTCCTTGAAAAAGGTCAATTGGTATTATGTTAAACAAATATCAGGAAAATTTCCCAACACCAAAACAAAACACAAAGTGCTTAAAGTACTTTGTGGTTTGTTTTGGTGTTGGGAAATTTTCCTGATATTTGTTTAACATAATACCAATTGACCTTTTTCAAGGAGTATACTCCTATAGATAACTAAATGATTTTCAAATATAAATAAATAAAATCTGACATCTGTCAGTTGGTTAACCTTACTTTCTACCAATTTGCATTATTATATTCGCTTTCTTCCAATTTTAACCCGATTGGTTCAAATCACAGTGAATATTAAAATCGGCACTATATATCGACACTATAGTGTTAGGGAATATTTCTAATTTTTGTTTAGTTATCTACTAAATGGAGTAGATAAAGTATAGCATTAAAAATATAATTTGTTTCACACATTCTAGTCCAATGTTAGTAGCATCCCTAGTAGAAATTTTACGTAAAAACAACGTTTTTCCCACGTTGGAAAATCCTAACTTTTATGTGTAATTTTATGTTGAAATGTTCCGGTTTATAAAGTTATATGACAACGTTAGTTTCTAATGTTATAAAAAACGTGGGATGTATGTATTATAAAACGTTGGAAAAACTTGGGATTATTGTATTATAAAAGGTCGAGTAAAACATTTTTAAACAATTTAAATAATTTTGGGTACGATTTTACACTGCCAAAATTATTTAAAAACATTACAAAATTGTACAAAAAACAAATTTGTATTTAAACACTTTTGAAAAGAAAAAATATTGCCAATGAACACAATCTCAAAAATATTATTTAAATAATAGTTTTATATTATACTCTAAGTAAACATATTAAAATTTAACAAAATGCCTTAAAAAAAAATTACAATGGTGTAGTTATGTATATTTTAACAATTTTCTAAATACATAATACTACAACTTTTAAATCATGATTGTATGAATAAGAACCTAAAAAATCTTATTAAAATAATAAATAAACAAATTTAAATAATAAATAAACAAATTCAAATATAACATAGCCTAAATAAAAAAATATCAATTTAAAAAGAAGAAATATTGCATATTAACAATTATTACAATTTTTCTAATATATATATATAAATAAAAAAACTAACAATAAAGGTGATTTTAGGTCACAAATTTTAATTTTTTATTGAGAGAAAATTTTAGCAATTACAAATATATAAAAAAATGGGGATTTTTGCATTTGAATAAAAATTTATTGCAAAAGCTGTTAAGGTAAAAGCATTTTTTATATTTTTTTATACACTTGAAAGTTTTAAAGTATATTTGGTATAGTATACAAATTTATTTATTAAATGCAAAAGCTTGTACCCTAAAGATGCTCCAAAATGATTTACATTTTTTTAATTTATCCAACGTTTTAACTACGTATTTCCCACTTAAAATCATAAACTCAAACAACGTTATGAGTATACTTATATATAACAAATTATTATACAAATTTTCAACGTTGTAGGTAAACGTTAATTTGTACTAGGGATAGTTTATTGTTTTAATTATATTTATTTGCTCAATTTATATGTAATATACTGAGGATAGTATTAAATCCCCAAATTGTTATTTAGATTTTTAATTTTAATTTTAGAATGTGTATTATACTATTATACTAAGAACTTTGCTGTATTGTTTACATGTTGTTATAATAAATATATTTATTATTATTAGAATTATTTTAATGAACCACACACTTCATTAAATTACATACACTACGCATTGCAAATAATTAAATTCTGCAGATGAATCAATTATTTATTCTATATCCTACAGTAGGTATGTATTAGGCCATAAATAATTCCATATAGGTAGCTTAATTACATCATGCCTTACAGACGTTTAATATTAAATTATTAAATGTATACTCATTAAAACACCCAACTATAAAATGAAAAAATACAATTAGATTTGCTTACTGCCAAAGTAAACGCCATAAAATGTGTTTGAAGAACAAATTTACACTGGTAAGTTTTTTTTGTTAGTATTTAAATACATATATCGAAATATACAAGGTGGTCCAGTTTATATTATCAGAATTTCACTAGACCAATGAATCTATCTATCTTCTACATGAGCAAGAAACTACCCTGGTAGAAATTAACGTTTGCATACATTCAGACAACGTTGTCAATTTGTATAAAAAATTGTTATACTCGAAACGTTGTTTAAGTGTATGATTTTAAGTGGGAAATACGTAGTTAAAACGTTGCATGAAAACGTTTTTTGAATATATGATTTTATGTGGGAAATACGTAGTTAAAACGTTGTCTGGGAAACGTTGGAGAATTAATTGTATTGCTTGAAACGACTAGCGTCTAGAGGCACCGAATTATCTTGGCTCCCTGGCTCCTAGACATGCGCGTTTTATAGAAATGTACTCAAACTCAACAACACAACCCAACCGACCCCGCCCCAATGGCCCCCCCCGCCCCATTGAGCAAAAAACCCAACCAAAATGGGCAAATTTATGTAATTAAAAAGTTTTTTATTTTTATCGTAACATAAATTTGCCCATTTTAGTTGGGTTTTTTGCTCAATGGGGCGGGGTCGGTTGGGTTGTGTTGTTGAGTTTGAGTACATTTCTATAAAACGCGCATGTCTAGGAGCCAGGGAGCCAAGATAATTCGGTGCCTCTAGACGCTAGTCTTGAAACGTTGTAACAACGTTCCAAAACCCACATTTAACAACATAAAATTATTTCAAGTCCCGTCGGCAAATTTTTTAATGTGAATTTTTTTTTAAATTTTTATCCCCTGTTACATTAGTTATACAAGTAAAATCAAACTATGCAATACAATTTTTAAAGTCATAGTTTCAAAAATAAGGCCGAAATACACAAAACCTACTTTTAGCTACATAAAATTATTGTCCCGTCGAGAAAATTTTTAATGTGGATTTTTTTTTTAATTTTTATCCTTTTAAACATTAGTTATAAAAGTAAAATAAAACCATGCAATACAATTTTTAAAGTCATAATATCAAAAATACAACCGAAAAACACAAAACCCACTTTCAAATTACGTTGTAAAATTGCCCAGAGAGCCATGCTTTGGGAAAGAAATTAGTCAACTTTTTCCCAATCAAGTTTGGACTACGATATTTTACATTAATTGGGGTTTATTTGGACATATTAATTGCATTTTCATAAAGTTTGACCAAAAATTGACATGTTTTATGCCAAATTATTTTCCAATGCGATAGCACAAAAACTACACAAATATACAGCCCTAGATAGAGTTATTATTGGCCAACGTCGTTTGTAATGAAGTTTGGTCGAAAATTGGCAAAGCGTTTGTAATTCAGATTGATCGAAACTTGGCAAATAATTGATCAGCATGGAAAAAGAATCGCAATGGCGAGTTGTATGTCGTTAATATTTCAAGACCTTCTCTACAAAAAGGCGTCAAAAAGTGCTTGTGTGATAGTTATTACAAAAAAATATAATCATCTGTGCACTAACTACCTAAACGTGTTAAGTTTTAAACGGCTTTAAATTTTGAGTAAGTAATTAAGATTATGTTTTCAAAGTTTTTAATAAAACATTCAATAAGCGTTTTATTTACCCAATCTTCAAAAAATTAATAGATAGATTAATAGATTTTAATATAAATGAGAAAAAGAGTAATATTCTTTCAAATATAATAATAATATTTGTTAATACTTTGGATTTGTCCAAATATTTACCAATATTTGGTCAATTTTTCAAAAGCCTAATTGCCCAAATAAACATCAAAAATTTGTCATCGTTTTTCCATGCCCAAACATTCCCAAAATTAAACCAACGGTAACCTACCTAATTTATCCAAACTGCTTTGGCATATTATTGGGCACAATTTGGTCATTTATTGTTGGCCATCGCGATTGCACAAATACCATAGGAATATACAGTCCTACATAGTACATTTATTGGCAAAACTTTTCCAAAGGTAATGGGCAATTCTTGGCCATGTTTTAACCTGATATGGCTCTCTGGGTGTATGCTAGAAACGTTGCAACAACGTTCCAAAACCCACATTTAGCAACATAAAATTATTTCTAGTCCCGTCGACAAATTTTTTAATGCTGATTTTTTTTTTAATTTGTATCCTTTGTAACATTAGTTATAAACCAAAAAATCAAACTATGCAATGCAATTTTTAAAGTCATAGTTTCAAAAATAATGTCGAAATATACAAAAAATTATTAAAAAATCCAACGTTTTATGATCCAATAATCCCACGTAATTCCAACTTTTTATAATACACAAAACCCACATATTTCCCACGTTGTTTAATACACAAATCCCACGTATTTCCAATGTTTTATAATACATAAAACCCACATATTTCCCACGTTGTATAATACACAAATCCCACGTATTTGCAACGTTTTATAATACATAAATCCCACGTTTTCCCAACGTTTTATAATACGTAAATCCCACGTTTTTTATAACATTAGGAACTAACGTTGTCATGTAACGTTATAAACCGGGACATTTCAACATAAAATTATACATAAAAGTTAGGTTTTGCTAACGTGGGAAAAACGTTGTTTCAACGTAAAATTTCTACTAGGGTATCGGGTGGTAAAATTATAATTTATTATGATATAAACTGGACAACCCTAAGACTGTATATATATATACATATATTCTGTTTTTATTCTCGAAATTCCTTTTTATTAAATTCCAGCTTTGCCTTCTTTTTGCAATAATACCGCTAAGCATGTCAACTCCAGTACCATTTCCAAAACCGAATCCGCAATGGTTGACTTCATACGGATATGCACCTCTATATGCTAGCAGCTATTATTATGGGTATCCGGCTTTAGGTAAAAAAATCAGGGTGGTTTAAAAAATACGTTGACGTCAACAGTGACGATTGATTATAATGGGAAGGGGTCCATATGGAAGACGTCTTAGTAACAAATCTTAAGATTTAACAATGCTTTGTTCTTACTGTCATTAAGTCAATTAAAAATATTTGTTTTAGGATATGCTCTGACATCACCCTACTACGTGGTGTACTAATAATTAAAATTAGGTATGGAAGGAAATATATGGAGGGAGATATACTTATCTTATTTTGACAAACTACTGTATTTAAATAATTAATTATATTTCTATACAAATAAATTTAAATTGTCCTAAAACACGTATTTTATGACCAAACACCGGATATTTATTTTTGCGCCACATTCGTACATTGAGAGAAAAAATATACCTACATATGTATATGGATATTGAATCAACAGTTTTTGTGGTTAAATACATTCAATATTTTTTTGGATTTAAATTAATAGTTAATTTACATCCAAGAAAATATTAAATGTATTTAGCCGCAAAAACTGTTAATTCAATTGTTAACATACTTTTTCTTTTAATGTACGAATGTGGCGCAAAAATAAATATCCAAACATGTCGGTGCACCTATGGCATAAAAAATCATGTCATGTTTTTATGCCCAAACAACGATAGCATAAAAAATCATGTCGTGATTTTTTATGCCATCGGTGTTTGGATATTTATTTTTGCGCCACATATATAGTTAATTTAAATCCAAGAAAATATTAAATGTATTTGCGGGGGTTGTGGGATTATTTTATTGTCGGTAGGATTAAATGTGAGCCTCGACAATCCGTACATTTTGTCACGTAATTGTAATTAAAATGTTTTATACTTTTGCCTGTTTTTATGGTGTTTGTTTGCCTGAGTAGTGGAGGTAATGCCGCTACAGTATTTAACCGCGAAAACTGTTGATTCAACATAATTTTTCTCTTAGCAAAAATGATTATCCAAACACCGTTGGCATAAAAAATCACGACATGATTTTTTAGGCCATTGGTCAATCGAAAACAGCGCTGGCATAAAAAATCACGACATGATTTTCATTTCTCACGCAGTGACATTCGGATGATGTCCGTATGAATAAAATTTGTGAAAATCACGACGTGACGTTCGTATGATTTTCATTTATCACGCGGTGACTTATGATATCAGTATGAATAAAATTTGTGAAAATCACGACATGATGTTCGTATGAATATCATGTGCACAAATGTTGTCCGGGTAATTTTTGCACAAACATAACCTTAATTAAAATCAACCATTTTTATATTTGAGTTCTCTAAAAACTGCATTTTAAACAACAAAATATACCTACGAATTTATGACAACATAATATTATATATACAACATAATAATAATGGTATTATACCGTTGAGTTGAGACTTTAAAGAATTCTTAATCAACGCTTTTTATAATGCTAAATGCTGTTTGAATTTGGACGAATTATTTGTTTGACGATTGAAATGTTTACACTTTTCACGTTAATCATTACTAAAATGTGTATTTATTGTATCTAATAAATACAATTTATATTTACAGGGACTGTATGAAATTTATTTCTTCATTCGGATTAACACTGTTTATTGGAAAACCTATAAAAACTCAACCCAGGATTTCCTTTTGAAATACACCCAACAACAAATCGTGCCACGGTTTTTTTTTCGATATTTTTTAACATTTTCCGGCTTTATTCTCAAAAACACCCGTTAGTAACACACGCGTTTGACAGATGATTATCAAAAGTTATACTTTTGTTACGATGATAACAGCCGAGTGGTGGCGCTACTAGCGATACTTCTTTAGCGTATAGTCAAGAAAAAAATTAATTAGACTTCACTAAATAAAAAGTGCGAATATGCAAATCTGTTGAGGCCCATCTTTTTGCAAATCGATTTTTGTTACAAAACACTATAGTAGGTATAATATAAAAATAATCGTATTGGAAGAAATTCTTACTCACACTGAGTCACTGAAGTGAGTAAGAATTTCTCAAAAATCATGGTATTTCAGAGGCTTAATGCGGCCCTGTCGAAAATGCATAATAAATTGATTTATTAATATGAATTCGTTCGTTGAATGTTAATGTCCCTAGCGAGCTGTTCAGTGTGAGGGCGTAGTAATTAAATGCGCTCTAATGTATCGTTACGTTAAAGCACTAATACCAATGCTGTTAATAATACAGCCGATATATAATTATAATTATAATCGCAACCAACTTCAAATACGATTTAACGCAAATAGGACCAGGGGAGCGTTCCATCGGTTTTGGAGAAGCACTGGACTTTGGTAATATCTACTTTAATTTAGAAAATTTATCAGAAATATAGAAAATACAATCATAATGATCACTATGATAGTTCGAATTATTAACATTGATTACGCCCACCTATATTACCTAATTTTGGGCTGCTGATTTCAAAAATGCCACTTGTATTGCGTAATAAAATGCTCTGCCCAATTATCTCAAAATGTAAGTTTTTTGTTAATATTTTGATTATTTATTAAATTATTTTACCTTAAATCAATTTTGGATGTTCAGTATATTTTTGACGTTGCAAAGTCATCGGTAGAAAATTGAGGCCTGTCAGAGCAAAGTCAACAATCTCCCGTCAGACTAAAACTGCTCATGAGTCAATTGAGATAATTGATTTTTGTATTTTAAATTCTAGATTTGTAATTTTTTTATATATTATATTGAAATATTGTTGTTGTTAGTATAGTAGCCAAATACAAGGTCTCCAGGATGCATAGTATAGGTGAAATCTATAATTATAAATTGGAGATTTCTGACTTTGATATGAATTGCTGGAGATTGCTCATTTTGTTGTAAACGTTTAAGGAGATTTAGAAAAATAAACAAAAAAATAATTGTATTTTTCTCCCTTTAATGGTTATAAAATTTAACTATACAATCAATGTGGGAAAATTCTGAACTGGACCACATAGATCTGGAGTTTCTTCTAAATCTGGGACCAGGTTGCCTCGTGCAATTTTTTTTTATAGTACCTACAACAACTCATCATCTCCTTCCCACTTTGCCCCGTAATGTTTTACTTGCAATGTTTTGACATTATCAGCCTTTTCTTGCTTTACCTTTTCGTCTTATTATCGTATAATAGCACAAAATAAACAAAATAACTTTTTTATTATTCTTAAAACAATAAAACGTAGATTTACCAATTTTAAATATATTTTTTAAGTGCAATTTACTGCAATAGAACTTAACAGTATGTACCAGTAAAAAAACACAAAATTAAATCTCTAAAATACGTTATAACATCAAATGTTAGGATATCAGGTGATACAAATTACTAATTTCTAATGCCCGGGGAAAAATTTTTCATATATAATCATGTATATTCATGTGTGCTCATATATATATATATATATATGATTATATATAAAAAATGTATGAAAATATATGATTATATATATGATTATGCATGATAATACATGAATATATATAACATTAGTTTATATAAAATTGACTTCCATGTATGATCATTATACATAATCGATTATGTATAATTATACATGACCATATATACGGCTTCCCATTTTAAACGCATATGCGACATATGACATTCCATGTCGTAATATATAACTATATTTAATGTTTATAATATATTATATTATATTATACTGTTATACACAACCAGATATAAATCTATTATGTCATTTGTTTATATATGATTATGTATGGTCATACATAATCATATATCTATGAATGAATCTATGATTATGTATGACCATATATTATCACTGATATTTTCATGGCTTGTTAAGTTTAAAAAATATTGTGAAAAGAATAACTTGCTTTTAAAAACCCGATAAAAAAAGATTTTATATATTTATATATTTAGAGGTCTCTAAACAATAAATAGGGTAATAAGCGTCAGTTAACCTTAAAAATTTAATTACAAACCCAATCTGTACTCATTTAATAGTTTGTGTTAATTTGCCGCCATACGTTATGGTGGTGACACTGAGAGAAAGCTAAGATGGCGTATTTTGGTATTCTTTGTCGCCTTTTGTTAGAAGAAATTATTTTTCTGTGGCGTGAATCTAGATATCGTATTCTTCATAAAGTGTGTTTGTTATATTATAGTGTTCTCTTCAAGTTAAAGCTTAAATAAAACTAATTTGCTTGACTGATTGTTATAATTTGGATATTTCAACAACCATTAGAAAGTTCCAGTGCTTATTAATTGTGTATTTTTAAGGTTAGGGTAGTAATGCTATAATAATTTTTTGTTTCATATTAGGTTGTCTTTCAAAATATGTAAAAATATACAGGGTGTCCCATTAAAAAAAATGTTATTTTTGTAATAACTTCGGAAACCCGACGTTCAATTATTTTTCTGTAAAAATACCACTAATTTGCTAATTTAACCGACTTTGTAGCTCCAATAATAATGGTGAGCAGGTTTTGATGACATTATATTTTTATATTCCTGCATAAAGTCACTAACTGTCATTTTGTGAAAATCTTAAAAAACATAGTTGTGTGGATTGTTGTTTATATATCCAAATATATTTGGTTATAACCATATACTTAATGTATAAGTCATATATGCATATAATGCTTAAAGCACTTACTGACTTTTATACATTAAAGATAAGTTAAATTTGGTTAGTAAATTTAAACTTTAAGATTTTTACAAAATTTCAGTTGGTGACTTTTTGCATTATATATGATTATATATAATTATATATAATTGTATAGAATTCTATATAATTATATCGGGTCGGTTTTCTTATATAATTATATATACTTCTATATAATTGTATTGAATTCTATCCAATTATATCGGGCCATTTTTTTTATATAATTATATATAATTTTATACAATTATATACAATCTTTTTTTATCGGGAACATATAATAAATTTAGTAAGTTTCAAGTGTCAATTAAAATAACGTTTTTTGCTTACATATTTTTTTTTATTGAAAAAACTAAATCCTAAATATAACAGTATGAAATGTTGAAAATAAATACAATATTCAATATATACCATTGTTTTCTCTAAAAAACACATAAAAAAGAGGGAGGACGCCAATGCCAGGAAGGAGGTCAATAAATAGACTTTATCTTATATACAGTGCTTGCAAATCCAAGTCCGACCGGTTTGAGAAAGACGCGTGAAAATAACAAGGAGAGAACGCCAAACAGAAGGCGTTTACAATACGCACGCCTGACGCTCTGGCCAATCAAACTCTGTTTGGCATTCTATCCTTATTCTTTTCACGCGGGTATTGAACAACCATCCTTCCCAACGTGGTCGGACTTGGATTTGCAAGCACTGTATATATATTTATTTATTATTTTATATATATATATATATATTATTTTATTTACGTTTATTACTAGTCTTGTTAACTAGAGTTGCATATTTTATTTTATATTTATTTTCTTTACGTTTATTAGAGTTATATATTTTATTTTGATGACTATAAAAATATTTTTTATAAGCTTTTTTATTTTATTTACTATCCACTACCGTGGTTAAAAAACGTCGTTACCAATATTTTGTGATTTTCAGCTTAATGGAATTTTTTACTAGAACAATAATAATTATTAACGATTATTGTATTAACACATCCTGCATCCATTCCTGCTACCCAAAAGGCCCTTTTCAGGTGGTGGGAATGTATGCAGGATAAATTGTTTTAATAGAAAATGTCATTAATCCAAAAATTGCAGAGTGTTGTTTACGGCGTTTTATATATAATTATATATAATTTTGATTATATATGGTCATATATAGTTATATATAATTATATATGTTCCAATTCCATATATGATCATGTATGGTTATATATAATTATATGGGTAAAAATCAAAAAATGTTTAGGTAGGCGTCTTTGGCTAATTAAAAATTAGAAAAAGAAGTGAAGTGTCTCAAAACTTATTAGTATTATTTCTGCATGTTAATTATACGAGATTTATATTAAATATTTACCCAGATTTAAAAATATCGATTAAAAAGAAAAACAAAGAGCTATTTTGTCTCGTCGGTAACGCGTCCCTTATTACGTTTTACATTTTTACGCTAGATTTTTCAATCAAATCTTTTTTAAAAACAGGACAAATGTAAATCACTTTAAAGAAACTAACACCAAGTATTAAATAAATTACATTTTATTTAAAAACAATTTGGTTTTAAAGATCCAGCCTTTGGGTAACAGACTGTCTGCTTTGATCGCATCCTGTCGGTAACGATAACTGTAATTTCGCCTAAAATCCGCCAGGATACGTAATACCTGTCATTTGTTGGTTAGTGTGCTAGAGTTAGTGTTTATATGTCATTCAAACCAGGTAAGTTTTTCTGTTTATGCCTTAAAAAAAATATATTTAGGCTTGTTTGCATAAAAACGCTACCGTATTTTTTTACGATGTCTAATCGGTAACTGTTCTAGCGGTAAAATTTTGATGTCGATATGAGATTTGTTATATTTTTCTGATGTACACCAATATTTGCAATTTTGATTTTAATGGTATTTACTATAAGTATTTTTTTAAACATATATTTTGATTATTATTCCATTTACAGAACCTTTATTCCCGACAAACTATACTGTTACCGACTAGACATAATTGAGATCAGAAGACAACAATTATCAACATAACAAAAAAACTACCTTTCCTTGATCTCAAAGATTAGCTTTATTATGTTGCGAAATCTTTATTTTAGAATATTAAAAAGTTTAATGGGCAAAAAGCAACATTTTAGTTTTTTAATTGTTGTAGGTCGTTTTCCAAAGATTTTTTGATTTTCACCCATATATATTCCAAAATTCATATATGATCATGGATGGTCAAAATTCATATATAATTATATATGAATTAAATTATGTATAATTTTATATAATCATATATGATTGGAGATTGTATACTTTGCTGCAAATCTATCAGTGAAGATTGTCGACTTTGCACTATATGTCGTTTTTAAAATAGGATTTTAGGCAGGATTTAGCTGCTTTTGCAGCACATAAACTTTATCATCTTATAGATAATATTGGTTAAAGTATAGTCTAAAAATCTAATTTTTGACCAAAAGTGGAGATTGTCGGTTTTGCTATGACAGGCCCATATAAGGGAAATTTAATAAAGCATTTTTAAATACCAAAATTAAAATTATAATGTTTTTTTGGTAAAAAGTATGATTACTAATTAAATTGAAAAGGCAACTATTATTTGATATTTTTTTATTCACATCATGCCTAAAGTACCTAAAAATTCAATCTCCAATCTTATTTATTAATAACTTAATTAAATCGTATCAAAATTTAATATCCAATTGAACATCGACTTTATCTACATTATCGTTCAAGCATTAAAGTGCATCTATTAATTTTGGACATTTAAAATTTGTACTTTAAATTGTATTTTTAATAGAAAGTAATTTTAAGAATCAAAAATGAAAAAAGATCAGGAAATGGAAGTGGTAATGGAAGTGGCAGATAAAGAGAAAGGAGACGAACCTTTACGTCGTCGTTGTAAATTTGTTTTGTTTTTGTTGCGGTACCTTTACGCCCAAGAAAAACCAACGCAATATTTCATTACAAAATTTTATGAGATATACCTACTACTTTAATTTTGCAGGAATATTAAATGAACCTGATATACGACGTTTAATGAAAGATGAAGCATTCAAAACTGCTCTCAAAGTTGACGAGCTTGTCGCATATGGCAATGATAAAGCTGTCATTGAAAATGTTCTTGGTTCATATCGGGCCTAAAACTAGCGCCAATTCATTGAATAAATGCTCTCCGTTTTGTAAAGAATTAGCATTAATATGTCATTTAAAATGCATTTTCTTTTTTTTCCATCCTGATAAATTTGCCGAACTGATGAACATGGAGAACGATTTCACCAAGTAACTGCAAATTTAGAGCATTGGTAGATATCTATGGGTATAGCGGAAAAAAGTTAGATTCATTGCTAGGAGACATTTGCTGGAATTTGTAGCAAAAGATGTACGACGAAGATGAGGATTAAGCACAATAATACTATAACTCAATTCGATATTTTTTACGATTTAATAAATTTAATGTAGAAAAAAGCAAAATTATGCAATGCATTAAATTTTGTGCGCTTAATTTGGATAAAAAATACCGAAACTGGTTTACTTTGTTGCCCTTTCAATTCAATAATTAAAATCAGGGTGATTAAAATAAACGACAAAAAATGTCAAATAATGGTTATTTTTTTAAAATTTTAGTTTTATTATTTAAAATGTCATATTGTTAAGATAAATATAATCTATTTGCCGTATACCAATTACTTCAGTACATTCAAGATAAATTTAATCCATAATAATTTAATAAATAATTGAAATACTAACAAAAAAACTTACATTTTAAGGTGATTGAGCAGAGCATTTTATTACGAAATTATTTTAAATCCTAGACGTCCTAGAGAAAAATAATTTACATTTTTGAAATCAGCGGTTTAAAATTAGTTAAACTAAGCTGGAGTAGGTACTCAACGTTAGGAAAAAAAAGTTTCTAAAACTATCATAGTGTTATTATTATCTTCAATTCTGGTAATAAATTAATGAACGAGTTTTTTAATAAAACCCTGAAAAACTTACTATTAACTATGTACCTACATAGTTAATTGTAAGTTTTTCAGTACATGAATTAAATTTTAGTCCTCTTGATCCCAAAACAGACGCATATAAGTTTTTGTTGAGTCAAGATGAAAAAATAAATTTGGTTTTAATTGGTTCATTACCGAACAAAGGCATCAGACATGTTCGTATACATTGGTTGTTAAATTTAATTCAAGAGTAAGTATAATTATACCAACTTAGGATCATGCTATATTTCTTCTAAAGAACATGCTTAAAAGAAATATAGCATGACCCTAGAAGGTGCAAAGTTTTAGTGGTAAAAATTAGTCTACTATAAACATATGCTCAGAATGTTAAGAAAGTAATTGCTGTAGAAAGTTCATTCAGGAATATTCCTGTTAAGCATATTTAGTTCAGTTACCTATATAATAGTAAAATATACATAAACTACGTATAAAGATATACTTATACCCATACTTATAAGTACCTAATTAGTAATTAGTATTAAATACTAAATAAAAAACACAATCCAAAATATTTTTTATAGTTATTTGTTAAATTAAAACAATATTCGATAACAAAAATACTTTTACTATAGGTATTTTATTTTATGTTAAAAATAAATATTTATTAATTTGTATACCGATTTTTTATTTCTGAATTAACATTTTTATGTATAATAATCCTAACTATCTTTAACTTCAATCTAATCTGACTAATCCCACAAAATTTTCCAATTTTACTTTTTATGAAATAATGTCATACAACTTATGGTTTAGAGGTCAAATTGTTTATTTAATATTTTTAAATAAATATATTAATATGTCAAAATTTTTTTTACGGGGACCACAAATACATTTCACTGCCATATTATGAAAGTGAGGCATATTTGTCGTCTCCTGAAGAATTTATGAATGTAGAATACAACATATTAGAACGTGGTTATATGACATATTTGGGAATATTCTCAAAAGCTTTCTAGAAGCTCCATAAGAAACCTTCTAAGAACATTCCAAAAACGCATTCTTAAAATGTTCTTGGGATGCTTTTTAAGAAGGTTTTAAGAAGCGTTTAAGAATTTAATTGCATCATTAAAAGGGTATCTATTGAATGTTTTAAGTCCCTAAGAACGTTCTTAGCAATAAGGGAAGCTTCTAAGAATATTCAATTATTCCGGGTCATATCTTTTTAGAAGATTCTTAAAATCAAATTTTGCTATCAGGGATATAGAGTAAAAATAAACTAAAACCGGTTAATTATAGTCTAAAATGACTTAAGAGTTAGTAGTTAAAAAAGGGTAAAATAAACCAAAAATTAACTAACATAACGTTAATTTTACCATAATTGAATTACGCACTTATTACCAAATAACATTAATATAAGGTTAATTTAACGTTGTATAATAGGTAAATTTTTTCGGTTATTACTTTTTCAATAGTGAGGGGCGTAGCAAAGGTACATAATATACTATTAAATCCCAGACTTATATACCTTTAATATATTGTTTTAGATCGGAGCACGATGGCCAGTATAATTTTACTTATTTGGATAATTTAATTGACCACCTAACTGAATACAATTTAAGACCGGGATTTGAGATAATGGGTAATCCCATTAGCTCTAAGCCTTTTAATGTTACTTATAAATCAAATATAAATTGGACCCGTATAGTTCAACAAATCTCCCTACGTTATATCGGTAAGCGTTAATTGGAAATTAGCTGTAGGTACCACTGATGCGCATACAATTTTAGATAAATATGGCATAAAAGAAGTAAAAAAATGGAAGTTTGAAACGTGGAATGAGCCCGATCTAAAATCATACAATTCATTAAACTTTACATTACCCGGTAGGTACAGTTCATTTTTTTTATCTGGACTCGGTGTTTTTTTGATAGGTTGGTGGCTTATGCCAGTTTGACTTAGTATTTTTAGTATTTAAAAATGGTACTTCTGCTAAAGAATTTAATTAAATACTTTGACACTGGCAAATTGACAATAATATTTATTATTGATAATTTACTTGTCAATTATAAATAAAAAGATAATTATGCCAAAAATAATAGCAACGAATTCGAATGTAAAAGCCCTTTTGAGGGCAAAACTTCATTTTGATGAAGTTATGCCAAATGCCACAATGGAAGAAAAAGTACATCGCCTTATGGACATTTTTGGAGTAAAAAAGTAACAAATTTGGTTTTATAAATATTACATCACACATTATTTTCACATTATTCACCATTGGACAATATTTACGTTCACAAAAAATTTTAATTTCTTTTGATAAATTCTTTTCAAAGCGCGCTTCTTCTTCGCGAAGATTATTATCCGCTAGGAATACTTTCTCTTCTGGGCCGTAAAGCAACCTATATTTAACTACTTTTTTTATATGATTTACTCATCCAAGCACCACCAAAGCCAAATTAATTGCATTTTTAACTACGAATTTCGACAACTCACCTTGACAACTGCACAATGTAACCTACAATAATTTATACATAACCAAAATTAGATTTATAACTTAGTTTGTTTTAATCAATGCAACCAACTTGACAAGTGTATTTACCAACCAAAACCCTAAATTTGCAACGTTGCCGCAGTCCAGATAAAAAAAAGAACTAAGTAATCAAATGTTTCCATGCAAATAAAAAAACTTAATATTTTTTTAGAATACTTGACCTACGTTCAGGAGACATCCAAAGGCTTGCAGAAAGCATTTGCCTCTAAGAAATCAATTGGAAAACTTGGGGGGCCAGCTGGTTTGTTTAAAGACAAGCACCATCATCCACTTTGTTGGGGTGTATTGGAAATTTGCGGTAAAAATAACACATCGGCGAAGTGTCCCTTCCAATTTTTATCTTTCCACAAAAAGGGCGACTCCTCTGCTGAAGGTTTAATGAACGTCACGTTGAGTTTTTTGGATGAAATAAGTGAAAGATATCCTGGGTTAAAAAGTATTCCTATAGCAAATGAGTAAGTCATAATTTTGTGCTATCTATACCTACAAGGTGCTTATTAGGGTGCTTCAAAAAATAAAATTTATTTATTTTCGCTCTTACCCTCTCAAATGTTTATATTTAATATAAAAAAATCATTACCAAATATGGGCGTTCCAGCTCAACTCTAAGAGGTCGCTGTTTTTATTTTAGTTTCCCATTTAATTAACATGGGAAAAAATAATTTTATGTTTGGAATTTTATACCTCTGTATCAAAGTAACTTATGGCAATGATTATTGCAGTTTCTTATATAAAATGTAACGCTCTACAAAAAAGTTCTCTTATTAAAAATGAGCATATGAAAAGTTTTCCAAAATTGTACCATCCTTTTTCTCGCTCTACAGGCTCAGAATAATTCTTTTCGATTAAAATCGTGAACTTGTGAGTCAATATTTTGACTCTATATATATATATATATATATATTTTTTCAAATAATTTAGAAACCGAAAAAATCAATCTAAAAAAAACATTTTTTTACGAAATTTTTTAATATCATAGCATTTCTAAAACTGTTGATTTAACAAATTCATTTCTCTCAGTGTACTTTGAATAAAACAATACTTACTTTTTATTGTTAGGTATCCCAAGTTTCCGTGTTTTTCCCGTCGATTTTAAATTTCACCTTTCACTTTTTACGTCGATTGATGCTCATATATATATAGCTATAGCTATTGTTTTAATTGTTCCACAAAATCATAATAAATGTTCAATTATCCCGACGTTATTATCCACAGCGGCGTAGAAAATTACGATGTGTCGCTCTTGCTATCATATCCGGATGATTTCGGAGTTACTTCAATCTTAAGCACTCTGTTCAAACGATTAAAACAATTTGCCGTGCATTCCTGGTTGCATAGTATGTACCGATCGCGGCAAAGGCGGTGTGGATCACATGTTCTTAAATCTCGCCTCTGTTGACTTACATGGAGAGTATAAGCTCAGGTAGTCCTTTGTTTTGGTGTAACGCTACAACAAGTTGTTCGATACTGCAGTAAACACAGAAAAGAGACCTAAAAAGGCCATCTAGGGCTCCCAATTTGACTGCAACCCAAAAACAAAAAATTTGCTAATTAATATATTAATTGGGACCTCGGCCAATGGAGTCAGGTTTTATTCTCCGAGGAAAGCAGAATGTGCTTACATGGCAATGACAGGAGACAGTGGGTGTATAGGCGGCCAGGAGAGCTATTTTTCCAATGCTGTATTGAGCCAACTGTTGCGTACGGACTCTTGTATGTTCTGGGCGGGAATTTCAATAGGCGGCAAAACAAAGATGGTTTTCGTACCTGGTGGAGGTCGTAGAGGAGGATTAACGGCAGACCGCTACATCACGGACATTCTTCAAGAGAATGTGGTACCGTATGCGGGATTTGTTGGTGATCGTTTAGGTTTATGCAAGGTAATGCTCGATGCCACACCGCGCGAGTGATCACCTCTAACTTAAATGAAGTTGTTATACCGACCATGGGCTGGCCTCCACAGAGCCCGGACTTAAATCCTATCGAGCATGTTTGGGATGACCTTAAGAGATGAGTCCGAGCCAAAAATCCAGCACCAAATACCGTAAGAGAATTGATAGAGGAGTGGGAAGTAATCCCTTAAGATACCATTAAAAATGTAGGTCAATGCGTAATTGGTGTTTATGTGTCATTATAAAAAGGGGTGACAACTCTAAATATTAAAAAAATAAAAACATAATTTTGTTCATTGATTTATTTGTTTTTCGTTTATTTTCCATTTTTATATTTTAACTCTTTTGTGTTATAAATATTTGGAGGCCTATAGACTTGTTAAAACTGGTACAATTTGGGTCAATAAGGTATTATTTAAAAGCAATATTTTTGAGCTTTTAAACAATACATATAACATTAATTAGTATGCTGTTGTAGGTTACACACATTCTTTTAAAACTCAAGCTTGTTAGTGAGTCGATTTGTTTGCACCCAAGTGTATATTTTTGTTTATATAGTTTTTGGAGAAATTTAAACAGTATTTCGTTATGAGAACATAGATAATATAATAAATATACTGTTTCGGACCGGGCCAGTCACTTTTTCAAACAGTTTCTGAAATATCTGTTTTCTAAATTTGAATGCAAGGGAAGTGACGAGTATACCGGGGTACTAATTAAATACATAATTTTTGCAAAATATAAGATTTATTGCAACTTTGAGCATATTATACATTAAATATCTTAAAATCAAATAATACCACACATCAGTGGCGGCTGGTGAATTTTGGGTATATCTACCTATATCTCAATTATTAGATATGGGACCCACACTAAATTTATATGAGTTTATAATGACATTAAATAAACAAGTTCTGCGCAAGCAGAATTTAAATTGAAGTTTTCGAAAAAAAGATATCCGAAACATCGAACATGGAACTGACGACACGGTACTGATGAATGGGATACAAATTTGAGATTATAATTATAATTATATAAGTATTTTACTGATATTTTTTATAAGTGGATGCTACTTATCAACAAATCACTTATAGCCTTATATAAATTACAATGAAATATATATACGTAAGAAAATATCTACTCACCACAGTACTGAAATTTTGACTGGAACTATACGTGCATTCACCACAACTTCGCCGCTTGCATTGTTTTCAAGATAACTGTCGTGCAAAGGGCGGGCTCTGTAGGTAATTTTTTACCAACACTTGAGTTAAAACTAGGACTTGACGTTTAAACTTCAATATTTTGCAGGAATTTTGAATTTTAACATTGGACATAGAACTGACGGGTAAAAGTGAGTACAAAGATTGGCAATTTTTTAAAAATTGCTATTATTCGAATCTATGATAAAATATGAAAACTACATTATTTAATGTTTTATAGTTTGTAGTGAAATTAAAAAATTTAAAATAAATTAAATATATTTTAATATAAAATCACTCAAATATTTGATTCAGGAGTTGTGACACGCCAAGGTACTGATGTTTTGAATATTTATTACGTTTTTCTAGAAACGTGCTTTTAAAAAAACACATTAAAATAGGGTAGACAAGTAAAAAAAACCTAGATATTTTGTAATATACTAATATTTACAAAAAATATAAAAATGGTACCTACTCTATTGACTGATGACATCAAGTTGTCCAACTTTTGTAGAATCACCCATGTATACCTATAAGTAGGCCAAACGCTATGGGTAAGTTGTACCAAGCCGTTAAACTATAGTTACGGTTACAAATTATATTGAGTAATTTCAACTAATGGTATTTAGTATATTGGACTGGTAAGTAAAGGTCAATTCAACTATACAGGGTGTCCTGAAATTAATGCACCATACTTTAACAGCAGATTGTACGTGCAAAAATAAGAAAAAAAGTCCCTATAAACATAGGTCAAGAAATGCCTCTTAAGGGAGCTACAGCCCCCAAAAAGAATGCCCCTGAAGATGGTTTTTATTTAATATCTCCAAAACCGTTAAAGATATAAAAGTGAAATTTGGGGAATTAATTAAACTTTTTATGACCAATAAGACGTAACAATAACAATTTAAAATTTTTTATGAGGTTTGGGTCAAATTGATAGGAAGTAGGGTTAAAACCACCTTAACTTATTTGTACGTATCTTGTACCAGAATTTGGTGTCAGATTATGAAATTTTAGAGTTTTGCACATAAAAAAGGTCATCTTGTTGAACTTCGATAACATACACCGTTTTCGCATAAAATCGATTTGAAAATTATTTTACATGGCATAAAAATTCACAATTAAATCACAACCATAGAAATTGACTCGCGTGGTCCTTGGAATACGGCTGCCATGTTTAGGAAAAAATAGAATAATTCAAGACAGGTGACAGTTTCATGTAGTAAGTGACAGGGTGTTTCTACTTTTTTATTTATATTAGATAAAAACCATCTTCAGGGGCTCCCTTTTCGGGGGCTGTAGCTCCCTTAGGAGGCATTTCTCGACCTATATTTATAGGGACTTTTTTCTTATTTTTGCACGTAGAATCTGCTGTTAAAGTATGGTGCACTAATTTCGGAACACCCTGTATACATGTTTGTTTTAATCAAATATATAGTTGAAAATATAACTAAATGCGGTTGTTAAAATAAAATGTTTGGTTGGCTCTATCGAAACAACAGATTTAGTTAAATGAAACCAAACAATAATAGTTGAGCTAACTAAACCTTTTTTCTGTGTATCATCCCTCCAAAGGATGACAATTTATTAGGTGACAACATTTTAGTTTTAAGTGATGGACAACATTTTAGTTTTAAGTTCTGCCACCTGTAGAATTTTTATGACCAAAATTTAAAAAATAATCATACAATATTATAATTTATTAAACATAGTTTCAAAGACAGCCCACATTATACTATTCGTATGAAGCCCCCTTTTATCTTCTTTTTCGAAGTTCATCGAAGTCAAAAGCTCTATCCTTGCTTGGGCTGTATCGTAATCGGACTCGGATAAAGAGTGTAAAGCGTTTTCAAAAACATCACCTGCTGAAGCGAGTACACACAACGCCAAGTCTGACTTTTTGAAGCCGCTTATATCGCTCGACCAACCAGAGGTCAGGCTGACTTGAATTTTTTTCACTATACTTGCTTTGACTTTTTCGTCTAGAAGGGGATACAGCATCATGTCGAAGAATAGGTAGTTTTTCTTGAGCATAGTGAGGACACCTTTTTCCACCAGGAGTTTCGAAAGGCGTTCTCTCACATTCCGTATAAAATATTTCAGTTTGATTGGGTTCCAGGTGTCTCCGTTCAAGTATGTTATCCACTTTTCCACATTCTCCGGCGGGTCTGCGTTTTTAATGTGCTTCAAAGCTTCATCCAGGATCACATTTCCTATAACACCGTCATCCTTAACTATAACTTTCCTCGCTTTGAAGGTTTTCTTTTTAAAGCTTACAGGCTCCATCACGATTTTTCCCATCAATTCAAGGTCCACAAGCATACAGCCCCTCAAAGCCAGCGATATTGAGTCGTTCCAGAACGATACGAACCCTTCGCGCTCCTTAAGACCCAACAATAAAATCTCCTCCGTTAAAGTTAAACAGTTGGAATCCAAATCATCGAAATCTTCCTCGATTGATTGGTTTCTTCTTTTCACCAAGTTCTCTGACAACTCCATTTTAACAACTTTACCTAATTTTGTAGCTGACAGCTGTCATATGTCAGTTACATCTACAGGGTGTACAAATACATGTATTTGGTTACTTCCAGAGAAATAAATCTAAAGTAGTTAAAACCCATGGCCATACCCAGAGAGTAATATCAGGTTAAAACTTGGCCAGGAATTGCCTTTTCACATTTGATGTGCCCAATAATATGCAAAAGTAGTTTTGATTAAGTTAGGTAGGTTATCGTTGGTTTAATTTTGGAAATGTTTGGGCATGGAAAAATAATGACAATTTTTTTATGTTTATTTAGGCTTTTAAAAAATTGACCAATCACATGAAATTGGAAAATATTTGCAAATATTAAGTATAATAATATTTGAAATAATACTTTATTTTAAGAAACCTACGAAAAGTTTTTTAATTTGTTAATACTTTAAATAATCTACAGAGACTAAAGACACCATTCTACAGATGGCTCCACTGTTATCTAAAACATATACCCGGTCAACATTTAACGTAAAACAGTATTGCTATTATGTAACCCAGGAGTCACATTGCAATGTAACGTTGTTACTAAAATGCAACGCAACAGTTACCTAAAATAATAGTAACATTGTTACTGTTCCCCAATAGGCAATATAACAATAACGTAACATTGCGATACTATTGTAACATAACTAAATTATAAATAAGAAATGTAACAACAATGTAACATTGTGAAATTATTGTAATAGAACAAAAACGTATCATTGCAATATTATTGCGATAAACCTACCTAACTAAATTACAAATAAGCAATGTAACAACAAGGTAACATTGTGAAATTATTGTAGGCAATATAACAATAACGTAACATTACGATACTATTGTAATATAACTAAATTACAAATAAGCAATGTAACAAGGTAACATTGTGAAACAATTGTAATATAACAAAATTACCAATTAGCAATGTAACAACAACGCGACATTTTAAAACTATTGTAATGTAGCAAAAATACAAATAAGCAATGTAACAACAAGGTAACATTGTGAAACTATTGTAACATAACAAAATTACCAATAAGCAAAATAACAAAAACCTAACATTGCGATACTATTGTAATAAGTTTGTTACGTAACAATTATATTTATGTTAGGTAACATACTTATACTTATACACATTCTTTACATCTCGCTTGTGTTACTAACCTCGGCTAGGTATATATACGAAGTTAAGACAGCGCACCTTGTCCATTTGTCATTGGTCCTCAAGCAGTCTGCCTGATTATGGGAAAGTCATAATACATATGTATCATATGATACGCTTTAGCGTTAAACTGACTGGGACTTTATCATGTCAAGCATAGTAACGTTGCAACGTAACAATGTTACATAACCCTAAAGGCCATGTTATGTAACATACCTTAAATTGCGAAAATGTAACGTCAATGTAACATTCATTAAAAAGCTACATACCAATATCATAAAAAATATAATGCATTTATGTAACGAAAACGTAATATTGTTATGTAAACATTTTACTTCATAAAGCGGAAAATAGGAACCTATTTGCAACCATCAGGTTATGTAACTGTAATGTTATACATCACAATCGTTGCGTAACATTTTGGTTAATGTTACGTTACAATGTTGACTGGGTAGCTAACAACAGTCAAAATAATGCGGTGGACCTGATTACACGGTGGCCCCCATTACCCAACTCTCCCCTACTTAGAAAAGGGCAGTTCTATTTCTTCACTGCAACTTTATGCAACGAGATGAAAATCTGTAATAATGAACGAAAAATAAGTACATAATATAGAACTACCAATGTAACTTTATATTACCTACTTCAAAATTAACGAGGGAATGAAAATCTTCGAAAAGTAAGAAATATATACCTTATATTTGAAATATTTATTATTATTTATTATTAATTATTTTAGTTAGTGCACGGATTATTAATTTTTTTTATAATAACTTTCAAAGAAGCACTTTTTTACGCCTTTATGTAGAGAAGGTCTTGAAATATTAATTTAATGTTTACGACGCTATTGCGCATAGTAGACTAAACTGTTTTTATTTCCCATATCAATTATTTGCCAAGTTTCGATCAATCTCCATTACAAAAGCTTTGCTAATTTTCTACCAAACTTTATTACAAACGAAGTTGGCCAAAAATAACTCTACTTAAGTTTTTATTTTCATGCAGTTTTTGTGCTATCGCGTTGGGAAATCATTGGCATGAAATATGTCAATTTTTGGTCAAACTTGATGAAAATACAATTTATATGTCCAAATAAACCCCAATAAATGTAAAATATCGTACACCAAACTTAATTCGGAAAGATTTGAGTAATTTCTTTCCCAAACCCCAGCACAAATATATTCGTAATAATATTGGGCCAATATATCTTTCGTCAGATTTTTTCCAGCATGGTCCAATATTGAAACCCAACATTGGCCCGAAGTTGTTTGACATTATATAACCGATATTGGAAATCCGCATTGGCCCGAAGTTGTTTTAGATTATATTCTAGGAAAGTTGAGGGAGAAATTGAAAGATAGCCTAGTACTTACTACGTAGTAGGATTTCTAAAAATGATATGTCACGATCGTGTCGACAAACGTTTGTTTTTAGGAAATGTTTATAGTAGATAGATATATAGGGGCGTAGAAGCAGGGGGGGTGACAATGCCCACCCAAATGATAAGGGGGAGAGGGGGGTTACTTGATATAAAATGTACCCTCCAAATTCTTTGAAAAAATATACCAATAAGACAAGTCGTGTACTGTCTATGTCACAGACCTAGGTCTGTGGTCTATGTCTATTCTTAATTACGATGAAATGCTAAAATAGTTTGTATCGTGTGCTAAAATTATCAGCTTGAGCTTTATTAACGTAATAACGAATTTGATTGCTAATAAGACATATTATCCATGTTATTCTTACGGTAATATGCAAGAATGGCCTTTATTATTTTCACCCATTTGGTGCTAAACAATAAGGATGGTAGTCGGTTGCCCCAACTTAAAACCGTTCCTGCGCCACTAGTGGAAACAAACGTTTGTCGTTACATATCACTTTTAGAAATCTGAATGCATCGTTGACTATAGTTAATGATATATTGGCGTAAAATAATATGCCAATATAGGACCAACCTTGGATAAACATTGGCAAGATACAGGGTGTTTCAATAAAAACTCCCAGGTCAATTATTTCGAAAACTAAAAGTGACATTTAAATTCTGTAAACGCCATTGTTTAGCCACTATGATTGGCTTCACAACTGTGTACAAAATTTGTTTGAATAATACAAGATGTATGTGGCGTCAATGTGCAAAGAACTTTTAAATTAATTTTTGATCAAATTATGTCCCATACAAATTTTTGATAAATCCAACATGAACGGAGATATTTAGGGTTAAGTTTTTTTAAATAATTTTAACGAGTATTTTCATTATAAATATTTTTAATATGCTTTAGCAGATGTTTATTTAATTCTAGATTAAAATTATTACGTCCAGTGACGTCTCAGGGGGCCCCTTAACAAATAATATTGGCAAAAAATAATACGCCACTGAGTTTCTGGTAATTTTTATGTTTTTTTCAGATTAAGCATCTAAAAATATCCTTTTTTTGTCTGTTGAATTGTTTTCATATCTTGCTTCGTTTTCGAGAAATAAAAATAAAACTATTTGGAAACCAAAAATCATTAAGAGACAAAACCATAAATTATTAATACGTCATTTAGATGATTTATAATGATATTGCTATTGGGTGCTGGGGCACCGTCTTGATAAAACCACATAGTATTTACGTCAAATTTTGTAACAGCAAAGGGAGATAGTTTTGCAGAAATTGTAAATAACGAACTAAAGTTAAATGTTCATGGTACAAATAGGGCCCGACTATGTAACCATTTACAATACCGCACGAAACATTTACCCCAAATCGTGTTTGAAATTTAGTCTGTCGTATACAGTTAGGATTTTCCTGGGACTAGTAGCGATAATTATGTTTATTAATTACTCCATTATTGTGAAACCGGGATTCGTCACTCCACATAATTTGGTTTAATAAATTTGGATTTTCTTCCAAAAGAATATGAAAATGTGTCAAAAAGTTTAATCTGCGCTGGTTATCTCCTTATTGATGATCCACCTTATGAACCTTGTATGAAAAAAACATATTTCCTTTTAGGAATTTACTGAAATATTGGTTTCATCTTTTAATATTGAAATATTAGTTTCATCTTTTAATTTTCGTAATGAAGTTTGTGGGTTATTTTTTACTTATGAGGACTAAAGCTACATTTTTGTCAGTCGTATCCCTCTTCCTTCTTGGAACCGTTTCCTTTTTAAATCTACCATATGTAGCTAAGTTGGTACACAAAGCTACAAAAGATTTGCGATCTGGCGTTGGTCTCGATAGCAGCGCACAGCTTCTGAAGAATTTGTCTTGATTTGTATGGTGAACCATTTTTAATTTAGAAATGTAGAAATTGCAAATTCTTACACTGTCACTAAGTGAAGTGAAGAAAAATTTACTTGATGTTTCTAAATTCATTTGTTTTTATTTAATGATTATTGTTTTCAAGAGAAATGCAGTGAAATGGTTTTATTTTTATTTCTCGAAAAGGAAGCAAGATATGAAAACAATTCAACAGACAAAAAAGGATAATAATTGGTCTGGGAGTTTTTATTAAAACACCCTGTATATTAAATTATCATTTTATATAAAATATTGGGCATAGACGCGCCCCATATAGGACCAATATTTTGTGCTACTGGGGTAGTTTAACAAATTTAAATTTTTTTAGCGAAGCAGATTTGTTGGCGAACTGGTCCAAATCAGAGGAGTGGCGAGCGGACGTTCGATACGCAGCAAACGTTTTGAAAGTGATTGCGGGTTACTACAAATCGGTGGAGTTGGATAGAAAATGGAAAATTGAAGCGTTGAGTAACGATAACGCCTTCCTAAATTATCATCCGTATTATTTTACGCAACGAACGTTGTTTTCCAGGTGGGTGGAGGCAAATGCCTGGGATTACGTGGACTTAGTTATATCTTTTATTTAGGTTCCAAATGAATGAAACCACTCCTCCTCATGTCCAATTTATAAAAAAGCCTGTGTACTCGGTAATGGGAATGTTATCCTTTCTGAAAGGCGAACGCCTAGTGAAAAAAGACAAAATTAATCAGGATCCTATTTTAACAATATTGGCTACGAAGAACGGGAACAAGAAGTATTTAATTAATTAATTTTTTCACCGCCAACGTTCATTTATCTAACAGCTATGATTTATGTTTTTCAAGCATCCCATTCGCTTTTTCAAGTCTTAGAAACCCACCTAAATTTGTTATTGTCCCTCAAAATAAATAGACAATTTGGTTGATTAATGTTTTGTATCCAGTTTAAACGATCTAGTAGCACGCAAATAACGGCACACTTTTAAAAAATAAGTCTTTGAAAATAAAGTGTTAGTTTAACGCATATATTTTTCTAATAGAAAAAAATTTACAGCTAAAAACCTATAGTTCATTTTTTTATCTGGACTGCGGCAACGTTGCAAATTTAGGGTTTTGGTTGGTAAATACAGTGGTCAAGTTGGTCGCATTGATTAAAACAAACTAAGCTAGTTATAAATCGAATTGTGGTTATGTATAAATTATTGTAGGTTACATTGTGCAGTTGTCAAGTTTAGTTGTCGAAATTCGTAGTTAAAAATGCAATTAATTTGGCTTTGGTGGTGCTTGGATGAGTAAAATCATATAAAAAAGTAGTTAAATATAGGTTGCTTTACGGCCCAGAAGAGAAAGTATTCCAAGCTAGAATTTATATTAAATAAATTAAAATTTTTTGTGAACGTAAATGTTGTCCAATGGTAAATAATGTAAAAATAATGTGTGATGTAATATTTATAAAACAAAATTCGTTACTTTTTTACTCCGAAAATGTCCATAAGGCGATGTACTTTTTCTTCCATTGTGGCATTTGGCATAATTTCATCAAAATGAAGTTTTGCCCTCAAAAGGGCTTTTACATTCGAATTCGTTGCTATTATTTTTGGCATAATTATCTTTTTATTTATAATTGGCAAGTAAATTATCAATAATAAATATTATTGTCAATTTGACAGTGTCAAAGTATTGCATTAAATTCTTTAGCAGAATACTAACTTTAAATACTAAAAATACTTAGTAAAACTGGCATAAGCCACCAACAAAAGAAAAAAACACGAGTCCAGATAAAAAAAATGAAATGTATATGAAGTACAGCTATAGGTACTTCATATAGGCACAACTGGTTAAATTTACGTTGTGTCTGGTTAATTCATTTAAGTAATATTGAACACCTTATTTTATAATAAATTTAACTTTTTGGTTAATTTTAAGGTAATATTTGGTAGCTTTTCGTTTATTTTACTCTTTTTTAACTAATTTTTAATTCTTATGTCAGCTTAAACTATGATTAACCGCCGTGTAAGTTTATTTTAACACTATATAATTATAACTTACCAAATGTGATTATAGGTATGACTTACAGATCCATAAAATAAAATTTCGCTCCTAAATATTAATACTCATATAAGTATAAATTTATATAGGCCATTTTTTTCTGATGAAGTAGAACATAATACTTTCATATTTTAAATGCACTTAAAAAAATAAGACATAAAGAAAATAAAAATTAAAAAATTATTTTTTGCCTATTTTTTCTATATTTCGAAATAAAACGATCGTTTGAAATTGATTTAAAATACTTTTAAACATAAAATACTATTATGTTTTATTATTGGTTTGTTTAAATTACTTTATCTATTTTGGTTTCATAATGACTTCATTATAACACCGCTTTTGGTTCTTTAATGAGGTACTTTATTCCACCCAAAATTTTGATTTTATAGGTTGGCTACTGGTAAAATACAATTTTGAATACCTATAGGTTATAATATTTTTATGATTTGTTTTCTAGTACTTACGAGACTTTTCGTGTAATAAATTTTGTTTAACACCAAAGAAAATCCTTTTTTCTTCTTTAACAGCCGCTTATTGTAAATACTTATTGTAAATTAACGACGCCATAGCGAAAGAATGTGATAATGTTTGAAAGGTTAATGACCTTTCAAACTTCAAACTTTGTTATCTATGATACCAACTATGTAAAGTAAAATTTAACCAAATTAAATATAAGGTATAAAATTAATTTGTTTTATGAAATGTTTGCAAAATAGATAAAATAGCATAAAGAACTCATGTCATAAGACCTTTTGTCGCACTTGTCCATTATAAAACTCGCTCCTTCGTCGCTCGTTTTATAAATTGTCCGCGTGCGACAAAATGACGTCTTATGACATTAGTTCTTTAATATACTATTATTTTGGAATAAAATTAAGGCCGTTGCTAGTCGTCCGTATATTCGGACGATTAATATATTTTATTCATCCGATGATCGGACGATTAGACAAGTCGAAAGGCCGTTGCTAGTCGTCCGATCATCGGATGAATAAAATATATTAATCGTCCGTATATTCGGACGATTAATATATTTTATTCATCCGATGATCGGACGATTAGACAAGTCGAAAGGCCGTTGCTAGTCGTCCGTATATTCGGACGATTAATATATTTTATTCATCCGATGATCGGACGATTAAAATATATTAATCGTCCGGTAATAACATAAATAAATAATAAAAAGATTATCGGACTCAAACTCAACAACACAACCCAACCGACCCCGCCCCATTGCCCCCCCCCCCCCGCCCCATTGAACAAAAAACCCAACTAAAATGGGCAAATTTATGTTACGATAAAAATAAAACACTTTTTAACAAAGCAACAACAAATTTATGAAATAAAAAAAGTTCGACAACTTCTAGTAGATTTTATGTTACGATAAAACTAAAACAAACCAACCAACCCAACCCAACCGAACACTGTTTAACAAAGAAACAACAAATTTATGAAATAAAAAAATAAAAAAAATTCGACAGCTTCTTAGTATCGAACCCGGGACCTCTCGCATGACAAGCGAACGCCCTACCATATAAGCTATCTAGCTTGTTGTCAAATATTAAACGGTCGGTGAACAAAAGCGAATTATAATTATGACGTAACTAACGTTATGTTATTACCGGACGAATAATATATATTAGTCGTCCGTATGTTCGGACGATTAATATATTTTATTCATCCGATGATCGGACGATTAGACAAGTCGTAAAATTAATTATTCCTTTTGAAATGGACGGCAACAATATGGCGATTTTAGGATGCTTTTACTTATTGGTTATATAACCAATTTTATTTTATTTCCTTACAAAGTATTTGATTTCTCTTTTGATAGATCAGCTGTGAAGTGTAAAGTTGAAACAGTATCCACTTTTAAAGACTTTTTTATGGGAATGCAGTTTGTACGTTTATTCGATTCAATTTTCCTTTTTATAGCAACTATCTTCGAAGTAAATGGAACAGATACGAGCTATCCTTAAGATCAATTTTTTTTGGCATCGTTTTTACAGATTTTCACTTGGAGAGTCTACCTGCCAAGTGAAAATATGTAAAAACAATGCCAACAAAAATTGATCTTAAGGATAGTGGCGGCTGGTGGATTTTGGGTATACCAATATTTCAGTTATTAGACATGGGACCCACACCAAATTTATAATAGTTTATAATGACATTAAATAGACAAGTTCGGCGCAAACAGAATTCGCCTCCAGGCCCCCCTATTTAAGATAATTCAAATTAAAGTGGTGCAATTTATTATCTACTATAATTTATCGACAAATTTAATTTTTTTTAAAAATCCAAATATTACAGGTTTTATACCATTTTAAATATTTTTTTATTTTAATAAAATAAATAATAAAAATTTAAAATCGAATAAAATCTGTAATATTTGGATTTTTTAAATAAAATTTTAAATTTGTCGATAAATTATAGTATATAATAAATTGCACCACTTTAATTTGAATTATCTCAAATAGGGGGGCCTGGAGGCGGGTGAGGCGACAGGAAAAACTAACTTTTTTTCGCAAAATTCAATTTAAATTCTGTTTGCGCCGAACTTGTTTATTTAATGTCATTATAAACTATTATTAATTTGGTGTGGGTCCCATGTCTAATAAATGATTGGTATACATAAAATCCACCAGCCGCCTGGTAGACATTTTTTAAACTCACAAAACTTTAAAATAGCTTAAAAAACAAATCACATCAAAATATAAATAGTCACCCTGGCGAAAATGAAATGTGCAAAAAGTGTGCAACATTATTTGAGAACAATGTGCAATCTTTTAAAAAAATGATGTGCGGAGGGTTGGAAATAGAACATGAAAGAATGTGCAAAACCAAAAATTTAAAAGTGTGAATAATCACTGGACAATGTTCTAAAGGGAACTCCTTTTGATTTTTCACATTGTTTGCACACTGTTTCTTGCCACCTGTGTGCCTATTACAAAAACAGATTCTTTTTGGTGACCTATCAAGTCTTTTAAATTTACACATAATTAAAATATAAATATCCTTATAATAATATTAATCAAATAAATATTTTTTTCAAAAAAATTTAAACAAAAAAATACCCACAATATGACCTACATACTGTATTTTATTAAGAAAAATACCTGCACTGTCAACTCCACGAAGGGGATTGCTTTGATCGTAGCAATAGGCCGAGAAGCGATACATAAGATGGAATCTACCTCACCTTTTAAATAAATGTTGTAGCCCAACTCAAGCGAGATATATCTAAAATGTTCTTAAACTGTTGAGTGATCGCTAAAACTGTACAAACAATGTGCTATAAAAAGGTGTAGCGTCATAAATGAGAAATATTAAAGCGTGCTAACAGTGTGTATAAAATGTGACATGCGTAAGATAGAAGCTTTGCAAAATGTCTTTAAACAATGTACTAACACTGTGCAAACAATGTGCTAAAATATAATGTAATATAAGCTTGACATATGACAAATAAAAAGCTTGTTAATGTACATAAAGAGTGAAAAAACTTAATTATTTCAAAAAGTGTGAAATTACCACAAAGTAGCGTGTATGCACATTGTTATAAAGACTTGCACTCCAAATACACACTTATTGCACACTTTTCATGCACGCTTTATTTTCGCCAGGGCAATATGGCCATATGCCCAAGAACATCTTCTTTTACGATGATTCCTACAAAATTTGAGCAAAATCTAACATCGACTGGCTCGATAATCTTCTATGGAATGACTCAAGTTTTTTTAGAGGATCGTCCGTTTCAATTTTGTTGGCAACTTCAAATGGCACGAGCGTTTCCAGAGATAAGAAACACGTGACCGTGTCGATGAATAATTGGTTTGAAGCTGAGCGTCGGGGCGCTAAATACGTGATTTACGTAATGGATCAGACCCGAACGAATCCCTATGAAGTGTGGGGGAAATACGGAAAACCTGTGTTTCCAAACGCTACAGTCAGACGAGAGATGAGATACGTCGAGGTAGAAAAAAACGTTTCGTTTTGGTGGTATAACCGTTAAATTTTTAGGAGCCATTAAGGTTTTTAGGACCAGCGGACTTGATTTTGCCGAATATAAAAATTTCCATATTAATGTCCGTCCCAAGTGTTGCCTTGATTCATTTGTGCGCATATGGCGAACATATTCCAGGTCCCGTTTACTCGATTAATATATTTAATGTTACCCGCAACGAAATTTTATTAACTTGGAAATATAATATTGCGAAAACAGAGTAAGTGAATTGTTTTAATAAGCATTTTCCAAAAGAACAATACCCACAAAAATATCGTTTGTTTGATTAATAGATGCATCAAAACGTATGAAATAGAACATGAAATGGAATGCAGGAGTGCAGGATTTCAAAGGATAAATTTGGAGAAGGATACTGTGTTCCTATCATATCATTACCATCCAGTTTTAGGTAAGCTATTTTTTAATATTATACTATTTATACAGTGACCGGCAAAAAAAGGTCGATTTTGTTTTCAATTACGCACATTTTGATGTAGGTACAATTTTTATATTTTCCTCCATTTTTGTAGAATCTCTGACAAATATGCACATTTATACCTTTTGGGTTGATAGTTTTGGAGATATTAATTAAACTAGTTTACTGCCCACCATATCCCATTATAATTTTTCCATGTATTTTGACCCACTAAACACGAAAATCACACTCAATTTTTATTTTATGAAAGCGTTTTTGAAATATGAATTTTCAATTGTTTTTTTTTCAATTTTCGGAGGTGTTTTGACGTTTTTGAGTATAGCTTGAAACCTAATTGATCGATTTGGTCAAAGAAGCCTTTAAATTAAAGGTATTTGAGCCCTCTAAAACCTTCTTTTACATACTTTTGATATCGGATAAGTATTTTAAAGGTTTAAATGAAATAGATAACGTCAGTTTGAATTTTTTTTGTGAAGCTGACATTTTTACAAAAAAACAAGCTAATGTTGATAAAAATACATGGAAGACCAAAATTCAGCTTTTTGGCGATTTTTATTTTATTTTTTTAATTTCATTTTGTAATATGTTTATTCTTTAATGAAAACCTAAATAAAGAGCATGATTGGAATTTTTTGAGTTTTTTACGTACTTTTTTCACGGAAAACATTATTTAAAATTTAAATTTGACATGACTCCGCAAACGTGAATTCTTTTGTTTCTCGTGTTGGCATTTTACTGATATTTTTTGATATTTCAACAAGGTATTTTTATCATGATTTTGTTTATAATAAAAAGTGTAAAATGAGTAAAAGAAGTAGAGAGTTCGAGTGCGTAAATAACCCGCACAGTCTAAGTGATGAGCACGGAGAACGTTTTTACCAGCAAATGAAGGCTATTGAGCGGCGGTATCACGGCTTCTGAGATGCAGCCTTGATGGATGATTACATTAAATGGGTCCAAATTTTGGTCCCTCATACGAGACACGGAATACGAAAGCAACAAAAAACAAAGAAGGAGCCAGGATTTTTTTAAACCTATGCTTATTACAACAAAATAAACTCATTTAAAAAATTTTGAAATATTTTTCAAAAACAATATTTCTATTCGTTTTTTTAGCCCTTTGAACTAAAAAATCCAGAAAAAATTCGAGAAAACGACTAAATTGACGGTTAATTTCACTTTAACCTTGAATAACTTTTAACCAAGTTAACTTACCGAAAAATGACTCTAGACCTTTTTTGTAGAGCGGTTAATTCTCTACAAAAATATTTCAAATTTTTTTAAATGAGTCGGGTAGTTAAAAAACACAAAAATTTCGTATAATTTGAACTTTGACCTTAAATTTCTTTAGAAGGATCAAATTTATCAAAAAATCATAAAAAAACCTTTTTTGTAGAGCGTTCAATTCTCTACAAAAATATGTCAAGAACTTTACAGTACGACCTATTGTTCGTTAGTTACAAAAATAAAAAGAAAAAAAATAATTTTTCCTATGTTATTCTTATGGAAAATCGAAAAGTGCGATGCGGATCAGTGCGATGCGAATCACCCTATTGTGCATATTGCTGAATTTAAAAATGTATAATCTATTCGAATATGCAAAAAAGGGGGTACAATTTAAAAAACGGCCGATGACATCATACCTTCTACGAAAAGCTAGCAAATATGAAAATTTTACATCAAAATGTGCGGAAATAAAAAGCAAAATCGACATGTTCAAGGAATTTTTTGTAAAAATAGGCACATTTTTTTAATGAATTTGTTCCCTAGTTTTCAGATCAATCAAATATTAATAGACACAAACAAAAAAGTATAATTTATTATAGTGTAAAAAAGTCTACAAATACTTAAAAATAGCCTAAAACTTATCCAAACTCCTATTCTTATCAATCTTCTTTTTGTACTTCTGAAAGGCATCCTTATTAATATTCCAGGAGAGATCGCTAGCCGACTTGGATTTTGTCCTCTTTTTTCTCATATTATTGCCACTTTGAGCGACAAACTTAAGCCTCCACTCATTCTCCCTTTTATCCCAGTAAACATTATCCAGCACTTTTGACAGTTGACACTCCGGTACGCAGTGCTCTTTCAACAACCTAACGAGCTGCAACTGTTTCGCCAAGCACTTGTTGTCGTACAGTAGAATGCCGATTTCGTGTTGATACCCATTCTCTTTGCTTATCAAATTTTTGGTCTCCATCGCCACGAGTTTTTCTGCTTCCTCTATTTGTCGGTTCAACTCTTTGTCTTCCTCTTGAAGGCTCGTGTATTTTTTCTGCGTCAAATCTTTTTCTACTTCCTTTAGGAAGAGGGCGTCTTCGAGTTGTTTTTGATTGGTGTCCAGTGATTGGATTTCCCGTTCGGTATTCTCCAGAAGAAATAGTTGCGTTTGGGCTTTCTCGACTAGATTCTCCCCACCGACAAGGATTTTCTTTTGGATCATGTTGATTTTGGTGAGGAGTTCGCGTTTTTGATACTCGACGTCTAAAAGTTGTTCGTCGTGTATTTTGGTTTTACTTCTTGTCCTTTTCTCCTTACTATTGTTGTTCAAAGTGTTCAGCTGGGCTTCAAGTTTGTGTATTTTGACTTCAAACTGCTTTATAACGCTATTTTTCTCCACGTTAACAGTCAAATAGTTCTTGACCTGCTTGACTCTATCAGCGTACATCAAAGTGTTAATGGTTTCATCGTAATCCAATTCTGATGCACTCACCATTGCTATCATGGCTGTTAGCGAGTTGCCACCCAGCGAATCTTGGAGAAGCCTTGTCAACTTTGAGTTCCTGTATGGTATGTGCGTGGTACTTTGGTCGACCAAGGCTGATATCACGTTACCTAGCACTGATAGCGACAGGTTGATTTTGCCAGCTTCACGCAGTCTTTCGCCAGTTGCTTGCGATTTCGATACCCTTTCCGAACCGGCCAGGTCCACCAGGTTCAACTTTCCGAATTTCGCCGTGTTGGTGGACTTATTTTTGGACTCTATTGCGACCGTGAGGATGGCGTGCGACCGGGAACTTAAAGCGTTCAACTTTGTAGAGCCGATTGCTCGATTCTTGTTGCCTCTATTCAGCAGATCGTTTACGGACCCCATTGAATCGACGGTGAAGCCTAGTAGGTCTTTCACGTACACACCTACATCGGTGGTTTTTAATTACAAGATTAAAAGGGAGCAAGCCAATCGAGAATAAATGTAAAGAAAAAGTAGATAGAGTGGCCAGCGAATCTGCAAAAAACGCTCAAAAGCTAGCAAATATGAATATTGTACATCAGAATGTGTGGAATTAAAAAGCAAAATCCACGTCGATTTCTTGGAAAAATAGGCACTTTTTTAATGATTTTGTTCCATACTTTTCAGATCAATCAAATATTAATAGACACAAACAAAAAAGTAAAATTTATTATAGTGTAAAAAAGTCTACAAGTACTTATAAATAGCCTAAAACTTATCCAAACTCCTATTCTTATCAATCTTCTTTTTGTACTTCTGAAAGGCATCTTTATTAATATTCCAGGAGAGATCGCTAGCCGACTTTGATTTTGTCCTCTTTTTTCTCATATTATTGCCACTGTGAGCGACAAATTTAAGCCTCCACTCATTCTCCCTTTTATCCCAGTAAACATTATCCAGCACTTTTGACAGTTGACACTCTGGCACGCAGTGCTCTTTCAACAACCTAACGAGCTGCAACTGTTTCGCCAAGCACTTGTTGTCGTACAGTAGAATGCCGATTTCGTGTTGATACCCGTTCTCTTTGCTTATCAAATTTTTGGTCTCCATCGCCACGAGTTTTTCTGCTTCCTCTATTTGTCGGTTCAACTCTTTGTCTTCCTCTTGAAGGCTCGTGTATTTTTTCTGCGTCAAATCTTTCTCTACTTCCTTTAGAAAGAGGGCGTCTTCGAGTTTTTTTTGATTGGTGTCCAGTGATTGGATTTCCCGTTCGGTATTCTCCAGAAGAAATACTTGCGTTTGGGCTTTCTCGACTAAATTCTCCCCTCCGACAAGGATTTTCTTTTGGATCATGTTGATTTTGGTAAGGAGTTCGCGTTTTTGATACTCGACGTCTAAAAGTTGTTCGTTGTGTATTTATTGGTTTTACTTCTTGTCCTTTTCTCCTTACTATTGTTGTTCAAAGTGTTCAGCTGGGCTTCAAGTTTGTGTATTTTGACTTCAAACTGCTTTATAACGCTATTTTTCTCCACGTTAACAGTCAAATAGTTCTTGACCTGCTTGACTCTATCAGCGTACATCAAAGTGTTAATGGTTTCATCGTAATCCAATTCTGATGCACTCACCATTGCTATCATGGCTGTTAGCGAGTTGCCACCCAGCGAATCTTGGAGAAGCCTTGTCAACTTTGAGTTCCTGTATGGTATGTGCGTGGTACTTTGGTCGACCAAGGCTGATATCACGTTACCTAGCACTGATAGCGACAGGTTGATTTTGCCAGCTTCACGCAGTCTTTCGCCAGTTGCTTGCGATTTCGATACCCTTTCCGAACCGGCCAGGTCCACCAGGTTCAACTTTCCGAATTTCGCCGTGTTGGTGGACTTGTTTTTGGACTCTACGGCGACCGTGAGGATGGCGTGCGATCGGGAACTTAGAGCGTTCAACTTTGTAGAGCCGATGGCTCGATTCTTGTTGCCCCTATTCAGCAGATCGTTTACGGACTCCATTGAATCGACGGTGAAGCCTAGTAGGTCTTTGACGTACACGCCTACATGGGTGGTTTTTAATTACAAGATTAAAAGGGAGCAAGCCGATCGAGAATAAATGTAAAGAAAAAGTAGATAGAGTGGCCAGCGAATCTGCAAAAAACGCTCAAAAGCTAGCAAATATGAATATTGTACATCAGAATGTGCGGAATTAAAAGCAAAATCCACGTCGATTTCTTGGAAAAATAGGCACTTTTTTAATGATTTTGTTCCATACTTTTCAGATCAATCAAATATTAATAGACACAAACAAAAAAGTAAAATTTATTATAGTGTAAAAAAGTCTACAAATACTTATAAATAGCCTAAAACTTATCCAAACTCCTATTCTTATCAATCTTCTTTTTGTACTTCTGAAAGGCATCCTTATTAATATTCCAGGAGAGATCGCTAGCCGACTTGGATTTTGTCCTCTTTTTTCTCATATTATTGCCACTGTGAGCGACAAACTTAAGCCTCCACTCATTCTCCCTTTTATCCCAGTAAACATTATCCAGCACTTTTGACAGTTGACACTCCGGTACGCAGTGCTCTTTCAACAGCCTAACGAGTTGCAACTGTTTCGCCAAGCACTTGTTATCGTACAGTAGAATGCCGATTTCGTGTTGATACCCGTTCTCTTTGCTTATCAAATTTTTGGTCTCCATCGCCACGAGTTTTTCTGCTTCCTCTATTTGTCGGTTCAACTCTTTGTCTTCCTCCTGAAGGCTCGTGTATTTTTTCTGCGTCAAATCTTTCTCCACTTCCTTTAGAAAGAGGGCGTCTTCGAGTTGTTTTTGATTGGTGTCCAGTGATTGGATTTCCCGTTCGGTATTCTCCAGAAGAAATAGTTGCGTTTGGGCTTTCTCGACTAGATTCTCCCCACCGACAAGGATTTTCTTTTGGATCATGTTGATTTTGGTGAGGAGTTCGCGTTTTTGATACTCGACGTCTAAAAGTTGTTCGTCGTGTATCTTGGTTTTACTTCTTGTCCTTTTCTCCTTACTATTGTTGTTCAAAGTGTTCAGCTGGGCTTCAAGTTCGTGTATTTTGACTTCAAACTGCTTTATAACGCTATTTTTCTCCACGTTAACAGTCAAATAGTTCTTGACCTGCTTGACTCTATCAGCGTACATCAAAGTGTTAATGGTTTCATCGTAATCCAATTCTGATGCACTCACCATTGCTACCATGGCTGTTAGCGAGTTGCCACCCAGTGAATCTTGTAGAAGCCTTGTCAACTTGGAGTTCCTGTATGGTATATGCGTGGTACTTTGGTCGACCAAGGCTGATATCACGTTACCTAGCACTGATAGCGACAGGTTGATTTTGCCAGCTTCGCGCAGTCTTTCGCCGGTTGCTTGCGATTTCGATACCCTTTCCGAACCGGCCAGGTCCACCAGGTTCAACTTTCCGAATTTCGCCGTGTTGGTGGACTTGTTTTTGGACTCTACGGCGACCGTGAGGATGGCGTGCGATCGGGAACTTAAAGCGTTCAACTTTGTAGAGCCGATTGCTCGATTCTTGTTGCCCCTATTCAGCAGATCGTTTACGGACTCCATTGAATCGACGGTGAAGCCTAGTAGGTCTTTGACGTACACACCTACATCGGTGCGTTCTCTAATGGCTAGTTTTTTGTTTGCATCGTCTGCCAGAAGATCCCGCACTTCTTCGTTGTATATTTCTAGGTATGTTACTGTGACTAGGTAGGACATGTCGTTGTTGGCCACAGATATTTCGGAGAAAATGTGGGAAAATATATTTGGTATTATACCCTTTTGGGGGTCCTTCAAGGTATCCCCTATCATAGTGTAGGTTTTTCCAGTTCCTGATTGCCCATACGCGAAGATAGTACCATTGTACCCTTCAAATAGTTTCTCCACTATGGGTACTGCTACGGTTCTATACACATCCATTTGGGTGGCAGAAATATCGAAAACTTTGGAAAAATTGTACGACTTCTTGTATGTTTTTGCCGTATTTGGTTTTGTCACTAGCACAGCTTCATTCTCCTCAACTGATACAACTTGTCTTAACCCAGAGTTTCCTTCAAGAAAATTGAAAGGCCTTACTCGTACAAATACACGCACATTCTCCACCGTGGATTCCTTATTCATGATATGGTAAAATTAAAGTAAAATAACTGTAAAATTATGCTAAAAGGTATGTAAAATTTCTGTATAGATATTAATGGTTTATGTCAAATCAGTTTGACAGTTAGTTTGAAAGAATTAATCTTTCAAACATCTCTTTTCGCGAATACTATAAATCACGAAGTTAGGAATTACTCTTTTACAATTCTTGTGCTTTGGGTTTGTGCTGTTCACCCAGAGAACCATATCAGGTTAAAACTTGGCCAATAATTGCCCTTTCATCTTTGGAAAACTTTTGCCAATAAATGTACAATATAGGACTTAATATTCGTATGATTTTTGTTAAGTTAGGTAGGTTAACGTTGGTTTAATTTTGGGCATTGAAAAACGATGACAAATATTAGGCCTTTGAAAAATTGACTACTTGCGATTATATAATGCGCTGATAAGTCAACAGAGGCGAGATGTAAGATCTGGCCTTTGCCACAATTGTGTACCGATTAATCGGTACATACTATGTAACCAAGACTGCACACAGCAAATTGTATCACAGACTATTATGGCTTAAAGGAATCTAGAATTAGCCCAACCGGGCTAAACATTAAGGTAAACATTTTTTTTTTTAGTTTCTTCAAGAAACTTTTTTGACTTGAATTTGTTGTGGGTGTGTTCCACTACACCAAGTTGCCCAACACTGATGAGACCCAATATAGGTCGAAACAGTTTCTGCCGGTATTTGAAGTTGGTGGAACGCACTCAAAACAAAAAACTTTGGCGAGGTGAAGGTTTAATTCTTGAGGCACTTGTAAGCCTCAAATAAGCCTTAAAGTGATCAGAACAACCATTTTACTCATCTTTTGTAAAAAATAACATTATTCTATCAGGGCTGTCATCAAACTGTGAAATATCAATTTTAAGGTTAATTTACTATAACCCACAAATTTACCATATCCACAAATTAACCTTAAAATTAAAATTTGACAGTTTGATGACAGCCCTTATAGAATAAGGTTTATTTTTACAAAAGAGGAGTAAAATGGTTGCCCTTAGCACGTTAAGGCCTCTTTTAAGGCTTACAAGTGCCTCTGTAAGAAACAAAACCTTTAAAACGATTATTAATCTGTATAAACCACAGACCACCAAAACAAATGGACGGATTTGTTTACGTTTAAAAAGCGAGTAAAGCATAGTTTCACATTCTAAACACCGTCGAAAGAAACACGTTTTCCAACGTTGTCAGAAGTATAGATTACACGCCTTTTTTGACGTTCATCATAACATTATAATGAACATTAATAATTACCAGTAATTCGTTTGAATAATAAAAAAATTGTAAAAAGGATTTGTTCATCATTTTTTTTTAGATATTTTTCTCTATTTAAAGGAAGTAAATCATTTAATAATTATTAAAATTAATATTAACAACGTTGGTAAATTCGTCATATTTGACAGCATAGAAAAAGGTTGACAGCTTGTTGTTTTGTGTTTTCGTTTGTGTATTTCTATCGTGTTTAAGTTAATTATGGAGTTTAAATACATTATTTTTTACTAAAAATAACAATACATGGAAATATCGTTTGTAAGTACCTACCTACTTATTATTTTTTTAATCCCAATACGTCACTGAAAGAAAACGTAAAATTCTATTGCCAATTTAACGCTTAGACTGTGACCGTTTGTTGACGTCACTGGAAGAAAACATAAAATTCTATCTCCAATTTGACGCTTAGACTGTGACCGTTTGTTGACCGCAAACAAAGCATTGTGATTGAATGGCAATGCGCCGTCCATTTGTTTTGGTGGTCTGTGGTATAAACAGCACAAACCCGAAGCGCAAGAATTGTAAACAACATAAAAATGGCCGCCATTAAAGTATGTGCAGTGGGTTGCCTAACATCGTGATTTTTAGTATGCGCGAAACACAATTGTGGATTATGGATCAGACCTTGTTGTGTGGATTTTAAAAAAATTCAAAAGGAAGTATAACTTTCAGATGACGTACCAAGTTTTTTAAAGAAAAAAAACCTTTTGATGCACTATAATTTTATTAGAAATAATGAAATACAATTTCAAGTAATTTTTGTTGACAGTAGACAAAATTAATGCTTTAACAAAGAGCGTTAAATAGAACTCTTGTGTATACAGATGGCTATGACAGGTGCTTATCAAAAGTAGTTTTGTAGGGGGCAATGTCGGCAAGTCGGCGAAAATAAATGACGATCGTGACGTGCGCCTACTTGTAACTGTTTATTTTAACATCTTCCTTAAATTTTAACCTTACATTACAAAATGAGTAATTTTTTACAGTTTATAATGCAAAGCACACATGTGTTAAAGAATGAAGAGGCTAAAGTAAAAACCTGGACATTTTAAAGCCAACATATGATCTGTGTTATTTTAACTAGTGAAGTGTAAAATACAAACTGCATGGAATCAAACGTGAAATTTCATTCGTGCAGTTAAACAGGCGATCAAATTTTCCGATAAATGAATTTTGAACGTGCAACCCAGAGTTGTAAAAGTCGGTTTCGTTTTTACGGTTGCCAATAAAGAGTTTATACAAAACTTGTGTCTGGAATGCAGTGTCTGTTTCCCGGAATCGATAATTTACGGGTTTTCTGGCAAAAGCTTCGGAGGTTTAATGTTTTTCCACCTATATACAGTTACAGGCAAAAGTATGAAACAAATTCATTGAACATTTCGGCTTTAAAAAAAAGCAGGTTTGTTTTTCAATTACGCACATTTTGATGTACAATTTTCATTTTTTCCGCCATTTTTGTAGAATCTCTGACGTAATTGGCCATTTTTTAAATTATGCCCGCCTCTTCATCCCAAAAGGTATGCATGAACTAATTGCTGAATTCAGAATTCCATAATCCATTCGAATCTTAAAAAGGCATATCGCGTCCATAATTATTTTTTTTACTCCAATAACGAAATATGACAGTTCTAATATCACTTTTTAATGTGGAATGACATATGGGTGATTCTACAAAAGTTGGGCAACTTTTGACCTCATTTTGTTTATATAGTTTTCGGAAAAAAATAAACAGTATTTTGTTATGAGAACATAGATAATATAATAAATATACTATTCCAGACCGGGCCAGTCACTTTTTCAAACAGTTTCTGAAATATCTGTGTTTTCTAAATTTGAATGCAAGGGAAGTGACGAGTATACCGGGGTACTTAAAAATTTATTGGAAAATATAAGATTTATTGCAACTTTGAGCATATTATACATTAAATATCTTAAAATCAAATAATACCACACATCAGTGGCGGCTGATGGATTTTGGGTATACCAATATGTCAATTATTAGATATGGGACCCACACCAAATTTATATGAGTTTATAATGACATTAAATAAACAAGTTCTGCGCAAGCAGAATTTAAATTGAAGTTTGCGAAAAAAAGATAACCAAAACATCGAACATGGAACTGACGACACAGTACTGATTAATGGGATACAAATTTGAGATTATAATTCGGAATTAAGTATTTTACTGATATTTTTTATTAGTGGATGCTACTTATCAACAAATCACATATATGCCTTATATAAATTACAATGAAATATATATACGTAAGAAAATAACTAGGTACTTACCACAGTACTGAAATTTTGACTGAAATTATACGTGCATTCACCACAACTTCGCCGCTTGCGTTGTTTTCAACATGACTATCGTGCAAAGGGCGGGCTCTGTAGGTAATTTTTTTTACCAACACTTGAGTTAAAACGAGGACTTGACGTTTAAACTTCAATATTTCGCAGGAATTTTGAATTTTAACATTGGACACAGAACTGACGGGTAAAAGTGAGTACAAAGATTATCAATTTTTAAAAAATTGTTATTATTCGAATCTTTGATAAAATATGAAAAATACATTATTTAATGTTTTATAGTTTGTAAAATTGAAAAATTTATGATAAATTGAATATATTTTAAAATAAAATTACTCAAATATTTGATTCAGGAGTTGTGACACGCCAAGGTACTGATATTTTGAATATTTATTATGTTTTTCTACAAACGTGTTTTTTAAAAAATACATTAAATTTGGGTGGACAAGTTAAAAAAACCTGGACCTTTTGTAATATACAAAAAATATTAAAATACCTACTCTATTGACTGATGACATCAAGTTGTCCAACTTTTGTAGAATCACCCATATATTCCTGAAAGTATTACAGAATAATTATTCTATCATCGGATGACGGAATAAACACTGGTGGCGACATCTCTGTGTTTAATATCTAACAAATTAAGGCTGATCCAACCTCACTTTCTCCCAATTAAATTACTTTTCTATGGGGTCTTTCCATCTCAAATCGACAAGGCATAAAGGGGTGCACTGTTATAAAAATCAGATTTGTTAATATGAGTTTGTAGTTTGTTAATTTTATTTTCTAAAATTTTAACATAACTTTTTGTAGAAAATTTTTGTAAAGGTAATATACATTTTGTTAATTTTAAAGGTTACAGATTATTTTGTTAAAGCTTAATTATTTCGTTAAAAAAGTACGTAATTTCAGGCAGTCAATCAAAACATTTTCCATTTAGAATACGCATTAACAAGTTTAACTAACTGTATGGTTCGGAACACAAACGAAATTATGATTCCTCGTCCTTATTTAGGTTTTGGAATCATTCACTGCGGTGAGACCAAAGAAAGTGGTGCCATCTACCGTCTTTTGACATGTTCTTTATGTTATATGTTTAAGATGGTAGATGGCACCACTTACTTTCGCCTCACCGCAGTGAATGATTTCAAAACCTTTACAAGGACGAGAAATCATAATTACGTTTGTGTTCCGCACCATACAGCAACTCGGTACTGATGTTCCATTAAAGGGAAACAGCTGTTTATCGATGCTGGTGAGGAACACGAACGAAATTAAAGAAAAGCGGAGACGAAATAATTACATCAGTAAGTGTTGTAGTACCTAGCAGTGGCGGCCCGTCAGGTGAGGCAGTGCCTCATCATAGAGAATTAAAAAAGTATAATTTAAATATT